TCTGGCTCTTGGGTCGGAACAGGTCACGTATCAATATTTAATATGTATGTTATATTTGCCCGGGTGTTCCATACGCATGCGTCATTGATATCATCGGCTTCATTACAGTATCATGGAATTAGGTTCTGGAAGACCACTTGTATAGCCTAGATAAAGAAGGCGAGCTTGGGCGCCACTGTAGGATCATCTTGCGATATAGCGAACGTATTTCGGATAAGCGTCCTAAAAATTGATTAAAAGATATAAATTGAGGAAACCCGTTTCCAGAATATCAGGATAATTGAAACAAGACTTTCATTCGAGTCTCAAAAATAGAGCCTGTGTTGTTGCTTAGTGTATGTTATCGTTTTCTAGTCGGCTGAAGCTCTGTTCAAATAAGTGGAAGCTGCACCGGTATCTCAATTAGAGCTCAAAATGAAGCATGCTGATTGGGACACTCCAAAAATCACAGCTTCGCTTGTCTGATCTGCCTCTCAAATCTACTTTCTGCAGATGGTAGGCGACTCCGTATTGAGAGAAACCCAGCGAACTCTTCATGTCCCAATTTTCTCACATCCATAGTCGTAGCTTCAGAATTTCTGCATGAACATAAAACTACTTCTTTTCTTTCACTAAATCTTATCACTGTCTCAGAGCATGCGAAAACAACATGATAGCCTGGCATACGATATTCCACCTAATCCCTTCTCTCTCAATACGGTTGATGCTAGAGGGGATTACAGGATTAGCACAGGCTGAAAACCTTTTTCTCATCTGGTTATTCCGATTCAAAACTCTTTCCTGGCCAATATTTATCACCATTCCGATCGTTCTTTTGACATTTGCATTCTGGCAAATGAATCATGACTACTCAACATCAGTGCAAGATGCAAATTCTGCTACAACCTTGCTTGCTGCCAAGTCAAGTTCTTGGACTCGCATGCGGTTCAAACTCAAAAGTTCAAAAATTAGGGTTTCGGGATCCCATAGCGCTCAGGAACCACAAACCTCAGACCAAGATCATGACATTTGGACGAAAGAATTCCACGGCAGGGTGACAATGTTCCCCTGTCAGCTTCAACATCGACGCATCTCGAGCTTTAAAGACCATTATGTCCATTCTTATCTATACGTTGGCTGCCCAGTGGGCTTAAGTGCGAGTTACAATCCTCTAATTGTTGTGGAGCCCAAGTATTGCCCCTGGTATCGGCTACCTTGGAAGAAAGCTTGGTTCAGCATCAGGCCCCGGGATCATGCCTTCAATGGTGGAGCAGACCTATCGATGGCGCAAAAACTTGAAGAATTCCTAGAATCAGAGGTTAGTGGATATCTATTATTATTGAGATCTAAGACTAAAACTGTTTCAGGGAGAGGATCCTGCTGAGTGGCCTTATGCATATATTTTGACACCCCCATCTGTCACCAGGCAGTTGAACAACCCGCTTGCTTTCTGGTATCTATACAACAGGAAAAGACATCTCACTGCAATGATCGTTCAGCTGCAAACGTCTTATGGCGAACGAAGATTGTGGCTTACTCGGAATTGCCGAGCCGGCCCATCTACGCCTGGCCCTTATTGCTTTCAAGGAAAATTTGAAAAGGATCTCCAGGTCTCGCCTTTCACACCGCTATCCTCGCCTTTAACACCGCTATCAACCAGCTACACAATTGATTCATCTGATCCTTCTTTAGCTCCATTGGATGAGCTCAAGATCAAGGTTACATTAGAACAAGGAGCTAAGACGATAATGTACGCAACGGTTAGCCCTGCCGGTGCTCCTCTTGATGCATCTACTGCGAGTTTGAGTTCATCTTTGATCTTCCTCGTCAAGTGGTGGTGGGTTCCGATGTGCAGCGTCGTGGTCTTTCGAATTCTTTCCAAAGCGGCAAGGATCTATGTGACGCATAGTAAGATAGAGCTTAATATCCAAACAAGAACCGAGCCGATCAAAACGGCCATCGCGAAGCCTGCACGACTATCTGAAAGGTGCGTTTCTATCATCATTCAAAAATTGAACTGTGGCCTGAGCACAATATTGATTTTATCTAGGAGATTGGAGAATTTCTTTTTCTTACTCTTGTCTTCTGTGGTCAGGAGTCAGTCTCGCATCAAAAGCGTGAAATACATTACTTCGGGAGACCACTGTGAAAGAGTTCGAATCATTGAATCGTACCAAGAAGCGTCTGACTTAGGAGACCGGAATCATGAAGCCGGCCCAGGAGGAAGTATTCCAGGGTTATGCGACCAAATTACCTTTCAAGTCAACACTCCAGGTTTCTACTCCAGATTCTTCCACTACAGATCCCCGTTTGATGCCATACAGCGTGAATTGCTTGATGATGAGCGAACCCGCACGGCATGGTCATCACATCCATATGACTTTTTGTCATTGTTTCCCCAAGAAAAAGAAAGAATCAGGCGCAAGCCTCTGGATTGGCGTTGGAGAATCATATCCCTCCTCCGCACTCCTCCCTTGAAGACCAACTTCCCGCGTCAAGTAGCGTACAAGCCGTTTAGAGGAATGTCTTTGACAGACTCTTTGCTCTTTGAAAACTGTTCAAGCGGTCAGTTTCGCAAGTACAGACGCTCTCTGTTTCGATTATTTCTGGGTCACTGGATGGGAGGTTTCTCGATCGGTCCCATTCTAGAAGGAGATTTTGAGTTGATTGGATTGAGTCGGGATGCTATTCTGGTGATACAAGACGCGGCTTTTAAATCCGGACTTGTGATCTTGGCCATGTATCTTACCGAAAGACGTGAGACTGAAGCGGCAAGGATTTTCTGTTCGCCCATAGCGGCTTTACTCGTGGCTGGATTGAACACTTGGGCATGCTTGAAGGCTGTCATTTAACTCGGCAAGGCTAACACAAAGCTTCTTCTGCCAATCGCTTATAGTTTTGAAAGACCCGCGGCGAGATATTCAGGATGATGAATCAGGCACCCCCCTCGGCTTCATGAAATATGTGGATGGATATCAAAGATGGCAATATTCCATCTCACCAAGTGCAGTAGCGTTTGTTTGTCGTCTCAGTTCCAAACGCCCCAATTCTCCATTTGGTGAATTCAAGTTGAAGTCAAATACAGGGAATCAAGATAAGCCCAGTGGGCTTTCCACAACGAACATTGATACAAGCGCGGAATTTGGATTTATATGCATAGTATCCGGCGCAGCGTGAGGAAGTCACAGCTAGGTCTTTTTATTTGAATATGAAAGGCCAAGTAGTAATGGGAGATGATGGATAACCCAAAACATGACACAGAACAGTGTTAGGATCATTTTTCGTGCTCGTAGTAGATAGAGTGGCGGTAGTTGTAGTGGGAGTAGATAAAGTAACGGTAGATGGAGTATCAGTAGGTGGAGTGGAAATAGATGGAGTGGGAGTAGGTCTATTGGTGAATAGTGACTTTTTCGGAGCAGAAATTAAGGTAGTCGGCACTCCGGAAAATGAGAGCAAGCTTGTTGTGAATACTTCTGCTTCGGATAAGATGCACCAGCTACCAGCCTTAAGTCCGCTGTTGAGTACGCCGGTCGGGCTATTTCCATTCTTATTGAAAAAGGTAGCAGTCCCCGTGTGGCTGACCTGTATCCAAGCAGCCGGTGAACCACTTTATGTGCCGCATACGTCAATACTGAGGGCAGAGTGTCGCTCACTGAGCTCTAGTAAACTGTTAGCAACAGCAATCTGTTTCAGCTGCGGTAGTTAATCGGTACTTGAACAATCATCTCCGTCTAGTAGGTCAAAAGGCGCTGAGTAACCCGTGCAGCCATAGTTCCCGTTGGACCATATCAAACACTGACGATCGTAATCTATGACCTCAAGAACTCCGGCTCTAGAAGTAAATGCGTGAATGGTGACTAGAATTGCAATGTTAAAGTATGCATCTTGAAAATATACGACAAACAGGACCTTTGAACGGAATGAGGCTTCGGGATGAAATTTATTTAAGAGAGTGAAGAAAAAGAAGGAAATTCTGGGGGATGGAGGAATATATGCCTCCTCTCTACAAAACGCTATCTACATGCATTCAGACAAAGGGCAAAAAAGCTCTCAAATCAGCAAGAGCAGGATATCTTGAGCATCTAGAGTTATCGTCAACACCGCCACCTTTCAGTGCTCTCTTTTATTTCATCAGCATACCTCAAATTTTTGACTTATTCACATCTTTTCACTGTTGAAAAATTCTGTCCACTCCCCTGTGCTCTCAATCAAACATGAAATTGAGTTGTGAACCCCCTACACGGTCCTAGTCAAGTAACTTGCATCCACGCATCTAACCTTACAGGAAGGATCGAAATCAGTTGCACCACATGTACACAGAGATTCTATCTCGAACCCTCTTTCAAAACACGCTATGCCTATTACAGTTACTCCACCCCTGGCCGCTTTTCTTGGCAGTATTCCAATACAATCGTAAATAACAGTCCAAATATAGACTCGGTATTACGCTTGTATGGCTTTCGGGGATTCTAGAATGTCAAACCTGCAAACAAGGCAAACAAAAGGGGGATCTCCCTAATCGCTACCAGGCCAGACTTCCGATTCCAGTCTGTCAATCACTCAACTTCAGAGTGTTTGTATGAATGAGGTGTATACCATTCAGTACTAGTGGGTTACTTTTTTTTTGCTTTGTGTGACAAATTTGATTAGCGACTAGCATTGGCTAGACCTTGACTGGATGGGATGGTGCTGACATTCGATCTGTCAAATCGGTCAGAGCCTTGAAACGAACGATGACCGCTAGCTCGTATTGCAATGACAACGATTCTCAACCTTACGACCTCGATCCTATAGATCAGGACTCGCAATACGCCCCCACTCCAGGATATTTCGGTCGTACCCTTGCGTCAAGATGCACGCTTAGTCCTTCACCGAACGAATACTCCGATGACCCAGAAGAACTGTCCTGAAATGAGCCTACTGGGCCTAGACTACTCCAGCTATCCGAATGGCATAGCAGGGCTGCAAGTGATGAGCTTCCGGCAAGCTGCATCCAGTATATGATAGAGTGGAAAGTCACGATGAATAAGAAAGTCATCTCACGAGACACGGAACAGGACGTAGCGCTGACACCGAGTGCTTACTGGTTCTTGACCTTAAAGAGTAAGTTGGAGAAGTTGATACAAGGGAAGACCTCTCGTGAAGGAGGGATTAGGCCGGATGACACTTCGATCATTGTGTCGGTGAATGATCGCTCCCAACGTGACCTGCTGAAGCGATTTGATCACCTCGACATTGATTGGACCGCAGTGGAGAAACAGCTCCTTAAGTGGAGCGAACAGTATTCTCGAGGCAAGAAATTAAGGCTGAGTATTACGTTTAAATACGTTAAGGATGAAAATCTCCACAGGACTACCTCAGGTAGGGTCGAGAAAAGAGGAAGGTCATCGGTCACTAAACGGATGCTCAACGAGCTAGACGTTCAGCTGGATGCCGAAGAGAATTCATCTGGGCAAGAATCTGTTTGGCGAGCTGTGTACAACCTAATGCGTTGTCCTTCTTCGTCATGCCATCTTGGCCCACATTGCTGGCAAAATCCACACGGGAAAAAGCACTATACGCTGAGGAGCCACCATTTAAAACGTTTAATCGCCTTTGTGGAAAAAGGCAACACCCTGCAGTCTCATGAAGACGTCCCGGAAGTCTTTCACGAAGAACTATTTATGGAAGAACAGCAGCGGCTGGAGAACCAACAATACAAGAAAAAAAATATGTCTAGCATCCCAAGCAGTTGTCCCATAAATATCAACATTAATGGAATGCAAACTTCCTCTCAATCAGAGAGGCTTGACTCCTCCGCAAAATCAGCAATGCTTCCATCACCAATGACCCTGGTCAATGACGATTTTACTATTCCTGGACTTCGAGATGTTGCAGTCAGAGAGTATAGCGCATGGCATGAAGCAAATGTCGCTGATGACCATTTGAAGCACGATTTCGTCACGCATGTGATATCGCGCTAGCGAATAGGTTCGACCTTCAGCTTATCTATGAGGACCAAGATTCATCATTGATGTCTTTATCGACCAAGGTATCATGGTAGGTATTGCCCGTCAATTCGTTAAGAGATGTGGTGAAATGGGTCAGAAGCGTGAAAAATGGGTTGCCTATTGAGAGGATGTAAATAGTACTCTAAAGGAGTCCAATGGTAAGGATAGTCACGATATTTATTGTTGAATTACTTGTTTCAATCGTTTACATCAGAACATAAATAGAACACAACAGTTGACGGAAAGTCAGTCGAGCTTTAAGGGAAGGTTTCATTAGCAGTCCATAAGATATAATGTGCGACGTTCCTATATCGCTGGTCTAGAGTCTATCATTAAATTATAAATCTGAATATCGACGCCGGAATGTCTAAAATGACCCAAAGCACTCTGCTTTTGGGATCCAACAACCTCAATACACCAGTCGAGGAAGGTTTGGAACCCTTGTTCTGAATTTTCCTCATAACGTACCCAGTTCCGTCGAATGAATGCTTTTAACTCCGAGAAAAACTCTTCGATCGGATTCAGGTCCGGTGAGTACAGTGGCAGATACACTAGCTTGACTCCTGCTGCAGTGCACATTGCGTCGATACGATCAGAACGATGAAAAGACGCGTTATCCATGACTAGAACGGACTTTGGCTCAGGCCATCTTCCACAATGCCTGAGGAGCTGACCAATGAAGTCCTCGAATACTGCAGCGTCGGTAGAGCCCTGAAACACTCGAGAGAGTACGATTCCATCTTGGCAATACGCGGGTAGTATCTGGTACCGCTGGTCGCGATAGAAATTGGCTACCTGCAATGGCGCCGTGCCCAACGGAGACCAACCTGTCCGTCTAAACCCAATCCGTTTATCACATCCAGACTCATCCACATAGACCAAATGATATGACTGGAAGTCCGACAGATTGTGCAAATAGAAATCTCGTAGATCTGCGTTCCGTTCCTTTGCTCTCTGCCGAGCCACCTTCGACCAACCTACCGATGCAAGAGCCCGCTTGAGGCTCGAATTGGTAACCTGCACTCGGAACTCGTCCAATAAAAAGATTACCATTTCGTCCACATATAGCCCGGGCTTTTCGAGGAGGTGATCACACAGCGCTTCTAGCATCGGAGGTGTTATGCTTCGTCGTCGACCGACTCGAGTTGGAGGTGCCCTGACATTTCCGAATTGGCGGAGGTTATTGCTGATGTTGATGATAGAGCGCTTACTACATTCAGCAGCTTTAGCCATTTGCGAGGTAGTCAATGATTTGCTCGATATCATGTTCTGGATCATTTCGAGCTTGGAGGGGGGGAGTCTTGGCGCCATATTGCGAAGAGAATTCTGGATGGTGCGGGCGATGGTCAACCATCGAGGGGCCACGCAACTCCATCTGCTCACCCTTGCTCACCCTTGCTCAGTGAGCAGGTGAAATGATTTTGGGGGAAAAGCCTGGGGAATGCTAGGTATTAGGATATGCACGTGACTTGACCGTCTCGCAGTTCCTGGTAGCCTGGGAGCCGTCTCAAACCCGCGGACCTCAAAAAGGTGATTGCTAGGCTGGAGCCCATACGTTAGTTTCGCCATAGTAGTAACAGAACGCGACCTCACTTTTTCCCCTTGTGCACTTGAAAATGGGGGGAATGGCATGAGATTAGGCTGGTTACCGCGTGCTGCGTTGATCTAGGGGTTCGGGCTCGGGTCAACTTAGTTCCCGTGAAGCTGCTAATCCCACTTTACGCAGGATCAAGCCACTGCTCAACGTGGGTGGGTGGCCTTCCAATCTGGTTTCCTGTCTTAGCGCCGCGTACCGTACAGTAGACAGTAGTCACCTGACGGTGAAGCTAGGGAGGTGTGCCCCTCCTTCAGCTGAGAGGGGTAATGTCCCTCCACATAGATACAGATAATACTCATTAATCATGGCATCAATATCATTCCCTGGCAACAACCATGGGATCCAGGTCGGAGATAACCGTGGCTCAATCACGGCAGAGTTTTATCTACCCCCAGGTAAGCTTAAGGAACAGGACAAGCTTAGGGTCGTGACTAATCGCCGTATCCCGACCTAGAGCGACCGGAAATTCCACCCAACCCATTATCAACCGTCCCTTTCGCGCGCGATCCGGATTTTGTCAATCGCATCACACTGCTCCATCAGATCCATGAGAAAAGCTCAGTGCCAGGGTCGAGAATAGCGCTGGTTGGCCTCGGCGGTGTTGGGTGAGTATAGAGAGACAAGCACGTGGTTTATTGATTATTGATGATAATTCGAAGGAAATCGCAACTTGCCATCGAATACACCTACCGGGTTCGGTCCGAATCGCCGGCGACATGGGTCTTCTGGGTCCATGCGAGTAGTGAAGCCCGGTTCGAGCAGAGTTTCCGGGACATTGCGGACCAAGTCAAGATCCCCGGTCGTCAGGATCCTAAAGTCAACATATATAAACTTGTCGAGAACCGGCTTCGGGATGAGAAGACAGGAAAATGGATCTGTATCCTTGATAATGTTGATGATGACAAGTTCCTCTACTCATTTCAGGCCGCACGGAAGGAAGACACGATAAGAGACCCAACGCATGCCTCGACAAAACCGCTATTAGAATATATTCCTAGAGGCCGGAATGGATCTATTGTTATCACGAGTCGGACGAAAGAGGTTGCGTTGAAATTAGTTGATCGCAAGGACCTTGTCGAAGTCAAAGCAATGGACAGCTCCGAGGCGCTAGAGCTTCTCCAAAGAAAGCTTCAACAAGCCGGGGACGGCGAAGAGAGTCAAAAATTAGTACACACATTGGAGTTTATGCCGCTAGCGATCGTACAGGCCGCGAGCTATATTCAAAATCGGACGCCTCGCTATTCGATATCACAATACCTGAAAGACTTTCAAGAGAGCGACCGCAAAGCTATCAGGCTTCTGAAAGCAGAGGCGGGCCACTACTACCGAGACTGGGAAGCAAAGAATTCAATTTTAGTGACGTGGCAAATTTCCTTCGATTATATACGTCAAACAAAGCCATCTGCAGCGGAGTTGCTTTCTCTTATGAGTTTTTTCGATCGACAAGCGATACCAGAGAACCTTATCTGGCATCGACCCGAGGTCAACAACACATCAATTTCAGAGCTTCTGAACGACTCTGATGATAAGAAAGATTCTGAGTCGGATATAGGCCCCGATTTTGAAGATGATGTCGTGGCTCTGAGGAATTTTGCATTTATATCTGTCAGTGAGGATAGCACTTTTTTTACGATGCATCGGCTAGTTCAACTGACCATGCGTGCGTGGTTGAAATCTCGGGGACAAATGAATCAATGGCGAGAGATCTTCATAAACAATCTATGCGAAGAGTTTCCCACGGCTGAATACGAAAACTGGGAGACGTGTCGGGCGCTCTTTCCACATGTCAAATGCGCAATATCACAACGACCAGAATCGCCTAATTGTCTACGACAATGGGCTACATTGCTTTATAGAGCTGCATGGTATGCGTCGCAAAGAGGCAATATCGCAGATACAAGAGATATGGCAGCCAGGTCAAGAGAGGAAAGAACGATTTTACTAGGTGAAGAGCATGAAGATGTTCTTAATAGCACAGGCATGTTGGCAACAGCATACTGGCTTGACGGCCGCTGGGAGGAGGCCGAGCAGCTCGACGTGCAGGTAATAAAGACGAGCAAGACAAAGCTCGGCGACGACCATCCCTCCACGCTAAGCAGTATGGCCAACCTGGCGTCGACGCTCTGGAACCAGGGCCGGTGGGAAGAGGCCGAGCAGCTTTTTGTGCAGGTGATAAAGACAAGCAAGACAAAGCTCGGCGAGGAACATCCCGATACGCTGACCAGTATGGCCAACCTGGCGTCGACGTATAGGGACCAGGGCCGGTGGGAAGAGGCCGAGCAGCTCGAAGTTCAGGTGATGAAGACTCGCAAGGCGAAGCTCGGTGAGGATCATCCCCACACGCTCACCAGTATGGCGAATCTCGCTTTCACTTCGAAATCTTCCGCTCACGATGCCGAAACCATCAATCTGCTACGCGAGTGCTTAAAGAAGCAGAAGCAAATACCAGGACAAAACCATCCCACTACTTTATCTAATTCTGAAAAATTGTTGAAATGGGAAACGGAAGTGACACAGGAGACTGAAAGGGAATGGGAAAGGGATGAGGAGTGGAAAACCGATAGCGAATAGTAAAGGAGGCGCTGGATATGGATGCGTAGATCATATGCTTAAGAATCTCTGTTTTATTCTGCCCCATGTGTACTTTTCGAAGCAATTTTTTTCACAAATTGGCTTGGCTCGAACTTCCTAAGGGAATTGAACTCATCCCTTGATTGGAATTTTGACAGAATAATGAGACAAGTAGATGGGAATGTCGTCAACAAGCTCAAAGAGGCCACAAGATGCTAGTATTTTCGGTAAGAGTATGACAAATAAATTTGTGAGCACTATAGCACGTGATACCGCCTTTCAATACGATTCAATACTTGAGACAGAGCTAAGTCGGAAATGGATTAGTGTGTTTCGGACTAGGGTTCGAGATAGTTTCCATGAGAGCAAAGTGGTGAAACTGATTTCGGTCCATCCTGTATCTCCAATAAATGTGTATAAATATTGTTCTCTTCGCCTAAACTGAACTTGGAGTTGGATCTGTTAATGGTATTACCACTTGCCTCTTGTTTCCAGGAAGTGGAACAATCAACATGTACTTTCAAAGATATATGTACATAGCTGAGAAAAGATCTCTTCAAAAGGAACAGTGGGACTTTTGATAGCTGTGATGGCTACCTTGTTTAAATCCCAATATGGTTTGTATCTTCATGAAGAGTACGTATATTCATAAGCCTGACCGTAATCCAACCTCACTTGTTCGATATGTAGTTGGACTCCTCGTGACATCTTTTTGGCCCAACAAGACTAAAAACTTCCACCAACTCTCAATAGCCACGCTGTGCAGCCCGGCATAACGCACCTGAACCACCGCAAAGTCCAATCATTTCTGAGCCCCTTGCTTTAAAGGTGACCTAGAGTGCATAGTAAGGATAGGAAGGTCACCAAGACCTCAAAGAAATCTCCTGCCAACTATTATCATTGGACCATTATACAAGTGGCCAAAGGCGGAGCGAAAGGGCGGGGGAAATAATTGCGACCAGGCCTGCACCTTGATAAAAAAAAATTTAGAACGAGCGCAAAGGATAAAAATGGTTTTTTGTATTTTAACTGCCTATTTGTAAGACCAATGCCTTTTGATCGGGAAGTGTGTGCTTATCCAAAATTGAAAAGAGCTGAACGGGTAAGAGAAGAAATTCCAACCAGTTTTTGGATTAGTATATTGCTGTATCATTTATCGTGAGCCAACTCCTTGTCGATTCATTCACAGGATAGGATTAGATACACGTACGTTAGAGCAGCTTTGTGTCAATACAGTTTTGCTCAGCGCGACTTGTATTGTCTTGCACCACTTCATTTCTGCTTGCTGGCAAACCTCAACTGAGCCTGCCTGCCGTCTGAGGATGGGTCGAGCTATATCAATCACTAGATTCACTGAGCTATATCCAATTAATTAGCTCGTATCGGCCCATAGATACGATATAAACTGACCATTCCATTGAAAAAAGGACCGAAGTATGTCCACTTCCCGAGTTGGGGCCCAACAGGTAGAACATATTTGGAAATCCATTTACCGCCACCGTCTGATAAGCTCCAGCTCCACCCATGCTGTCCCAGTGTTGCTGCAATGTTTTGCCGCGTCGGCCGACCACTGAGTGGGCTTGCCATTGAGTGAACTCAAAACCTGTTGCCAAGACCTGTTTTGCCCGTTTTACAGTGAGTGCTAGTTTGGATCATTTTGAATGTTTTTGATGAACTCACAATGAAATCAACGCTGTATTCTCGACCAGATGACGAGACTATACTGTTTTGTTTGACAAGACTTATAGACTCCTTCAGCAGCTTCAATTTGGGGCTGTAGAGCGATTGCGTATATTCATTGTCCAAGATTCTTCTCTAATTTTTTCAATTAGCTCTAGGACGTGATAGAAAGATTTACCACTTACCCTGCATCCAAGGTCATATTCAGGTGTGAGTAATGGCCAGTATTTTTCTATAACCGAATATGAGCTCTGAAAACGATTCTGTTGCCTCTAATCTTACCAGGTGCATTCTCTGAGATATATCTTTGGTTGCAGGCGAGTCGTTTTTCTCTCGTACGTTTCCCTCGAGAGTCATTCCAAAACTGATTAAGTGTGCAATCAAGCATCCAAAAGGTAAGCCACCTTAGAACCTTTAATATGAAAGGGAATCGAAAAACAGTCTGTATCATGCCACCAAACTGAGAGTTGTTCATCGGCATGGACACATAGTGCTGCGGGCTCTATTTCAATAGAAAAAAGTCAGCGATATTTACAAACGGCGAAAAATATTCCCATACCCGAATAAACTGAGTTACGCTGTTGACTTTGTCGATGATCGCAGGTACAACCTGAGATCCGGAGCCTACATATCAATTAGTCCGGCGGCCAACAGTAAATGGCTTTGAGATTTAGACCAACATCCGTTGCCTATGACGGCCACATTCAACCCTTGAACGTCGTATTCTTTCTTCCACTGAGCTGTATGAACCACTGGTCCTTGAAAGCTTTTAAGCCCTGGAATTTCTGGAGACTTTGGATTTGTATAGCCTCCAACCGCTGATACTAAAATCTTGGCTTCGTGAACGAAGTCCTGGCCCGTATCTAAATTGCTAAGATACACGTGCCAGGTGTTGGAAGATTCTATCCATTTAGCACCTTTCCACTCCGTTCGAAGTTTTATGCATTGCGTGACTTTATTTGCGAGCGCCACTCGCTGAATGTAGGCCAATATCTCTGGTTGCGCTGGGAAAGCCCTCGTAAATTCTGCATTTGGGAACCATGATAGTGAGTATAGTACTCCGGGAATGTCCACTCCGCATCCTGGATCTGTAACTCTTCAGTAGCCGTTTTGAAGAAGAAGTTCCAATTTCACATATGGTCAAAGACGGTTGAGAAGTCAGGATGAAATAAGAACGGAACAGACTTACATTTGTTGGCTGCCCAGGCCCCACCAATCTCAGGAGCACGGTCATAGATGATGTAGTTAGTGACATTAAGTTGTCTTTGCAGCTGACATGCCATATCAACCCCAGATAGGCCTGCTCCAATGATGACGACATCACTGTATTGCCTATCGCAGTTCTCCATAGCTGTGAACTTCTTTTCTGCGTAAATAATCTTGACCTCCTCAACCCAAAACTAGACAGGGGCAACACAATACTTGCTAATACTTATAGGATCATTTTTGTGACCACTGGCTGCGCGATCTACGATACGATTTCAGATATCTGGAAGCGACCTGCTCTTTGCACTATCTTTGCACCAAGATGAGCATGATGAATCGTATAATTTATCAAGCCACAAATCAGTTTCTTCAGATGAATCCTGTTTTGAAATAGTCGCTCAATTTTAAACTTGTGGCCGATGAAGCAAATGGTTAAGTGCTACCGTTCAAATTCATAAACTGGCAATGAGAATCTGGCCGCAATATAAATTTGATGTAGGATACTTATCGATATGAAATAACTATGAAAATCGGGGCAAGTAGCATGGCGCACATCCAACGAAATTGACAATTAGGCGTCATCCTTTGCTAGGATGCTCACGTAAGGCCCAGGCTCCCTTTAATTGGATACTGTAAAGCCGATGAAGTCATGATGTGATCAAAAGGTCCTATACCCAACGCAGTCCCGAGTCTCCGACACACAATTATCATATACGAAATAATTCAGTAGAATTGAACACGAAAATACATCCATGTGAGGAGACTGAGGAAGTTTATCCTAACGATAGTGAATTTCGATCTAAGGAGCCGATTCCTCTGGTTGTCACTGCAAAGAGATTATTTCCCCGTGATTCCATCTGCTCGCCTTTCTCTCAGCAAGCCAAAACAATCCTAATTGAAGTTCACCCAAAGTCTCGTAGCCTTTAGGAGCTTAAGTGTGTCAGAAGGACCCATTTGAAAACTATCGGCTTCGATGAGGTAAGTTACTCAGGCAAGACGGACCAAAACAATGATTATACTAGATCCTGCTCATCTACCCCCACAACTAAAAAAAAAAAAGGCTGGGCTGCATTATTACATAAGCATTCCTTCTAACTGTATCTTTCAGTGACGACGCAGGTGGAACTTTATGGGCTATTTATCACGAGAGCTTGAAGAAGTGTAGATTTTCGAGCAAACACGAATGCTATTCAACGGGCAATGATGTCAGCGCTTTTTGTGAGCGCCATAAATACCTTTTTTAATAGGGAATTCCAAATTTGTTGCCGACCTGGGATTGGAGAAAAAAGAAAATTAGGGTTTTACTCAATAGGAGGTGACTAGACTGTAGGATATCCACAAAGATTCAGGATGCAATCCATATCCATATTGCTCGAGCAATAAAATATACTCAAGGCAGTAGGCATGACGGATGTAAATGCAGACACATCAAACGAATCTATCCTCGTGTGCAGATGCTTGAAATGAATTCTAACGTGTTGAAGGAAACCAGGCGAAGGAATATCGACGCACTCTGACCGAGCCCTAGATCCTGACTGTCTCGTCATCGGCCACCGAAGCGAATCTGAATGCTCAGCTGCCACTTGAAGAGGCGTTCTCCCATGACTGTCCTCTGAATCGACGAAGATACCGGACTGTAGCAGTATTTTGATGGTTTCCTTAGGAGCATTCTTTGCGGCTGCGACATGCAAGAGATTCATTCCATAGCGGCCTCCCAATATACATGGGTCCGCGCCGTGTTTCAGCAGTAACGTCACTTTGGATGCCTGATTAGACCTTACGGCCTCCAAAAGCGGGGGACACTTGTCAGATACAATGGCATTAGCTCTAGCGCCGTGGTCAAATAGCAGCCTGGTAATATCAATTTCGCTGCGTCCAGTTATTGATAACATCAACCCCCTTCTGGAGCGGAGATCGGCCGCATCTGGCGAAGCTCCATTCTCTAGAAACATCTGCACCACACGAATGTGTCTATGAATTATGGCTTGCAAAAGTCCCGTTGACTGATCTCGGCTAAGCGATCGGAGATTCACATTATTTTGCACCCCATTTGCGTTTCCATGGCTTGCGTACCACACGAGCGCAGAACCACCATCGGATTGTATATTTCTTCTGTAAAGGTCGGCAATCAGGAGGCTATACAACTTCTGACTGACTCTCAGAAAACTGAAGAAGTCTCTTGTGGCGTGCACGGGATCTGCAATCAGCACGATTATTTCCGGAGGTAGGATATCAAAAGACATCGTATGGTGTCGTCGCAGACCGAGATTATCAATCCGGGCCTCCAATCTGTTGACGAACTCAGCATTCTAGGGCGCTGTTGATTCTGACGCATTGAGAGGGTGCTTAGACATACTGGATTACTTGTCTTGTTCTCCAATGTTTTCGCTGCATGGGCCATCCTCTATCCTCTTCCTTCTGCTAACAATGCCTGGTGCAGCAGTCTTACGGGACACCAGTGATATTTACATACTTTGATGGCTTTCCGCAGAACTGAAGTAAACACTGTAGAATAGGATTGTCTAATAGCGAGATATCTTATCTCTAGATGGAAAGAAAGTTATGAAATCTATCGACTGATATTTTTTAACACATGGACAATACGAGTTTTGATTACTGCTGACGTTCAACTACATCAATCGGTTTAAAGCTGTATTTACCCCATTTTGCAAAGGTGGTGTGCAACACGGGCGTGTTTTGTGTATAGGTCGATGTGGACTGATCTGAAAGAGGTCCGACTTTTGATGAAATTCCTAATTCACAATCACATCGTATTGAGTATATGTGCCAGAGAGCCATCAAATCAGTTCCCCCCAATTCAGTCATCTGCTTCATTCTTGGAGTTTGAGATAATCTCGAAAGGCGACCAAGTACACGCAACTCAAAAAAAATTGTATTTTACGTAACGCCCTTGCTGCTATGTACCACCACCGAATGGGCACTCTAATGAACCATAAATACCTCATGAGATTCTCTTAAACCCAATATCTTAAAATCAGTGGTTTATAAGGTCCTTCGGGTCCTCCTCCATATTGTCATACCTGTTAGGTATACACCTAGCCTCTCTAAAAATTGCAGAGAGCATTTATATATCTTACTCACGGGAGTTTATGTTGTAATGATGTACCAAGGGAGTAAGGCCTATCGATTTTCATAACTTTGAAATTACTATGTTGCAAGCTGTTACCAAAAGTTACCTACTAGAGCAGGGAGAATGTGATTGTTGAGATACTAGGTTCTAGAAAATGGCAAGAATTCTAGTACAAGTGCTCGGTAGTGCATGAATTATCCTTGTACGTTTTTCAATTAATGCTCAAATTATTGGCCAAGTTCACAAGCTCCGCGTGAACAGCCAACGCAAGACCGATGTTGGCGAAATGGCAGGAAGTGCGGTCGTGGAGTCAAGTGTATGTCCTAACACCCAGCTTGTTCCAGGTTCTCTCTCAATATGCACGGTTTGCAGTATAGATTTATGCAAGGGGTGAACCCGAAGTCGACTTAGGGTGTACATCCGACTTCGCAGTTAAGTTTGTACTGCAATACAAGCTAGGTGAGGTAATTGAGCATCCTCTTTTGTTTATTTGCTTGCCATTTTTGTATGATGAACGTTCTAGAAACTCCTAATTTTAGCCAAGATTAATACAGAAGGCAGTTTTATACTGTTATTTACAACTGTAAGAAATTACCGCCAAGAAAGGGGACCAGGGGTAGAATAACTATAATCGAAATAGTGCATTTTGAAAGAGAGTTCGAAAAAGTATCTGTGTGTGCAGAAGGTGAAACTGATTTTGATCCTCCATATACACCCAACGGGTGGACCACATCGCGAGCGATTGGTTCCGTGGTTGACAAAATGCAATATTTGCTAAAACGAAGATCAAACTCCTGCAGGGTCTAGAAAGGAAGCAGACGCTGGTCTAATGCTGTGTGTGCTCTTCTAAGAGCCCCTCTGCTCTGCTGAGGATGATCAAAAATGCTCAAATCAACCTTCAATTGTCCGACCTGTCTATCATTTGACGAGTTTTTGCGTGTTGCTATACCTCGCCTGCGCTTATTGAATAACAGTGGATAAGATGAGTTGATCACAGTGTCAACAAGTCACTATGGCAGTTTTATCATTGTGCGTAAGCGAAGAATCAGCTGATGATAAATAAGAAGGCTCCCCATAAGTAGACTCTCCCATCAACATGTCTCTCTCAAGCCATCCAGAGAATCCACCCATCGACATTACGTATCGCGAAAATAGATTTCTTGCAGAAGTCACAAAGATGGATCAGACGGTACGATCACCGTATTGCCATATGGCTCCGGCTAACAGGATTACAGGAAATCCTGCACACGATCTCAACGCTAAATGGCCACTGGGTTCGGGCGGAGCGCCGTGTAGCCAAGTACCAGCAGGAACTGGCAACGGTACGACAATCGGTCGCACAGACCAACAGTGAGATGGAGGAGATTGTGAAAGTGGCAGAGATTCTTTACGAGACGAATCGAAGAATGGGCGCTGTGATGGACTATCTCCTTGAACAGGAGGCTCTTAAGGAGAGCGGCGAAGAGCCTAAATCATTCGACGCCATGTTCGGCTGGGTGGTGGCACAAGTCGAACAGTCATCCAACGCTGAAGCTAAAGACGGAGCTGTCGCCGCTGGGGAAGCCGTGGCTGGAGCCAGTAGACTGGTGGCAATGAGCAATGCAAGCATGTGAAAGTAGATACCTCTATAAGCGCATAGAATATAGCATCTGACTTTTGATGGTGTCAAAGAGAATCAGACTTATTTGAGTGAGTTTGTCGAAACTTCGCACATTTCATCAGCATATGCTATAAGGGGTCGACAATCGAGAGCCAAGAAGGCGCAATTGAGCTCAGTACACCGGCGACGTGGTTTATTGCGATTCTGACAAACGCCGATGCTCCAGAATGCATATTTGGAATAAAAGTAGAGACCATCATATCTGACCGCTTGCTGGCTTCCTGCTTCTATTTTATTCTACCGGCATAGAGGACAGTTGTAGAACCCCTTGTGGCGTTGTTCACTCCTTTTATTCTGAGAGACCCCCTCAAAAGACATCCAATGGATGTTGTAGTCTTTGCGCGAGATGGAAGCTTGTTGTGGTTGTCACCGTGCTTAGGAAGATTATGAAAAAGAAAGCCCACAAAAGTCAATCTCTACATTCTCAGAGGGGGTTTTACGGCGTGCCTCTAAAAAGCAATCCTCATAAAAACTGATCGTGCCCAATCTGCTAATGATGCACTAAGGACCAACCAGAAACGAAAAGGAGCCAAGAGCGACTTTTTAGCATTGGGGGTGCATTCCACGCACATATTTTGCCATCCCAAACGGAGAAAGGGTAGCAGAATATGCTATTAGCAAAAATCAAAGGAAATGGTTTCTGAAACAGTCGCAGCCGAAAAAGTGACATCTCATTTTTTCTGTCTAGTTTGAACCTCCATATTTCGATGTCTCCGGCCTTCTTTCCCCTAATGACCTTCTGTCGGCTTATCCGGCTAAGAGAATTTTATCCAAAGATAGAGTGGCCCTGAGAAGAGTATCGGGGCGGCCTTCAGTGATTATGATCAAATGAAATCCCAGGAAGACTTTGTTGGTCCTCTTTCATGTTTCATGTTGAATGATTGCTCGTAGTTGGCCGCCAATGGGGACGGTGACAGAAGCGATGCTCAACAGCTTGTCGAGTGGGAACGTGTTCTTTGCATCGTTGGCACAACAAAAGCCCCACAATACTTTTCTTGATGATGGTCGACGAAGAGAGATGCAAGAGATGTAGCTCTGTACTGGCTAGATAGCGAAGTTCTTTCGTAGTCTCGTCCTCACACCGACGTCCATCCCAAGTCGCGATACAGCGCGGCTGCAGTAGAGGTTCTCCGAGTGTAGCCAACGGCGTTAACTCAGAGCTGGGGGTGGGCGGACGCATGATGAATGTTTATTTCTCTAGATGGAAAGCCAGCGGTAAAGCTTGCGGCTTCTATAGAGTCAAATATATACAACCGCATAGGCTCCTCCCGCGGGAGGGCGCTGATTTGGCCCCACAGCATATCAATTGACCCTACTATATCGTGCTCAAAGTCCTAGTCGGCGTTCCTCTGAAAGATTGAAATCCCAAATAAGGCGGTCATCGTTACAGGTCGCCGTGGATCATTGTTAGTTCATCCTCTGGTGTCAACTCAAATTCATCATGAAGGCTGACATTGATCTATGTTGCACAATACCTAAGCTACGTCAATCTTTGCCTCCGCTCGCGGAAAGACATCTTTCTCGATGGACAGGCAGCCCTGCAGGATCTTCACGGCTTCAAGGATGCTGCCCCTTGCCTGATGCAAGTCTTCTTTTAGTTGGCTGATTGAGGACCGACAATCCTTGACCTCCTCTTCAAAAGCGTCCAGCCTGACTTGCCCCTCTTGATTTCTTTTCACAAGTTCCTCGGAGCAAAGCTGGGAATGTTCCAGTTCAACGGTCAATCTCCGGTTTTCATCTTCCAATCGCCGTATGGTCACTGTGAACGATTCAGACTCAGTATTGGAGATCTTGAACTATCATTGTCAGATGCTTTTTTTAATAGAATCATTTTTTGATCACAGGGTCACGTACCTCTGTCGCCGAATCGGTATGATGGTTCTGACCGACTGTCCGGATAATCTCTGGTGCTACAGCTTCGATCGATTGACCCAGCCCATCCATGATATCCTGATAAAAGCCGACTGTGCCGCTCGCCAAATTTCTGGTCAGTAGGTGCTGCTTAGATGCCGATGCAGACCATACATAGCCGTCTTGAATGGAAGGCTGTAGGCGAACCCTGCCAGGGGGAACCATTAGGCCCAGTCGTTCGTCTGAGTACAAGGTGATCAGCATGACTGTCGAATCTTCGTGAATTTCACAATAGGGACGTACAGATGTGGGCTACCAGAGCCTCACGGCATTCTTTCCTTCGCTGAGCGCGCCTTTCGTTGCTCGTTAAGCCCATCCGAACGTTAGCTCAGTGTTCCAGCCATGCTGCAGGACAAGCGAAAAGCTCTCCATATATACCTCAAATAAAGCAAATAATAAATTTTGCGCTAGAAAATAGAGCAAGTTGATAGCATTTACTGATGCATTTTGATTTAACCCTAGGGCTTCGATTATTGCGACCTGAAAGCAATTCTGTCAAATAATTGAGCATATTTTTCTGTTGTAAGCATTAACATAAGTTGGAGTTGAGCTCCGGCGGGTGTGACCGCCCATCAAATGGCCCAGTGTTTATTGCAAATCCATGATTTGATCGTTTCTCTGATAGTAGAAGTGAGTTTGTCATTGCAAGACGTTCGCAAATATTTCAAAAGCCTGAATCCTGAGGACACCTAGCCTTAAAAGCACCTTAAATTTCACACCTAGTCAATGTCTAGCCAGCCTTCTGTAGGTCCCATCACTTTCCTCTATTTCAGATTGCACCAAAGCAAAGAGCCATAATATAGGAAAGAACATCATCATCTAAGATAAATAGTCTTCATGATCCGGTCTATCGCTCTCGTCTACTTATTAACATTTTTACAATCGCGAATGGCGCAACTGTCCCGTAAGCGAAGACATCAGATCGACAGTGCTGTCGAGAGACACCCCCTTCGGAAGCATATGTCCGACACACGATTGGAGTTCACCATGGGGGTAGCCGCCAGCAGCTCGCAGCCACCAAGGCGCACCAAAACGAGCACCCGGATCAAGTCTTCTGACAAGTCACGCCGGGTCCATCTACGGCTGGTGCAGCCGGACCGGAACCAAGATGTTGCAGAAACTGCATGGTGGACAGATTCCAAGCTCGGGATCATAGCCCGCCCCCGGGTGGTGCACCCCCGGTTGGTGTCAGATCACGGACCAGTCGCGGTCGTAGAATTGAAGGATCGTGATGCGTGGCTGAAGTGCTTGCGACCCAGGGGTAGACCGCCAGCAGCCCTGATGCACGATGTTGGGCAGGACAAAGTGTAGGGTAAATCTCAAGGATGAAAATGTTACCCGCGAAACAGCTCAGTCGGCATGTATTTCTCGTTCTTGTTATTCTAATTGGAGTTGACAAATTGATGAGTGTCTTGGTGAAAGCTGGCACGGACTATTCGAGGCATTTAAGCCCTTTTTCATATGTAGCTTAATTCGAAATTGGCCTTGACGCCTTCCACGAAAAGATTCCATAACCCTAAGCCAAGACATACCATTCCTGTTGAGGCTAGTGGATCTGAGTCGGGTTCAACATCGTTAATCCAAGTAGTATAGCCACATCCGTCATCGTCCTAGCGTAGATTTCGAGATTTTTTCTTTCTGGCAAACATGAAACTCGATTTTGAGTCGAACTTCATATTGTTGCAGCACATTGTGCCTCTGGTGTATCTTGTATGAAGGTAACTGAGAGTCTAGGCTTGATCTTGCCATTGCAGTTCTTTGCGGCAATTTAATCTAGGCCGTTGGTGACAGAGAACGACAGAGGGTTACAAAGTGCACTAATCCTTGTTTCTTTTTGCTTCTAGGACAGACGAAAGGCATCATTAAGGAGGTGAACCGTGTTTACTATTGAACGAGCTGATACGCTCTTGTCTCAAGTCAGTGGCCATGATATTCGGTGCGCTCCACGTCCTATATAGCGTGCAACATTTATGGCCCAGTCCGTGGTGCTTATGATTTATCTTAAGGTGGACGGAAGTTCGGATGTCGAACATATTTGCTAAGCAATCCCATGCCACTCAAACATAGTGCATCTCTGAACATGTAATCAAGGTCAAAAAGCATATACCAATGGTATAGGTCAGGCATATATACTTTTCTGTTATTTTCTGTTCTCCACCACAGCATTTTAACATGTGGCACGCTGACTAATAAAACTTAAACTGATTAACTACATGATCCATTGTTCTGACAGTGCACATGCGTCTCGCGCTCTATCCCAGAGGGGTTCAACCTAGGTTCAACCCTGCTGAATTGCTAATATTACATATAGGGAGCTCATTCCTATGGAAATCTGAAAGTTGGGGTAGCATAATAAGGTACACAATCCTGCTCACCTTAATTGTTTAGTTATAATTACAAATGACTTGTTTTTCTTCCAGGGTTATTCTCATCAAACCAACTCACTTGGGGTACAGGGCCGCTCGAAATCAGTTTCATGTTTTGTTTCCTTTCTTTTTCTTCTTGAACTCTATTATGAAACACGCTATCCCTCATTCTATCTAGTGCATAATGACGGTGTGAAATAGTGTGTAACGTTTCAATACGGCGTTGGTGGAGCTATTACTTTCCTGAAATTTGAATACGACCGGTTAGATATTGGTCTGAAGGTTGTCTATCATGAGCGTTTCCTTCCGCAAGGGCTAATATAAGTCCCCATGGCATATTCGCACGCTTATTAAGGTTGGGGAGCGTGAACTCAAAGCAATCATTTCTAACTAATGAGAGATGTTAGGGACGGTCCGGTTCTTCTGTATCTCGATAGATCACCTAAAAGCGGGGTAAACCAAAGTTGGGCATTTGACGCTGACTTCCTCCTACCTTATTTCGAGTTCTGGCTTCCCATCATGGCCACTCATGCTTCTTACAATGGCGTCAACTCCGGAATCCAAGTCGCAAAAAACTATGGACCCATCACGGCGAATCTGAGTACGTACAGAATCGTGAACGTGATTATATGTAACTAATTTGGGTTTGCCGCAAGGTCAACCGGAAAGGTTGTTAGACCAAGCATGTCTGCGCGACCTACGAACGACCAACCCCTGCGATGATAAAGAGCGTATCAAGAAAACTAACGGTGGGCTACTCAAAGACTCCTACCGCTGGATTCTTGAAAACGCAGCTTTCAGAAAATGGCAAAATAACCAGAGCAATCGTCTTCTCTGGATCAGGGGTGATCCCGGCAAAGGCAAGACGATGCTTCTGTGTGGCATCATCGAGGAGTTGACACAATCACATAATGAGAGTGCAACTCTCTCGTTCTTCTTCTGCCAAGCCACCGATATGCGTATCAATAGTGCGACGTCCGTCTTACGTGGCTTGATATGTTCACTTATCGAGAAGCATCCATCACTTCTCCGCCACGTGCGAGCTCGATACGATTCTGCAGGGAAAGACCTGTTCGAAGACATCAATGCATGGAGTGCCCTCGTATCCATTTTCACACAAATCCTCGAAGACTCGTCTTTGAAGAGTACCTACTTCGTGATTGATGCTTTGGACGAATGTCGAGATGGTCTTCAAGACCTTCTGGATCTAATCGTTGAACACTCAACAGCCCATCAAGAAATAAAATGGGTTGTCTCCAGTCGTAACGAATATCAGATTACTGAGTGTCTCGACTCTGCTACACATGTAGCTCCGATCTCGTTGGAGCTGAATGAGACATCCGTGTCTGGAGCTGTAGATGCATTCATCCAACATAAAGTGGACTCTTTGGCCAAGCAAAAAAGATACGATGAGAAAATAACTGCAACTGTCAAACGCCACTTATTACGCAACTCACAAGGCACTTTCCTATGGGTTGCCTTGGTCTGGAAGAATCTTGACCAAACGCCAAGAAGGCATGTAATGAAGAAGCTTGAAATGTTCCCGCCTGGACTCGATAATCTTTACCGCCGAATGATGGGTCAGGTTCGTGACTCAGAAGACGCAGAGCTCTGCAAACAGATACTGGGCACTGTAATGGCAGTTTATCGCCCAGTCACGCTTAGCGAGCTAAGCTCCCTCCTTGCGGGGCGGAATGATGGCTTCGATGATCTTGACACACTCCTTGAGGTTATCGGGATATGTGGGTCGTTCCTGACATTACGAGAAAGCACCATCACGTTTGTTCATCAATCTGCGAAAGAATTCCTGACTAGAGAGGCATTCGCGGAGATGTTTCCCAAGGGCCTAGACAGTGAACACTACACTATCTTCTCCCAATGTCTGAATGTTCTTTTCAAGACACTTCGACGTGACATCTTTGACCTCAAATTGCCAGGCATATCCTCTAAGGATATTAGTGTGCCAAACCCAAATCCACTAGCACCCGCTGAGTACGCTTGTGTCTATTGGGTAGGCCATCTTGATGCTTGGAAGTATAACGCAACCTATAGACAGAGTTTGAAGGATAGGCAGATACTGGATAGGTTTCTGCAGCAGAAATACCTCCACTGGCTCGAGGCTCTGAGCATATTGGGAAGCCTTTCAGATGGCATACGCGCTATGAAAAGGCTAGAAAGTTTGATTGTCGTATGTTGCCAAGTCCGTGCCAACACGGAGTAGCCTGCTAATATAAGGTTATCTGCTGACAGGAGGAGAGTGAGTCAGATGGACTCTTGGAACGAGCTCAAGACGCCAGTAGATTCATTCAATATCATAAAACAGGAATCGAGAGCAGCCCGCTACAGGTGTATTGCTCACCTCTCGTCTTTAGCCCGTCAAAGAGCCTGACTGGAATAGCTTTCCGGGAAGATAGACCTGATTGGGTTTCAAACTATCCCATAGTGGAGAAAAGCTGGAGTGCTTGCCTTCAAACTCTTGAGGGGCATAGTGATTCGGTCGAATCGATTACCTGGTCGCCAGATGGAAGCCGACTTGCATCAGGGTCCCGGGATAAGACAGTCCGGATATGGGATCCAGCCACCGGCCAGAGCGTTGGTACTCTCGAGGGGCATAATGGCTGGGTCCAGTCAATTGCCTGGTCGCCAGATGGAAGCCGACTTGCATCAGGGTCTTGGGATAAGACCGTCCGGATATGGGATCCAGCCACCGGCCAGAGCGTGTCTACTCTGGAGGGGCATAGTGATTCAGTCGAGTCAATTGCCTGGTCGCCAGATGGAAGCCGACTTGCATCAGGGTCTTGTGATAAGACCGTCCGGATATGGGATCCAGCCACCGGCCAGAGCGTGTCTACTCTGGAGGGGCATAGTGATTGGGTCCGGTCAATTGCCTGGTCGCCAGATGGAAGCCGACTTGCATCAGGGTCAGATGATAACACCGTCCGAATATGGGATCCAGCAACCGGCCAGAGCATGTCTACTCTCGAGGGGCATAGTCACTGGGTCCGGTCAATTGCCTGGTCGCCAGATGGAAGCCGACTTGCATCAGGGTCAAGCGATAACACAGTGCGGATATGGCATCCAGCCACCGGCCAGAGCACGTCTACTCTAGAGGGGCATAATCGTTCGGTCCAGTCAATTGCCTGGTCGCCAGATGGAAGCCGACTTGCATCAGGGTCTTGTGATAAGACCGTCCGGATATGGGATCCAGCCACCGGCCAGAGCGTGTCTACTCTGGAGGGGCATAGTGATTGGGTCCGGTCAATTGCCTGGTCGCGGGATGGAAGCCGACTTGCATCAGCGTCAGATGATAAGACCGTCCGGATATGGGATGAAGCCACCGGCCAGAGCATGTCAACCCTCTCTACCGGCTTTACTAGCTTCGTCAAATTTGACATCGCCGATTCAAATTGTCTGCACACCGATGCTCGTACATTTTGCATAAGCTCAGTGGATGCTGTGACGCCTATGCATAACACTTTTACCCATCCTCCAAAGCAGTATGGATATGGACTTGGCGATGACCGTTCCTGGATAACCTATGGTGGACTCAACCTCTTATGGTTACCCTCAGAATATCGCCCCCTTAGTGTCTCTCTTTTTTCTATAGATGAGGCCAAAATAGCTTTTGCCTGTTCATCAAATCGCGTCATTTTTCTCGCACTTTCAAAACACTGTCCTATACCTACCCTTTGATTGCCGTTTCTCTTGATACATATTATTTTGATTTCTGTCATGCTTTTAATTACAATATCATGCCAATATATGCCGCGCGGAAGTTCCCAATGCTCATTCTAGCAATGCCTCTGTATGAGGTGCAAGTATTTGAGTCCTTCACATTATGATCACTGATCACTGATCAACACCCGCACTTTTCAGATCACCAAGAAACCACTCACTTCCCAGGAACCACTGTGGGTCAAAGTCACGTGCATTTCCTAATACCCCAGCATTCCCCGCGACTTTCGATAAAGATTCATTGCACCCGCTCACTGAGCAGGGTGAGCAGGGTGAGCATGGAAAACCCCCTCTTCTCCGTTGCATCAAAGATGCCAGGGGAACCCCTACAGTCTCGCTAAAATGGCCCCTCGACTTTCTCCATGCAAGCTAGAGATGATTCGTGATATGATCGAATGTGGATCCGTGACTATTTTACAGATGGCCACGGCTGCTGAGTGTAGCGAGCGCTCGATCGTCAATATTCGCAACAACCTCCGCTTGTTCGGTCATGCCCGGTCTCCGTCCACGCGTGTCGGCAGACGAAGAATCGTTACGCCACCCATGATTAAGGTGAAGCAGATCGGCGACTTACTAGTTAGTGATATCATTTGCTTACTTTGCAAGGAATGTTCTAGAACTTCGTGTCTTCTATCGTAGAGCACAGAATTCCTGTACAACGGAATACAATACCTATTTTTATCCGTATTATTGCTACTGTCATGGAATACGGAAAGATACCGGGTCAGGGGTAGTCTAACTATAATAGGTATAATGTGATGCAAGATAAAGTTCGAAAACTTTTTGAAAGAGAAAAGCCAGGTGAAGCTGATTTCGAGCGGCCCTGTAGGATCCGCTAGATGATCGGGTTCGACTTTCTTGCGCAGATTGTTGATGGTGACAGATTTGCTGCCTTTTAGTTCGGAGGGCATTTAAGGTCCTTCCATTGTCAAGCGCACTTCGCAGATTATGCTCACTTTGAGCTAACTCGTGCTTACTTTGGCGGTCATGCGCATGTTGAAAGTCACGCTCACCTAGAGCAAACGCATGCTCACTTAAAGTAGACATGTGCAAACCCCTGCCCATGGGTGCTGAGCCCATGGGTTTTAGTCAGCAACCCTGGGTTTCCCATGGGTCCCCATGAGCGGGGCCAGCCGCCAAAGATGCATAAATTTTTATGGAAACCTCGGAAGTCTGAATATTTCTTATTAATTTACATATCAAAAGATTCAGCATGTTGAACTTAGTCAAATTCATACTTTATCTAAAAATATATATTATGGTGGTGGGAGTACTGGTGTTGAGCCATGGTGGAAATATATATTTTCAACATGCACCAACTTTACAGATCTACATTGGTTACTTCCTAATTAGGAAAGGTTTTATAAGATTATATAAGATTATATAAGAAATATAACCCAATTAGGTAGTTCGATAGAAAGGATTCTAAGCTGATTAGGTAAGAACCTAGAAGGGATCAGCGGGGTTCAACCCCCAAATCGGGAAAGATAGACCCACTAACTTATTTCATAAATTCACCCAATATAGTAAGATATTCATAGATCCTACTTTATGGAAACCCATGGGGTGGGCATGGGCAGCAGTCCTGCCCACGTCCTATGGGCCGAAAACCCATCGGCCTATATGGGCAATTCCATGGGCAAAACCCATGGGTAATGCACATGTCTAACTTAGAGCAAACACATGCTCACTTGAACGAGGGACGAGCTTGATGATTAAGATTCCCTGACCGGTTTTTTCCTTGAAGACCAAATTCCACAAGTCAGATTTTACTTGAGAAATTATTCTGACGTATCCCGAGTCGTCCATATCTGGTAAGCCAGTGATAAGAATGTATTTCTGCTCGGAATCAAATGATAAAGTTGTTGCCGGTTTGTGGTTGTGCAAAATTTGCCAAAGTTGATCAATCATTGACTGACCAGATTCACCGTAGCCGTGTGTGTAGATTGAAACTGGTCTTTTCGTTTTGGATTCATTGTCCTGTGCAAAACCTCGAATTCAGGCTCATGCGAGGAAAGAAAAACAGAGCACCTTGTTCCAATGGGAGAAATGTGGTGGGCTTTTAATCAGTCCAAGAAGACGGGAAAAAAAGGCAGAATCCCGGCTCACCTCGGCAGGATAAGTGTCGTCCTGCAAGACGGCGGAAAGATATCTTAGTACGGACTAGTGCACTCGAAGTGGGGCTTCGGGAAACAAAGAAAGAGAGGTCAGAGGTACAGGTGATTTCGAATATCACTGTACGGATGATGAATAAAGCTGCAACCGGAGTTGTCACCAAGCTACCCATAGAACTGCAAAATGGTACATAGAGCCTCATGTTTTCTGTCAATAGATAACAAATCAAGTGTTCAAGATAGGACACCTTACTTTCCCATGTGGATCAAGGGCTGAACTGGGAGAATACCACCGACAACATCCATTGAAGGTGGAGCAGAGTCGTGATCCGTAGCAACAGTGCCAGAACATCACATTTACCTTCAAATTGGCCGTAGTCAGTGCTTCGGTATGAGCTGAAGCCCAAATGGAAGCATCATTTATCCCACATCGCTCGGTGGCTGGGTTTCTGGGAGTTCAACAAATCAATCATGTGCTCGTGTTGAAATTTGCGGGCAAACCAATTTCAACCCTCTCCCCCCCGGTTTGAGGACAAAAGATGAAAATCCCGCGCTATAAGATGATCAAATACCTTCACAACACGCTTTGAGGCCCTTCAACTAAAGCTTGCAAAGTCGCAACGATCCTAGCCTGCACAATGCAACACGTGAGCAAGATATTTCTGCGGCAGATATGGTGCCTCATGTTCAATCGCATTTCTATAGTTTGCTGACTGATTCTGGTGAATCGAGTAATGGTATAAAGCCCTCCTGCGAACACATTTGAAGCACCCAATACGCCTTCCTTCTCACCCTTTCCAACAGCAATGGCCACCCCCAATCACGTTCAACCGTCCTCGGCTGATGGGTCCGAGTTTGGATCATTCTACCAACCCTCCGAGAACGGGGATCCGTTCTCCGTTCCCATGGACCAAGATCCGGAGCATTGGCCGGTAAGTGAGGCCTGGAAGACGACTCTTCGGTATTAACCTGTCATGATAGGTCCCGCATTCGCCCTGCAATAGTCCACCCCAACTCGACCCTTTTCGACAGCCCATCCAAGAGGTGGTGCGGCATGATCAGGATGAGCCTGAGAATCCCCCAGCTGCGGATATTCTGCGACTCTATTCAACACTCTGGGAGTCATATAGTATGAAACAGGCTGAATTTCACCACCTGAAGAAGGAAAACGACATGCTCCGCGCGGCGAACCTTCACTTGTGTCAACAAATGCAGATTTCAGATCGTCAGTTTGCGAGTCAACAAGCCCTGCTGGCCCATTCCGAACAAGGATTTGGGAGTTTTCGGAAGGGAGTAAGAGCACTGCTCGAAGGTTGGGATGGCTGTCCTAAGTCGAAATAATTCTCGTATGCGTAGGAAGAAATCACAAAGATATCAAGATTCAGTTTGCCTTGTATTCCGTCTCGATAGTCTATACTACTAAATCTGCTAACATCGATGAACCTATACTCATTTGGCTAAGAACAGTGACCGAACTATTGTTGGTCTCAATTGATCTGCGTCACCAAGCGTTGGAATCACCAGACAAGTATCGTGTAAACAGTGAATGAAAGAGTATTCAGGCTCCTCAGCAAGCCTTGAGTTATTGATCTGTGTTAATTTATCTTCCGGCCAGGATTCAAGATACCCCTTAATCCCATGCGCCAACATTCGGCGGCCACAACGTCGGAGCCGCAGCTCCGGGCAAGAATGCGCACATCAAGCAAGGGATGTGCTCTCTTAATGATTAGCGGTGGGTTACTGCTACCTTGTTTTGACAGCAGGAACCAAGTAACTGATCAATTAGTCAAGGAAGTATGGATTTGTTGGTACTGCCACTTGATTACTTGTACTACCTATAGCTTGAATTGGTGGTACTAATAATACTATGATAGCTGCAAACATAGCTAAATTTCCTAACGATTCATTAATCGGCACTTAGTGTTGTAATATCTTTTGCTTCCTATATGCCAAACACATCTCATGGACTAGAGACAACAAATGTTGCCTATGAACTATTATCAGTATCCGGCAGAGGGTCGTGTTTCTTCATGATCACCTTCCACCCCTGGGTAATCCACTAGTGGAAACATAAAGCATAAAGCACAGACAAGAATAAGGTAGGAGACAATGATGTCACCCTCAAACGAGAGTTCGCAGCCATTGTTAGATGTAATACCGTTGACGTATAATTTATGCCAATTTAAAGTACTAGTACTGTAGCTGTTTATGACTAGGATTCGGGCTTATTCAGTGTCTGAGAAACAGGAACTGGGCTAGACCTTGATCGGCTTTCGTACTCTACTCAACGAAGGAAGGTAAACGCTGGTTGATCAAATTATCATGAAGCAGCCTATATTAGTGTGGCCAAGACCGCCATCATGCTCAGAACTCCGTGGCAGGGATTTGCCCCCCGCCAGGGGACGTTGTGATTGCAGAATGAGCTCCATGTCACATACGGCACTGATTGTGTCAGGGAGCTCCATTAAAATCTTTATTGGCAGGTCTCGTCAGTTCGCAAAGAGACAAGCAATCCCCGGGATACGAGGGCAAGGCAAATTTCGCTTCCAAACTCTGGGCAATACTGATCCACCCCCAATTCCAATTGGAAAGATTGATTAGTTCATCAACTATGAGATCAAGCAACGCCCTTGGCCTCAGCCAAGTTAACCCCATCGGACCTGGGGGAATATACTGTACCTCATCAATGACTCTGTTTAAAGAGAAGCGGTTGAGTTTAGCGACGAGTGAGCTGAGGAGTAGTTTCAAGGCTTGCGTGTCGAATTTTCCATTTCCAAAAATTTGGCCTCGTAAATATCCGTGTGTGATATGATGACGCTTCGTCTGTGAGCCCACCAAGATAATCGTCCAGGCCACCGGTATATCTCCCTGTATAAACAAATTTGAATTCGCTCTGAACGAGGACTGAATCTCTCGAGTCCATTTGAAGCTCACCAGATGAATCTAGAGGCAATGTTATTGTCAATTTCGGATGGGGATAGTTAAAGCAGAAAATCACCATGATGGGAAATGTATGGATTGTTACCCAATTGCCGTCTTCACAGATCCGAGTTATGTATCTCGAGGCGGGGCAAAGAACAGCTTTATGTGCGTGCAGGACGAATTCGCCACAGATGACGCTCAGGTCGCTGTAGATCGAATTGATAGAAAGTCTACTGTTGTGTTAGCAAGTAACTCAAAATCAGTGTTTGAAGCGGTGAAGTGGGTTGCTGACTCTTGGACGGTGCAAGGGATATCTTTTTGATTAATGAAAATTCCATCCGCAACCATCTTTTACTTTTCTGGGATTTCTCGGACGTCAGAAGAGAAGGTTCGGTTTCATGATAGGCTGAATTGCTATCGAAGAAGCTCGGTACATGACGCGTTACCTACCGAATCTAGGAAGGACTGATTCCAAGCTCAAGATTTCAACCCACGCTCAGGTCATTCGCCGGACCTGTCATGGAAAGAAGAGAAGAACAAGCAGTGTAATGAATATGGATATTGTATTGTGTCTGTCTAGAGAGAGAGAGAGAGAGGAACAAGAGAGACGCAGCCTGCTATCTAGAACAAGAAGGAAGCACATGAAGCCGGCAAAGACCGGCGATCATGTTGATCAAGTGCTCATGATAATGAAGCTGTCAAACTGATTAATCAAATGAATAGAAATTGAGCTTACATTGAATGCACACGATGTCATAGTTTTAAGCCTATATTATTTGATTTGAACTATCCAAATGGCACTCCCTTCAATTTACAACATAATTTATGATTAGCAGATAAGAAATTTTATCACTTTTCTTCAAAAATTCAGAGACAAAATCGTTGCAGATCAATTCATTGAAACAGAATTCATTGGATTAGCAAGATCGATACCACCCATGATAATAAATATAAAGCCTCCTCTATTTTTCCTTGCGATAATTTAGAAAAGCATTAGTTAGGAAGGATTAGCCTGAATAATCATGCCACGCAGGTTGAGAACACGAGAGATCAGAAGACGTCGATCAGAATCCTCACATCAAGCGGTGATCGAACGACATGAACGGAATATCTCAGACTATAAGGATCAGTGCTTCAAGGGACCAGCAGTAGTACGCCTGTCTGACCTTTCGACAGGACAAGACTGTTGGCATTTAACAGACGACGGAGAAAATGTGACGCGCATTTCCCGGATTCATGAGATTCAAGGCTGCCTTCGCTTGGGTAAACAATTCCGTGTACCTGTTATAGTGGAGAGATCGGATTGGCGCTCGAAAGTCTTCCAGGAAGAGCCATCCTTGGTCCCAGATTTGAATCTTCCGCAATTAGGGACGAGCCAAGACTATTCTTTCCACGCAATGGATAATTGCAGTCTCATAATTGCGGCCCAGAAAAGGTTCAGGCGACTTGGCGCTCATGAACCATGGTGGGTGATAGATATCTATGTCACAAGTGATGATGGTCAGTTGATGAATCCCACTTCGTAAATTAAAACAATGGATTTGACCAGCCTACGGTACAGATAGCGATGTCTCTCTTCGGACTGAACTTCAACGTACGCTTCAAGAAAACTTTCTGAATGAGCATCGGCCATCGGATGGTAAGATTTATCGCAATATTCGTTTTTATCAGGGGGTTTTGACTGGGGTTCCCAACAAGGTGGCAGAAGATTATTGGTGGGCCGTTTTGGAGGCCGAGCCTGGCAGTCGTAAAAGAGATTATCTGCGGACTCTTCCAGAGAGTCTCCAAGATGGGTTCGATTGTCTCTTGCCAATAACCGGGATCTGGGCAGGTATGAATATTGGTGTTCTCCATAAACTGAAAGCGATGAAATGCGACGAAGTAAATATATTCAGGAATTTATTCGCTCTCTTGTCTGATCTGAACATTGCTGAATATTGCATATTTAGCCGCTGATCTGTTATCTCAAACATATAAGAAAGACATTTCTTAGACTTGTTGATGGAAATGTTGATCTCTTGTCGAAGATTGACTCATCAACGGTCAAGTTTATCAAGTCACGAGCCCCGAAGGTCTCCCCCCAGGATCTGGCAGATATGCAGGAGGAATGGGACAAGCATAAATTGTTCTGCTTCATGGATGAACATCATCGTAAAGCAGCTTGGGAAAGGTTGAAAGAGATAGACTTTTTGATCCCCACCCTTGAGACTTTTTTCCAGGATGTTCTATTTCTCGATGTTGGCCGAACAGTCTTGAGACAATTGTGTTTGACACCACCAAAAGGAGAAGGCACAATCGACCAGACCCTGAGAAGCCAATATACAGGATATCCCCCTGCTTTCTTGTCAAGAACATACTGGGATAAAATGATCGTTGATGGAAGCCTATGTGACCTCTGGAGGTTCAGCCTTCAATATGCCTTTGAAATGACAAATAAGAGAGACCACCATCGCCGTGTTCCACGAAAGCATAAAGACAAGACACGTGCCATAGAGTTAGGCTTGAATGAATGGCGAGATAGAGATTCATTATCACTTTTGCACCACTTTCTTGCACTAGCCTCGCGCCATGAATTTAACGTTCCATTTCGGGAAAACTATGTATCTACTGAGATTGAGCTTTCCAGCCCACCGCCCTATGACTTTCCTCCTGAGGCTGAAGGTGATGTTGATATTGAGCGACGATGCGGTAATCCGTTTACCGACTCCATTGACGCTGATATTTTTGCTCTATCAAGAGAGGCATTGAGAAATGATTGGTCAGAGCAGAGGGTCAGTGCGTGCTTTGTACGTCGGTGCGTCTTTCTGGCTTTCTTTTCTTATCTCATCCCCGAAGATACCGATAGACAAATCAGCGGTGTCATGGGACCGGTATATGACGATACCACCATAAATTTGGAGGGTGATATCTCAAGTCTATCAACTTCGAGTTCTCCAGATATTCAGTCTATGTGAGCCACTCACCATCTATAGTATTAGCTGTGGGAACAATTTCAGAAAATGGGTTTTGAAAGGCAATTTGAAGACAATAGTTCCGGTCATGATCAAACGAGTCATTTGACGAGGTTAGTGCACCGCTATAGATAAACTAGGGTCAAGGCCAAACGTGCATCATCAGAATACAACAGGCTGTTTTCGAGAAGGTCTACTGATGCAAAACCTAGCATCATGATAGGTCTTATTACGGGAGTAAACCCGTTTGGATTGAAGAAGTGCTTAGCGCACAAGCGGTAGTCAAAACCATGTCTTTGTATCTTCAAGCATGCTATTGAGCACTAGACAGAAATGGTGATCGATCGTTAAGCTATGTAAATCAATCCGAATGGAGAGGAAGAGTATTGTTGGGTACAGACGCGCTCAAAATCAGCTTAGCGTGCTTACTTTACTCGGTTCTTTCCTTAACCCAATACTAAGCTATGTTCAATCATGTAAATACGGGCTGTATTTTTGTGGAGTCCAGTGGGTATTGACCTAGCATTATATATACAGGTCCAACTCTATTGCACAAATACTGCGTATCAGGCTAACAGGAATATGCCTTAGATTCATATCTTGCAATAGTTCAACGACTATATAAAGAGAGAAAAAAAGGCAAGGCATACTTCAACCGTGTCTGCACTTGGTAATTAAATCCAACGCGCGGCTGGCTTCCATATTCGAGACGAATTCCACTGCCGTTTCCACTCTTGCTCGACCTGTGCCTCCCGAGTGCGCGAATTTTCTAGAGCCTCACGTAATATCCTTGCTGCTTCTTGAATTCTCATTGTATCAAAATATAGGACCTCGGGTTCAAAAGGGTTCTCTGAGGTCAACTTTTCTAACACCTCGGTTGTGGATGCAAAAAGCTCATGTAGTATTTCTCGACAAGACCGATAGAACAGATTCTCATTTTCTTGTTGCTCATATTGGCGAAGTTTTTCTATTTTCAGCTCCTGTAATGACCGGCTGTCTCCCACTTTAGAGCACTGTAATCGAACGCGTGTAGTCTCCAGGGCCATGGTAGAACCGCGGGCTAAGGCAATTTGGTGATCCAATGAGTTGATTTCTGGAAGATCATGACTTTTTGCATATGTGGCGGATGACCTTTTCGTAGCTAAGAGCTTTGGAGTTTCGGGAGACCTGCTATAGACGCTTGAAAAAGACTCGGTAGAAACACGCCTCTCAGTGTTTTGCAAGACCATTGCAGGTGTCTCAATGACAATTATATCTAGCTTAGTCAGTCACTAGCTCTTTGGTTTCAGAAGGCTACTGGGCTCAAGGGAGCTCCCATGCTTGCATTTGTTTCCAGACAAACTTATAGGGAGAAAGTCGACGTCGTTGTACATCAAAACAATGACTGATATTTTATGCATATGATATACGAATCTTCATTTGAAATCTGCTTATTCTGGGATTGAACAGAGGGATGTTAGTTGCGGAAGGATTCCAGTCACTTTTTAATGTCGACTAAAGGGGGGATTATTGAAGGATGCATCATTTTCCGTTGGAAGTGGCTGAAGTTCAATCATTAATTTTCTATGAGAATCAGGTCCCGACAATGAATGAGAACATCATGAGGAGATGAAAAGGTGTCAAATTTCAATATAGGCCATGGATTATTCTGAATGAACGACACCTTAATTTTGAGGTGCTGCTTGCTCAATTTTTTTTGAGGTTCCAGCATAGATCACTAGCCCGCGTCCTTGAGCTGCCTCGGAAGGTTATACTGGTGGATATTGGGAGGCAATCACAAAAAGAAGTATATTGTCTGAGTTCGAAAAGTATATATTCCAAGATTTTACAGTATTTAAGATAGAAATTCTCGCCTGGAAGATCTCTGCTGCTAACTCATCACATTAAAATGGCTGCTTGGTTGGATCTAGCCGTAGAGGCCACTGGCTGGACCTTAGCTGATACAGGGCGGTTAGAAAGCCTTGTGGATAGCATGGGACACCCAAAGAGTCAATATCCTTCGCTTGTATATTTTGTCGGCAATTCGTCTCGCGCTAAAGCACTCCGGGCTTTGTTTCCGTACAATAATATTACTCGCAAAGGACCTGCTAGCTTCATTAAGCTGCATCTCAGTACAGAAACAGCCAATTATAAGCATCCAGTCCTATTTGCGGAGAGCAGCTTTTTGGGGGACTCTACGTTAGCCGAAAAGGGTTTCTGTCAATGGCCAACTGAAAAGCTCCAGCATTATCCCATTCAGAGCAATTTATCATCTACGAAGGATATTAAACAGCACATTTTGTCCAATTTTGTTTTGCCATGGACCCATACGTTGTGCTTTCTTCTAAATAAAGCTGGAGATATAATGAAAGTACGCCAGCTTCTGGAGAGGCCTCGCCGCAACGTCAAAGTTGGCACGCAGATTATTCCCAACTTCTTGCAAGTAATCATTGTTTTGGAGAAAAGGTTAGACGGTCATGATGAAGCGCTGAAAGAATTGATTCTTTGGTCAGGAGAACAAATGACACTCAATATCACTCTTTTGGATTTGCGTGAGCGACATATGCTGTCTCCAAAGGCGGCCTTTGAGCCACTACGTCGTCTCCTTCTGAGTCATCTTAGCTTAGCACAGTCTAAACGGTTCGAAAATGGTTTGCTATTTTCCGCAAAACACTTATGTGCTTTTTGGAATCATTCCCTGCAGCTGGGGATCGGAATGTTCGAGAATTCTGCCCTAGACTGCCTTGCAATTGCACGAGAATGCCTTCAGCTGCACCTAATTTCCCCACTTCATATATCTAATTTCTTAACCGAAGCAGACAATTGCGACTACGAGAATGAGGATATCTCTGCTTTCATCGCATCTGCATTTTTAATGAACGCCTACCCGCCTGATATGCACCGTATGTGAAATTTGGCCCATGCTCTTCACAAACATCCATATCAAATGCTAACTCATGTCTGTTCAAGTGTTCAATCCTGAACACGTTTTTAGACAACTTTACGAAGAGCGATTAGCGAATGCTTGGAAGACAACGTCAAAATTGCTTCCAGTCAGCTACAATCAATCTATCTTGACATATTTCACAGATCTTTGCGATAGTGTGGGCCCAAAGAACTCACCAGCGACGATCAGAAGATCAATCCTTTTGAAAAATTTCAAGTTATATGGAGGCTTATACTCAACCACATCGTGCTTCTTTTGTCTGTGCAAATATCCCGAACATATGATGCCGTGTCATCATGCAATTTGCGATACCTGTGCCGTAATATTCGGGAAGCCTAGCAAATTCGCAGAATACGAGTTTGATATCGAAAATTGCCCCTTATGCGACCAACAGTTTGAACTGACCATCCGTCAACTTCCTCCTACAAAAGGACCAGTAATCTTGACTTTAGATGGTGGTGGAATTCGTGGAATTATACAACTGGGTCTTCTCCGCTGCTTGGAGAAGAAGATCGGTTGCGGGATTTTGCTACCTCAAGTAATAGATTTATTCACGGGAACAAGTGTTGGTAGGTAAGAAGCACAGACAAGAGGTCGAATCCATGCCTTCTAATTCATTTATCCAGGTGCTTTAAATGCCATGGACTTTGTTTTCAACAAGTCCTCTGCGGAAGACAGTTTCCAAAAGTTTCCTGAATTTGCTCGTCAGATATTTGTCACCTCCAGTCCGACAGCAGTGATCTCACTCCTAAAACAAAATTCTTGGGTAAGGTATTTAATAGGATTCCTGTCGGACGGGCAGTATGATGAGGAAAATCTTGAAAATATTCTTAAGAGCGCTTTGGGGTCCGATCATCGACTTTTTGACTTTAAAACCACTTCGTGTACAAGCAGTCGAGTGGCTGTTATCACAAGTCGAATATCAGATGGTAAAGCATGTGTCTTAGCCAATTATCGTGGCGTTGGTATGCGGAGTACCAAATCAGCCTATCAATTCCTTATCCCCCAAGCTTTAGATCAGAATCCCTTTTTATGGGAGGCGTGAGTCCTATTTCAATTACTTCTCACCGATCGACTCTCAATAGACACGGTACGCCTCAGTTATTTCCACCTGTATAAGCTAACATCTTACTTTAGCGCGCGGTGCAGCGTTGCAGCTCCATGGTAAGAAATTAAGCCTTCTGTTTGATCACTTAGACTGATTATAAGACAGGTTTTTCAAAACAAAATCACTCCCTGGATTCGGCTCTTTGCAAGACGGAGGTGTAAGGGCAAACAATCCTTTATCCATTGCTCTTAAAGAGTCTGTAGTGATTTGGCCCGAGGCTGAGAGGCACGATCTTCTTGTTTCAGTTGGCACCGGATCGACGGATAATGTCAATTTGGTCTCGGAGGATAATCCATGCGGAAAGGGTTTGAGGGACAGTGCCCTGCCTCGCTTGATACGAGCAGCTATGGCATCTCCATCCATGGATGGCGAACAGGGCTATTTCGAAGCCCTGAACTATGTACCTGATCACATGAGAGCCGATATCTATCGCTTAGACCACAAAATTCCCGACGCTCTACCCCGGCTAGACGACGTAAGCAAGTTAATGAAGCTAGCTGAGTCGGATTTCGACGTTCCTGATACTCTAGTCCGCGCCATCCTGGTAACAGGGTTTTTCTTCTTTGAACTCGACGAAAGACCCGTTCTAAGGCAGGGGATGTATTACTGCAATGGTTCAATTCTTTGCAGAAGTCAACAGTCAAAAACGGTGATTGATAGAGTACGAACAGAATTTCCCGGAGGCCAGTTCCGGATTGCAGGTGGCGATCGCTTAGGAATTATCGATGAGGATGACGGATGCAGTGAGTGCGGCTTCTATCGAAAGACAGTAACCTTTACCGTGACCAGCCTAGAAGAATTTTTTACGATCGAGGCTTTCAATTCTTCTTTCCAACAGAAGATCGGTGGTTTTCCTAAGTCTGCTCGGCAATTTCTTGCCGATCAGCAGGCGTTGAATTGCTTTGGTCGTACTGACCACTCCGTAGCTTCGTGGCCACCACGGAGGTCATGTTTCTGCATTCATGAAACAAGAAGGCTGGTGCAGTTTTTGGAGCCTCCTCTTTGTAATAAGAGACGTCGGATTGGATAATAGGAAGCGGAGATGTGATATAAGTCCCATTTGGGCAGGATCTTCTGTTCTACAACATTCCTTAAGACTAAGACTGAAATGGCCCCACGGACGCACGCTTACTCAAATTTAGTGCAATTTATTGAAAAAAGATGAACAAAGAACCTGGATAAATTTCTTGTCTGACTTCGAGTAAAAGAGGCCTAAAAACCGATGCAGTTGCGCATTTCCCACGTTCCAGCCAACTCCTTCCGAACAATGTGCCCTTTCGCACTGTGTGTTCAGCTGACTACTTATAAACTACTTATAAACGCCAACCTGAACCGCCATTTATGCATTTTTGATTGTTATTTTTCTCGAATACTTAGTTCCTATATCTTGAAATGTCTACGGTCTATTAAAGAAACTAGGGGTAGAGAGTTCTATCCTTAGCAGTTTATTGCTCAGCCAAAGCATGTACCCGTTATCCTTCAACGTGATGGCTATCACCTAGCTATATATAGGCCTACGCGCCCTCAAGACCGTAAGAAAACCGGCTGTTTATATGAAGATATTACGATACAGTACATGTATATTGACTAGTTTGTTAGTTGGTGCTCCTATTAGTTGGTACAGTATCACCCAAGCATGGTCATGAAGTCTGTATGATTGGTAAGTCACTTCTGGGAATATGCCCTCTTCGGTACGAAAATGAAAAATTGGGAACAATTGGGTGAAGTCGTATAGAAGATGGAATTCAAAGTCCATGTAACATTGAGAAATATAAGGATATAATTGGCTTTCAATTTTTGTAGGAGTGTCGCATATTTCAAGTTGATCCTAAGACGCATTGAGGAAAATGTCACATCAATTTTGGATTAAGGCCAAAGTTTGATCACACAAATAACCGATCCCATATCGATTCCGGGATTCTTCCATGCAGTACCCTACGACGAGTAGCCTTCGCTGTTGGATACACCCCACCCCTGGGTGATGGACCCCGCCTGAGCAGGATGGCATTCAAATACATCAGCCAAGATAAAATTGCAGTACTTGAAGACTGGAATTTGATTTTCCGGCATGCTTCCGCAGAATTTTGCTGGTCTTAGCTGGGCCCAGAGTTAAAACAGAGTCACTTACACGAATGGCAGGTATGTATGGCTAATTTTATTGATTGAAAGGGTTTGATGGATTTGATGGATTTGGTGGATTTGACTGATTTGATGGATTTGGTGGATTTGATGGATTTGATGGATTTGATGGACTTGATGGACTTGATGGATTTGACGTGTCCGACTGCGTTGTCTGTGTTTACGTTGATGACTTCTTTGTCACTGCCGAGCACCCACACAAAACAGCCTGCTTTCTAGATGAATATTTGCGGGTATCTCCAAACTTGCAATGGAATTAACCACATGATTGGGAGGGAGATTCAAGTCTAATCGCAAACAAGCTGGGCATCGACATCAATGTAATTTGGAGTGTGGTAGTATGGAATACATTCTCAATTAATCACTTATCAAGCAATGCATGAAGTTAAAGTGTGCCCTTTCATGATGGCTATTTTCTTACTAAGATCAATACATTCTGGATACCTGGGATCAATGATATGTTTAGCCATAGTGGAGAACTGCTACAGTCGATAGCGAAATCAGCTTCCTCCCTAAAGACGGCTTTTATTTTCTCGGGCCCCACTGCCAGGCACTAATATCTATTCAACGGGCATCAATAAAAAGTCGACAGCTTAGTTTCCTTATTCTTGCTGGAGGGCCGGAGCATAGTAGGCTCCTTCATACTGTACATTCAAGGGGAAAGCATTAATTACACTTCGAATATATTGAGATCGTGGACATTCATCCAAGAGGTACAGATAACGCTAAGGTTTCCGATCTTCGTCACTTATTGGACAGATGCTATGTTATCGTCCATGCTTGGAGTAACGAGCCTTGAGGTAGGTACAGACGCGCTCGAAATCAGTTTCACCTCTTTATTCTCTTCTCAAACTCTACTTTGCATGACGCCATTCCTTTTATAATTAGTCTACCCTGACCCACATTCTTGGCAGTATCTTTCAGTACGGTAATTAATAATGGCCCGAAAATAGCTAACGTAATCGGTAAGCTCGCGGCCAGTGTAAGCATGCGGCCAGCCCCAAAACACCTAGTAAGAATGATAAATTACACCTTCATTTCTCAACCACAATAAGTCAGAACAAATTTATATAGCAGTATGTTATCGAATATCTGTCTCCAGATGAACCTAGCCAGTTTTAGAGTACCCCGAGCTGTGGCAGTTCAGTTATATCAATTTTAAAGCATTTGATGAAAATTACAATGTATTGTTGGTAAACGCAACGAACATTTCGTTTAAGGGGTCCAAAGTTCGGGCTATCACTGCAAATATGGCTAATAGCTCATACTATAGACTTGAACTAGATTTGATGTTTTGTGGTTCAGATATAGGATCTACTTTACTATGTGTTTTGGGGCTGGCTGCATGCTTACACTGGCCGCGAGCTTACCGATTACGTTATCGTATTAAGTGTATGAGCTATGCCCTGTCTAAAACTTAGAGATACCGACCTGCAAACAAACCAAACAAAATGGTTGGCAGTTAAGGCCACCTGTCACTTGTCCTTGGTCAACCACGTTCACTCCACCGAAACCGTGGACGAGCGAATACATACGTACATACGTAGAGACAATACTAGTGGGATAAAAATTTTTGACCAATCTATCTGCACTACGATTTGCTGGATTCTCCGCGCTCCACTTCTTATTGAATCCCGAATGAGCAACATGTGCTGAATTTTGACTGGACTAGGAGATTGAGGACGATATTTAACCACTCCTATCTAACAGCGATGGACCTCAAGCCTAAGACGCCGATATCTCGGATCAGGGTGCCCAATACGCCTCTTCGTCAGGATTTTATGAACCCACAGTACCTCACAACATCTATTCAGACCCTCACCGGGTTGCCCCCAGGACAGTGCCGAGCCCTTGCTCTTTACCCAACCAGTACCAACAACCTAGCACGCATAATTGGGTTTCCATCCAGTGGAAATTCAAAGTGAGTCACCGGTCGACGTCACAGGATACGGACCAAGCGTTAGCCCTGATTCAAAGCGCTTAATATTGGCCCTCAAGGAGGAGACTGCAAAGGGTCATCGAGGACGAATAAGAACGGGTCACGTGAGGCATGCATCATTGTGTCGATCAATGGCCGCAAGCAACAGGACCTGAAAGGCGATTCAATGGGTTTAATATTGACTAGACTGTTGATGTGGCTGTGATTGCAGAATGCCATCCCAGAATATCTCAAAGTGCCGCCGCTCTTCAGGAAGTATGTCTTCAATAGAAGAAATGACAGTAGATTCCTTCGTATGGACCTGGGGTTTGCTTGTCATGGTGAACTCTAAAGCTCGGTTGCAGATTTCAAGACAGCGTTCGATGGATCTTTTTTCCCGTGCAGCCGTGCCTTGTATTCTGGACGTCTCTTGGACTAGATATCCGATGACTGGGTTCTTTAATTGTTCTTCCAGGTCCGATATAGCATCCTCGACCATGTTTCGATAATTCCAATCTACCCCGCTCTCAGGTGATCCAATCCAGAAGCAAAACAATCCGCCATCTTACCCTAATCCTCAAACTTCTTCAAACAAGACGAATTGCTTTATAATTGCCGTCACCAATGACAAACGTATAGATACCCCATAGCACATCACGTTGGCTCTAGTGGAAGGAAGTGTACTCATGATAAACAACATCGAAAAAAACTTTCAACACACGTATTCAAATGTCAAGAAAGTTACAACCCCAGCGACAGCGTATCTAATGTTACAACCACACTTCATGTGTCGTACTATGCTAGTACGAATTAGGATTAGCCTGTTTCAGAAGAGACTTCAAGAAAGAAAATAAATAGAAAGAAAGGTGAGCGACCACTCGCTGAAGAAGAAACTCCGAATCGAGGTAAAGGCGTGATTTCAAAGAAACTGTCTCTGGGAAGATACCGCTATATCTAGTCAAACTTTATGCCTGCATCTTGCCTAGCTACTGGACAAATACTGCTACACTTGATCTGGGATCAAACTGGGGAGGCGATAAACAGGCTACCACAACTGAATACAACCGGTACACATGCACTGAGAGTAAGCCACAGTCTGCAAGGAAATTTAGAGGCCCTTGACCGTTTTCGGGGCCTGATCACCGTTAATGCTGTCAAGCTGTTCCTGTGACGTCTCAGCGAAAACCAGGTTGTCTGTCTTTCCGCCGTCTCAGCCCCGTACAGGTTGTCTAGTGTGCCTCTCTCACCTGCTTTGGAGCACAATGGACTCACAGCCTCCACTCTTAACTTACCCCTTATTTCCTTGAGTGATGGGCAGTTCACCAGGAAATGAGTATGTATCTTTCATCATCACAGCATCACATGCGCGGCGCTGGCCGGCCAAAAACTTTTATGTCACAATTATCATCCAAAATAGCATTCTCATCTGTTATGGGAATGATAGGGAGCAATTGCGCAATTTCTTGACTACTGACTCCGGCTGAATCACGAGGAATCCAAAGCAGCGGAGGTTGAGGGTTGAAAAGAGGGTGGCTACAGATACCGTCCTCCCAATTTGTGTTATACTCGGTTTCATCAAGTGGATGAGCAAAAAAATTTCTAAGAGCTCGATGATCTTTGTACTGATCTTGATTCAGCCACGGTGCGAATATGGCCTTCAGAAAGGTATTCATCGACAAGAGGGGAGAGTTTTTGACAAATAAGCCCTTTTCTAACGTGTTGCTGCGATGCTGACTAGGCTTGATTTCACCAGGTTTACTATTCATTGACTCATTCCACTCTTTGAAAGAGGTTTCATGTTTTGTAACAATGCTCTTTGGTAGGTAATCAAGAAGGGGCTCCATGGCTTTAGTCATCGATATATGATATAAGATAATCAAGACCATGTAGAGAATCATGAGAACCAAGGGCCCTACAGCGACCTGGTTAGTAGTGGATGCGAGGGCAAATATTCCAATTAGGCAAAACATAAGCAGGTAGCAACCGGCCGTGAGATGTTGCAGGGCGCACATATAGCTCTTTCCTTGGGTGTCAATACTTGCATTGAATACATAGAGCATGTTGTAACGATAAGCAAAGTAGAACAGGTATAGACCAATAGCAGCAAACCCCAGGGTTAGTGGCGCAATGCAGGAATAGATTATTCCTGGTGATTGTGAGATTAATTGTGACGTTAGTAAGATGAAATGTGACTTACCAATTACAGTCAGCAACGTAAAAGTCGGATACAGAGAGCCCCACTGGAGATCGGGTAATCCTGAACAACGAAAATACACTTTGCGAGGGGTATCATCCAAAGTCTTGGCCAGCACCCTGTCGAATACTAGTTTGGTACTCTGAAGAAGAGCGCTAGCGCTGAAGGATAGGCCATGCAAGATAATGTATGACATATAAAAGTTAGAGGTTCTTGGAATCTTCCGAGCGAGCATTTTAGCCACCGACGAAGGGTCTTTCAATATAGCGGCGACTATATCAGTGGCAGTCGAAGCCAGAATGACTACTAGAAAGACCTGGACAATCTGAAAGGCGAAGTAGAAATTTTGAGTTAAAAGCTCCACGGAGGATAGGCTGAGCACACCGCTCCACTTGGCTAAAGCTACAAGATTTCTGGTCAGCAACGGAAAAAAAGCCTGAGTCTCTGCTTACATCGGAAGAATCTAGGCACCAGCGCCATGAGAGCAGAGAGCAAGAGACTTGGCAAGAGACTGCTAATCGTGCCTCGGGTCCATTCTGGGACGATTAATCTTAAGTATGGAATTTCATCCATCAATGAGTCTAGATTTGAGATAGAGCCCACAAAAGATGTCGGAATGGCCCAAAATATAATCAGAATGCAGACAACCGTAGTCATGGTCCAGGATCGTAGAGTACGTTCCCACCACGTGAGGCGAAAATTGGCCCAGACTATCTGGGAAGGATCGAGGTTAATATAGCGAGGAGCCATACGCTCGGGACTGTGATGTAATACTGTACGCAAATTAAGATTGTGTATTTTCCCGGGGTATTCTGAAGCTCACGTGTCTGGTATGCGACCTGCGCATCGGCCTGTCGATAAAATTCGACGAAAGCAACGGAAAGAAGCTGAGTCCCATTGCAGTTGTGCTGAGCGTTGAGCTTTTCGATCTCCATATTCAGACGAGAAATCTCAGATGTGGCCCAGTCAATGGTATCAACTTTTTTTCCAATTAAAAAACTGAGGCGATGCGCGGGGCGGTTCTTGGCTGGGACCCAATGCGCGGCAACAGACGCATTGTTAGCGAAGCTGGCAGTATCATGATGAGCGGGCAACCGAAGGCCTTCCTTCTTGGACGTCTTATTTTGTGCTTTATTTGCCATCCGAATAAGCTTAGTTTCCGCTGCTTCTAGCTGCAGGGCTATCTCTTTGCGATTTTTCACTTTTTCTTCTAGGTCAGTAATATCGCGCGCGAACCAGACGTTCTTGATCTTCTCTTGACCAAGAAAACAACACAGATCGCTCTCATTCATGAGGGATTTGGGTACATTCGTAAAGATTACCGTACGAGATGAGATCCGATTGGTATAGGCGGGTGACGTAAGGTAGGTTTGGCGTAAATTGATGCAAAAAATAAATTCACGGGTGATTACGACGAAGATAAATCCTGCAAAGCATATAGTCAATTCTTGTGTGCATATATTCTTGTGGGGAAGAACATTCTCACCTATAAATATACATGCGATAAAGCAGTGCGCGTAAAAGCGTGCATAGCTATTTTCATCAATATTTGAGATGTTGAGCATGTCCAAATGCCGACCGTCACTACCTCCCGTTGCATTGATAGGAAGCAGCAAAGGCCAGGTGATACACGCGCCAGTAAACATGATCAAGGTGGACAATTTGAGGAACCGGAGGAGCAGGTAGGCATCTACAGAATGATGTTGCAGAACATAGGTATCAGGAAGCTGATACATTGAAGTCAACCAGCTCCATGATCCTGCGGGGGGGCGGGGGAGCGTTGCCATGGAAACAGCTGATCAATGTATGTCCTTGGCACATATATATAACGACACGTGCGGCGTGTTACGACGAACAAGATTATCATACCCATGAATGAAAGCAAAGATGGAACCAAAGTGCTGAGTAGGCTGTACAAAGAATTTGAAGTATCACTTGGATCCTGACACTGTGAGTATGCCTGCCCCATTTTTTACTGCGCTAGAAGAGACACGCACTGAAGATGTACGGGCACTTAACCCTTGAAGACTCTTGATAGAGTACTGCATGATGATGAGGTAAAACGAGCACCAATATTTTCAGAGAGTCTTCTGCTGCTTATGTCTATTCTTTGACGTCCGATCACAACATGTCAAGACGCTTTGTACACATGAATGTGGATGTATCCTAATAATGTCATAAGAGCCCCTTGGCAAATATGCGGACTAGTCACTTGCCAAGGTATGACAGTATATATTAGACTTTGTTGCGATTAAGTCTCCTCTTTTATGGAGATTGACAAGCTTTTTTTTGGCGTGAGCTTGGATCCCAAAGTTGATCGAAGTGATCAAATTACATATCATTGATTTCTCATCAGATCAGAAAAAAATGATATTTCAACGCAAGTTTCTCTGAATTAAATTAGATGAGCTTTCTCACCAGCTATTTCTGATTCTCAGGCCGGGAGAGTTGAATAAGTTCGAGTAATAATAGAGCATCATTGCTTTGAAAGCGGTCTGAACTCATGGCATGACAGCAACTATATTCAAAAAATGAAACAAAACTTCACCGAGCGTAAAATCAGAAGGTAAATGACTAGTTTAGCTCCTCAAATGTCCATCACTAGCTTTATATCCCCTGTATTTCCTCATTTAAACCCTAAAGAAACTTCTATCATTGACATTCATGCTCGGGTAAATCTGCGAATCCTAAGAACTCCACTAATATGGCCACATCTATGAGTCGTCCAAAACAGGATCAGCTGCGAAAGCGCCGTAATAATATAATAAAGCGTCACAATGAATTTTGGCTCCTCTACTCCATTCGAACGTGGTTGTTAATGGAGATGCCCAACGGGAGAAAATACACCTACCGCTCGCACCCGGAAATACCATTCCCAACTGAGGAGTATATCGTAAGTGATTCTAAACAAAACAAATGACGTTAATCTGATTGTGAAAGATGAATGATCCACAATCTACAGTCCATAAAACACCCCTCGACTATCTAAGCAATTCTACCTATGTTTTGTCCGTTCCAGAACCTCCGAAATTTTCTGCCCCCGCCCGTTACAGTGAACTATGGCAGTATCTCGAATTTCTGGCGAGTCATTGATGGTCGCGGAAGTTCTATCGGGCATTCGAAGTATTCATCAACCCGCGAGGTACAAAATTTTAATTTATGGAGCATTCCAGCCAGCTTAAATTTCTACTTAGTCAAGAACGTAAAGTATACGATTCTATTATAAGCGAAAGAATAGTCGACTGTTCTTAATTTCAGTAGGCCTTGGGGTGTCATCCATTTTTGGTTGATTGGTGCCTCTGTGACTGAGTTTCACCAATTATTGATTGTCAAACATTTCAAAGCACGCTTTGCCCTAGCCTATCGGGGTTATTCTATCCAGATATTGTAGTGGGGCTTCATTCACCTGACCGGGCGAAGTGGGGGTCTTTTGTAATATACTCTGTATCCAATACCTTTGTCATCACCGTTTATGTACCGCCTTTAATCCAAAGGAGATGGTATCAGATTCCAGAAAGGTTACAATAATACAGCCCTTACATGCAGGTTTGCAAACAGATGATTAAGGCGGTGGGAAATGAGGACTTGTTGTCCGGTCACTGTATTCTCAAGCTGTTATTGTATTCATGACCGTACTATTATACTGCCAAGAAAGGGTTCAGGGGAGGATCAACCGTAATAAGTGTATCGTATCTCAGAAAGAGGGTTTAAGAAGAGTGTTTGTGAAAGGGTGGCGAAATTGATTCCGATACATCCTGTATACATGTCGCTCTTAAAGGCGAGGGGTCAGGGTAAATAAAATCATCATCATGATCATCAAACTGTATTTTCATGACTCGGGAAGTCAGAGGAACTACGTCGTGGATTTGGAAATAATTGAACAGCAGCAACAGAAAAATACAATGCGCGTAAATATGTATGTAGCCAAACCGCAAGATTAACAAAGTGTTGCGTTGTGGTGCTCATATTGGACCGACAGATGAAATTTAGCGGGCGTAATTGCTCGCCACGCATTCAATCAACTTGAGGACTGTATTTTGACGGATCGGCAAATTAGGAAAAGACTTTGAGATCGCGCAAAGCAAGCCCTCGTGACAATGTTCGGGTGCCTATATAAGCATGAAATTTCCCTCCAATTGGTCGAACTTTGTACTTCATAGTCGAAAGGACAAAATGTCTGTCAAGCGCCAGCCATATGCAAACACATGTCACAGCCAAAGTTCGTTGTCAAGCACTTCGGATTCGCTAGACATTGCTGTTTCCGAGAGTGAGTCAGAGTATGTTTCATCAGAGACTAGTGAGGATCGGGCATTTCTTGCTTCCGAAACGGATGAACTCCGCTACTATTCCGACGGTTCCTCCGATCATGATCCTTTATGGGATGAGACAATGAACAAAGATGTTGATGAGAGCAGACGTACAGTAAGCACGAAACGTTGCTATTAAATTCATTCTACCATATTGATGTCTCCCGTTAGAGGATTGGCGTGAAAATTCCGACGAAAACTGTTTTAAAACGAACTTTTCGCCAAGATCAAGGCACTTGCTATCTAGTTCTATGGTACTCCTGGGAAATCCAGGATCCACTGTGTGATGGCGAATAAAGTTTGGAAAAACAATACATGAAAGTGTGAAGTGTTTCTCAATAGGACTCCGAAAACAGTAGCTTATCAATACAGACGGATGAATGAATGGATGGATTTTATTCAACTTGACCCCTCGCAAAAAAGCGATATGCAGGATAAAACGAATTTGTAAAACCATGATGACTGATCGCTGAGCCTGCTCCAAAATTGTTGAACGGTGAACTTTGAGCCTCACCTCTTAAGGCCTTTCGCCGTTCGACATGCTTGGCTGCCCTCATGGCACGACATGAATGAGTTCCTATCCAGGGCAGGCAAAGAATTTCCGCAGCTGGCTGCATCTCGGCAAAAACTTGCGAGGTTGCCGGCAAAGCTGGATTAAAAAACTACTTAGGGAAGTTGTGGCAGTCACGTTCTTCTTGTTCCGAGTTCAATTGACCGAGCGTTTACTGTTTCTCATGTCGCGTCTCAATGGCGAAATTTTACGATAGAAACGGCGGGAAAGGTCCTTGATTGTGAATGGGCATTTGGGGGAAAGGGCAGATTGATAGATCCTGGGAGGTAGCTGCGGTAAATATGATAGGGCGTTGAAGAACCGAGGTGACGTAGGTCGTTGGTCTTGTCCGGAGGTAGCAACGGATGCTGAGAGGAGAGGTTGCAGAGTTTGAGAGGATTCGGGAGAGTAGGTCTGTTGAGGTTCCTGCTTCCTCTCTTCAAGTGTCATGGAGAACCGTTCGGTGACTTCTTTCTCTGGTAGAGTGGATGCTGACGCTGCTTCTGGAAGTGGCTGTTTAGGCGATAGGAATGCGGTGCTTGAGCGGGTGACAGTATTACGTGTTTCAAAGTCATGCTTCAAGTTGCGAAATATGATCTGCCATACGCAAAGTGTCAAATGGAGATGCTGCATCTCTTCGATGGATTTTTTTGGAGTGTGTACAAAGGCTTGGTAGATCCATAGTCTAGATAGCACGCAGATCCATCAAGACCTGGGGAGCATTTGCAATACAAGCAATTCTGAGCCAGCTGAAGAGGGTTGACGCTGACAAGAACTTGTCTATGAAACCAAAGCTCTTACAGCGATGGTTGAGCAAGTGATCGGGATCTGGTTCGGTCCGGTGAAGCTGTGGGGCTCTAGCGGGGTTTACAGGCGACTTTCGGGACCTCGCTACTAAATCAAATATTACATAAGACAATCGGCAAAATTTCAAATTAACTACCCATTATAATATTACAACCACCACAGAAGCTACGCTTATGCTACGATTATGCTATGCTTATGCTGCACGAAAAAGAATAATACTGGTGAAACCAATTTCGAGAGTAAGTGTGTAGCTAAAATATTGATTCCGGTCCATTTTCGCCTTTGGACTGTGACTTGTCTGCCTTTGTATTGGGACGCAGATTTGCGAGGACCCTCAAGATCAAATAAAAATGTTTATCCATAAACGGTAATAGTACTCGATCTTCTTCATGTAATATGTATCAAGAACAGGCCATACCTGCCTTTATCAGGGCGGCTCCAAAAACGCTCTTGTCAGGCAGCTAAATTTTGAGCTGACCGCTCACACTTGTCTAGCATTGATATGTTCAAAATGTCATCAATTTATTAGATAAACGTGGATGGCTTTATCTTTCAAAAAATCTTGCACATGGTCTCGGGTATGCCCGCAGAGGCCAATCCCTCCCAGATGAGATCACCAGCTGTTTTACATGGTTTTTTTTTTTTTTTTTAGCAATGCAAGCATTTCATGATATTGGTCATCATTGATTGTCACAGATCAGGTAGTCCGATGCAAAGGTACTCATTAAGTTGATCATTTCATCGAACCTAGCTGTCGAGAATCATTTGATGATTTGCTCCAATTTAATAAACACTGAGTTCACATGGGCGAAAATTGTCTTCATTGGGTGGGCTGAATTTATTGCCCCAAAATCGACCTTTTCCATGATGCCGTTGTTTTGCCTTTTATTTCGCCGGGAAAAGATTCATGAAGCACGTCTCTACAAAGCTTTTACCCATTAATTGATGTATTAATAGAAGACTGCATTATAGTTGTTTTGATTTCGCCACATAAAAAGTTCCAATTTCTCCGGGTCGGGTCATTATTCTATATAAGAGAGAGTATATCTGCGTCTTTTGTTTCTGTAAGACAAAAATTTGCTCGCAATGACTGTTCTTCAGAAAGAACTTCTACGCGATTGTGGAATAGTCTCTATCATCAACCTTTTCGGCATCTCGTATTTCCTTCTATTCTTGATCCATTTTTTCATCTTCCACTTTCCATCGTCACCCGAAGCCATCCTCAGCTCCTTTTCTGTGATTCTAATATGCGGGGGAGTAATATTCTGGAGCCTCGCGAGCCTTACATATCGGATCATTGCTGCATTGCAGTACGATGACGTAACCAGATGGCAAAGACTTGAATATGCTGGAGCATTGATCTTTATGAGCACGACCACTATTCATTTTGTTGTTCTCCAATTTCTTTCTCAGTCGTCGCTTCAAATGGGATATATATGTGCTTTGGTGATAGCGTCTGTTGGATATCTTGTCGACTTTGTGGCATTGGATTGCACAGCGTCGGTGGCCAAGGAAAGGTTTCCTTACCATTTTGCTTCTCTGGTTTTGTTATCATTGGTCCCTGCAATCCACGCCATTACCGAACCCGCGTCCCCTGCGTCGCCTTTGGCTCTTCACTTTTGTCGTTTCATTGCTTGCAGTATTGCTGGTATCATACACAATCTCATTAGGCCACTGGAAAGAATGGGGGTGGTTGATGGCTGGAAACCTAGCCTATATGCTATGCACCTGGTTCTAGTGCATAGTGCTGTGGTCTACTCAAAGGCCATTTTACACAGCATTCCAAGGGGCTCACACTGAGCTCATTTGATGACGTAGAATATCATGAATTCTATGGTCTAGCCTGACAAATCGATCCCTGTCTTCTTCTGGTGGAACTAGGTTGCAGTAGCGTAACATAGTGTGCTTATTAGGAAAAAGATTTCCTACAGGTGGATCGATTGCTGTTCTACATCCATCATTCAGGGTGCTCACAATTCAATAAACCTCCGTTTAGCAAGTTGACAAATGTCGTTAGGCTATGTAAACCACTGGTGTGTATGAAAGTCAAAAGCTTGCCTTAGCTTAGTGGCCCCCGGATAAAAATGCTGACGCATCATTTGCCCAACCGGTGTAACTATTCTACCAAGGCGGGTTTTGTCTGTCTGGTTACGTGTTCTGAGTGTGGGGTAAAAGGTCATACATAATCTAAATGTCCTACACGTGTTGATTAGGTAAATTTTGATTCGAGGTTATTTCATTCTCAAGCTGCAGAAAGCTCATAAACCTGGCATATATGTTGATGGTTATCTTGGAGTGTTGCAACTTTTCTCTTGTGTGCGACGCATCCCGTTTTTCTTCTCGAACAAACGCCAACGGCGGGGTGGTTTTCGGGATCGCGTAAATGACTTTCCTGATACCAGGATGATCGGGTGCCATGGCATCGCTCGCATCGTAGGGGTGCCACCCTGTACTTCTTCCAAGAAGCTTCTTCTGTATTCATTGCCATAAGAAGGTTTTCTTTCTCGTCCTTTTTTTCGGCTCCGCATGCTTCGAAGTTGCACCTGTTAAAGAGCCATAGTTAGCAGATTTTTACTACATACATAGACGTCAGTACTTACCTAGCAAACAGCCAAGCTTTTACGCCTGTTAACCAATGCATGGTCCCACAATCTTTGAACCGTACGCGTTCTTGAGTGTAACAATGTGAACCATTCATCTATACCTTCTTATAGCTTTTTTGGAGGTGTCACAGTATTTGGCGCTGATCTGATTGTACGTTGTATAATAGTATGTATTTTCTTGTGGTAAAGTCTCTTTGATGTTCGCTTATCTCAAAGAAGGAAAAAGCAACAAGCGAAGCCTGTGTTAATTACGCTAGCTTTTTTGAAGCTAAAGATTATATTTCGATTAGCCATTACACCACCACCTTTTCAAGTTGAAATGAGCACTAAGACGTTGTCTTTCCAAGGTGGGATGACTTTTTGAAAGAGTGATATCCTGTTTACCATATGGTATGCAAGTGCGCATTGCTTTTCGTTATTTTGCTAAAATTTCAACATTTTGGGGCTTGATTATCTCCTTCATCGTTAGAATTCCCCATCCATGTGTTTCATTTTAGGTCGGGAAAACCTGTCGCAAACAAAAAATATTATTGAATAATTTTCATGAGTTTGATATTGGATGATTCGGCACAAGCTTTGTAGCTAATCTTATGATGCACTCAGTGAAATTCTTATAGACAAACATTATGAAAACAATTCATTTTGCTAAGTGTGACTTGAGCTTCTTACAAATCTTCTGAATTGGCATATGATAGTCACATTGAAGATGCCCGTAATAGAATTATGGAACTTTCTATTTGATGCCACGGAAAAAAAATATGTTCACTGGCTGCTGCTCCAAATAAAGAGATCATCTAGCGTGCTTTAACTCAATATAAGGTCAGATTCTAAATCTGCTTAACTGTGAAAAATAGAGATTCATGCGAAATAGGACCTGAGAGTCCAAATGAAACAGAGTAAAGAAGCCTTATAAGAGCGTATGCATTGAATTTCAAAATTCTATTTCATGGCTTGTTCTTTGCGGGCTCGCAGCTCAGGGCTATCAATTCAATCCACCTAACAATCCCGCTCATTTTACTACGCTCAGTTTTTCGGATGTATTCTATGCACCCAGTACCTGTGCAATGTTTCCCTCACGAGAGATCGAATTGTTGGATAGTGCATTCCAAAAGTACATAGTCCACACACCTATGCTTCCTTAGGCCATTTAATCGCTTCAGCGGGTGTCCAAAATTTTGCAACTAGAATGTTAATCAGGCTCCTCTGGTTCATTGTCGCGTTTTTAATGTCGAATTTTTGATCAACTAGCCCTGTGGAACAACAAAAAGGCATCAACACAATTTTTCTCTTTCTAATTTGGGCATTTCGAATGAACAGCGGATTTAAGGTGCTTCAAGAAAGAGGGGAAAAGAGTGGCCAAGCTCAAGCTTGACCTCATTACATATTTAATATATAAGTAATTCTCTGGCTCAATATATGGCTAACGTCAATTTTGTGAATAAAGATTGTATTTTTTCGAGCCCTAAAACCTCTTTGAAAAATGGCCGACGCAGCAGAATTGACTTTATTTGACCCCCAAGTCGAGATTAGCCAGTCTCTTTGCAACTTGACTCGCTCAGATAGTGGTCTGGATCTTGATCTAGCATCGCTATGGGATGAATTTTCTGATGCTCCGACAATTCCTCCTAGCCCTACCACCCGCGAAATCCTCTCAACAGAGCGTTCCATGTTAATCCATTCGAATCATCTCTCTGAAATCGAGTATATCTTCTATTCAATACCTGAAAGCAATCACGGCTTTTATTGGCTCGGGCCAGATCCATTAGCCCCTCAAACCTACGGAGATGACATCTTCCTGTACATTTCTGCTTTCCCTTTCTTGGGCGAACTGGTTTGGGTGGAATTCCAACTATGTAGGGTCAGTCTGGTAACAGGGGATGTGGTGGACCGGAATATTTTCTATCTTCCTCGACAAGAGTCGATTCTCGGAAATCTATCACAGATACGTCGACAAATACGAGAACATATTTCCAGTTACGATCATGAGACTGCCACCGGTCTTTGCAGACTACGATTGTATATGTACCCACGATATGGGCTATCGCCAATCTACAGAAGTAGGGGCATAGTGTCCTCTGCTGGGATGTCTGATGGAGCTGCGCTGGATCCAACTTTCTTTGTTCAAAATATGTCAGCAAATTTTGAAAAGGATTGTCAATGCATTAGAAATACTGGCTAAGCATCAACTCACGAAATTTCCTTCAGGTGGCTTCATAATACATGAATTGGAGAAAGTTTTTCCTAATTCTGGCGTAGGAAATTGGTGACTGCGAGGCTTTATGGGATAGTTCCGAGAAATGTTTCCTCTACTGCGATGTACATAATAACGAGGGGAGCGCTATGCTATGCCATCTAAGTGCACGAATCGATTCAGCAGTGGACAATGCAGAGACTACTACCCAAGAACAACTGCTAGGGGTCAAATCAGAGATGTATAGGAGTGTGTATTCCAATCTAATCACTACAGCCGCTATACAGTAATGACAGTGCCGATAATACCGTAACAGCATACCAGGATACTGTAACGATATGTAAGGACGTGCTTCCCCACTATAATAAGTAAGTTCTTGTTGAGCCAAATGACTTCTGTGTAAAATGCGAGTAGAGCATCAATGAACGGATCCCAGAATCGATATCGAACCACCTTGAAACAAAAATATGATAATACATACGAACGGAACGTTTTAGTACATGTAATTTTGCATTTCAGGAAATCAAATGGTAGTTCTTGCATGAATTTACCGGCGTGTTTGTAAACGATTGTATCTCAAAGTATATATACTTGCTTTTGGAATACGTGACCGATAATTCAACGAATAGGGTCTCTACTGCTATCACAAACAATAAATCTTTGCAAACTGGCTTTCGTTCTAAATAGAGCACAATACCTTGAAATTCCGATCTCGGTGTTCATGAAACAGCGCAGAAGCATACAGATGCGCTAAGAATTTCAATTATGGCCAAACTGTGGCTAGTTTCTATACGCATACGCTCAATATAAGTTTTAGTTTCAACAGTGAAGTCTCCTATTAAGTCGATCTTTCTTCATGATAAAGATGAACAGCTACTGATCATGGTAATGGTGGATAAGGGATAAGCCACAACCTCACAAACAACAGTTGGGATGTCCTTTTCCGTAGTGGCAGTAGATAGAATGGTAGTAGACGAATAGGAATCGGATGGAGTGGCAGTAGATGGAGTGGCAGTAGATGGAGTGGCAGTAGATGGAGTGGCAGTAGATGGAGTGGCAGTAGATGGAGTGGCAGTAGAAGGAGTGGCAGTAGATGGAGTGGCAATAGATAGACCGGCGGACAGCGACTTGTGGGTAACAGAAACCAAGGTCGTCGGCACTGCAGAGTATGAAAGCAAGTTTGTTGTGAATACTTCTGTTTCAGACGCAATGCACCAGCTACCAGCCTTAAGTCCCTTATTGAGTAGGCAAGTCGATATGTTTCCATTCCTATTATAAAAAGTAACCAGACCCGTGTGGTTAACCTGTATCCAAGCAGCCGGCGAACCATCTTCTGTGCCGCATACGTCAACACTGAGCGCAGAGCTTTTCTCACTGAGCTCTAGTAAATTGTTAGCAGCAGCAGTATATTTTGGTTGCGATGATCAATAGGTACTTGAACAGTCATCTCCATCTAGTAAGGCAAAAGACGCCGAGTAACCCGTACAGCCATAGTTCCCGTTGGACCATATCAAACATTCGCGATTGTAATCTATGACCTCAAGAACTCCGGCTCTAGAAGTGCATGCGTGGATGATGACTAGAACTGCAATCGATAAAACATGCATCTTCAATATATCTGACCAAAAGGGGGCTCCGATGTGCTGAGCAAGAGATTAAAGTCCAAATATATTTAAGAACCTGAAGGACCGTGAGAAAAGAAAAAAAAATCCAGGGGGCAAAGCAATATATAATTTTTCATTAAAGATCGATCGAACCAAAAGCAACGAATCTCTCAAATCAGTGAACGCGAAATTCCTTGAGCACCTAGGCATACAACTACCTTCCAATATTCTCTTTTGACATATGAAAGTACATATTCCTTGCTTCTTTCTTGATCATTGGCAGATTTACATCAATTCATTTCAAGCATTCTTTCACTTCCGTTCGCGATGACGAATGCGAGAGTTTTCCAGCCTTGCGGTCCCCGATCCTTGATGCAAATCCGTCTCTCTTGAAAAATCAGAAGTTCCACAATCAAAAGGTGCCCCATGATGGTTGCCGGCTGGAGTTGCGAGGTTCCATAAGAGCTTTTCGATATAAATCAGCTAATTGGTGACGGAGGAGTTATTCCACCTTTCGTAATTTCCCTGCAAGATATGATGATGATACTGGTGGAACTGAAGTTCCACATCGCGCATTGATCAGAGCTCCAGATTGTTGAGGGAAGAGCTTAACTAGAGGGAAATTGAAGTAATTTGATGGATTGAGAGCCACTTTTTCTCATGGCTAAGAGCGGTGAGTCTCCTCCAGAATCAAGGCAGATGACTTCAACTTGTCGTTCTCAGGCAAGCAACTGGATTGCTCCACGGTTTCAGGTCTTTACCGCGAATTTAAAAAAGACCGTGGAAGCAGCCATCTATCAATTAACCGAATATAAACAGAGATGTTGACCTAAATCAGTAGTTTGAGTTGGAAAATGGAGTAGACAGACACACATTATGAGGCCCGGCGCCTGAACCGACAGGGCTACTACTACAATAATGATCTGCTATACATGTCCTCAAATATGCTGTGTCTCCTTCGAGCACATATATGATTACGATCAGCATATGTCATCTCAGCTGTCAATATCACACTTCAAACATTTATAGAGGTAAAACCAATGGAAGATCTACGCTAAGGCCTCGGCAGCGGGGCCCGAGAGCAGAAAAGCAGCCTTTAAGAAGGAAGCTGTTTCGCCACAATCCCCGATGTTCTGCAGTAGCTGTACATAAAATTTACAAACATGTTTGTATTTCATCAGCATATGAGTAGATCGCTAAAGTAATTACAGCCATATTCAAAATTGGCTTCCATGTTTTACACTAATAAAACATCTCCAGCCCCACTGCCAAAACGATAGTGAAACCGCCTAGCGCTGCGCATCCTGCCTGGCAACTCCATAAGCGGCAGGGCAAGAAAAGGCAAAGCTGAGGCTGAAGAAAATGTGAACCAGAGAAAGCAAAATTCTCGTGCTTTCCGGAACTGTATATATGCCGACCAGGATGTAATGTTTTGCATCTTAATCTCAGGTAATAGCATCCCGCTAGTGTGACTCATCGGAATACTGGTATTTCAAGTCAAGCCTCTGAGAATAATGACTGCTAGCTCGTATCGTAATAACCATTATTATCAGCCACATGACCTCAAAGCCAGGGACCAATACACCCACTCTCCCGGATACGACAAATGATTTGCCAATTCATTTCGTGATTCAATACATCTTTTTCGGCCGAGAAGACATTAAGACTGATGATATGCGGTCGGTATCAGCTGTTCGGTGAGAGAAGGAAAGCCGAAGTCACCAAAGCTATCCATGGAATCTGTATTCGTGCACTGTACGCACTATATTACACTAAAAGGGCCCTGTACAATAAAGGGTGCATCGCATTTAATTGCGTCTTTTTTCTCAAAGTGGCTTGCTCAACTAATAATTCACACCTTACTTATTCACACCTAAATTTACCGTTAGGTCTAGAAAATAGCTACAAAGCAAGTAAAAGTAGGCTATAAAGACTCTCTTGCAGGTTACATATGTCCACCAGATACTTTTCGTCAAGTATAAGGATGTAGATCTGCAAGATCAAAATACTAACGTGTCTTGAGAGACTGATCTCTCCAAGGCCAGTGCAAAGCCACGGTGGCTTGATCGGTAAATCCTGGAGCATCGCAACAAAAAAATGGAGTGCTGAATTTGATGTTTTTTGAGTGTCCCAGGAGCCATCTCGGGATTTTAGATTATGTCAGAAATGTCCCCCACGCAGTCTTAATGGAATTGTAGCTGCATCAAAGCAAGGCCGCAGGATCTTACGCCCATCGGAATCAAGAGCCGTGAAATTGGCATACTATAGAAAACATGGCTTATTGGTTTGACTGCTAGTGACTGCTAGTCTATGCACGGCCTGACAAGCAGGGTTAGACTGGAATTGACTCATGGGAGGCTTCCGAAGACAAGTCCAAGACCAAGCTCGGCTATAAGAAGGAGGCCGCCGCCTTCAATCAAAATGTCGGCACATCATTCTCAAACATCCTTTTCAATGAGGCTTGGCCTCCTTCGCATTTCCCCCGATCTCGTTCGCTCTTCGCATGGCTGGACCTGAACCCATATGTCATTTTACATCAAAACAAAAGCCTTCATACAGTTTTTTCCTGCTCTACAAAAACCCTACTCACATTGGCTTGCATATGAACCAATTTTCGTGGAGTACGCTCTAGCCACGCTTTGTTCTCAGGTACCGCGACCGAAACCACACCCAACGCCCGTACCCCTCCTCGATTTTCAAAAATTTCACTCCTATCTCTGCGTAAACCCCTAGTCAAGGATGGGGAAAGCAAGGCGCATTGAAAGACTATCCAGGGGTGTCAAATTTGATGTTCGGTTCGAGGACTGCCGGGGGATTTCCATGAATCATATTTGCGGACCCTGGCTCACTCCAAAGGGCTTGACAGAGCAGTGGGTGGTGAAGGGCTTGAAGCATGACCGGGACCGGATCAATGACTGCTATATAAAATGCATTTGGAGGAATGATCAGCAGATTATGAGAGAACAGCTTATCCAAGACTTTCCCATCGAATCGGGAGATGTATATAAAGTTGAGTGGGAATGGCTTTGTCAGGAGCAGCATGACAGTTCAGGCTTGACATCTCTTCTGTCGCACAAGTCTCTTGAAAGTTCGGAAATCAGATGATCATTTGCATTTGCTACTGTCTACCGTGGGCATAATGTGCCCGCAGCCGATGATTGCCGTTTCATCGAACTGCACATCGAACTTGGGTCCTCTCAGTCAGGAGACATTCTGAATATTGATAGGGTGGAAGAAAGAAAGAAAGAAAGAGATCATTTTTTATAAAATAAGCATCTAATCAGGGTTGACCTCGTTCCTCTTCGTCGTCTCTCCTACAATCGACGCATTTCCCTCTCATCGCTTGACTTAAGATCTTTTATTAAAAGTGTCAGGACTGACCCGAAGCCGTCGGACTTGCAGCAAGGAAGACCTAGGCACCAAATTCTCTGTAAAACTATTCACCTTTTACCACAAACTCCAAAACCTCAATCAGTCATTTTAAATATTGTCTAGCGACGTTGCCCTAACAGCGCTATTAGAAGGGAGCTGGGTGAAACCTCAGGAAAGATGAACAGTCAAAGCTGTGTTCGCTCGACGTGTATCTAACTGCGCAGCATGTTTTGAAGCAATATGAAGAGGTTTTGCAGCAGATCCAGAAGATGATTAGTGATTTTGATTATTCTTCCGGATATAATAGCGTATCCCGCTGGCCACAGGCGATAAGGAATTGTCCTCTCTTCTAGTTCATTTCTTCTTCCCTACCTTCGATCATTTCATAAAACTCACTCTTTTCCTTTCAAATAATTGCATAGTCAAAATTGCGACAGAAGATTTCGAAAGCGGATTTCCCTTAAGGCCACTCACTTGTTTCTTGGCTGGTATCCGAAACGGGTATAGTCTATATTTGAATAAGTGGTAATCTAATATCCACTCAGAGAATAATATTGAATACCACTAAGCCGTACTATATTAGTCTATGTTCCGGGTTAGGAGCCGGGAAACAACGAGTATGTGCTTTGGGATAAACCGTGCTCGAAATCTGCTGTACTTTCTGCTGTTCAACTTACTCGCCGTACCAAGCTAAAAGTTACGCTCTCTGACGTGACTTCCAGAGATCCACTCTTGGCTTCTATAGGGTTCTACCCAATTCTACTGGGCATTGTAAGAATTAAGTAGCACTTTACAATGCTTTACACACATATTCTTATAGTTAGTATAATACGGTGATAGATTTGATTTTTTTTTTTAAATAATATATTTTCAATCATTCTACAGCGACCCTCAAGTTACTGCGGTCCGGCCAAACAATGATCCGCGCTAAGGCCTCAGCAGCGGGGCCCGAGAGCACAAAAGCAGCCTTTTTCGCCACAATCCCCGTTGCTGTGCAGTGGCTACATGAAATTTACAAAAGTGTTTGTATTTCATCAGCATAAGAGTAGATCACTTATGGAACTACACGAGTTGCAATCACGCACATTGAAAATATCTAGAAACACCTTTTGTAAATCATCTAGAAGCACCCGATATAATCTAGAGGCATCTACTTTCTCGTTTCCTGATACAAGCGACGCCAAATACTCAATCAACGACGGATTTGAAGCCTCAAATTTATACGAATGCCCCACGGATCTTGACTTGCTGTGAGAAACGTGTAATGAGTAAAACGATCTGGCAAGAATCAGATTCTTATCAAAAGGGGAATCAGGATGCGTTATCGAACTATCTGCGCACAGATGGATTTCTAACAAGCTACTTGAACTAATCTCGCTACAAAAAAAAACCTTGTATCCCCACTTTATTTTGTGACTCACTGGCTATGAGTCTTCTGAAAAGCGAGAGATCTCTTGGTACGGCTCATTATGAAAAATTACATCTGTCGGTTTCTGGTTACATAGGGGTGCACAAGCATCTCGATTACTGTGCTTTCGGAGTCGCTGTATCATTTTACAACAAGTTCGGTGTAGGAAAATTATGCTGCAAAATAGAACTGTTGCTCCTGAGACACTCTCCAATGCAACCTCCATAGATATCTTGTTAAAGGGCATGGATGCCGCTGTCCCATCTGTTGTAAGACTATCATGTACTGGAACTGTACGTAAAGTGCTCATGGATGTAGGATTATTCGTGTCCAAATATCCCGTTGTCATTGTCGTTGATTTTACTGTTGGATTGGGGATATAGTCACCGTTCGTAAGAACCAATGACTGTAAAAACGAAGATGTTGAAATTTCCTCAAGATTGACCTGCGTCAATCCATCTTGTTTCGTCTGAGTCTGGATAGCGGAAATCGATATCTCGACCCGTTCATTCCTCTGTTCTTCGATAGGTTTGGCGCCTAATGTATCCACCAGCTTTGTTGAAAAGCTTGTTGGAGCCACCAGGAGAGACTGGGAAATCTTCAGCTCTGTTTCTGTGGAGATTAAATGATCAGTGAACTTAAAGCTTGTAGCATCTGAAGCTAAATTGTCAGTCATTTTGAAGGGCGGTTCTGGACTGAATATTGCTCCACTTGTTGGACCTAAAGTAGGAAATGACTTAATCGACAAATATGATAATGCTCCGGTAGAATAGTAATGGTCATGGCCAGTAGTCGGATGTGATATGGCTACTTCACTTCGTAATAGATGCTCAGTAGTGAGAGAAGGCTTCCACAATGTGGTTCCGAATATCTTTAAGGTGTTGATGGATGTTTCAGTGAAGTGTTGGGCATCGTAACCACTATTGAGATATGGATTGGCTGAACTACTCCTTGTCGGCTCAGTGAATTCGATGAATATATTGGGACGCTTTGTAGTAAGCTCTCTCTCATAGGTTGGTAAAATACCATGCATTGTTTCTGTCCGATTGCCCATTAACATGCGGTCAAGGGTTTTAAACCGGAATCTTCAAGTGCGGCATACCCACGGAGTCCCAAATTGATTTTGCCGCTGTCGTAGATCTAGCCTGACCTTTTTGCTCCAAGGAAACCGAATGGGACCAAGATACTAGTGCTCCATTGTCCGAATTCATTGTCTGAGACAAAATTGATGTTTCTTTGATGTAAGTAAATTGGGAAGACAAAGAAGGTTGAGCATCAAGATGTGCTGATGTTGAGCTGGCAGCATATTGGTAATCGTGCAGTGTTTTGCTATTGTAATCTTGCAGTCCTCTCAAACGTTCGTTCGTATTGAAATCACTGGTGCTGATTGACTCCGTATTTTTCACGGTCGGTCGACCCCTGCGACTGTCAGTCAATTCGATATGATGCACAAGAAAAGCATGATACATGCACTGGAAAAGAGGGTATTATCGAGCTTAGTATAGTCGAGCTGCTTGGCCAAGGAGCCATGTTCTGCAAACATTATGAGTCTTAAGCTTCTTGTGAAAGAAAATAAGCACTCTGATGAATTATAATTGCAACTGCCTGCTCCCATTCGCAAAATGAAATAATGGAAATAACTTCAATCCGTCCCATCCAGAGAACTTTATATATACTGTGGATTTGAAAATCACAGCTTCTATTTACCAAACTTGCGGGCCCTGCCACGGAGATTTGAGGTAAAAATAGCACTGCAATCGGTAGCGAGATGATCCGACACCCAAGAGATATCTTCCCTTTTTTTGAGCCCTGCTGCCAAGGCTCGTGCTGAAGCTATCTTTAAATTAACAAAGATCATTAAATTGTCTTTTGATTGGGGCCTACTCAAGGATTGCATTCAACACAATCCGCTATCGAAAGCCCATCAGTACTTACGACCCTCGAAATAAAGATTGTCTTACTATTCTAACAAGCCCTGGAAAAATACTCAGAACGAATAAGTCATTTGAATCTTACAAAACATGATTCAGGCTAGTGAGATATGTTTTCTCTTAGGTCTACTTTGATCAATGTTGAAAATTGATGTTCATTAGATTTTTCCTATTCAATTGAGAATGAGACAAATGCTTATGAGAGCCCTCAAGATTGTACGCTAACACTGACTTTTTAGAGTACACCCAGGCCGTATCGTATCGCCTCTTGTAAAAACTTGTCTAAATATCTTCATTTATGTTGTACTCAATATAGCGACAGTGCTTATAGGTTAAACAAATGTGCTTACCCCCCATCTCAAATGGTAAACTGTTATCGGCGCTGTTGGTAGTTCCGGTCATGTAAATCGGCGTGGTGCATTGAGATATCGTTCCATATCCCCGTCAGATCTTCGTGTTGCAACAAACAAACAAACAATTCATTAACTAACGCCCGGCGGTTGAGCCGAGGTCTAAACATAAAAATATCAAAAGAATATTTTTGAAATAAGAGGTCAGCCTTAGCCTCTTAGCTACCTCCCTTACAGCAATATTCGAAATTGGCTTCCATGTTTTACACAGAGAAACTATCTCAAGCCCCACCGCCAAGACGGTAGTGAAACCGCCTAGGCAGAACAGCCTTGTTTTGAACAGTCTTGGCGTATGGTAAGGAACATCGAACGTAATACGGGCCCGTAAGTTACCAGTCTAGCCTAATGAAATTTTAGAGAGTTCCATACAAACCAAGGGCTGTTGCCGACAAGCTCTTGCAATCTGACAGTTATTGAATTTATTAGATACGAGTTGCTTCTTGAATACTACTATACTAAATGTATCCAGAAGCTAAGTGTTTTAGTGAATATGATGGAATCTTAAATGCTGGTGTTATATCTGTGCATAGTTGCGACGACATAAATTTTTGATTTCCATTCTTTCACTGCCGTCAAAACAAGTTCCGTTCCATAACATTTGAGGACGGAAGAGTCCTGATTTTTACTGAAGAGGCGTGAGAAGATTTTGCGCCTATGATGTCCGCCAGGTTTGGAAGCTCGCTTTGATGATTCCGGACTGGCTAGGATGTGGTTTTCTTTTGTTTCATTGGGCGTTTTAGTGAGCTGGGAAGATGAAGAGGTGGAATAAGCCTTCGTACGCCGTTTGTTCAAAGTAGAGTTGGAAGACATGGTGTGGGGATGATCAGGGCCTGGTTTTTGCTCGCAAAGTCGAGCGCATTCGGCCATCAGTAGTAGAGCGGCTTTCTGTTGACGTGTTGACCAAGGGGTATAAGCTAGGTTGTTCATGCTACCTAGCTTGACAGGATGGTCGGCCCCCAGCTTCGTCTTGCGAGTCTCCATGACCTGTAAAAAGAGCTGCTCCGCCTCTTCCCACCGGCCCTGGCTCCTATACGTCGACGCCAGATTGGCCATACTCGTCAGCGTGTCAGGATGGTCGGCGCCGAGCTTCGCCTTGCGAGTCTGCATGACCTGCACAAAGAGCTGCTCCGCCTCTTCCCATCCCCCCTCCAGGCGGTATGCGCCCGCTAACATCGCAGTGCTTTTGAGAGTCTGTTCACCCTCCGAGCCAAAGATCAATGCTCTTTGCTTTCGCGATTTAGATGCCATATCTCGTGATTCCACAAAATTGCCGCTTTCCTGCGCATACCATGCCCCTCTGTAAAGCAGCGTAGCCCATTGCACTAGAGATTCTTGTGATTTTGGTCGTTGTGACATGGCTGACTTCACGTGTGGAAAGAGCGACTGGCACCGTGCCCAGTTTTCATATTCACCTGTCGGAAACCTTTGCCACAGGACCATGATAAATTGCTCCTTCCATCGCTCTAGCTGGCTATTAGCTTTCAGCCACACATGTACAGTCAGTTGCACTAGCCGATGCATCGTGAATTCTGTGCTGTCTTTATTGATAGAAACAAATGAAAAGTCTCTGAGCACAGTGATATCATCCTCAAAATCATGATTCGTCTCGGATTCACACGGGCTATCTGTATCCTCGTCACTGCACTCCAACGCAAACTTCTCCGAGCTTGTTTCGTCGTTTTCTATCTCCCCTTGAACACGGAGAAGTCTTGAACACGGAGAAGATCCCCGGACTCTCTCTGCCGGTCAGAAAAACTCATGAGAGAGAGCAGATTAGTGGCAGATGGTCTTTGATCCCCAAAATCACGACCCGTCTCTGAAGCAGATGCGCTATCTGTTCTCTCGTCACTATACTCCAACATAATCTCCGAGCTGGAGTCGTCGTTTCGTATCTCGCCTTGAACTCGGAGAAGATTCTCTGAGACTCCCTGTCGGTCAAAAAAGCTCATAAGAGAGAGCAAATCAGCGGCTGACGGTTTCATGCGTCGAACGTGGTCGAAGGATATTTGCCATGTAACCAGAATCGAATTCTTCGCTTCCCAATCCCGATAGAGATGACCTGCCTCATAAGCAAGAAGCTTTGTCGCGTTGCGGTCGCTCTTCTGAAACATTTATAGGTACTGCGATACTGAACAGCGAGGTGCTCGATGGACGATATAACCGGCCGCCTGTATGATTGCCAGTGGCATAAACTCCAGTTCTTCTAGCAAATTCGCCATATCAGGGGTTTCTGCTGGTAGTCTGAGCTTTCGTTGGAGAAGTTCTAGCGCCTCGGCCTTATTCATTGGCTCGACTTTAATGATATCCAGGTGATCGAAAATTTTCAACGCCACCTCTTGGCTCCGACTTGTGATAATTATTGATCCGTTCGGGCTTCGGGGTAGAAATTCTAATAGTGGCTTTTTGGAGGCATTGGTTTGCCCGACCGTTAGAGTCTCCTGACACATTGCCGAGGGCTGACGAAGGAACCCATCATCATCAATGTTATCAAGAATCAATAACCACTTTCGACTCTTGTCATTCTGGAGCCAGCTTTCGACTAGCTGGTATATGTTGACGGTGGGATCGTGACGCCCGATAATTTTGGCCCGGTCGGCGATATCCCGAAAACTTTGCTCGAACCGGGCCGCGTTACTTGCATAGACCCAGAAAACCCATGTCGCCGGCGATTCGGATCGGACTCGGTAGGAGTATTCGATACCAAGTTGGGATTTCCTTTCGATATGTCAGCACTAGCCCAGCCCACCCGCTAACTTCTTTGCACTGACCCGACACCGCCGATGCCCACAAGAGCTATCCTGGACCCTGGGATTGATATCTTTTCATGTATCTGCTCAAGCAGTATGTCGCGACTTACAAAGTCTGGGTCGCGACGGAACGGGACGGTCGAGAGAGGAGTCGGTGGGGTTTCGGGTCGCTCTAGGCCAAGAAGCGGCGATTAGAACATGGTCGCATCTCCAGGCCCTTGCGAAACTCACCCGGCGGCAATTGGATCGATCCATAGTTGATTCCCACCTGATAGCCCCGATTACCTTCACCGAACGATATAGAAGAAGAATTCATAGCTAATATTCCACATAGATACTGCTTTGGTTTTTGGGATAGAGGGAAGGTCTCAACGCAGACGGAGTCTATTCTCAGTCTTACTATCAGGTGACCTTCTGGGCGCTAAAATGTGTTCAATTCTATCTTTTGAACAACGTCCAGGTGGCTTTTTTCTAGGCCATTCAAAACGAAGAAGCGGGGATTTAAGGCGTATTGTCTTGTCAGGTAATTTACATTTCCATTCTGACGAGCAGGGATGATCTGCTGCCTAGCCGAACCAGACCTAGGCGGTTTCACCATAGTCTTGGCGGTGGGGCTTTCTTTGTGTAAAACATGGAAGCCAATTTCGAATATCGCTGTATCAACATTCAGAGTGACAGCCTTAAGGAAGGAAAAGTCCGATGACCCCTCCATGACAGGCCGCCTGGTCTCCTGATCCACCCATTCGAAACCAAATTTCGAGAAAATCCCTACGAGCCGTGCAACCTCAACACGTTCTATAGGTACCTGAGGCCCAGCTGCGGCGGCAAACGCTTCCCAAAAGCCCCGGCGAAGCATAGCCGAGTTGCCCACCGAGCGCCAGCCTATTGTGGTGCGCTCCCCAAGCATACTCTCGACCCCCCACAGCGACGTACCAAACGGGCTCACAGTGGTGTCCTGCCAGTCGCAAATTCCCGTGATGTGGCCCGTCGAGGAGTCAACGTGGATATTGTTCTCCAGCAGGTCGGTGTGGTTGGGCACCATGGGCCAGTCGCTGGCGAACAGGAGCGGAAGACCCTGCAGTAGGTTGTCGAGCATTATGTGCCACTGTGAGGAAAGGCCCTCCCGCAGCTGCTTGAGATCCGCCTCATAGCTGGCGTATAACTGGGGGCGGCTGGGACTAGACACCGAGGTTGGCCTGTTGTGCCATGGGGAAGCGAAGAATCTAAACGTTCTTGTTAGCATACAAAAACGGCTCGAGGGGCAGAAACCAGACGCTGGATACCGTGCGAAATCTGTGAGAGTGACTCTCAAGAGGCGGCCATCATTGGCGCGCAGCTGGTCTCGCGCGAGATAGACGCTGACACCGCCGACGTTGTCCATGATATATGCCTTAAGGCCGGCCAGTTCATCCTCCGCACGATTTATGCCCACATCCAAGCACTCAGGACTGCACGAACGCCCACAACCTTTAACCCACCGGATATCGACCTCCAAATCACCATCCGATAGATTCCTGCGCATGCGGGCGTTCCAGGAAACGAGCTCGCGGATACTGCGGCCAAGGAGGCTGCGCTTGGAGGGGGGGAAGCGGGGCCGGAAGAACCGTTTCCCCGGCTGGCTTCGGTCGCAAAACAGCAAGTGAGGCGGAAGATCAAAGAGAGATGGGCGCTCTTGTGGGAGAAGGATAAAACGGGTAAACCAAACCGCACATTGGTTCCAATTCCGCACAAAAAGACGCTGGGACTTTTCACGGGTATCCCGAAACATTATGCGTCCATTCTGGTCCAAATGCGAAGCATGCGGGTGGCATTGAAGCACTTCCTGTACAAGATCAACGAGGTTGATTCGGATATGTGCGATTGCCTCGAGGGCTCACACACTCCAAAGCATGTGCTGCTGCGGTGTCCGCGTTTCGTTGACGAACGCAAGGAGATGATGGATAAGATCTGTGCAAAGACCGATCTTAACAAACGTGGGGAATTGTCAATTTACGAGGCCATTGTGTCTCACCCGTGCGCGACTCGCTACGTCGCCGAATTCATGCTTCAAACAGGCCGTCTAGGGCAGTTCCGCCACTGCGAAGTGGAGGATGAGCCCGAGTCAAGCGATGAAACAACAGACCAGGAATGACTGGTCGGGACAGGCGGCGAAGACGCTGCGCAATACAAAACCACAACAACCGATGTTCACCGAGACGACCACCGTAATGCCAGCGCAAATATAACGAACGCCATCGATGAAGCAAGGTTGTACGAGCCAGAGACGCTGGTAGGGGTTGAATACTGAGAATGGGGAAGGAAGCAGGATGTGGGCTTGACTGTGGGATTTACTGTGGACTTTACTGTGGGATTTTGCGTGGAATTTGGGATTTTTACCTGTACGGGCAGTCGCCCACCTTTTCTTTGTGTCTCTAGTCATTCATTTCTGCGTGGAGTTACTGGCGTACGGACATTCTATGCTTCGACGGACGAAGCGCCTACATTACCACGGCGATGACTAGCTAGGTAGCATTAGGTTAATAGATTATCATCATCATCATCGACCAAAAATGATGATTACCAAGCCTGTTTCGGTTAGGCTATGTTCCGGTAACGAGCCATGAAACAGAAAGTGTGTGGTTCAAGGATAATATGTTTTCAAAATCTGCTGTACCGTCCTGACATAAACAAAATATTTGATTGGCCAGGGCAGAAGTGAAAACATTGACATGATCAACGGATCCATTAATTTCACTAAAAAACCTCGTTTACGTGCACGTGGTGTCGGGATGATCGTTCTTATAATCACAGTATACAGAAGGCCCATCCTGCACGCAGATCAGACCCGATTCGCATGTCTCGATGATCCATACTCCGTTGGCGCAGATGCCAAAGCTGCTCCCATTACACCTGTAGGTACCGGAAGTAGCACACGTCTCTCCTACAACTGGGCAAGTGGATAGTATTGAAGCGGTAGTGGCGGCACTTATCGTAGCGTATATCGCTTTTGTGCTTCTCTCTGTTACAGTTAAAAATCTGGGCATACTGATCAGCGTGGTAGAACTCAGGCTTGTCGATGTCGATCTGGAGGCCTTCCTCGCCGGGCTGGAAGTACCCGTGCTCTTCGACTTTGAGTTGCTCGATACATTTATTTGTGCCCCTGGGGATAGGCTGCTAGGCTTTGTCGTGATGCTAATCTTGTTGGCATTGGTACTAGTGCTCAGCTGAATGGAGGTAGAGGGAGATGGTAAATAAGATGCAATGCTGGTCAAGATTCCACAATTTGCGTAAACTTCGCTGGCATCCCAGAACATAACGCCACCAAAGCTTTTGTATCCCTTGCTGACAATATAATCGACAATCAAAGCGACAGTGGAAGCCGATTCGAATCCCGTGCCAGCCGCGGTACTGCCACCGGGTATCCCAAGCAAGACTTTTACATCTTTGTTTTGAGAAATAGTAGTCGCCCAAGTGTTCCAGCTGGCAAAGTTGAAAAGTGTTTGTTTCGTAGAGTTAGTCATGAAATGATTGATGCCGCAGTCATTGTTGTAGAATTGAACCCAGATGGCATCAAAGTAAACGGCGCCGTCTAGCATCGGGCTGTCGGCAGCATCGGGATAAACGCATTGTGGTGCGGCGGTAAGGTAGTAGGTTTTGGAAGTGTCTTGGGTAAACAAGCGACGCAGCTCGTTGCCAAAAGATGGCATGTGCGTCACGGTCGACTCAAAGTCAAAGTCAAACCCGTCAACCACGGCTCTTCCAAAGGGGCGGTGGATCGACGTATCGGTGCTCACAGGTCCGAAGGTTTTCCAGATCATTTTGGCGCCCGCGACCGCGGCATCTTCGCTTGTGAACCCCCCCTCGCTGTAGGTCGCACCGCCGATCGAAAGTAGGATGGTCTTCCCAAGGGACTGACAGGTCACAATATCCTCGCTTCTCTTCATATTAGACCGCGGGGCTAAAATTGTGATGTCTGGGGTACTTACCCGATCGTGGGGCACTCTAGAAGAGCAGTTCCCGCAAAAGCAGTGCAGGAATCCCCCGAATTGGCAAAGTTAATCTCGGGGGCACCGCCTTCTCCATTTACAACATCCAAAAATGCGAGTTGAATTACCTGAATCATGTTATCAGCATTTAACATCGAAAGGGGGATGTTAATTAGCACACGTCAATGCCCGAATCTACATGCCGCGGTTAGTACAATAGCTCAGCGAACCCCTTCGAACCACCAAATTGCCTACTTTTACAATAATATGCGAGATTTTGCTGCGCCAGACTTCCAGATGAGTCTCCGTAAGAGTTCTGACCCCAATAAATAGCGATATTAGAGGAGCTTGACACATCAAGCGCGGCATAAACGCCTTGCAAGGTGAAAAAGGCCGTCAGGGCAGCAGCAGTACGTAGTGGATACATGGAGGTCATTTGGATTCAGGGCTATCAGGCTATTATTATATGTTATTTGGTTCCAAGGAAGTTTTGGATAATGGTGACAAGCGGAAATTGACCAATTGCTTGAACACAATTGATATCAGTCCATTAACAGTCACTAGCGCAATCTGCTTCCTCCCCCAAGACTGCTTTTCTTTCGACCACTGCCATTGCCCTAGCGCGGAGATTTTACTTACTGGACCGCGCTAATTTGAGGGCTGTCGTTAAATGTCCCCTTCCTAGAATTGTGGCCATCAGCGTTTATCGCCTAGCATTGAAAGAAATAACTAGATGGAAAATTAGGGCGAGAGTTACAGTAGGCACATAAGGTGTATTCCAATCGCCCTCGATTTAGTTTAGGGCGATCAACGAAAGATCCGCGCTAAGGCCTGGGCAGTGGGTCCCGAGAAAAAACAGACCTTAGGAAGGAAGCAGATTTCGCTAGTAACTATATCACGAAAAATCATGAACATGAAATATCACTAATCAACATTATTCATATTCGCAAGATTCATGAGTACATATTAACTATTCCTTTCGGGGCCCTACTTGCGACATGATCGGCCATCAAATGCCGATTAGTGATTAAGGGCCTCAAATTGAGGCTCTTAAATTATTGGGTACGGAGACCAAACTGAGCGTCAGAATCAATTCGCGAATAACTCTTATTGATACAGCATTTATACTAAGTTGCGTACCATAGTGCAGTATGGGAAAGTCATGGCTTTGCTTTCATGTGTGGCTGACAATAACTACATCAAGCGCCAATGATTATCGCCCCACCGTCATTCTGATCAACACTATATCGTAGATCAAATGGCTGACCAAGCTTGGATTTCCTGGGTGGTTCAACAAGTAGAATCTGCGAATTGCTCAAACCATCACTCAAATTATTGCAGCAAGTAATGACTGAGGAAGACAAATGAAATGTGATGGGTAATGGTGAAAGTGTTGGAATTTGAAAACCATCGCGCAAGCTTGGAAACTACTTGTTTCTTTTCACTATTATCATATATTAATATCCTACAGCAAAAGTACCATTACGCGCGTGGTTTCGCTAGTTTATAGCTAGGAGCCACTCCAAGTACCAGATAGATCTTGTCAGCACCCCTATTTTCTTTCTCTTTTAAACAAGCGTGAATATTCTAATCAATGGCTAGTTACTAATGTCATTCAAAGCCAGATTCACTCGATCTCAGAAAGGTGCACTGTAGAGCTAATTCCATTTAATTTCTCTAACTAATCCGCGTTAAACTACTGCTCAAATGACTGCTCAAATGACTGCTCAAATGACTGCTCAAATGACTGCTCAAATGACTGCTCAAATGACTGCTCAAATGACTGCTCAAATGACTGCTCAAATGACTGCTCAAATGACTGCTCAAATGACTGCTCAAATGACTGCTCAAATTAATGCCGCTAGTTCTTTCTCGATTTTGATTGTATTCTGCTTCGGGTAGTCTCAAACCTGCATTCGAAGACTAAGTTGATTTGATGTGTTTTTAGGGTGTGAGTAATTCAGTATTGTGGGATAGGTTATCAAGGGACATGTCTGGTATATCATGTCTTCTTCAATTACTCAGTGATGCTTTGTTTGTGCTGCTAAGTATGTATTTATAGCCTCTCTGTTCTACAATGAAATCTTCGATCATTATCTTGCACCTTCCCAGCATTTATATCAAAGAGATGTACCGGTGCTCGTTGATTACGAGACTTTCTCGAGGGTATCATTCTCTAGCGCAACCTCACAAAAAGGCCCCAGTTGGTTTATGTAGTGGGTCATCTGATCAAGTTCTTGTGAGTCCCAGCCCTGCACAGCTGTATATTCAGCCGTGTGCTAATTATTTTGTCTTCAGCATCCCATTGTGGACACCTCTAATAAGATGATGCGTTCGCTGTTTGAAGGCTATCGTCCTACTTTTACGGCCCATAGTCTGGGACGGGAGGCGAAATCACTTCTGCGCCTCACGCCGTCCCAGCAGATGTGTTACTACGATGATAGATTGTTTGGTGGATATATCACCCTCTTGATGGACCGTATTCTGGCCGATTGTTGCAAACCAGCCTTCACTGCCTACTTGAATACCTCATTCATTCATCCAGTTCCACCCTCAGCACCAATACTTCTACGTGCATGGCCGGAGAAAGTCGAAGGTCGCAAGGTCTTCCTCAGAGGAAGTGTACAAATTCCTGGAAAAGCGCCTCATGAATTGGTCGATGCTATCCGGACAGACGCGCTTTTCATCAGACCAAGACCCTGAAATTGAAGTGGACCAGACTGGGCTTCCTGTATAAATATTTACAAGTGGAATTGGTTTTCACGTCACATCTTCCTATTGGAAAACAGGATTAGATGTATTTTTATTGTATGCGGATACTTGAAGTCAGTCACTGTTGAGATATACTTCTGCCTTGACCACTGTAGTGATGATAGATATCCAGCACAAATATTATCTCACCCATGCTTTGTCTTGAATACTCTTCATCAATTCACCCGCTCGCGCCCAGTCACAAAAGGCCTCTAGCAGCGTCACACCATCCCTCTACAATCTTAGCTTGGAAGCCGGTGTCGGGCGCCACTGTATTGATATGTATAACTTGGTCGATGATTTGATCCAATCGGAATGATCGTAGTAAAAAACAATTCATTTGTGGTCGCAACTGAATGAGTAAGCACAGAAGCCTAGTACTGTACACCTCACAGCGAAATCTGCTTTCTCACTTGAGTGACAAAGGGCGGGGGAGCATAGAGCTGGCGTGTGTATGGTAGTTTCGCGTAAAATAGATTTCTCGAGGTCCGATGATTGTATTGTGCCAGTGTTATCTCAGGACATAGCCTAAAATCTTCCAGTAGGGTTGGGATGCTATTAAAAGCATCGCCGACCTTCCCCCGGGGCCATCGGCGCAGGTCTTTGAGCGCAGTCCAATCTAGCAGAATATGTGTATTACGCTTTGGCGCTCGACGCAGACGCACAGCTTGCCGAGGTCTTGATAGAATTTGCCTGTGCATTGTAACAGTTTAATCCTCATTTCGAAGGCCACAAAGGCAGCCTGACAACGCCTACCCTGATTAGGCTACGTTGGCCTCGATGAGGCTCTTGATTAGTTTGCGGGAAGTGAAACAAATTACGCCCGCAAACCATCCGATGTACAACGTGTTGAACACAACTGCAATCATTTTTTCTACATGGAGATTTCCAGTTCTTCATATTTGAAACTAAAGCTAAATACAGTTCAAGACAAAAAAACGCAATCTCATCGCCGAAGTTGGAGTCCCCACTGTTTTAAAGCCCGCAAAGTCTGTTTCAAACGTCTTGATCTTGCTTTTTGAAGAACACTTTGCTTCAAGACATTAGGAATGTGGCCAACCACTAAAGGAAACACATGACGTGCTTTCCGATATGATGGGTAGCGCCGTTCAAGCCTCTCATTCAGTATCATTTGTATTTCAGGAATTACATAGCTCTTATGTTCCCCGTAACCGACCTGTAGAAACTTTGCTAGGCACTCAAAAGTAACCTTCATCAGTGCACGTTGGGGTTCACTAAGGCAGAAAGGTAGTTTTGCCACGTAGTCACTGCTTGCTGCATCAACCCTCTTTTCAGTGAAAAGTGATTTTAGAAGAATTTCAGTTGCTTTGGCAATTGTGATGATATTCAATTTGGCAGGAGAGGCTTTCTGGAGGATAGAATCCCAAGATTGACTTGCTATCCGTGACTCTGAAACCTTCGAATTGGAATGAGTAAGACACAAGTCTTCCAACCCTGCTTCCCAATTTGGCCTCAAATTTAGAGACTGAGTTCCATCAACCACCCCCACAGTGTATACTCTATCATCTTTGGGCGAAATTGGAAGTGAGCTAGCTGAATGCAAAATAGAATCGACATCTGGATGCCATTCTTCCGTCGACTTCTTGTTTGAACCTTGCCCTTTAGGAATATCATCAACGGCCTGATTTAAAATTGATGAAAGGTAGTGTATCACTTTTATGATCTGTATACAGGGCTCTTTATATGATAATACGCTGCCATCGCTGCGAAGCAGTCTATCATGATACCTGGTCATTTCAATTTCATAGAGGGTCCTTGTAAAGCAGGCTTGTTGCTTCTTAGTAAAGTATTTTCGATGAGCGGTAGGGGGCCGTCATGAACAGAATTGGACCACGGCCTCGGCCTTTTATTTGGTCAAAAGCAAACAGCTTCGACGCAAACCCAATCAACGCAGAAATATTTGGGCTTATATTACTCATGGATGTACTTCCAGAAATCAACGATATAATGTTTGGCGAATGAAAAGATATCAATCAAAATGCCTGCAACAGTTATGAAGTCATGAAAAACCGAGTTTGATAAGAGACGGCAATCATGTTGCCATCTTAGATGCGAGGGATTCGTACGCCTCATCTTAAATTTCAAGAAGGAGATGAAGTCAGCCACAATTATCAAACAAGGCAATACTGAGACGGATCAGCGCCGGTCACAAGATATGGCGGGTTTGACGATGATTAATCCCATTACCATAAACGTGAAATCCGAGTCAGCGAGATAAGTACTAGAATTATAGCCAAAGAGACATAAATGATTTTCACCTGCTCACTGAGCGGAGTGGTGAAAATCTTTGAGCAGGTGGTGTCTCTCTCCTACCCCCTAGGCGGTCGACAACCGCCTCTACCAAAGCTCTCTTCTATCAGCTTTTAGACTTCACTCGAAAAAAGACGCCAAGACTGCCTTTTTCAAAGTAACCTTTCTGTTTTCATTTTTTGCAGGGTCAACATTCTATCGAAGGTCATACAACCTTAATACAAAAGCGATTTTTGGGCTGTTATCTACAACTGTATACTTCAACTCGGGATCATGGACGAAATTAAGATACAGATACACAGCTGAGTTGATAATCATCTCTCTCTCTATCAGGCTGCGTTATTGCCATTTCTCAACTTCACGCGTGGAGTTCCCTTTCTTATTTACCTACCCGACTGGCAGTTGTTTCTTTACAACAGAAATTCTGTAGCACCAGGAATCCTGCCTTCGAGTGCTTTTCATAATCGAACATATATCAAAACCATTAACGAACATCCAGATCAAGTATATGCATCATCTGGGCTCCTTTTAGCCCGTTCGGAGGGTTTACATGAGACTTTGTCTGGGCATCTATGATGAGCAGTAGTATCAGTCAGAGCTTTTGACCTTGAAGTTGCAAAATAGTGTCATGAAAAATGCCTTAGTCGGTGGCTTGACTGTCAGCAAGAATGAAGGACAATTGAACACTGAGCTTCGCGATTGAGATCGCCCAACATCACAATACGATAGTCTCAAAGTCACCTGACAGGAAAAGTACTTACAGCAAGTCTGCTCTTTTATAAGCGTTCGAGACAGATAGAAGGCCATGTAGCTGAGAACTAGAGTCGCTGCCATAATGACCCCGGTCCTCTGATTGAAAATGGAGACACATAGGACTAATCCTACTGCGATTCCTGACCCTATGGTAAGGAATTCTCGGGCTGATAGAGTTGACGTGGCTGATGTAGATGGCAACATGGCTTTGCGATATAGTGAAAAAGATGAACCTCATTCATCCGGTAATTGAAATGAAGGGAAAGTGAAGCGCATAGAAGCGGAGTGAAAATGTGGACCAAGGTGAGAAAGACCAGTGCGTGTGTGGCGCTCAAGAAACAGTCACCCACATACTGATTAATTGCTCAAGATTGAAAGATTAGATGTTTTTAAAAGAGAAATAATGCAAGAGGTTGGGGATGCGCTTGTCATCACTGGCAAACCTGCTTCATCCCCAAAGACCCCTTTTCTTTTCTCGGGACCCACTATAAAACCTAAGCGCGTGTCCTTTATTGACTGAACCGCGCTAAGTCGAGGGCCCACGGAGATCAATCCTTATCTATTACCGTGATCATCAACATTGATAGCCCAACATTCAGAAGTGGGGACTGTTTGGACAGACACAAGAGCCTAGGCTTGTCAGTCATTCTAAATGCTTTCTCTTCAACCTTATGCCGTTCATGCTGTTTTTATGCCTTTTGAGCTTGTCAAATTGAGATATGGATCTTTGCAATCGAGACCGTCACCAGGCTTACTAGTGTTTCACGACATCGATCTTTATTACTTGGCGTTGACTTTTCTGGTGCCGTAGTTTGTCTTCCACTGAAAGGAGCACGCTTGAGTTGATCGATCTTACCACGTTTAGCCGCAATTTGATAAACTTTTGGAAATTGTGCTTCAGTATGAAGACTTGTTGATGACAGTTTTTTCAGTCCATGCGCGGTTCAACTCTACTATGTTCTTCCTAAATTTGGTTTAATTTTGTTACCTCCACTTTTTTCATGACTTGAATGATTGTACGATTTGAGGCCATACTCATATTTGCATTGGTCGACCAAGTATAGAAGATTTTTTGCGTGTGTTTTGTTTCTTTTTGATGAGTTGAAAGATTCTGTAAGATGTTCAGGCTACTCCAAATTCATTGGATATCTTTGAAATTTTATTTAGTGCTAGATGGTCGATTATGCAAATCTGATATAATATCTAGGCTATCTTAAGATCTGTTACAAGAGATCCTTGTGAATCTTAGTTCGCAAGTGGTTTAACAAGATGCTTGAAACTCTTCCATGTGAAATTTTGTCGGATGTTGCGCAATGGGTGAGTTTCACTTGACTCTACCTACACCTCTCATTCTGACTGACTCTGTTAGCTGCCTCCTGCAGACTTGCAGGCCTTATCTCAAGTTTCTTCTAGATTTTACTCCATTTTAATTCCCCTCATTTATCGCACCGTCAACTTTCGAGCCTCTAGCGAGTTAGCACTGAATCTCTGGAATGTTGAATCTTTCTTTCAGTTGCACCGACGATCAAGAGACAATTTCCACCTCAAATTTACCAGAGATTTGAGGATTTCTGCACCTATCCAAATCGCGAGATTCAACCGTTGTGTTTACTGTAACTTAGTCCAATCAAGTGGACTGGTTCGAAATTCTGGAACGCTCGGGCCTTCTAACGAGGCCAGGGCCCATGAACAGTTCCTTGACGACATATCACGTCAAGTACAGTGCGTACTGAGGAACCTCACAGCAAACCTTCTCCAATCCTTTCAGTTAGTGCCGGCTTCCAGTTTCTGGTTCTGTGTTTTAACAAAATCTCACAGGTGGCATCTTGGCACTTGTATTCCCGGAGGGCTTTTAGATCATAGTGGCACCCTCGTGATTGAACAGACAAATCTCAAACATATATCATTAGTCACTGACGGATCATGCCCGCATGCTGGTGCCTGTGTTGGAGGGCTCTCTCTGTTTCCCCGCCTGAAATCTATAGCATGGGAAGGGATTCAACATGAGTTAGAATTTGAATCACTGCAAAAATGCATCCGCCGAAATAGGCCACACCTGATCAGCTTATCCGTCGGACTTGCAACGAATACCACAAATCTTGATTTCTATCAGTCTATACTAGGACTTCCCCTCTCGCACGCCCTTTTTCCTCGAGGGATCTTTATTGACACAACGGATTATTTCCCATGTCTGCTCTCTCTTGCACTCTCCAAAGCCCTTTTGCTGCACGAGATAAGGCCAGGCCTTGCATCTGCTTTTGGTGCCCTTCAATCACTCACCCTGCGTAACTGTCAAAATGATCTCTTATTTCTGGGTTCCCTTTCATGTTCACCAAAAAAGGTTAAACTTCAAAGTTTTCATTTCTCCTGTGACATGCTTCAGGAGGGCAACTCTGATCGTGAGGCAAGATTTCTGGCAGAGTTCCTGAAATCTTTCAAAGGGCTCAGACATCTGCACCTTAAATTGTGCAATTTCTTGGACTTGTCTTGGATAGAGCAGGGAATTGCGCACCACCGTTCCACACTGGAAACCCTCGTCTACCACGAGCGTGGACTTCAGGCTATTGATGATGAAGGACGATTCGAAGAGACTCGAGATCAACAACCTACTTGGGCTTTACATCTGGCCAATGCTGTCAATTTATTGCAAATCTCCGCCTTGGCATTGTGTGTGTCACCATCAGTGATGGTAAGTTCTTTCTTTCAAGATACTAAACCAACCGGCTGAACGAAGTAGCGTTCAATACTCGAGCCGTTCCCTGGTACCTTATCCCTGCGACTTCTACATCTTCGCTTCAGCGGCTCTGAGAGGATGCATCGAAATATTCGACACGAATTCATTTCTCGCCTCCCACAAGCACAGTCGTGGAGCTCACATGATTCCATCCCAGGCCGCAGCTCGGATTACTCAGCATCAATGAGAGCAAGCGAAAGAAGCAACAACACCATACTGCCTGAAGAGCTACTTGCTTGGCCGTATTTGGAAGTTGATAGCACAACTTCGTGCTCTGAAGGCAATGAGTCTGTACAATTTGCGGAATGGGCATTTGGTCCGACTGGAATAGATTCCTTAAAAGTGTTAGCTTTCGGAGACCTTTCCTACGACGGAAGGTATCAAAATCAACAGTTTCTCCTTCGCCGGAGATATCAAGAAGAGGGCCAAGTGTCTCAAAAGGACAAAGACCGATTATGCACAGGTGTGAAAGGTCCGTATTTCTGCGTGGCCACAATCGAGGAACTGTTGCTTGACGGTTGTATTACAGTGGAAGATTCGAACTTTCTTTCTGCTTGCCCAGAGGACAGTTTGATGGATTCCCCTTATGCGTAGATCAACCGAATATGAACGTTGCAGACAGCTTCACATTATCTCCATATCTCACGGACCTACACACACACACACACACAATTCATTAACGCCCGGCGGCTCAGCCGAAAGGGCAACTATCACTGATCTAATGTACATGTCCAAAAATATATGCAGTGTCTCCTTCGAGCCCATACACAAAGTAGTCTCAGTTTACATCATCTCATTCGGCCATGTCGTAAGGATCCTTGTGGGTTAGTAATTTTGGGGCAGACTGGCTTGAAGGCGCTTCTTCAAGTGTTCAACGTCCTATTTTCGGCAATTGAAGCGCGTCTACCGTCGTTGGCACAAGGTAAGTGGGGGAAGTTAGTTGGGGGAAAGGGGGAAAGGGTTGTCCGTATTGGTAGGCCTGCTTATATGGCATCAAGTCGGCCCGTGGCGATTGCAAACCGTATCGAGGCTCGCACTGCTTCCATGTTCGGCGTCCAGTTCTGGTCATCGGACGGCGATTTGCCGCCAAGGAAGTAAGATATATTGCCTCGATGAGTGTCCGGACATTGCAGTAGCCTTGTCCGGTGCACCGTCCACCTCCGACAACGAAAGAGGAAGTGCTCCACCGTTTCTCTTGCTTGTCCACATGCACATTGATCCGTCTCAGCCACGTTGATCTGAGAGAGGTATCCATTGAGTCTGGCCATGCCCGTCCTCACGGACCTACAGTAATAACCGAAATCAGTTATACCGCCACACTCTTTTGACTTGATTGTCGGAAACTAATCCCGAGAGCTGCAAGTCCTGATTGGATACCATCAACGACCTATGGGACTCCAGACCGCTTGCCGAAATTGTATCTGTAACTTACATTACCACTGTGAGACATGAGGCAATGCGGGACTAGCACGATGACTCATCGAAAGTAGCCGAGCCAATACCGTCCATGTTTTGCCAGCAAAGCAGAGCGGTGATCCAAAAGGGGCTAGCGTTTCCCGGGTATATTTTCCGGCAATCAAGCCAAAAGAGTGTGGCGGTATAACTGATTTCGAATATTACTGTACCTTCATCGTATTTAGATATCGTTTTTATTCATGGACGTACATGCGATATTGGTCGGTATTCTTTCGTCACCCATGTCAGTGTTCGAGCTGGACGGAATATAGCTCATTAACACGCATTGAAATCAGGCTTGATATGCTTGAAACTGCTTCTTGATTTCTATAATGGTCTTGAGGACCGCATTTTAATACATATGATATTCCACTCCTGCTCGATGGAACTGCGCAATCTAGAGACCGGTACAGGGCCGCTCGAAATCAGCTTCACCTGGCTTTTCTCTTTCAAAAAGTTTTCGAACTTTATCTTGCATCACATTATACCTATTATAGTTAGACTACCCCTGACCCGGTATCTTTCCGTATTCCATGACAGTAGCAATAATACGGATAAAAATAGGTATTGTATTCCGTTGTACAGGAATTCTGTGCTCTACGATAGAAGACACGAAGTTCTAGAACATTCCTTGCAAAGTAAGCAAATGATATCACTAACTAGTAAGTCGCCGATCTGCTTCACCTTAATCATGGGTGGCGTAACGATTCTTCGTCTGCCGACACGCGTGGACGGAGACCGGGCATGACCGAACAAGCGGAGGTTGTTGCGAATATTGACGATCGAGCGCTCGCTACACTCAGCAGCCGTGGCCATCTGTAAAATAGTCACGGATCCACATTCGATCATATCACGAATCATCTCTAGCTTGCATGGAGAAAGTCGAGGGGCCATTTTAGCGAGACTGTAGGGGTTCCCCTGGCATCTTTGATGCAACGGAGAAGAGGGGGTTTTCCATGCTCACCCTGCTCACCCTGCTCAGTGAGCGGGTGCAATGAATCTTTATCGAAAGTCGCGGGGAATGCTGGGGTATTAGGAAATGCACGTGACTTTGACCCACAGTGGTTCCTGGGAAGTGAGTGGTTTCTTGGTGATCTGAAAAGTGCGGGTGTTGATCAGTGATCAGTGATCATAATGTGAAGGACTCAAATACTTGCACCTCATACAGAGGCATTGCTAGAATGAGCATTGGGAACTTCCGCGCGGCATATATTGGCATGATATTGTAATTAAAAGCATGACAGAAATCAAAATAATATGTATCAAGAGAAACGGCAATCAAAGGGTAGGTATAGGACAGTGTTTTGAAAGTGCGAGAAAAATGACGCGATTTGATGAACAGGCAAAAGCTATTTTGGCCTCATGTATAGAAAAAAGAGAGACACTAAGGGGGCGATATTCTGAGGGTAACCATAAGAGGTTGAGTCCACCATAGGTTATCCAGGAACGGTCATCGCCAAGTCCATATCCATACTGCTTTGGAGGATGGGTAAAAGTGTTATGCATAGGCGTCACAGCATCCACTGAGCTTATGCAAAATGTACGAGCATCGGTGTGCAGACAATTTGAATCGGCGATGTCAAATTTGACGAAGCTAGTAAAGCCGGTAGAGAGGGTTGACATGCTCTGGCCGGTGGCTTCATCCCATATCCGGACGGTCTTATCATCTGACGCTGATGCAAGTCGGCTTCCATCCCGCGACCAGGCAATTGACCGGACCCAGTGACTATGCCCCTCGAGAGTAGACATGCTCTGGCCGGTTGCTGGATCCCATATTCGGACGGTGTTATCATCTGACCCTGATGCAAGTCGGCTTCCATCTGGCGACCAGGCAATTGACCGGACCCAGTGACTATGCCCCTCGAGAGTAGACATGCTCTGGCCGGTTGCTGGATCCCATATTCGGACGGTGTTATCATCTGACCCTGATGCAAGTCGGCTTCCATCTGGCGACCAGGCAATTGACTGGACCCAGCCATTATGCCCCTCGAGAGTACCAACGCTCTGGCCGGTGGCTGGATCCCATATCCGCACTGTGTCATCCCCAGACCCTGATGCAAGTCGGCTTCCATCTGGCGACCAGGCAATTGACCGGACCCAGTGACTATGCCCCTCGAGAGTAGACATGCTCTGGCCGGTTGCTGGATCCCATATTCGGACGGTGTTATCATCTGACCCTGATGCAAGTCGGCTTCCATCTGGCGACCAGGCAATTGACTGGACCCAGCCATTATGCCCCTCGAGAGTACCAACGCTCTGGCCGGTGGCTGGATCCCATATCCGGACTGTGTCATCCCCAGACCCTGATGCAAGTCGGCTTCCATCTGGCGACCAGGCAATTGACCGGACCCAGTGACTATGCCCCTCGAGAGTAGACATGCTCTGGCCGGTTGCTGGATCCCATATTCGGACGGTGTTATCATCTGACCCTGATGCAAGTCGGCTTCCATCTGGCGACCAGGCAATTGACTGGACCCAGCCATTATGCCCCTCGAGAGTACCAACGCTCTGGCCGGTGGCTGGATCCCATATCCGGACTGTCTTATCCGAAGACCCTGATGCAAGTCGGCTTCCATCTGGCGACCAGGCAATTGACTGGACCCAGCCATTATGCCCCTCGAGAGTACCAACGCTCTGGCCGGTGGCTGGATCCCATATCCGGACTGTCTTATCCGAAGACCCTGATGCAAGTCGGCTTCCATCTGGCGACCAGGCAATTGACTGGACCGAATGACTATGCCCCTCGAGAGTAGACACGCTCTGGCCGGTGGCTGGATCCCATATCCGGACGGTCTTATCCCAAGACCCTGATGCAAGTCGGCTTCCATCTGGCGACCAGGCAATTGACTGGACCCAGCCATTATGCCCCTCGAGAGTACCAACGCTCTGGCCGGTGGCTGGATCCCATATCCGGACGGTCTTATCCCAAGACCCTGATGCAAGTCGGCTTCCATCTGGCGACCAGGCAATTGACTGGACCGAATGACTATGCCCCTCGAGAGTAGACACGCTCTGGCCGGTGGCTGGATCCCATATCCGGACTGTCTTATCCCGGGACCCTGATGCAAGTCGGCTTCCATCTGGCGACCAGGTAATCGATTCGACCGAATCACTATGCCCCTCAAGAGTTTGAAGGCAAGCACTCCAGCTTTTCTCCACTATGGGATAGTTTGAAACCCAATCAGGTCTATCTTCCCGGAAAGCTATTCCAGTCAGGCTCTTTGACGGGCTAAAGACGAGAGGTGAGCAATACACCTGTAGCGGGCTGCTCTCGATTCCTGTTTTATGATATTGAATGAATCTACTGGCGTCTTGAGCTCGTTCCAAGAGTCCATCTGACTCACTCTCCTCCTGTCAGCAGATAACCTTATATTAGCAGGCTACTCCGTGTTGGCACGGACTTGGCAACATACGACAATCAAACTTTCTAGCCTTTTCATAGCGCGTATGCCATCTGAAAGGCTTCCCAATATGCTCAGAGCCTCGAGCCAGTGGAGGTATTTCTGCTGCAGAAACCTATCCAGTATCTGCCTATCCTTCAAACTCTGTCTATAGGTTGCGTTATACTTCCAAGCATCAAGATGGCCTACCCAATAGACACAAGCGTACTCAGCGGGTGCTAGTGGATTTGGGTTTGGCACACTAATATCCTTAGAGGATATGCCTGGCAATTTGAGGTCAAAGATGTCACGTCGAAGTGTCTTGAAAAGAACATTCAGACATTGGGAGAAGATAGTGTAGTGTTCACTGTCTAGGCCCTTGGGAAACATCTCCGCGAATGCCTCTCTAGTCAGGAATTCTTTCGCAGATTGATGAACAAACGTGATGGTGCTTTCTCGTAATGTCAGGAACGACCCACATATCCCGATAACCTCAAGGAGTGTGTCAAGATCATCGAAGCCATCATTCCGCCCCGCAAGGAGGGAGCTTAGCTCGCTAAGCGTGACTGGGCGATAAACTGCCATTACAGTGCCCAGTATCTGTTTGCAGAGCTCTGCGTCTTCTGAGTCACGAACCTGACCCATCATTCGGCGGTAAAGATTATCGAGTCCAGGCGGGAACATTTCAAGCTTCTTCATTACATGCCTTCTTGGCGTTTGGTCAAGATTCTTCCAGACCAAGGCAACCCATAGGAAAGTGCCTTGTGAGTTGCGTAATAAGTGGCGTTTGACAGTTGCAGTTATTTTCTCATCGTATCTTTTTTGCTTGGCCAAAGAGTCCACTTTATGTTGGATGAATGCATCTACAGCTCCAGACACGGATGTCTCATTCAGCTCCAACGAGATCGGAGCTACATGTGTAGCAGAGTCGAGACACTCAGTAATCTGATATTCGTTACGACTGGAGACAACCCATTTTATTTCTTGATGGGCTGTTGAGTGTTCAACGATTAGATCCAGAAGGTCTTGAAGACCATCTCGACATTCGTCCAAAGCATCAATCACGAAGTAGGTACTCTTCAAAGACGAGTCTTCGAGGATTTGTGTGAAAATGGATACGAGGGCACTCCATGCATTGATGTCTTCGAACAGGTCTTTCCCTGCAGAATCGTATCGAGCTCGCACGTGGCGGAGAAGTGATGGATGCTTCTCGATAAGTGAACATATCAAGCCACGTAAGACGGACGTCGCACTATTGATACGCATATCGGTGGCTTGGCAGAAGAAGAACGAGAGAGTTGCACTCTCATTATGTGATTGTGTCAACTCCTCGATGATGCCACACAGAAGCATCGTCTTGCCTTTGCCGGGATCACCCCTGATCCAGAGAAGACGATTGCTCTGGTTATTTTGCCATTTTCTGAAAGCTGCGTTTTCAAGAATCCAGCGGTAGGAGTCTTTGAGTAGCCCACCGTTAGTTTTCTTGATACGCTCTTTATCATCGCAGGGGTTGGTCGTTCGTAGGTCGCGCAGACATGCTTGGTCTAACAACCTTTCCGGTTGACCTTGCGGCAAACCCAAATTAGTTACATATAATCACGTTCACGATTCTGTACGTACTCAGATTCGCCGTGATGGGTCCATAGTTTTTTGCGACTTGGATTCCGGAGTTGACGCCATTGTAAGAAGCATGAGTGGCCATGATGGGAAGCCAGAACTCGAAATAAGGTAGGAGGAAGTCAGCGTCAAATGCCCAACTTTGGTTTACCCCGCTTTTAGGTGATCTATCGAGATACAGAAGAACCGGACCGTCCCTAACATCTCTCATTAGTTAGAAATGATTGCTTTGAGTTCACGCTCCCCAACCTTAATAAGCGTGCGAATATGCCATGGGGACTTATATTAGCCCTTGCGGAAGGAAACGCTCATGATAGACAACCTTCAGACCAATATCTAACCGGTCGTATTCAAATTTCAGGAAAGTAATAGCTCCACCAACGCCGTATTGAAACGTTACACACTATTTCACACCGTCATTATGCACTAGATAGAATGAGGGATAGCGTGTTTCATAATAGAGTTCAAGAAGAAAAAGAAAGGAAACAAAACATGAAACTGATTTCGAGCGGCCCTGTAACCTCTATTTTTAACAAGTATCTCTTATCAGATTTTCATCTTAAATATGCTGTAACATTTCAAACAAAGAAATTTGGATCAAAAGAGCCCCCCTCACAAGGCCCAGCACAGAATGCCTTCCTCCTGATAAAACTTTCCGGCGAGGTCTCACATCGTGCGTATATAGATAATCGAAATTTGCACGGTCCAGCAGCGGTATCGCAATGATAGCTGGAGACATGCTGGAGTATTCGGCGACGTATCCGTGCCAGGTTTCCGAGAAATGATTCTTTTCGGGGGAGATAGAAAACGTTCCAACCCACGACTTCTCCTGTTATCTGACCAACTTGGCATAGTCGAAACTCGACCCAGAGGACTTTCCCAAGGAATGGGAAAGCTGAAATGTGCAGGAATATGTCATTCCCGGAGGTTTGAGGGGCAAGTGGGTCTGGTCCGAACCAGTAGAAGCCGTGATCACTTCCAGCTATAGAATAGAAGATGTATTCTATTTCAGGCAGCTGGTTCGAGTGGTGTGCCGTGGGTTTCTGAGTTGAGATGACAACGCCGGTGGCAAGACAAGGGGGAAGTGTCGGTGCATCAGAAAACTCGCTCCATAGTGCCTCAAGATCAAGGTTCATGTGACAGTCTGATGAGGCCAGATTTCGAACAGGCTGAGCAATTTCAACTTGAGGTTCAAGCAGAGTTAAGTCTGCTGCGGCGATCATTTTTCGCGGTGGACTTAGGTGTCGGATCAATCGAATCTGTATTCACAAAATGATGGATGTCATATATTGGATCAGAGGGGTGGTTTATGTCTTAAATAAAGTGGAAAGACTTTAATGGGATGGTCAAGTACCCTGGCTGTTGAAATCTATTTATGTGCACTTCGCTCAGAATATCCATATTAGACGTGGAATATCCCAATATGTTGTCATTTCATTGTTCTAGCGGGGTGATTGACTGAACAAATTTGATTAGATCATATGAAACACCAGGTGGCTCCTGATCAAAACCCTTAGTTACAAGGCTTTGTATCACGCGCTGAGAGGCTTGAAGACTTAACAAAATATGAGGAATGAAGGAGTCACTCGGAGACCTCTACTATCCTTCTTTTTGCTGCGAATTAATTTCAACCTGATCGCACACTACCAATTGTTCTTCTAAAGGGAATTAGCTTACTATGAGAAGGATTATGGCGTGGTCAATAATTTGCATTCGACAAGTTGAGCATGTTCTTGAGTAGAACTGACCACAAGGATTGAAGATAAGCGAACTGATGAAATTCTTAAAAATTTGAAATTTGCGCTATTGGTACTGTTGCAACCAGTTGAGATATAACTGGAGAGTTACTAAAAGACATGTATATATCGCATAGAGCCACACCTGAACGTTAACGTGTTCGATTTGAACGTAACATTACATTGATTCCCACGAGCCACGTATTCGATGTCAATAATTTGGTTAGATATTTACATCAAATATTGTCTGAAATCCACTTTCCTTGAGATCTTGATCTAGAATACCTTTATGTGAAAACTCATAGTGTCTTTTTGTCTCATGAACCAATGCTATATTTGCACTTGTGATTCTACTACCTACGCCAAGCTCTGCATTTCCATTATTCTTCAATTCTTCAATTTTCTCAACTTGAGAAACTTCAGTATGCTCATTGTCGGTCAAACGTTTGTGATGTCAAGTCAGTGCCGGTAATATATGAATTCGATTTCCAACTTTTGGGATGTTCAGCAGGGCTTAAATGATTTATGGGTCTTTAAAAGATTAAATTCTGGAAACTTTTTTTCATGCTTGATTCTTAAGGCTCCTCTGACATAGAATTTAAATCACCCGATATCTTATTACTCCGCCACGTTATCTGGTCACTTGGCTGGACGTTTCTTTATTGGATCTCATCACGACCTCGAGCGATGGAACTCAACGAAGAACACGAGGAGATGATTCTTCGACAAGTTAAAAGGTCTGTGATTGATTTAAAGGCCGACCGCAAACCTTTATGGATGCTTATTATTACAGTCAGTTTCTCAATCCAGCGTATAGCGACCTTTCAGTTGTCTGTGGCACCGATAGCTTTCCAGCCCACAGAATATTTCTGCACCGCCTATCTGACAAGCCGCAAGACCTTCAGGTAATTAATCGGACCATTCCATCTTCCGCCTAGATTCCTATGCAAACCACCTTATCTACTAGGAAACAATCAGAAAAATGCAACTGCCGGCATGTGACCCCACAACGGTCCGAAAGGTCCTCGAATTTGCATATAAAGGTCAATATGCAGTTGGGACCCTTCCCGCCGCAGAAACGTCCAAGTCCATGACTGGTGGGGATCATCAGGAAGGTCCTTCTCGTCATACAAGATTGCGAAGCAGAGCCCAAGCCCTCACTGTCTCTTCGTGGGCCTCAGATGAGATGCACTGGCATCCATCCAGTCTACACTTGAAGATGTATGCAGCAGCAGATGACCTCTCCTTCGCCTCCCTGAGGCTGCATGCAGAACAGGCGTTGCTCGCCTCTTTGGGAATCCTCTTCAGCCACTCTCAATTCAAGACGTTCATTCTGGAGCTTTACTCAATAGAGAAATACAGCAAGCTGAGAAACCCAGTCTTAGCCGTTATCGTAGCTAATTTGAAGAAGTTCAAGTTGCCTGATTATACTCTGATTGATGATGAGCTGCTGGACAATGTGCCCCGCTTCCGAGATCATCTATTGTCAGAGTTGATTCGGAAGCATTGTCAGGATACGCCTCATCTACCGAGCTTCTTCGATAGCAATGCAGCCCATCACGAAGCCGAACAATATCTTCTGACGTCCGAGGGATCCCAGAACAAGCATAAGATGGTTGCACATGGAATTTTCATTAATCAAAAAGATATCCTTCGCACCGTCCAAGAGTCAGCCACCCCCTTCACCGCTTGAAACACTCATTTTGAGTGACTTACTAACACAAGAGTAGTCTTTTTATCAATCCGATCTATAGCGATCTGACCGTCATCTGTGGCGGATTTGTCTTGCACGTACATAAAGCTGTTCTTTGCCCCGCCTCGGGATACATAACTCGGATCTGTGAAGCGGGCAATGGGGTAAGAATCCATACTTTTCCCATAATGGAGCTTTTCTGCTTCTATTATCCTCATCCGAGGTTGATAATAACATTGCCCCTAGAATTCATCTGGCGAGATCCAACTCGGCTCGAGAGATCCTATTCTCGTTAAAAGTGCATTCGAATTCGTTTATACAGGGAGATATACCGGTGGACCCTACGAATATCTTGGTGGGCTCACAGACGAAGCGTCATCATTCCACGCACGTATGTTTGCCGAGGCCGCATTTTTGGAAATGGAAGATTTGAAAGCGCAAGCCTTGAAACTACTCCTCAGCTCACTCGTCGCTAACCTCAACCGCTTCTCTTTAAACGGAGTCATTGATGAGGTATATTCCCCCAGGTCCGATGGGGTTAACTTGGCTGAGGCCAGGGGAGCTTTGCTTGATCTCATAGTTGATGAGTTAATCAATCTTTCAAATTGGAATTGGGGGTGGATCACGGATCCTCTGGAGTATTGCCCAGAGTTTGGAAGCGAAATTTGCCTTGCCCTCGTATCCCGGGGATTGCTTGTCTCTTTGCGAACTGACGAGACCTGCCAATAAAGATTTTAATGGAGCTCCCTGACACAATCAGTGCCGTATGTGACATGGAGCTCATTCTGCAATCACAACGTCCCCTGGCGGGGGGCAAATCCCTGCCACGGAGTTCTGAGCATGATGGCGGTCTTGGCCACACTAATATAGGCTGCTTCATGATAATTTGATCAACCAGCGTTTACCTTCCTTCGTTGAGTAGAGTACGAAAGCCGATCAAGGTCTAGCCCAGTTCCTGTTTCTCAGACACTGAATAAGCCCGAATCCTAGTCATAAACAGCTACAGTACTAGTACTTTAAATTGGCATAAATTATACGTCAACGGTATTACATCTAACAATGGCTGCGAACTCTCGTTTGAGGGTGACATCATTGTCTCCTACCTTATTCTTGTCTGTGCTTTATGCTTTATGTTTCCACTAGTGGATTACCCAGGGGTGGAAGGTGATCATGAAGAAACACGACCCTCTGCCGGATACTGATAATAGTTCATAGGCAACATTTGTTGTCTCTAGTCCATGAGATGTGTTTGGCATATAGGAAGCAAAAGATATTACAACACTAAGTGCCGATTAATGAATCGTTAGGAAATTTAGCTATGTTTGCAGCTATCATAGTATTATTAGTACCACCAATTCAAGCTATAGGTAGTACAAGTAATCAAGTGGCAGTACCAACAAATCCATACTTCCTTGACTAATTGATCAGTTACTTGGTTCCTGCTGTCAAAACAAGGTAGCGGTAACCCACCGCTAATCATTAAGAGAGCACATCCCTTGCTTGATGTGCGCATTCTTGCCCGGAGCTGCGGCTCCGACGTTGTGGCCGCCGAATGTTGGCGCATGGGATTAAGGGGTATCTTGAATCCTGGCCGGAAGATAAATTAACACAGATCAATAACTCAAGGCTTGCTGAGGAGCCTGAATACTCTTTCATTCACTGTTTACACGATACTTGTCTGGTGATTCCAACGCTTGGTGACGCAGATCAATTGAGACCAACAATAGTTCGGTCACTGTTCTTAGCCAAATGAGTATAGGTTCATCGATGTTAGCAGATTTAGTAGTATAGACTATCGAGACGGAATACAAGGCAAACTGAATCTTGATATCTTTGTGATTTCTTCCTACGCATACGAGAATTATTTCGACTTAGGACAGCCATCCCAACCTTCGAGCAGTGCTCTTACTCCCTTCCGAAAACTCCCAAATCCTTGTTCGGAATGGGCCAGCAGGGCTTGTTGACTCGCAAACTGACGATCTGAAATCTGCATTTGTTGACACAAGTGAAGGTTCGCCGCGCGGAGCATGTCGTTTTCCTTCTTCAGGTGGTGAAATTCAGCCTGTTTCATACTATATGACTCCCAGAGTGTTGAATAGAGTCGCAGAATATCCGCAGCTGGGGGATTCTCAGGCTCATCCTGATCATGCCGCACCACCTCTTGGATGGGCTGTCGAAAAGGGTCGAGTTGGGGTGGACTATTGCAGGGCGAATGCGGGACCTATCATGACAGGTTAATACCGAAGAGTCGTCTTCCAGGCCTCACTTACCGGCCAATGCTCCGGATCTTGGTCCATGGGAACGGAGAACGGATCCCCGTTCTCGGAGGGTTGGTAGAATGATCCAAACTCGGACCCATCAGCCGAGGACGGTTGAACGTGATTGGGGGTGGCCATTGCTGTTGGAAAGGGTGAGAAGGAAGGCGTATTGGGTGCTTCAAATGTGTTCGCAGGAGGGCTTTATACCATTACTCGATTCACCAGAATCAGTCAGCAAACTATAGAAATGCGATTGAACATGAGGCACCATATCTGCCGCAGAAATATCTTGCTCACGTGTTGCATTGTGCAGGCTAGGATCGTTGCGACTTTGCAAGCTTTAGTTGAAGGGCCTCAAAGCGTGTTGTGAAGGTATTTGATCATCTTATAGCGCGGGATTTTCATCTTTTGTCCTCAAACCGGGGGGGAGAGGGTTGAAATTGGTTTGCCCGCAAATTTCAACACGAGCACATGATTGATTTGTTGAACTCCCAGAAACCCAGCCACCGAGCGATGTGGGATAAATGATGCTTCCATTTGGGCTTCAGCTCATACCGAAGCACTGACTACGGCCAATTTGAAGGTAAATGTGATGTTCTGGCACTGTTGCTACGGATCACGACTCTGCTCCACCTTCAATGGATGTTGTCGGTGGTATTCTCCCAGTTCAGCCCTTGATCCACATGGGAAAGTAAGGTGTCCTATCTTGAACACTTGATTTGTTATCTATTGACAGAAAACATGAGGCTCTATGTACCATTTTGCAGTTCTATGGGTAGCTTGGTGACAACTCCGGTTGCAGCTTTATTCATCATCCGTACAGTGATATTCGAAATCACCTGTACCTCTGATCTCTCTCTCTTTGCTTCCCAAAGCCCCACTTCGAGTGCACTAGTCCGAACTAAGATATCTTTCCGCCGTCCTGTAGGAGGTGCCAATGTCCGGATGAATATTCGATGAGCGAGCGTAAATTACAGTAACTAATGTACAGGGCGGATCGAAGTCAGTTTCACCTCCTTGTTCTCTTCATTTGTTTTTCGAATTCTATATTTAGTACAGGGCCGCTCGAAATCAGCTTCACCTTTGTTTTCTTTTCTTTTCTTTTCTGAACTTTATTCTGAAACACGCTAGTCCCTCTTGGACCTAGTACGGTTATGAATCTTGAAATGTTTTGTAAGGATAAATTACACGAATGCGGGGCTGTAACTTTCCTGAAACACAGATACAATCGTTACGCTGCGGTTAACCGTAAGGTTCGTCACTTTGATTAGAGCTTTGGTCTTCCGCGGCAACTTCGAGGGAGATGGCGCTACGTTCACGTATTGAACTCCTGAATAATTTAAATGGAAAGACACATTATCTATCAAGGTGATTATGAGGAAATGTGATCAAGGCGGTCGATTTCTTCTGTCTCGAATCAGAGCACCTGAGAGCGGGGTAGACTGGGGATTGGGAGATCCAAGCGTGGATTTGAGCCTCCTCAAAACTCTTACGCAACGGCCATGGCAACTACTATTTCCTACGGCGAAAAAAACTCTGGATTCCAGGCAGGAGTAATACACGGGAATGTCGGAAATGTCACTATTGGTAAGTGAAGATAGATGTTACTGTAATCTACGGCTAGTAATAGTGATCGGCTTCAGTACAATCCGAAACGCTGAATCAAGAATGCCTTCGTGATTTGCATGCCACCAACCCTGTCGATGATAAAGAGCGGATCAAGAATGACAAGGGTGGGCTACTCAAAGACTCATATCGCTGGATTCTAGACAACAAAGAATTCAAACAATGGCGAGACAGCGAGAAAAACCGCCTTCTCTGGATCAGGGGTGATCCTGGTAAAGGCAAGACCATGCTCCTATGTGGTATCATTGAAGAGTTGACGAGATTATATGGGGATAATGCGAGCATCTCGTTCTTTTTCTGTCAGGCTACCGACATGCGGATCAACAGCGCTACGTCTGTCCTGAGGGGGCTGATATATTTACTCGTCAAGAATCATCCATCTCTCCTCCACCATGTGAGAGCTCGGTACGACTATACAGGAAAGACTCTCTTTGAGGATGTCAATGCATGGAATGCACTGTCGACGATCTTCCGGGACATTCTAAAAGACCCGAGCTTGCAAATGACTTATTTGGTAATTGATGCTCTAGATGAGTGTACAACGGGACTTTATTCTCTTCTAGACTTAATTTTCCAGGAATCATCAGTTAATCCACAGATAAAGTGGGTTGTTTCTAGCCGCAACTGGCCTGATATTGAAGAGCGTCTTGACACTACCCAGACTGCTCCAATCTCATTAGAGCTAAATGAGGCGTCTGTATCTGAAGCTGTGAGCAAATTCATTCAACATAAGGTTCACTCTCTGGCGAAAATTAAAAAGTATAGCGATGAAACTCGTGATACGATATGCCGTCACTTGTCTTCCAATTCGCAAGGCACTTTCCTTTGGGTAGCCTTGGTCTGTCAAGATCTTCATAAAACATCGCGGAGGCACGCTCTTAAGAAGCTAGATGGATTCCCTCCTGGACTGAATGCCTTGTACGGTAGAATGATCGTTCAGGTTCGTAACTCGGAAGATGCCGAGCTCTGCAAGCGAATACTGGCTGTGATGTCCGTAGTGTATCGGCCTATAGCGTTTGACGAACTGGCCTCTCTCGTTGAACTACCCGATGATCTCACTAGTGACTATGAAGCCTTAGCAGAGATTATCGCGACATGTGGCTCGTTTTTGGCTGTGCGCGACGACACTATCATTTTCGTCCATCAGTCTGCGAAGGAGTTTCTACTTACAGAGACACAAAATGTGGTTTTCCCTGGAGATATAAAAGCTGAACACCGCACGATTTTCTCTCGCTCTTTGCAAGCAATGTCCAAGACACTCCAACGTGATATCTTTGAACTTAATTTTCCTGGATTTCCGATTGAGAAAGTCATACCACCCAGCCCGAATCCATTAGCAGCTGCAAAATATGCGTGTGTCTATTGGGTTGACCATCTTTACCATAGCGGATATCCTGAAAAAAGGGATTTTAGCGTTGATGAGAAAGAGTATGTGGAAGATTTTCTGCAAAGGAAATACCTTCACTGGCTTGAAGCCCTGAGCATTCTTGGAAGCCTATCACAAGGCATAGCAGCTATGCTAACGCTAGAGGTCTTGCTTCAGGTGAGTAATTGCTCATATACCGAAACGATCTCCATTTCTAACATTAGAACTACTATCATAGGAAAAAGGCGAACCGCCTGACCTTTTACATCGAGTTCAAGACGCCTCCCGGTTCATTCGATACAACAGACTAGCATTTGAAAATAACCCCCTTCAAATTTACTGTTCACCTCTGATATTTAGCCCAATGTCGAGCATCACAAGAAGACAATATCAAAGCCAGAGACCAGATTGGGTTTTGAATGAACCATTGGTGGACAAAGATTGGAGTCTATGTCTTCAAACCCTCGAGGGGCATAGTCATTCGGTCTTCTCGGTTGCCTGGTCGCAAGATGGCACTCGACTCGCATCAGGGTCCCATGATAACACTGTGAAGATCTGGGATCCGATCACCGGCCAGTGCACGTCAACCTTCGAGGGGCATAGCGATTCGGTAATTTCAATTGCCTGGTCGCAAGATGGAACTCGACTCGCATCAGCGTCCCGAGATAAGAGCGTTAAGATCTGGGATCCGGCCACCGGCCAGTGTGCGTCAACCCTCGAAGGGCATAGCCATTCGGTCAATTCGATTGCCTGGTCGCAAGATGGAAGTCGACTCGTATCAGCGTCCACTGATAAGAGCGTTAAGATCTGGGATCCGGCTACCGGCCAGTGCACGTCAGCCCTAGGGCATAGCCATTCGGTCAATTCGATTGCCTGGTCGCAAGATGGAAGTCGACTCGCATCAGCGTCTTTTGATAAGAGCGTTAAGATCTGGGATCCGGCCACCGGCCAGTGCGCGTCAACCCTCGAAGGGCATAGCCATTCGGTCAATTCGATTGCCTGGTCGCAAGATGGAAGTCGACTCGCATCAGGGTCAGACGACGAGACCGTCAGGATCTGGGATCCGGCCACCGGCCAGTGCGCGTCAACCCTCGAAGGGCATAGCCATTCGGTCAATTCGATTGCCTGGTCGCAAGATGGAAGTCGACTCGCATCAGGATCCTCTGATACGACCGTTAGGATCTGGGATCCGATCACCCGCCAGTGCGTGTTAACCCTCAAGGGGCATAGCCAACCGGTCTTCGCGATCGTCTGGTCGCAAGATAGAAGTCGACTCGCATCAGGGTCCTCTGATAAGACGGTCAGGATATGGGATCTGACCACCGGCCAGTGTGCGTCAACCCTGGAGGAACATAGGGACTGGCGTTTCTCGATTGCCTGGTCACAAGATAGAAGCCGACTCGCATCAACGTCCTGGAATAAGACGGTCAGGGTCTGGGATCCGGTCACCGGTCAGTGCGCATTAACTCTCGAGGGGCATCGCGGTTCGGTCCGTTCGATTGCCTGGTCGCAAGATGGAAGTCGACTCGCAACAGCGTCCTTCGATAGCACTGTCAAGATCTGGGATTCAGTCACCGGCCAGTGCAGGTCAACCCTCGAAGGGCATAGCCATTCGGTCCTTTCGATTGCCTGGTCGCAAGATGGAAGTCGACTCGCATCAGCGTCCCGAGACAAGAACGTTAAGGTCTGGGATCCGGCTACCGGCCAGTGTGCGTCAACCCTCGAGGGGCATAGCCATTATGTCAACTCGATTGCCTGGTCGCCAGATGGAAGTCGACTCGTATCAGCGTCCTCTGATAAGACGGTCAGGATCTGGGATCCGGTCACCGGCCAGTGCGCGTCAACCCTGGAGGGGCACCGCGGTTCGGTCATCTCAAGCGCCTGGTCGCAAGATGGAAGTCGACTCGCATCAGCGTCCTTTGATAAGACGGTCAGGATATGGGATCTGGCCACCGGCCAGTGCGCGTCGATCCTCGAGGGGCATGGCCATTCGGTTATCTCGATTGCCTGGTCGCAAGATGGAAGCCGAGTTGCATCGGGGTCAGACGACGAGACCGTCAGGATCTGGGATCCGGCCACCGGCCAGTGCGCGTCAACACTCCATATCAGCTCCCCCAATTTCGTTCAATTTGACAAAGTCAATTTCACTTATTTACACACTTCAATTGGTACATTTGACATAAGATTCGCTGCTACCGTCACTTCTACCCCTCACCATTCGATCTTGCCAGAACAATACGGTCATGGTTTGAATGGTGAATATTCCTGGGTAACTTATAACGGAGTGAAGCTCCTTTGGTTGCCTCCTGAATACCGACCTATTCATTCCTCTCATTTTGCTATGTCAGCAACAAATTTGGCGATCGGTTGTTCGTCTGGTCTTGTCATGTTTGTCGCGCTTACAGAACAGCCTCCCGTCCCTGGCCTTTGATCATTGTTTACACTGCAAATCCATGTGTCTTTCCTACACACTTCTCACCTTCAAAAGCGTATACGCGTGTGTCCACCGTCACATTTGATACAGTAGGAAGAAGTGTCGAGACTGTAGAACTCCCATTTCGGACTACCTGCCTGACCCAATCGAGAGTTTTGAAGTCACATATCTATAGGTTAAAACGCTAGGGCAACCGAACTATGCGCTTTGACCTTCCACTCGATAGTATACCAGATAAAGCTTACGGGAAGCTCGTCGTCCGGCGTATTTACTTCCCACTCGGAGAGCTGAAGCAAGTTATTGATTTTTGATAGGCTCAGAACCGTCCTGGGGGCAGCGGTTCGGTGAAGGGCTGAATCCATATTCTGAGGGTAGCGTGTGTTCGCAATATACTGGAGTGGGGGCGAATTGCGAATCCTGGCCGAGGGATCAGGGTTCTGAGTTTGGGATTCATCGCCATTGGGATAGGTGTGGTTAATCATTGTCCTCAATTTCCTAGTAAATCAGACTTCAGCACTTTTGGCCATCCAGGGTTCAACAGAGGGTGGGACCCAAAAAAATCCAGCATATTTTAGGGCGAATGAATGGGCTTGTAAAAATCTTTCCTCGCACCAGTATTGTCTCTACGTATGTCTTCGCTCGTCCACTGTTTTGGTGAACCGAAAGTGGTTGACCGAAGGGGAGATGATGAGGTGGCCAGACAACCGACCGAATCTCCTGCCAATCATTCTGTTTGGTTTGTTTGCAGGTAAGTAGTTCTAGACAGGGCATAGCTCATACACCCGTGATACGATGGCTATTTTTGTATCATTATTTATTACCGTACTGAGATACCTCGAATAATGTGGGTCATGGGTAGACTAACCATAAATGGCATGGCGTCATGCAAAACAGTGTTCAACAAAGAATTGAAGAGAGTAAAGAGGTGAAACCGATTTCGAGCGCGTCTGTACCTTCGATATCCAGCATTAAACGAGCTCTATACCGGGCTGGGTGGTCGAAAAAGAAAGCACAGTAGAGAGCAAGCGAACGAAATCCACAGTTACGAGATTTTTACCAGCACAAACTGTCAAAGTTCCGTTCGTTTCATCTAGTTTTCGTTGCTGAATCTGGGTGCGATAAACGGGTGGGTTATAGGCGGTCGGGTTGGTCTCCATTAGGCGTGACACCAATCCAGGTATCCAAATTCCATCGGGGCCAACGTTACCAAATACTGCCAGCCTATGCACAAGATGGCGTCGTCTTATCTCGTATTTTCAAAGGTTTTTACCGATGCTTCATTTTTTGAATCTTTTATTGAACAGCTTCTCCAGCACTGTGGCAGGTGGCCAGAGCCCAAATCCGTACTTGTGATGGACAACGCATCATTCCATCGTTCGGACCGAATCAGGCAACTATGTTCTGATGCAGGTGTTAAGTTACTATATTTGCCGCCTTATTCGCCAGAATTTAACCCTATCGAGGAATTATTTGCCGAACTTAAGGCGCATATCAAGAAATATTGGTCAACATTTGAAGAAAACTGCGATCAAGGATTTCACACTTTCCTTCGGCGGTGCGTTCAGGATGTTGGTGCGATGAAGAAAAACGCCGAAGGCCATTTCCGGCATGCAGGTATAAAGGTAGAAGAGCATGAGTGATTGCCTTGGTTACAGTAGTTTTCGAAATCAGTTTGACCCCAAACTCTTTCGACTTGATTGCCGGAAAATAATTCCTTAGTTTGCGAGCTCTGATTGGACGTTATTTTAGGTTTCTCGGTCCAGACCGCTTTCTTCTATAGTCAATAAAAGATGGTGGGTCTTTCCCCGACCGTGTATAGTTTGGCGCTTTTGGAGTGGGGCGTCTGGGATTCTGTTGCACAAGTACAGCAGTAGTAAAATCATCAGTAAAATTGGTGGTGGACCGAAATTGAGGTTGCCAAGACGTAGCATGTATGCCTTGTTTACTTGGGCAAGAAAATATTGAGGAGTGGTTAGTTGCTTGAGTTGAGCATAATACGAAGACTCCGTAATTGCGTTAGTCACGCCAATAGACAAGCAAACTTTCCGTAGGTTCACTTCAACAGCACCTCGTTTGCTTTGTGAGGGCGAGGGAAATATGTGAGCGAATTTTGTTCACGGTAACCGTTGGTTCATAGTCGATAGCATTTTTTAGTTCTTCGTTCAGATTAAATGAACTGGATCTTGAGGATAAAGTTCAGCCTAGTTGCGAGTTCAACAAACGTGAGAACAAAAAGTGTGGTATTGAAAGAGTGCATGATATTTTAAATAAGAGGCCGCAGAAAGTGATGAGAATGTGCAATTTTCAACAGCGTTCGCTGTGGAAAAGTAGGATTGAATTGGATTGGCTAAATAAAAATCCTCATCCACCTGGACCGGAGGTCCGTGCATTTCGCAATAGTTTCGAACCCCCGAGGTCTCTAGACTGAAATTATTTCAGTCTTCTTGTCATTATCTCCGTTCCATTCCGGGCCCTCGGGCGAGACCGGTATTTGTTGAGTATTATCCCTTTGGAATTTGGAGCCACAGTAGTGGCTGTCCTGAATGGACTATGTATGGCCACCTGGGCAGGCCTGCAGTATCTCCAACGCTAGTTCGAGGCGCAACCCTTCGGTTCAATAGAGCCCAGACCTGTTCACACCCGCCCGAGGCATAGCTATCCATGGATCAGCTTCTCGACACACGATGAAGCTCTCAGTGCTCTAGTTACTGTGCATAATTGTATACTAAAAGACTATTGTACTAGGGAGCAAATATCTAAAGCCAGCGGGACCCTCCCTTCATCTCGATTCATTTCTTGTTTATGGGGTACTCCATGATGGATCTATTTCTGGGGTGTTTGCTTTTTCCAGCTGAACACATACGGAGGCGCCTTGTTGATCCTTGCCATAGTCTTTCCATTATCATTGGCTTCAGTGCACTCCAGGGCTTTGGCCCCCATCCGCATTGCAGGAGACTAACGCGGCTCGGTCACCAAGTTCAACTTGGCATCTTTTGGGGGCTAGACGGCTTGAATTTGACAATGCACCATTTCCAGTGCACAAGGAAAATATCTCCCGGTTTACATACTGCCACCATTCATCAGAATCTCATGATACTCAATCTTTGACATTTGTTCAATGTTAATATTCCTATCTGGGCATATTCAAGATCCTGAACACTTATGCCTTGCCATTTTATCATTTATCATTTTTGAAGACTCCGGAAGGACTTGTCGGGTACCATGAATACCGAAACCGAAATGACTTCGTTAAACGATACGCACGAAAGTGATGCACGCGACTCATCATTGAAGAAACCAACACTTGACACTACGAAAACTTGGAAACGCTTTTGGCTTGATACATGGCGATTTGAAATCTTGGCATGGGCATTTAGCACTGCTTGCTTCGTCGGAATCTGCATTCTACTCAAAATATATGAGAACAAAGAACGACCCCAGCTGGCATACAAACTATCACTCAACGCAATAATCTCGGTCCTCGCCACAGGCTGCAAGTCCGCGCTATTTCTGGTGGTCGGAGAAGCTGTGTGCCAGTTGAAGTGGCTCTATTTTCAAGGTCCGAGGCCACAAAGACTATCTAGCTTGCAGGAGTTCGACACTGCTAGCAGAGGGCCGCTAGGTTCGATTTCTATCATCCTTTCCCATCGAGCACAGTCGCTTGTCAGCCTTGGTGCGGCGGTCATTGTTATTCTTCTCGTGTTCGAGCCATTCATGCAACAAGTCATCAGCTATCCTGTACTGCCGGTCAATATTACCGGTGACCTAGCGGCTGCAAAACAGCTTCACGGAGCCTTAGTGTCCCCTGAAGATTTGGTAAACTTTACACGCAGCGAGGCCGTGATGAATTCGGAGGGCCTGTCAGATGACTTCGCAGCCGCCTGGATACAGGGCCTTTGGTCGAGTGAAGGGTTTGAAGTTGCCCCGGTATGCTCATCGGGTAATTGTACGTGGGAAGAGTTCACCTCGGCCGGGATTTGCAGTCAATGCTCTGATATGACGGCTTCTGCTGTGATAGATTGCAATACACCAAGCCTAGATTCTTCATTCAACACGACTTGTCAAATCAAGATACCTGATGGTGATGCTTACAGTTTTTCCGTCACCACCTCATTGCCAGATGAAACTGCCATAGTCCAATTTATCCTCCCATCCTCAGTTTTCTGGAGCGTCTATGACAATGGAAATGCGGGTATGAATACATCTCTGGCTCCTAATGTCACCTTTGGTGGAATGCGTTCCCCAATTGTAGCATACGGGCATGCTAAAGTCAATATTTCGATACCACCCCACATTTCATCATTCAATTCCAGCATCATATCTATCGGAAAATTGACTGTCTGTGGTCTCGGAGATTGTTTGCGCAACTACAATGTCTCTACGAGAAATGGCCAGGCTTCCATACAGACTGGAGACCCAGAGTTTGGCATGAGATATAACAAACAGCGTCATACTAGTGATATTACTGGTCCCGATTCGAAGTACAAATACGCACCAGCACTGGCAGGTGATTCCGATTTCACATCTTGCTGGGTCCCTGATAATAAATCTAAAGCTGATTTCGCATATTGTGTACCCTGGACCAATTCTTCCTTACCCATGTTCTCGCAAAGCCATTATTCCTTTCCCCAGGCTTCAGACACTCAATACTTCGTTTATCACAGTGATGGATCTTCCCCGAGTACGAATACATTAAGCGACTTTTTCATCAGTCGCTGTGACAATATTGGCTTCGAGAACATAATGTCCAACGTTGCCGCTTCATTCACGAAGCTGCAACTGGAAAGGACAAAAGGGACTTTCAGTGGCACCGCACACAGCAGCGAAGTCTTTGTGAAGGTTAGATGGGAATGGATGATTCTACCCGGCTGCCTTGTCCTCGCTGGATCTTGTTTCTTCATAGCAACAATGGTTGTGAATCGAAAAGCCAAAATGCCTCTATGGAAGTCATCGGCCTTAGCGACTTTGTACCATGGATTAGAAAAGCAAGAGGAAGATAAGTTGGTCACTGCTATCAGTATGCAAGTGCAAGCGGAGAGTTCTAAGGTCCGATTGACGGATTCTGATGGGGATGGACGCCTGGTTCTACGCCGAAAAAGCCTCAAATTTGATAACCCGCCCAATCTCCCAGGTCCGGATCTGACTCCTCGATTTGGATCGTCGTCTGCGCATGGGTATACTCGGATCTGACCCAAATTTGATTCAGTACTGTACATAGGGGGTCAAAGCTAGCCTGAGACCTTCTAGGCACTATGCCCGCTACAGCTTTTGAAGAATCTGGGGATGGCGGTGTTTATACTTCAATCTCTACTATGGTTCGTCGAATACGGATAGAAGTTCCTTAGTTTCACTAGATGACATGAAAGGATTTATATCAATATGAGAGTTTTATCTTTGGACACGGGACAAAAGCGATCAACATCTCTTTGGTCATAAAGGATGAAAATCCCAGAACGTTTATAGAGAACGTCTGTTTCGTTTCGTATACCCGCCACTTCAGCTAGGATGGACATAATTTGTGGATTCTCCTCCCTATCAAAGCCCAACGAGCAATCCTTTTTATACGGAATGCAGACAATGTCTTTACCATCGGGGAACTGATCATCTAAGGAATCCGGCTAAGCAAACCTTCATCAACATGATCAATGAGTCGTTCAAGGTGCGGGGCCCTGAGCTTATAATGTTTCTTGTCCTTTGGATCCTCCCAGCACCAATCAGACATGAGTGGACATGAGCGAATGACACATCGCATACGATCATACACGAGACTCCAGGTTGAAGGCCGTCCGGTGGCCTCTTCTTCCGCATCAATAAGTGCGCCACGCTCAGCCAGCATCCTACTGGTTGCTGATACGCGGCCTCTCTCTTCTCGACCCTCCGTGATGCTGGCCTTGCCTGATCGTCATCATCGTGGCCGTAATGGAAGGCAATGAGAACCCTAATCTTTTTGCCCATACGGAGCAAATTGCACTACTTACGTAGTTGTTTCTCCACTGGCTTCCAATCGATATTAGTAGAACTATAGAATTTCTCAAAATCCTTCAACGACTTGTCGTTGACCGACACGGTAACAGCTGTGCCTTCAGAGCGAACGCGTTGGCTACGTTTCTTTTTCATTTGCAATATGTCCTCAACATTTGCCTTCAATGTTCCGTCCCAGTAATCACTAGGGGCTACGATCAAGTCGTCTTCGGTCACTTTACCCACCGTCTTGCGGTTGAGTACAAGTTTCCAGGCGATTGTGTAGCAAACATAATGAGGAGAATACTCATCGTATTCATCACGTTCCTCCCACTCGGCAAAGGGAAGAAAGTTTAGCTGATTTGACTGCGGTCGATCCGTGGTACAATCCCGGGTAGGGCTAGGAGAGGACAGAAGGGTGTGCGACCAAGGTAACCGGGAGTGGGGGCATATAGCGAGTCTTCGTCCCATGGATCATCTATCTGAGGCTGATAGGCATCGCCACCGGAATGACTATTGGTCATCGTATACGTCGTGTCAGGATGAGGGGTCGCCTAAAGCAGAGCCGGAAGTGGTTAGCGGCAGTCCCATCATCTCCAATAAGACACAGAGCTAGAATAACAGTGGAGATCATTGCGGAAACCTTACTGACGAGCCTTGGTTATCAAAGCTGAGATCAACAACACCAGGCTCTCTGCTGTTCAACGATGGCGAGAAGCGAAGAGGAGTTGAGGACAGATTGCAGGACCGAAGTTTGCTCTATTTGCATCGAACATTCCAGACTGGAATTTCCAGTCTGCCAAGCCCCTCAGTTCGAGACTCGTGTATCTTTCATACAGGTATCAAGCAAAAGCCCGGTATTGTTACAGTATAATTACAGAACGGTATCTGTACACCGTGATATTATTCGGCTTATCAAATAATGTGATTAGTGTTTGAAAGAGCGTCGCATGTACCTCCGTTATGGAAGGCAATAACGGACGTCACTGTATAGTAGTAAACTATACAACCATCAGGGTCAATAAATTAGGCGCTTACCCACCCGTGGTGCGGGCAGGGTGGAGGGTCCGGAGGGTTACCCGTAGGTAAGTGCCAAGTCTACCTGGGATGGAAATTCATATTATGCCCCGCCTCTGCCCCCTTGTTATTTTCTAGTTTTGCCCGGAGAGTGTTATAGCTCAGCTGTAGGGGATTAGCTACAGTCCGATTATCTTACCTTCCTCCCATTGTCTGATTAGGAAGGTGGTGAATATGCAAGCTACCGTCTAGATACGTCTGCGACACAAAAATAATAGGCATATTAATAAACAAAGATTTGGTTGAAGCTCAAAGTGATTACTATGGATCAGTTTAAGAGCAAATGCGGAAAATATGTAATAAATAAGAAAGAAATATTACGGACGATTTAAGTCTGACGCCATTACGGTAAATTTAAACAGAACAGTCTCAGGGAGATCAGGGAAAGTCCTATGATCACACTAATATCAGTTGGGCGCACGTGGAGAAGCAGCTATGTAAATAGAGCAGTTTTCTTCGTATTAGCAGGACACTTACCATTGAGACTGCCTTCACAAGCAGGGAAGATGATGGCGGTGATTCCGCGCTTCCGCTAGGAAGAGTCGGATAGAGATGACTTGTGCCCGCTAAATATTACGAGCATCCAGTTAGAGTCGTGCATAAACTAATGCGGTATGATATCTGATTATACTCAAATTTGTGAGTCACTTCGTTGTATTAGCTTTCAAATTTCAACTACACCTTTCGGCTTCTAGCAGCATGATTAACCGTCTTTCCACCCCCTCAAGGATCCTCCGGACAACTCCATTCTGGAGTATGTCCTCTTCGTAGCTGACATTAATCACACACTGGCTATCTTTCACGCTCGCCATTGCAAAATACAACATAGGCCCAACCTGTGATTTTTGCGCTGACACAGAGAACTCAGCGCTTTCCAGTTGCCAAGGCCCAAACGATTCAAAGTTTGGTTCCACCAAACTTGACACACAAAAGGACTTCGTGACAGCAACATCTAGAACATGATATATCCCGGTCATGATGGTCTCATCATCTTCCCCAATGGCTGTCAACCCTAAAGCGTTCGCAACTGGAAGTGGTGTGTGATGCGTGAGCATCGCAGAATCAAGGTCAGCCTTAGTTCTTTGGCTTAGCTGCCACATATGCGCAATTTGTGTATCGATAGCTGGGGACATGGCACCAGCTTGGCGGTAAATATTTAGCCACTGATTGGACTGGTGACTTGATACATAATTTCCAATAATGCTAGAATACTCGGCCGGCAGGAAACGCCGTAGGTCAATTGCAAAGTATGACAGACCCAGTTTCGCTACTGGATAAACTTCACATGCAAGTGTCACATGAATCAGTGTTCCAATGAGAGCAGTGAATGAAGTCTTATGTTTCTTGCAGGCATTAAGAGATGCCTCGAGCTGTGATGGGCTGAGACAGATCCTTTCGAGCTTGGTAACAGGCCGTTCTGGAAGAGGCACTGGGTTGTCTTTGGAGGGAAAATTGTCTTTGAAGATGACGTCGGTGAAAAAGGTATAATTCTTCCGTAAGAAGAACTTGACCAAAATAGAAAATAGATAGCTCAGTAGACCAATGTAAATGTTGAATCTCATGCCGAGGAGCCGAAAAAGAGCCATTGACTCGGGCATAAGCTCATAATTTGGCACATTAAAATCAGTCGGGAAGATATCTTCTTGGCCGCTCTCTTCTTGCTTCCTGGTGACTTTATTTAATGCAGCGAGCAGACTGCGGTGAAATATCATCCCCGACCGGCCATCACAGACTGAGTGATGAAACACAAATAGTATTTGCGAACCATTGACCACTACTCTCCACAGTGGCTTCGTTTTATCGTCGGTATTAAACCAAGTGTTGTGCTCCACCTGCAGCAACTGAGTGAAATGCTCTTTCCCCGCCACATCATCAATGAATCTGACACAGTCTTTGAAACAAATCCTCTTCAAACGTGCTTGCCAGGTCCTTTTCCTGCCCATCTTCTTCATCGATGGCTGATCAACAAGAATTGTTGCCAAGGCCGGATGTTCCGAGATCACTAAGGGAAGGGCTTTGTACATAATGGCTAGAGATAGGGGCACGTTATCTGGTCGCTTATATACCGCGCAAACGATGGTGTTTGATAAAACGCCTCGATCATGATGAATTTTGTATATGCTCTCGATCACACCTTGTACACAGGTTAGTTTATGGTCGGGCCGAAGAAGAAGATGCGATGCTAACCTGCAGGACGGAGGAGCTCATAAACTGGAAGACCTTGACTGGATTCTAACACATTAAAATGGTCCATGATAATTAAAATTCCCGTGGCGCCTTCATCAAAGCCAAAGTAATTCGGAATAAGAGCAGCTGGTGAAAAGAAAGTCGCACTTTTTCCAGTTGGACGGAACATAGGGGCGGGTTCTAGCTGGGGGGGGTTGAAATTTTACATAAGCGGCAAGGCCGGCCAGAATTACTAATAATCCATTTTTCAACCCCCCCGGTTGTGAATTGCCGGGGGGGGCGGCGGGTGAAATATTTTAACCCCCCAGTAGTTCAATTCAATTCAATTCAAGATTCTATTAACCTAATACAGCCTAGCTAGTGAGCGCAGTGGCTATGTAGGTGTTCCATCTATTAGGAACCAGAACCGTCCTAACACCAAGCCCGCGGTAACAAAACAAAGGAGATACGGTGTATATTCATAGTAAAACACATAATCAAATCCCCAAAATGTATCAGGCAAAGTCTCGGTATTGTTACAATGTAATTTCAGAACGGTATCTTTACGCAGTAACATTATTCAGCCTGTCAAATCATGTGATTAGGGTTTGAAAAAGCATCGCATATACCTCTGCTATGGAAGGCAATAACGGACGTCACTGTATATCCAGAGCTTGGTGATATGGGAAGATCTCAGGAAGATTGGAAGCAGTTTAAACGTGCAATTGCGCATGCATGGGATGTTTTAGATCAGAATGTTATAGATGGGCTTATTCGCTCAGTGCCAAAGCGGATTGAGGCTGTACGTATTGCTAAAGGTTACTACACTAGATATTAAATTGGATTTATGTATATGGTATATCAGCCTATCTTTTGTCAAAATTTTAAGCAATTTGAACAACATTCGTTGTGGTTATATATAATTGCAAATGTTGGGTTGAAATACATGGGGGATTACCTAATTACCGAGTGGTGCCAGACTTTTGGCACAGACTGTATACCACATACTCTTCAATGAAATGATTGCTTTAATTCTGGTTGTGAGCTCCTAGGAGCCTGTAAGAGGGTCTCACCTATAGGCTTAGCTCGGACAGAACGCTCTGGACGGATGGCCAATATTGAAGAAACCTACAGTCGATTCTAGATGCAAGATGGAGTGCGACAACGCAAAGCGAATGCAGCTTCTTCGCGTTTAGGAAATCCGTGGGTCTCGCATAGATCATAGCTCCATCCGCCCTGGAAACTCCATGCATATCCTGACTAACGGCACCGTCGGCGTTAGGATCGCTTAGACCGTTCCTGGGAGCTGCTGCACCTATTCTGGAATAACATTGGGTCCGGAGGCGGAGAAATATTATATAAATACATGCACTCCATCCTATCATTTGAACATTATTTACACGAGCTATCAACCGACTCAATCATTTATCTGAATATTCTTGCATTGTCTAACTTTTACACCAAGCTTCAAGTGCCTGCGCTAGAATTCCAAAATGTCGATCAAATTTATTTCAAGCAACCATTACATGCATGTGGAACTCAACCGTGAAAATATCAAGATATTTACCGAACGGAGATCAGTCAATCATTCGGAGAGCGATCCCCTTTTCAGAGAGAGAAATGGCGTAAATGCTATCACTATTATGAATCTGAACGGGGCTCTTATTAGAGCCCAAACATCTCTAGACACGATTCTGTGCGATTTATCTCAGCATATGGAAATCTTTGGGGTTGTTGAACGGCTTCGAAGTCTTCTTCTGAGCCTCAAAGGCCTTCAGTCTGAGCAATGGGGGTCTCTTCACAGTGGAGTCGTACCAAATATTTTTTCACTCTTATACTGCTGCGTCATGGATTGCTCTAAGCTCAAATCTACTCCACCTGCAATTTCGCCAACATGCTATGGACTTGTTGCCTGCCATCTAGCTCTTCAATGCGTGTATGACGCAGCGCTGATGTAAGTTTCAAATCTCCTACTTGTGCTCCTACAGTATAGATCATCTAATCTGATTGTTCTAGGAACTGGGACGATAGAAATTTACAGGAAAAGAGAGTAACGGAGGCCATGAAGCAGTTAGGCAATATGAGAGCTATGTTTAGGCCAGAACCGGCCATATACCATTCTCAAGAGGTTCTTGATCTCTTGAGGAGGGGCCGTGAGCCGGATCATACGAGGGGATCTGAGAGCATGCATGTGAGCTTCAGTGGAGAGAATCATGGTATCCAAGCTGTTGAGTACACTGGTCGTGGAGGTATGCGATCTTTAAAATTTCCTCTCAGGGGAGATGAGTGATTCCAGTGAGATGGCCATTTTAGTGATGTATCTAGATGACTCTATGCGGATATGGTCATTTAGCTACAGGGCCGCTCGAAATCAGCTTCACCTTGGTCTTCTTTTCTTTTCTTTTCTGAACGTTATTCTAAAACACGCTAGTCCCTCCTTGGTTTAGTCTGTTATGATATCTTGAAATATTTTGTAAGGATAAATTACACAAATGCGGGGCTGTAAATTTCCTGAAACACAGATACAATCGTTACGATGCGGTTAACCACAAGGTTCGTCACTTTGATTAGAGCTTTAGTCTTCCGCGGCAACTTCGAGGAAGATGGCGCTACGTTCACGTATTGACCTCCCGAATAATGTAAATGGAAAGAAACTTCATTTATCAAGGTGATTATAATGGAATATGATCAAGGCGGTCGATTTCTTCTGTCTCGAATCAGAGCACCTGAGAGCGGGGTAGACTGGGGATTGGGAGATCCAAGCGTGGATTTGAGCCTCCTCAAAACTCTTACGCAACGGCCATGGCAACTACTATTTCCTACGGCGAAAAGAACTCTGGCTTGCAGGCAGGGGTAGTGCACGGGAATGTCACGCTTGGTAAGTGGAAAATATGTGACTGTAATCGACGGTTAGTAGAGAGTGACCTGACCGGCTTTAGTACAATCCGAAACGCTGGACCAAGCATGCCTCCGCGATTTACGTGCGACAAACCCTGTCGATGATAAAGAACGTATCAAGGATACCAAGGGCGGACTACTCGAAGACTCATATCGCTGGATTCTAGACAACAAAGAATTCAAACAATGGCAAGACAGCGACAGCAATCGCCTTCTCTGGATCAGGGGTGATCCTGGTAAAGGCAAGACGATGCTCCTATGTGGTGTCATCGAAGAGTTGACGAGACTGTATGGGGATAATGCGAGTATCTCGTTCTTTTTCTGTCAGGCTACCGACATGCGGATCAACAGCGCTACGTCTGTCCTGAGGGGGTTGATATATTTACTTGTTAAGAATCATCCATCTCTTCTCCACCATGTGCGAGCTCGGTACGACTATGCAGGAAAGACTCTCTTTAAGGATGTCAATGCATGGAATGCACTGTCAACAATCTTCAGGGACATTCTAAACGACCCAACCCTGCAGATGACTTATTTGGTAATTGATGCTTTAGACGAGTGCACAAATGGGCTCCGTTTCCTTCTCGACTTGATTGTCCAGGAGTCATCAACTCATCCACAGATAAAGTGGGTTGTTTCTAGCCGTAACTGGCCTGAAATCACTGAGCGGCTTGATATTGCTACCCAGCTAGCTCCGATCTCATTAGAGCTGAACGAGGTGTCTGTGTCTGAAGCAGTGAACCAATTTATTCAGCATAAAGTTGACGAATTGGCAGAAGCGAAAAAATACAGCGAAAATACTCGCGATGGCGTTCAATCCTACCTATTGTCAAACTCGCAAGGTACCTTCCTCTGGGTGGCCTTGGTGTGTCAGAATCTTGAAAAGATACGAATAAATGTACTCAAGAAGCTGAAATTATTTCCTCCTGGGTTGGAAGCTTTATATGGTCGAATGATTGGCCAGGTTCACGAATCTGAAGATCCTGAGCTCTGCAAGGAGATACTGGCAATTATGTCAACAGTCATTCGGCCTATTACGCTACACGAACTGACTTCATTTATTGAACTACCGGACAACGACGACTACGATGATCATGTTTATCTTGAAGAGATAATCGCAATCTGTGGATCCTTTTTAACGTTACGGCAACATACCATTGTGTTTGTTCATCAGTCTGCAAAGGAATTTTTACTCAAGGAAGCACTCAGTGAGATACTTCCTAGAGGTATAGAGGCTGAACACGACATGATATTTAGACGATCTCTCGACGTTATTTTCAAGACACTTAAACGTGATATCTGGAATATCAAATTACCTGGACTGCACACGAAGGATATTTGCAAACCTAGCCCAAATCCACTTGCAGCGGTGGAATACTCATGTGTCTACTGGATGGACCATCTTGAAGCTAGCCTGGTGAATGAAGCTTGTGAGCTGGGAGTTTATGACAGAGGTCGCGTGGATACGTTTCTGCAGCAGAAACTCCTCCACTGGCTCGAAGCTCTTAGTATTTTGGGAAGTGTTTCGGATGGTATCCAAGTGATGCAAAAGCTCGATATTTTAATTGAGGTGAGTGGTTAAAATTTAATGGAGATAATCTTCTCTTCTGACAAGAGGCACACTTAAACAGAAGACAAAAGAGTCAGGAATGCTATTGAATCGAGCTCGAGACGCCTCTAGGTTTATTCGATATCATAGGACAGCAATTGAAAGCAGCCCTCTGCAAGTATATTACTCACCTCTTATCTTTAGCCCACTAAAGAGTCTCACAAGGATCTCTTTTCAGGATGAGAGACCAGACTGGGTCTTGAAACATCCCGTGGTAGAGGAAAACTGGAGTCTTTGTCTTCAAACTCTTGAGGGGCACAGTAGTTGCGTCATGTCAATTGCCTGGTCGCCAGATGGAAGCCGACTCGCGTCAGGGTCTCTTGATCAGACAGTCAGGATCTGGGATCCGGCTACCGGCCAGAGCATATCAACCCTTGAGGGGCATAGTGGTTTGGTCAGATCGATTTCCTGGTCGCCAGATGGAAGCCGACTCGCATCAGCGTCTCGTGATAAGACAGTCAGGATCTGGGATCCCGCTACCGGCCAGAGCATATCAACCCTTGAGGGGCATAGTGGTTTGGTCAGATCGATTTCCTGGTCGCCAGATGGAAGCCGACTCGCATCAGCGTCTCATGATGAGACAATCAGGATCTGGGATCCGGCTACCGGCCAGAGCATATCAACCCTTGAGGGGCATAGTGGTTTGGTCAGATCGATTTCCTGGTCGCCAGATGGAAGCCGACTCGCGTCAGGGTCTCTTGATCAGACAATCAGGATCTGGGATCCGGCTACCGGCTGGAGTATATCAACCCTTGAAGGACATAGTGGTTCGGTCGACTCAATTGCCTGGTCGTCAGATGGAAGCCGACTCGCATCAGCGTCTTTTGATAAGACAGTCAGGATCTGGGATCCAGCTACCGGCCAGAGCATATCAACCCTCGAGGGGCATAGTGGTTTGGTCAGGTCGATTTCCTGGTCGCCAGATGGAAGCCGACTCGCATCAGGGTCAAATGATGAGACTGTCAGGATCTGGGATCCGGCTACCGGCCAGAGCATATCAACCCTCGAGGGGCATAGTGGTTCGGTCGACTCAATTGCCTGGTCGTCAGATGGAAGCCGACTCGCATCAGCGTCTCGTGATAAGACAGTCAGGATCTGGGATCCGGCTACCGGCCAGAGCGTGTCAAATCTTCCTATCGGCTTCATCGACTCTCTTCAATTCGACAACGATGATATCAATCTTCTGCACACAAATGACGGCACATATGACATAGGTTCAAAAGGTCCGATGACGCATGTGTCTAACGACTTCATCTCGCCGCTAAAGCAGCATGGATACGGATTAAGCCAGGAACATTCCTGGATAACCTATAATGGACTCAAGCTGTTGTGGTTGCCTTCAGAATATCGCCCAAACTATCACGACACTTTCGCTAGATATGCAACCAGATTGGCGATCGGCTGCTCATCAGGTCGTGTCATATTCCTTGTACTCTCAGAACGAAATCCCTTTTCTAGCCTTTGATTGGTTTTCATATAATTCCAAACATATATCTACATATGTCAAACGTGACCACATTATGCTTCTTCCAGGCTCACCCAAACCTCCTTAATGATCACCACCGACGTTGCGCGATCAAGCTTTGTGTTTGAAGCTCACTTCTTTTTATACCAATTAAGTCAGTTTTCCCCTTGATTGTCCAGTTCCTCGGCCATTGGAATGATGCTTCAAGTGCAATGTCTATTTGTGAGGTGAACGTATCGGTCTGCTTCCTGTTAGCTCTGATCAACTACCCGCAGCTTTCGAATCGCCAAGACAAAATAGCCTCCAGGAACCGCAGTGCCCCTCAGTCACGTGCACCTCCCAATACCCCAGCTCCCCCCAGTGTTCAATCAAAAATCATTTCGTCCGCTTTCTGATCAGAGGGGTGAGCAGGGTGAGCATGGCGAAAACGGTTCTCCACCGTTGTGCCAACGACACAATGGTCAACAACCAGCTATCCTGCGCAAATGGCGCCTCGGCTCCCTCCCGCCAAACTGGAGATGGTTGAATGTCGGAATGCAAGTTGCAGAGGTGACCAAATAACTGACTGCATTGTTTGACTTATTTGCAATAAGTTAGTTCTAGAAAACAAAATCGTCCTTACAGCACGTTACGGAATCTATTTTTATTCCTTTATTTACACTTGTATGAGAATACCGCCGCATAGTCGGTCAGGGGTAGTCTAGCCCAAACCGGTATAGTGCAATGCAAGATAAGGTTCCGAAAAGTTTCGAAAAGAATAAACAGGTGAAGCTGATTTCGAGCGGCCCTGTAACACTAGGCTTAATTCAGTTAGTGAAACACAGAGTCTTGCTCCTTATCCTCTTCTCATTTGACCTTCCAGGATAACCTTAGCCATTTGCAGTCTGAAGTGGATCTGGCCAAGTCTTTAGAAGAACCGAAGAGAATAAAATGGTGAAACGGATTTCGAGCGGACCTGTAATGTCTCAAAATTCTGACAACTCTTGTCTCTGGCTGCAAAACTAAAGCTCGGATTTAATTGTTTAAAAATTAAATTGTAATATGTTAGTTATCTGAGGTACAGTAATATCGCAAATCCGATTTAACTCCATACTTCCACGACTTCACTCATGAACCCCAATCTGGATCACTCTACATAAAGCTCTGCCGAATATCCCCCGCTTCCCAGCATTAAATTTAACTTACACGACATAATAGATTAATTTTACCCGGATTTTTTACAAGTGTGATACAGTATCGGTTCATCTTCCATCCTCAACAAAGGTATTATACTTGATAGTGTTGAAATATTGGAGGCACCCACATATTCCTAATAAGGATTGCACTTTCATGCAAAATCCTGTTACTCAGGTGATATCATGGATCTAGATTCACCCTGACCCTTAAATTACGTTGTAGTATGAATCGGTTGAATATTCTAGCTGTCGGCTATTTTTTATGCAAATCATGTTGATCTATTCAAACAGAGTATGACCAGACTAAAGATGCTATCAATTTCACAGTAGAGGGATAAGAATCCGTGGGCTGCACCCCCAAACTCCATTTTTTCGCTTATTTGCCAATGCCCTATTCACAAATCTGAAGTTTTCGCATTCGGGTCGTTCATATACAACGGTTTTTGAAATCAGCTTTACTAGGGACTCCTTTCATTTGATTCCCGGGATATAGGTCCGACATATAATAATCAATTTTACATCCACGCTTTATAGCTTGGGCAAACTGTGCGGTATTTACTATAATATACCCGTTATATTAATGTAGCAGTACTGTAATGGACTCGGCATTAAGTACATAGCACCACTATGACCTAGGTTTCCCCTTGACCCTATATTAAAGTTTAGGTTACGGAGGCAGGCAAGTCGAAACTGGATGAGAACCACCCTAAGACACCAAGGACCTAAGATACCGAGGAGTTTCAAACTTTGTTGTCGAAATTTGGGAAGTACGGTCGACGGCAGAAGGCTATGAAAATTCCAGGTCAAAGCTACGAAGGCTCGCAAGACGAAGCTAGGAAGGGGGGATCTAGGAAAGATGAATATACTCTTAACAAACCCAGCCCTTATTCTAGCATACAGTTTGACTTTGAAAGTACTCAGACAAGATAGACGAATTTTTGTAAGCCATCACCGTGATGTGCCTCGTGGGCGCGTTGAGCATGAAAATGATGATGTCATCGATGACGAAGTCAGAAAGCCGAGCCGTGTATTATCTCGAGTAAAAGGGTGAGCGATTTGCCAGCTCCCGTTGATTCAGAAGATATATCAGAAATTTCTGTTCATAACATTCGTGAATTATTGTGTCGAAAGCCGTTCTGAGAAGCCTTTACAATGGCAGGAGAAAATTCAGCGGTATCAAATATTCAAACGATGGGGCAAGACGATCCTGATGAGAGGCTGGTTTATCTAGCATGCCAGCATATCTTCCGTGGCTCCTATTCCCACGTCCGAAAACCAAAAGTTATTAGGAGCTTAATTCAAGAAAATAAGCCCTCCCTCGCAGGTATTCTGCGAGAATACACTATCAAGCGGACCAGCAACGTCGCCAAAAAGTTGCTTGAGGATCAAGTTTTTGACGATACTTTGAAAGCCAAGATACGATTCCCGGAATTGTTTGACGTATCACCAAATCAAAGCGCCGAAAGAGAAGTTTCGGAAGCAGAAGCGGCGAAAGTTGAAGCAAGTGCGGTAAAAGAAATCACCGAAAGGGAAGTCTCAAGAGATATCCACATCGTTTCTGAGGCAAAATCAGACGATGAGGGGTATAGGGAATTAGATAGTAGGTATGCTCCATGAATAGGAATCAAGACCTAGAGACAGTACATTTACTCCAACAGAATTTCACCCGGTGCGATATCGAGGTATCAATAAAGCTATTCCGTCGCTTTATCCAGTTTACACGCAGTATCGATGTCAACATCTTATCACAACCACGATACAACAATTGCTCGAAGAGAGTTGTTTTGAGTTCGCTCAGCAACATTTTCCTCACCTCTTGGCAATAAACGGCTGGGACTGCGCCGAGGCAGTAGAACTGACCGAATGGACCAAGCTACTTTCCCAACATCCTCCACAGCCGTCCGACGGTATAAATAAACCAATCAACGAATTGTTTGGCCATGTTCGTGAATTAAGACACTCAGCAGTCCACCGGCTTCGAAAGACTGCAAATGGTGTCGAACGACTTGCCGAAAACGCGCAGCTTTTTCTTGAAACTTTGGATGATGTTTTTCGTTCAGAAAAGGTATCTGTACTTCGAAGAGAGCTAAAATGCGCAATTGAAGAGATCAAGTGCAAAAAAGACCTCTTAGAACGGAGACTAAGCACACAATTCAAGGAAATCCAAGAAAAGCGAGCCGAATTAGATATGTGTGAAAAAGATGCAATTGAATCTATGAGTCGCGACGACCAACAAAATCAGAAAGATATCGGTGAACAGCTAGAAGGCGTCGTTCGAAATTTGAAGTCAAATGAAACACATGATGAGAAAGGAAAAGGAAAGTTGTCTTCTATAAAGCTGGATTTGTACGAATCAGAAGACGAGTTCCCCGGGGTGGACCTCACAACCTAAAGGCCTGAACTTCACCAGGGAACTACATATAGTGGACAGAAATGAATAGTAGATCAGAGACAGTTGCTCTTTCGGCTTGGCCGCCAGGCGTTAACTTAATAAATTGTGTGTGTGTGTGTGTACAGCTAAAGTCGAAATTGGCTTCCATGTTTTTCACAGAGAAACTATCTTAGGCCTTGCCGCCTGTCTAAAGGTGATCTAGTTCTACTGCCTTTAGATATCTTATTGGGCTTAACAGTAATTTCTAAAATTGAATTTGATTACCTTGCGTCGACCCCACCTTCTAGATACAACTTGCCTGCGCAAATGATGGAGGCCGATCTTGAATATTGCTGTGTTGAGCAAGGCACTTACATATGATTGACGGCATTCTACCGGCGCGGTATACCAGAAAATTATATATAACCTTCCCAAGTAAAGAGATCATAAGAACTGTTTTGCTGCGTAAAATTGGGCTAATTAAGTACTCATATGACGCATCTCTTTCAAGCGGCTGGACCTTCGAGGGAGAAGGCTGATGAGCGAACCACGGTCACATTCTATATCTGGCTCCTTTCTTGTGGTATCTTCCATGCATCTAGTCAACATTCGAACAGTCTTGCCATAGCTGCCATGTATAGCATAGCACAATGCTGTCTTCCTGGAATGATCAATTGCATTCACATCAACATCGAAATCTTGGAGCATGCGCTTAACAATGCCATCATAGCCCCCGCCAGCCGCCTGCATAAGTGCAGTAAGGCCACTCCGGTCTTGATGATTGATCCTAATCTTGTGTTTTTGGTCAAGCAGTAGATGAGCAATAATTGTCTTTCTCATACTGAGTGCGGCCTGAAGTGGCGAAGTGCCGTTGGGGCCAGGTTGATTCATATCGATAGATCTTTGCTTGAGCAAATAGTCCACCATCGAATAGTGCCCAGCTCGACATGCTGACCAGAGTAGAGGGCTTACTGACGAAGAAGAGCGAAGGCATCCAGGTTGCTGAAGAAGTATTCTCACAATATCCAAATTACCATACTCTACAGCTCTTGTGAGAGGAGTAATTCCTTCGTGGTCGTTCAAATTGATATCGGTTTCTTCGTGTTCCAAAATGGCCAGAACCATCTTTTGACAATCAGAGCTTACTGCATGCCAGAGAGCAGAACGCCCCTCTCTGTCTTGGAAATTTATGTCGATATCAGAATGCCTCATCAGATAATCGGCAATTTGCAGCCTTGTGTTATCACCTCTTTTATGCTCTTTCACATTTAGAAGTAACGCATTGTCTCCCCGCAAATCTCGCAAGTTGATATCAAGATGAGGCTTGTCCAAGAGCATTCGAACTGCAAAACTTTCACGTTGTCGCACCGCCCAATGAAGTATCGTCCGACCTGGGTTGTCGCTCTCTTCGATAAACATGTTGATTTGTAGCCGAGTGTCATTGATCAGGACTTGGAAAATATGAAATTGATGGTAGTCCAATGCTACTAGCAGCGGAGTGCGAACCATTGGCCCTGGTCCATTGACGTTGATATCTGAACATTTGAGAAGTCGCTCGATGATTTGCTCGCTACCTTGCTCGATTGCGATGGACAAAGCAGTCTCGCCATAAATGTTGTGGAATTCGACATCGGCCCCATGCGTAAGGAGCAGGTTGACAGTCTTCAGATCCCGCATTTCCACTGCAAGCATGAGAGGAGTAGATCCATCCCACTTAGCATCGGGATTGGCATTGAACTTAGCTAGCAACAAATGCAGCATATCTCTTCGTCGGCACTGCACTGCGCGGTATATAGTGGGTTCTTCTTTGAGCAGATGCTGAATGTTCACCTCTGAGAATATGTTCTTAAACGTAGAACATACAAGGCACATATTTATTATGCTCATTTTGTCCAGGAAACTCCCAGTCAACAGCAAAATTTCTAAAGGAAGTAACAAGAGTGACATTGCATGGATTATGCATTTGTAAATTTCAGTGTGCAGCAGTTTATGTATGCGCTAGTACGTCAATTATAAGTCGGGCAGATGTCTGAATTCTGCAGGTTTCAATAAACCAAGGGCAATGGCTTGTTCCTGGGAGTCTGTGGGCTCCTGGGATCATAGTGAATCCCTTGAATCCTGGTATAGCCCGATCAATGACTGACCTGCGCTAAAGCCTTGGCAGTGGGTCCTGGGAAATTAAAAGTAGGGTCGTTAGGGAGGAAGCAGATTGCAATAATGACTGTGAAGAGCCCAAATCTTTCGATGTCATTGCCGAAGCAGTAAATCAAGGCCAAAAGTGCCGAGAGAGCTGTTTCTACAATGATATCTGAAATCAACTGTAAAACAGATTTCGAAAACATATTATGTAAGATTCCGACAAGTCCATATGTGATCATCTCAACCAGAACCACAACGCTATTGTTGACTGCGTTCTTCCCTCATAGGAAGTCCGGTCCGCCAAAGCTGGGACATTAAATTATATCTCAGCAGGAATGGTAGAGTTCAATGATCATTGATCATCATTTAAAGTGACAGCTTTTGAGGGCCCCGTTATTGTTTTTAGCAATGGTAAACGTACAAATCAAAGTCCCTACCACTCGACCCAATCAATTTCTAATTCAGTAATGCACCGGTCACTTTAAAATGGCGCTATCCCGCGTCTCCTCTGCCGTTGAAGTTTGAGTGAAGAATTCTCCTCGACAATTTTCCTTAGCACCGCAATAGTGATATCCGGAACATCCGTCATAATCGCCATGCTTTCATCATGAGCGAGGAACTCTTGGACGTCGCATGAGATTGATTTGATTATGGCGTCTCGAAGCTGGGTCTCATGAGGCGGAATGGTCGTCCGGATGTCTTGCACAATCAATGGACATATCTTTGCGTTTTTATCGATCCTTTCTATAATGCGGGACCTCGCAAGTACTTTTAGATGCGAAATGTCAAATTTGTCGGCCGCCATGAACACTCTGAGCTTGTTCCACAGAGTTGCATGAGCCTCCATATCATCACCTGAAGCGCACTTTCGATCATTGAAGTGAGAGCCATCTGCGTCCTCGTAGTCTTGAAGGTAAAGAAAAGAGAAAATTCGTTGAATTGTTCCTGGCTCATCATCTGGCAGATCAATATGCGATAGAGTAGCTTCCTTGTCAAGAAATTAGCCACATGCACCAATCATGGCGGAAAACGGTCGCATTCACTTTAAATCCCCCTTTGACTGCAGCGTCAAAAAACGATGACTGGGAACAGACTATCGCACGGTGTACCTGAAATTTCTGTCCTTCGCATGATATCGTCAGGGCTGAGTATCTACCTGAATCTAGAAGGCTTTGTAAGATAGGTTGTAGATTCGGAAACCCCATTGTTGTTGTAGTTGGACGAGGGAACATTTCAGATGAATCTACGACAAATGATTGTATTTATGTCTGTAGTTAAGAAGCCTTGAAGAGATATGGCTTCAAGACTGGACCAGTATCTGGTAAATTGAAATGTTTCGCGCGGTACATTTCATCTGCGGAACAGGCCCGTTATTATTTTAGTAACCCCATTGATCATGTGATCAGGGTTAAAGAAAATATCTCAATGATCCTAGCATGGAAGGAGAAATCAGGCGCCACTGTATGTACCAGTTGCTCCGATAGTAAAAACTGTTCACCTCGTCATCTATCCCTTCTCTCTATCCTTGAAGTCAAAAGAAACAAGGATTAGTGGACTTTGTCACCCTCTGTCGTTCTCTGTCACTAACGGCCTAGATTAAATTGCCACAAAGAACTGCAATGGCAAGATCAAGCCTAGACTCTCAGTTACCTTTATACAAGATACGCCAGAGGCACAATGTGCTGCAACAATATGAAGTTCAATTCAAAATCGAGTTTCATGTTTGCCAGAAAGAAAAAATCTCGAAATCTACGCTAGGACGATGACGGATGTGGCTATACTACTTGGATTAACGATGTTGAACCCGACTCAGATCCACTAGCCTCAACAGGAATGGTATGTCTTGGCTTAGGGTTATGGAATCTTTTCGTGGAAGGCGTCAAGGCCAATTTCGAATTAAGCTACATATGAAAAAGGGCTTAAATGCCTCGAATAGTCCGTGCCAGCTTTCACCAAGACACTCATCAATTTGTCAACTCCAATTAGAATAACAAGAACGAGAAATACATGCCGACTGAGCTGTTTCGCGGGTAACATTTTCATCCTTGAGATTTACCCTACACTTTGTCCTGCCCAACATCGTGCATCAAGGCTGCTGGCGGTCTACCCCTGGGTCGCAAGCACTTCAGCCACGCATCACGATCCTTCAATTCTACGACCGCGACTGGTCCGTGATCTGACACCAACCGGGGGTGCACCACCCGGGGGCGGGCTATGATCCCGAGCTTGGAATCTGTCCACCATGCAGTTTCTGCAACATCTTGGTTCCGGTCCGGCTGCACCAGCCGTAGATGGACCCGGCGTGACTTGTCAGAAGACTTGATCCGGGTGCTCGTTTTGGTGCGCCTTGGTGGCTGCGAGCTGCTGGCGGCTACCCCCATGGTGAACTCCAATCGTGTGTCGGACATATGCTTCCGAAGGGGGTGTCTCTCGACAGCACTGTCGATCTGATGTCTTCGCTTACGGGACAGTTGCGCCATTCGCGATTGTAAAAATGTTAATAAGTAGACGAGAGCGATAGACCGGATCATGAAGACTATTTATCTTAGATGATGATGTTCTTTCCTATATTATGGCTCTTTGCTTTGGTGCAATCTGAAATAGAGGAAAGTGATGGGACCTACAGAAGGCTGGCTAGACATTGACTAGGTGTGAAATTTAAGGTGCTTTTAAGGCTAGGTGTCCTCAGGATTCAGGCTTTTGAAATATTTGCGAACGTCTTGCAATGACAAACTCACTTCTACTATCAGAGAAACGATCAAATCATGGATTTGCAATAAACACTGGGCCATTTGATGGGCGGTCACACCCGCCGGAGCTCAACTCCAACTTATGTTAATGCTTACAACAGAAAAATATGCTCAATTATTTGACAGAATTGCTTTCAGGTCGCAATAATCGAAGCCCTAGGGTTAAACCAAAATGCATCAGTAAATGCTATCAACTTGCTCTATTTTCTAGCGCAAAATTTATTATTTGCTTTATTTGAGGTATATATGGAGAGCTTTTCGCTTGTCCTGCAGCATGGCTGGAACACTGAGCTAACGTTCGGATGGGCTTAACGAGCAACGAAAGGCGCGCTCAGCGAAGGAAAGAATGCCGTGAGGCTCTGGTAGCCCACATCTGTACGTCCCTATTGTGAAATTCACGAAGATTCGACAGTCATGCTGATCACCTTGTACTCAGACGAACGACTGGGCCTAATGGTTCCCCCTGGCAGGGTTCGCCTACAGCCTTCCATTCAAGACGGCTATGCATGGTCTGCATCGGCATCTAAGCAGCACCTACTGACCAGAAATTTGGCGAGCGGCACAGTCGGCTTTTATCAGGATATCATGGATGGGCTGGGTCAATCGATCGAAGCTGTAGCACCAGAGATTATCCGGACAGTCGGTCAGAACCATCATACCGATTCGGCGACAGAGGTACGTGACCCTGTGATCAAAAAATGATTCTATTAAAAAAAGCATCTGACAATGATAGTTCAAGATCTCCAATACTGAGTCTGAATCGTTCACAGTGACCATACGGCGATTGGAAGATGAAAACCGGAGATTGACCGTTGAACTGGAACATTCCCAGCTTTGCTCCGAGGAACTTGTGAAAAGAAATCAAGAGGGGCAAGTCAGGCTGGACGCTTTTGAAGAGGAGGTCAAGGATTGTCGGTCCTCAATCAGCCAACTAAAAGAAGACTTGCATCAGGCAAGGGGCAGCATCCTTGAAGCCGTGAAGATCCTGCAGGGCTGCCTGTCCATCGAGAAAGATGTCTTTCCGCGAGCGGAGGCAAAGATTGACGTAGCTTAGGTATTGTGCAACATAGATCAATGTCAGCCTTCATGATGAATTTGAGTTGACACCAGAGGATGAACTAACAATGATCCACGGCGACCTGTAACGATGACCGCCTTATTTGGGATTTCAATCTTTCAGAGGAACGCCGACTAGGACTTTGAGCACGATATAGTAGGGTCAATTGATATGCTGTGGGGCCAAATCAGCGCCCTCCCGCGGGAGGAGCCTATGCGGTTGTATATATTTGACTCTATAGAAGCCGCAAGCTTTACCGCTGGCTTTCCATCTAGAGAAATAAACATTCATCATGCGTCCGCCCACCCCCAGCTCTGAGTTAACGCCGTTGGCTACACTCGGAGAACCTCTACTGCAGCCGCGCTGTATCGCGACTTGGGATGGACGTCGGTGTGAGGACGAGACTACGAAAGAACTTCGCTATCTAGCCAGTACAGAGCTACATCTCTTGCATCTCTCTTCGTCGACCATCATCAAGAAAAGTATTGTGGGGCTTTTGTTGTGCCAACGATGCAAAGAACACGTTCCCACTCGACAAGCTGTTGAGCATCGCTTCTGTCACCGTCCCCATTGGCGGCCAACTACGAGCAATCATTCAACATGAAACATGAAAGAGGACCAACAAAGTCTTCCTGGGATTTCATTTGATCATAATCACTGAAGGCCGCCCCGATACTCTTCTCAGGGCCACTCTATCTTTGGATAAAATTCTCTTACCCGGATAAGCCGACAGAAGGTCATTAGGGGAAAGAATGCCGGAGACATCGAAATATGGAGGTTCAAACTAGACAGAAAAAATGAGATGTCACTTTTTCGGCTGCGACTGTTTCAGAAACCATTTCCTTTTTTGCTAATAGCATACTCTGCTACCCTTTCTCCGTTTGGGATGGCAAAATATGTGCATGGAATGTACTCCCAATGCTAAAAAGTCGCTCCTGGCTCCTTTTCGTTTCTGGCTGGTCCTTAGTGCATCATTAGCAGATTGAACACGATGAGTTTTATGAGGATTTCTTTTTAGAGGCACGCCGTAAAACGCCCTCTGAGAGAGTAGAGATTGACTTTTGTGGGCTTTCTTTTTCATAATCTTCCTAAGCACGGTGACAACCACAACAAGCTCCCACCTCGCGCAAAGACTACAACCACCATTTAATGGCTTTCCAGGGGGTTTCTCAGAATTAAAGGGGTGAACAAAGCTACAAGGGGTAGTTCCACCATCCTCCATGCTTTGTAGAATCAAAGGGAAGCAGGAGGCCAGCAAGCGGTTAGATATGATTGTCTCTACTTGTCTTTCAAATATGCATTCCGGAGCATCGGGGTTTATCAGAATCGCAATAAACCACCTCGCCGGTGTACTAAGCTCAATTGCGCCTTCTTGGCTCTTGATTGTCGACTCCTTATAGCATGGGCTGATCCAATGTGTGAAGTTTCGACAAAGTCTCTTAAATAAGCCTGATTCGTCTTAACACGATCAAGAGTCAGATGTTATATTCCATGCGCTTATAACGGTATCTACTTTCACATGCTTGCATTGCTCATTGCCACCAGTCTACTGGCTCCAGCCGCGGCTTCCCCAGCAGCGACAGCTCCGTCTTTAGCTTCAGCGTTGGATGACTGTTCGACTTGTGCCACCACCCAGCCGAACATGGCGTCGAAGGATTTGGGCTCTTCGCCGCTCTCCTTGAGAGCCTCCTGTTCAAGGAGATAGTCCATCACAGCGCCCATTCTTCGATTCGTCTCGTAAAGAATCTCTGCCACTTTCACAATCTCCTCCATCTCACTGTTGGTCTGTGCGAGCGATTGTCGTACCGTTGCCAGTTCCTGCTGATACTTGGCTACACGGCGCTCCGCCCGAACCCAGTGGCCATTTAGCGTTGAGATCGTGTGCAGGATTTCCTGTAATCCTGTTAGCCGGAGCCATATGGCAATACGGTGATCGTACCGTCTGATCCATCTTTGTGACTTCTGCAAGAAATCTATTTTCGCGACACGTAATGTCGATGGGTGGATTCTCTGGATGGCTTGAGAGAGACATGTTGATGGGAGAGTCTACTTATGGGGAGCCTTCTTATTTATCATCAGCTGCTTCTTCGCTTACGCACAATGATAAAACTGCCATAGTGATTTGTTAACACTGTGATCAACTCATCTTGTCCACTCTTGTTCAATGGGCTCCGCGGATAAATGCTAATAAACATCGAAAACTCATCAAACGCTTAAAATGTTGAGCAATTGGTGGTTAAGTATGAGCTGAAAATATATCTCAAGAGTTAGAGATTGGACCGCAGAGTTTTGCAAGATAAAGCCTTAAAAATCTGGCTGCTTGGTGATCAGGTTTATTTGAGAATTTCTCATCACCCACAACACGGCAGGAAGGTTTTTAGAAGATCAAAATATTAGAGCAGCGTTTTCCTCCTGTATTGGCCCGGCATTACTTTGATCTAAATTTGAGAAAATAATGAATTTTGTTGACCACTGTCTTAACCACGGAGCGAATCACTCGTGATACAGCAGTAATAGTAGATTTCATCTACACTGACCCCTCACAAATCTCTATTTGTGATACAGTACTCAAAATGGGATTGAAAAATTACAGGATCACGTTGCTCACAAACAACAAAGCTCCTGTTCTCACGCTAAGGAGCCCTCGACAACAGTCTGACCAGGAGTTCATTTATCAGATTTACAATTTGATGAGAAAAACGGAAACTGGATCAAATTCCTCTGGATTCCCACTAGCAAAGGAAACAAGCTGTTAGGTCTGGCTAAATAACACGCCAGAGCTGCGAGACAAGAACATGCTCTCCTACAAGAACTTGTGCCGAGGATGAAGTTGATAACACTGAATATTGCACGTTCCCAAGCAGTCCCCAATCATGACCTACTAGGGACGGTAGGAATGCACGCAAAACGATTGGAGGCGGCACTCCCAGGCAAACACACCCGACAGCTTTATGACTGATCATTGTGGAAGGAACAGAGTGTACTGGCCCAAGCCCGGACGGGTATGGCAAGACTCAACGGATATTACAATCGAATTATTGCAGCAGAGACGGACCAATGTAATTGTGGGCAAGCAAGAGAGTCCCTAGAGCACTTCCTACCCGCTACGACACTGCTTGCTGAAAATCTCATATCCTACAAGGTTTTATGTATTGGCTTTCAAGAAACATAGCGTAAATATATGGGCATGTATAGTAGACTCGTGATGGTGAAAATTTTAGTTCAGCCGCCGGGCGTTAACGAATTGTCTGTTTGTTTTGTTTTTGTACTCAAAATGCATGGAGGCAGATGAAATACAAGCTTGAGCAGATATGGTGATTCCTAGAGGGAAGTAATGTTCGAAGCCAATCCTGTCTCCACACTTCGGCGGCATAACCTTCGAACTCGACGAATCCTATCCTGTCTCTGGCTTCGCATACGAAATTCTGTCGAATCAGTCAACACAGCGCAAGACTCAATATTCAAGGGCATTCATCTCTGCTGCATCTTTGCTGTTTGTAGAGTATGCCGTAGCCATCCTATTCCATGTACAGTCGATAGCGAAAACGGCTTCTACACTTCTTATCGTAATCATTTTCTTGGGCCCCACTGCCAAAATTTAGCGCAGAATTTTAATTGATTACCCGGTAGTAATTTGACGACCGTTGAAGATTGCACGATGTATGAAATTGTATCTTCCCCCGTAAGGTTGGATCCATTGCTGAATATTGGGCGGTGAAACGTTGATAGCCATGGTATTAGATAAGACGTACTTTACGGTGGCCCTCAAGTTGTTGCGGTCCAGTAAATAAGGCTCCGCGCTAAGGCCTTGGCAGTAGGGCTCGAGAAGAGAAAAGCGTTCAGAAGGGTAGAAGCCATTTTTGCTATCGACTGTAACCCACCAATCACTCAATTATTTCAAATGTATATCCTGCACTAAATAGGTTCTGGCTCTAGTTTTGAGCAAGATCTTTATGTCAAAAATATCTCGTAGTGTCTTGAAGGTGCTCAGTACGATTATACCTTCATTGGAAATCACATATTTGGATTTAGAGTTGTCGTATATTGCATATTGCTTTGCCAGGGTTCAGTGTAGATGAAAACTACTACAGCTACTACTACCACTTCCTGTATGTAAAATGCTTGGTAATAATTTTTTGATCATTATTGTATGAATTCTCTCACTTTCGCGTCTGACAACGGACGTACAATCAAAAGGCGGAAGAAATTTTGGAATTGAGCCATTACTGATTAGTTTTCCTCACCACTCGCTCAGAGCCATCTCAACATCCCCTCTCGGCTTTTGCTCTTCACTGTAGTAATTGGTTTCAGAGTGCTCTCGCTGACTGCACTGACTGGCGATTTTGAATACTCAATGCGTAGAGAGAATTCAGGTATATCCTGTAGAAAAACCAAAAGCGATCTCTTAAGCTCTGCGTATTCCTTGGCCTGGGGTACGTAATGGCCACCTTCAAATTCAAATATCGTCGGAAACGTGCACTGGCGTGCCAGCCGTATTGTTTGTGCTGGCGAAACAGTGGCGTCCCATATACCGATTGCGTGAAAGACTGGCGTGCTGATCTTGGGGTCGTATATCGCCTGGTAGCAGCTATTCTCGAGCATAAAGCCGCTCAGGCATATTGCAAACAGTAATGGCGGGTGACGCGTCTGCTAGGCTAGTCAACCAAAATGGCCTTATGTTACAAAATGGGAAATGGTTGGCCTACTTTCCAAGGAATGCCACAAACGGCTTTCCGTTTCTCCAGTAGGGATACGAGAATCGCAGACATAGCGGCACCGGAGGAAAATCCGAGGACACCGCAGAAAGGTCCATGCGTGTCCAGAGTATCCAAGATATGCGCAATTGATTCCTCAAGGCCTTTGATACGGTCCTTTTCAGGCTCCCCGTGTCCCCACACCCTCTGCTGGCCAGTATCGCTCTGATCAGGATATGCTGGTAGGACTCCAGATAGACACTCAAACTCGAAGTCGATTTCATCGGACAGCATGCGAAAGATATTTCTCACATGTCGGATCTTTGGCCAGATGATATCTTCGGACTGTCCGTGTCCTATTGTCTTCAATCAATTCTGGAATCGACGATAGTTCGTAAAGGCAAAGTGGGATGACATACCGTGAAGCACCAGCACTTTTTGTACCTTATGTTCCTTTTGGACCATGCTGAATTGCCGAAGTGAGTACAAATGAACAAGAACGCCTGTACCATTCTTGCGGACAACCTATATATACCTTCCCCCAAGCCATCGGCTCTGCGCGACCAATTAAAAGCCGCGGTCAAACTTGCTCGTCAGGTACAGTTCAACTCTCTCTGGCATGTATATCGATTTTTAGTCTTAGGATGATCAATTGTCGAATTGATGACTTTGAGATTATATGCGCTGGATATTGACCATATTTCATTGAATAATCAAGAAATCCCGCCTATGGACCTTCCATCAGCGCAGCGCATTTCTTTTTGCAAGACTGCTGGATCTGATGGTAACTTTTGGAGCAATTTCTGCTTGCTACAATTTCAGCGAAAATAAACTTGAAATGTGCATTTGAAACAATTTGAAGTTACTTTTTACTAAGAAACGTAAGCTATACCAACAGAAATTGTTTATGCAATCAAGTGGCTAGTCAGTATATTGTTGATCATCGGCTTTGAGTGTACTTCGTTGGTGAAACCTCCAGCCCCTCGTTTATTTGGATTCCAGTTGATATCATAAACCGCAGCTCCTGCAGATATCGAGCGTCTGATCTTAGGATTGACGTCTCTCAGTCACCTCTGACTCCAGGAATTCTTCTTTCTTACCCTTGATTACTGCTTGTCACATACATCTAATCTGTTTTAACTATAACCAATCCTTCTTATTCATCCATGGTTCTTGTTGAATTTGAGAGTTTCACTCATACCTCAGAAATGAAGCCGATAGAAAGCATGAATGGGTTTTCTTGACGGTTTGAGGCGGGTTTTGGCCATACAGAGTTTGCTGAATTGTCGACCATCTTTTGGACAAATTTGAGTCAATAGGCTACCATATTTTTTGGGCAAACTCAATATTGATTTCCATTGTTGGGAAGCAAAGGGTTTTCCTAGAGTCTTGAGCCAAGACACACCATTTGGATATAGGCTAGTAGATATTGGGCCAGACTCCATAATAGATTTTGGGTTCGAAGTAATACAGGATGGATCGAAATCATGTCTTTGGGGAGGCAGCAGATTTCTCTAGTGTCTTTCTATAAGTGATTTGGCCCTAGCATTGGTTTCTCACCTTACAGGGTTCCATTATCAAACACCAAGTGTTTCTGTAGCATTAACGCTTTTAACATTCCAACCAGACCGTAAGCACAGAAGAAAAGCCCAAGTCTGCCTTTTTCAGCTTAAATTAGTTTAGAAATAGACCAATGCTCTTCCTTGAGAGCAATTGAAAGGATATTGCAACTTTTTTTCATCAACTGTGCAAAAGCCATATGACCTTTACTTATATACATGGACTTTCCGTCCGGGCAGGAAAGCCTGTCGCACTCAAAAAAGAAACAGAGAATGGATCTCACCATCTTCTATGCTGTTGCAGTAGGAGGCATCTTAACAGCACTTTTCTTCATTAGTATAACTCCACCCCTGATAAGTTTTCTCCGTGGTTTTTCATTCATAATAAAAAAGCATCTCACGTACCCGTATTTATGGGATCGTCACAAGCTTGTTTCTCCTTGCACTCGGGCCAATGTCTTATTGTACCTTGTGTATGCAGCAACGAATATTTTTTTCATTTGCTTCAGGTCACAATCATCAGGCATGGTCAGAAGCCGGGCTGGAACTCTTGCGGTGATCAACATGGGCTTTCTCTTCTTGGCTCACCATTTAGCATTCCTTGGAAATATTCTTGGAATCCCTTTGGTGAGCTGCAAGCGGATGCATCAGGCTGCAGGCTGGATGACTGGCATGCTCCTTGCCCTCCACGTCCTCCTGGCAATGATTGTTGAAGAGAACAGTTGGACCTTGAGCAAGAAACGCAACCTCTTCGCATTCATCGTTAGTCTCCCACCACACAGCATGTTAATAACATATATTAATTGACTTTAGGGATCCATATCAACGGCGGTGCTTCTAGTCTTGTCCTTGCCTGTGTTTCGACGAGTCCTCTATGAGCCGTTTATTCGACTTCATCAAGCACTAGCCGCAGCGTGCATATACTCCACTTGGCGCCACCTGCCATCTGACACTTTATTCCCAAGATTGTACTTATACATTCCTCTCGGTGTGCTATGTACTACTTTTATTGCAGATGTTTCACTTTTTATCATAAGAAACGGCATTTTCCTTTCCCGCCCATATTCTCGTGCATCGGTCAGATGCGATCAGTTACAAATATCGTCTTCACAAGAAGGCCAAGAGGGAACACCTTTGAAAATCAGAATTGCGCTTACAACGCCACTGCGCATAAAGGCAGGTCAATACATAAGCCTTTGGATACCTGCGGCAAGTATGCTTTCTTGGACCCAAATACATCCATTCATGGTCACATCTTGGTCTCCTGAGAAGCAGGACGTTTTGGAACTTTTCGTCCAATCAAAAAAAGGCCTGACCGAGACTCTTCGCCACCGCGCAGCTCTTGATGGATACGCGTCTGTGACGGCGTTTGTTGGCGGGCCATATGGAATAAGCAAATGTATAGACCAATACGAGTGCGTATTAGCGATTGCCACCGATTTCGGCATAGCCGGGGTCGTATCTTATCTGAAAAAACTTCTTTACGGATACAATACCTGTACATCACATGTTCGTCGGGTAAACTTCGTTTGGCAGGTCCAGACACTAGGTGAGTTTGCCGTCCAAATTCACATCTATAATCAATGAGGAGCTAAAATTTTCTAGATATTGCAGTGGCTGCTGAGCCATTGCTCAACAGTTTATTGAGTGATGACATTTTGGACAATGGTTATGTAGGTAGCACATTCTTGTCGAAATTTCAGTCCGCTGATCTTGTGCCAGATACTTGAAATGTCTTTTTACGTCGGTTCGGATCAGATCATTGAGCATGGAAAGCCTTTCGGCCAGCATCATCGTGCGACGGTCTTCAATGGTAGCCCTGATTATGCGGAGATCATCTCTATAGAAGTTTCTGGACGAAACATCAAGAGAGTAGAAAATACTCACGAAGAACGAGGCAAAGTTCTGATGATGGGCACGTTTCTGATCTCACCTGATAGAATAGACGCTGACGGTGTTTTAGTGTCTGCATCCCCTGGCGTGCGAGACCAGTTAAAGAAACTAGCACACAGGCATCTTGAACAAAAGGTAAGCTTTTTTGAGTGTGAATATCAACCCATGTGAGCCCACAGATTACTAGTCGGTTCTCCACAGAGATATAGGGTGTATTAGCGTCGCGGACAGCGATCATTTTCATTCTGGGTAATCGCAGTCCACATTTCATTCGACAACGTCCAAAACATTCTAAGAAAAGAAAATTTAGACTTTTTGATACCCCCATTGATTTGGAAGGGTTGTTAAGTGCCGTGCATTGTTCCATTCTATATGGGAATTATATCCGTATTTTTAAATCCAGCGGTTCAAATTCTGGAAGGTAAGCGTAAATAGCCACAGCGGCCCTCAGTTTGGTGCATTTTATAATGAAGGAGCTCTCAACTGCGGATCACGTAAATGAGTGTAATATATCGACCAATGGGGCTCGCTCTGGAAGGTGTCGCAGCCTCATTCAAATCTTACGTTTCCTCGAACCGCGGTTCTGGTGAGAGATGACGAAGTCTCAAACGGGGCGTCGGATGACAAACCAAGATACCCCTATCGTAACTACCACTGCTCATCTTCTCCATAAGCAGTTTACTGTATGTCACGTACATGTACCTATCTACTATTCCCTAGTCTCACCCACAGCATTTTATGTGGTACGCTGATGTTGATTACATGATTCATTGTTTCGACATGGGTTTAAAATGATAAACAAAAGGGAAGAAGAAGAAACAACTATGTAGTATTTCAATGTTCTTTTCAGCGAGTGGGATGGGGAGACAAGGAAGGAAGGAGGACAGGAGAGAGAAGCTGTCACTTTCCCAGACCAAAGACTACCTAATCTGCTGATCTAGATCTCGCACTGTACTCGGACGCGAGTTCAGGAGAGGATCATGTCACCCACACCTTCTCCTGACAATTACCATACCTACATAGACAACAACTTAGCATGATGTAATTGGACTCTGGTATATGAAAAGGCTGATTAACTTTACAACTGTACGTAAGGTTCCGTAAACTACCATTTCAAGCACACATATAGCTTATCAGTTTAAGTTCAATGGATGAAGTGAGGCAATATATACATTTTTGATATCAAACTTTGCAGATCAACTTAATCCTTTGTATAGACCCCCAACAATCAATTATGATAAGACTGTTTTATCTTTTGGATAACAAAAGACACTACAAATTTAAATTGTGACATCAACAGTGACTGCTAAGCTTCGTTAGAGTACCGATAGTGATATCTGCATCTTGAGGCGCTTGTTGGATCAGGATTTTTATATTCAACGTCAAGACTGGGATATATCATATTGAGTCACTACACCTTATACACAGGTAGCTTCTATCAAGAAACGCTTGGTCGGCATCTGATGATATTTTAAAATATGTGCGGCTCTGTCCGGCTCTTTCCGGACTACTACAGCATTCTTCACTCTGTTCCTCTAGGTATAATACCCTAGAGCTATTTCTCATAGGAATGGAACATTTTTGCGGAAAGTAATACCGAGCGAGCAAGAAGCACCAACTCGCCTACCAATCGATGCTTCTTATGCACAAGTGCCTGCTGATGTAGGTTTAGGTGTGCGCTCATTTAAAATCAAATATCAGGCCCACTTACTAGTTTCAAAGACTCTAGAGAATCGGTTGTCGAAAGTGCAGAGAGAAACCCGAACGCGTTTGAATCGACAGGCCAACGATTCAAATCATCGACTCCCACTATGTCATCATCCTTTGCATACTTTTGCATGAGCTCCATGGTGATAGATGCGAGAACTTTAATATACAACCTTTGCAGCTGATTTGAGGAATCTCCTACACACGCCTCCAAACAACCTATCAACATTCAGCTCCAATATCAAGACGGCGGCAAAATCTTGTATTACCTATTTTGATCACACCGTCCAGACCGAGAAGAATGCTTCGGCATCCCAAAGACCTATGCTCTAATTTCAAATTGCAGAGGTAACATAAACCCTCCAATATCTGCAAAGGTTGGCATTTTCAAAGATCTGAACAGCGAAGTGCAACATACCTGCCAAACCATGGAAGCCAACTCTCCCTCTGTGGGATACAGAAGTCGGCACCCCACAAGATGCTCTAAGTTGAGCGGAAGATCATCAACGAGGGCATACATAGAGCCTCCATCTACAAAGCACTCTCGAGCAGATAACAAATTGCTATGATCAAGGCGACCATACAATCGCAACATTTTTTCAACGTTACCTCCAGTGTACTCCCGAATTGCTACCACCTGAGATGGACGGGATCTACGGGCTGCAATAAACACTTCGCCTGCAATTTGACACCGGAGTGTTCGGCGATAAGTGTCCCAAGGTGACTCATTTCTTGTAATTAGGAAGCCAGGGCTTTCATTTTCCTCGAGCACTTGGGGCAAACCCAGTCTCTTCTGGCCTCCCGTGATAATCTTCCCTGATGGCTTGCCTTTAACTAAAGTATTCTTCTTTTTAAAGTTCGAGTTATGAGTCGCATGAGCTGCTCTGTCAAGCTGTCTTTGGTCTTCATGGGAAGGGGTTGGGTTTACTATCTTCAAGGATTCGAATTGCTTTTTGAAAGTTTGAAAGTCAATCGCTGTGCAGTGCTTGTCGCTTTCCAACATATTTGATCCATGAAAGAATGTACTTGTAGGCAGCAATGCAGATACGGAAGATCCCACACCTATTTATACCCACACAGAGGTAATTTCGAGAATTGGCTCAATTTTTTCATCATCAATCAAATCGCTTATCCAGGAGCTGTTGACTTTTGATCGAGAAGTATAAATATACATGCTAGCCTCTGAGACCCATTTTAACGTTGAAACTCTCGCTTAATCATTCATCATGGATTATACTATTTACACGGATAGTGAGCTTCAGCTTATCTCTGAAAGGGTTCAAAAATACCAAGGAACAGCGAAAATTGATATAAATCAAATAACGTCTCACCCATCCACATCACAAGATTTGAACTTGAAAAATGTGGAAAGGCTTTGCGAAGTCTTCATTAAAGAAGGGTGTCGGAGAGTTGATGTTTATAATCATGTTAGTGCTGTTGTGTCAAGGCCTCATCTTCATGAGGCGCTACGAGCCGCGCGGGTAAGCCCCGCTGATTTAATGACCGAACAACCAAGTCGCTACCCACGCCTGCATTTTTCTCCTGGTCAGGTGAAGTGTCTACATGGTCAACATCGATTGAAAGCTGGAGAAGAATCTTTACCTCCTATCGATCAATGGTGGACTGTTGATTTGTATTTAGATGGTAAGCTAGAGATTCTGAGCAGAGAGCTTCTCTGCGGCGCGACTTCCGCTCTAACAGCCCCAAGATATTAGTTCCGACCTTCAAACTACTCTCATCGACGAGTATTCTAACGAGAAAGTTCCAAGTGACGGCGAGATCTACCGTAAAGTGCGACAATATCGAAATGATGCAAATGCGCACTTCGAAAATCGGTGGCTGGCTCGCCTTTCGGATAACAAAGCTAGAAGGCTCCGAGGGTTGGATTCCAATCCAATTGTGCGAGCCTCCTTTGATTCCTTACTCGTTATTCCTTCTTTGGTGATTCATGGCATGCAAATTGGCTCACTCCCACAGGCTCTGGCCATTGATTGCGATGAGGTAAGGCAAACTGACTCCAGGGAGATGAAAATTGCTGATTTTGCTCGCAGGAGATTGTTCATGCTTTGACCAAACTACTGCAGTTCTGGTCCTCACTTGTGAGACATGATCGTGAAAAGATGCTCAAAATTGACCGCTATACCGTGGAAACTCTGCAGCTTCTGGCCCCGGGGGTTTCGTTGAAAGATAGGACTACTGTTAAGGGCCTCCTGCACAGCGGCGAGGTCTTTTCAGAATTCACCTCATCGGAAAGGATATCCATATGGAACGAAATCAAAAAGAGCGAGGGGACAGTTCCCTCCCTGTTTACATTTTTCAAAGATCTGTGGTATCTAGAATCATGTGCCAATTGCATTAAGCGACTTATAACACCCTCTAAATCTTTCCCTACAATCAAAGGTGCGTTGCGTGCTTCCTTTTCAGCTCTTGATGCCACCAACCGGCAGTACCTGATACAAACTTCCGAAACCGGATTCCGACATTATTCGCTTTCTCAGGGTGATCCTGCGGAGCTTGGCTATAGACAACTTTGGCTCTATGCCATGCGCCATTACCCAAGTGTATCCAAAATGACTCAAAAGAAAGACCCTAAGGCGAGGTCCAATCGCGAGGTTGTGGACCCTATGATCTTGTTTGACATGGCTGTACTCGCAAAAACACTTGGCTTTCAGTCGCCACAAATCGAACAACTTGTCAAACAGTCGCCGGATCGTCAGATCGCCAGAGATGCCCTTTTGCGGGCCCGTCGAACGGATCGCTATCGCTACAACGAGGAGGAGTTTGATTCTTTGATCTTCAAAGTCACCGAGTGCTTCTTGAGAGCAACACGTCTTGATGATATACCTCCAGTCCAGTATGCTGGTGGAAGAGAAACCAAGAAAGAGTCTCGCTACGGGCACCCGCAAGCCAAAGAGCAACTCCAAGATCGCCAGTTTCTGTTCATCGATCAAATCCATGGTGAATCCCTCTCCAGTGTCAAAAAGGCGACATCCCTTTTTGTGAGGCGCAGTGTTTACTTTACTTTCTTCGGCAAGCTACCAATACCTGCTATGGATAACGGGGACAGCGTGGGCGATTATCCAAGCCCAGATTTGGCAATGTCTCCCCTTTTTGTTCCAAGCAATGTTTCACCAGAATACGAACCAGTAGGAAACGAGTATGGGTTTGCTGAGGGAAGAACCGAACAGCATGCTATCTCGGAACAACAACTCTTGGACAATGCAGGCAGAGAGCAACATCAGCAGAGGGGACAAAAAGAGTTGCTTAAAAACCAGCAACAACCGCAACGAACACCCCAATCCTCCAGTGTCACACAAGGATCGAGGCCTTTTTCCGGAGAATCGTGGAAACCATCCTCACCGGGCATCGAAGTTGATATCGTTGAGTCGATGGACACTGATTCGATGGACGTTGATTCGACAGTCATTGATTATATGGATGTTGAAATGATCGAACATACAGATCTAGAGGAGCATTCTGGGCCGACAATTGAGAGCGAATGTAGCTTATTTTCCGACTCAATTTCCAATTCTGGCGAACCAATCAGTGTCGATGAGCTGGTTCATCACGAATCAGACTTAGAAATGGCCAGCGACGTCGAAGGCGAGTCCCAGGAGGCGATCATTGGAATCAACTGTGTTGAAATGGAGCTGCAAGGAACTCCACTCCAAGGAGAGACTGAAGTGAGGATTGATCAAGCCCCACAGGATACCAATATGGAAGAACATGCAAGGGTAGCAGAGGACGAATCCGCTGCAAGCACGAAGGGGCTCTCTCCGAGGACCGCAATTTTCAACACATTAAAAAGACTGGAAGGGGGTGGGAAGACAAATTCTATTCAAGGGCCTTCTAGCGCTATGTCTCATCAACAAAACATCGAGCCACCAGTGCCCTCGCCACAAGACACTTTGGTGCAGGACATAAGCGACCTTTTACAACCGACAAGACACACCCAAATCAATTTCCTCAAAGCAAAGGCATTACCACAGCCCAGAATGAATGAAGAGGATACTTCATTGCCTGGGGCAGAAGTGGAAGACGAAATGGCTGGTGGTCCGACACGACGCTCAGTCTCTTCGGATACTATCGACTTAACCCAGATTCCTGGATCGTTATCAGCAAGATCTGTTATCCTGGCGACTCAAGAGAAACCGAAACTCGACCACCAATATCGGCCGGAAGAATCATTGACCTCCGAGGGAATAGAACTCGAAATTCCGTCGGAAATCCAGAGCGCAGACAATGGGAATAGCAGCATCGGAAACGTGGCTACATGGGAGGATATGCAGCGACAAACCCCAGAGACAGTATCGGAAGAGGATTCAGCGCAGGGGCGTCCCATGGTGAACGCTGCGCACGAAGAAACTGTGACCGATAGTCCTCCCATCTTCTCGTCGCAAGGTAATCTTGTGCCGAAAAGTATTTCGACCCAACCCAATGCACACAAATCAGCAAGAGTTGACAGGCCCAAAAAGCTGCAAGGAGGTCAAGACGGGCGTCGGGAACAAGGAGATATGGACAAGTCTTCAACGGAGCCCTCGGGGGTGGAAATCATATTCCGTGGACGTGACAAGTACGGTGAATGGAGTCACGTGATTCATCGAATGATGGTCGATCCATCCGATCCGTCTTCTGTCCAGCGGATGGCGTCAAAAAACGCGAGAAAGAGAAACATAACATTTTATGACAAGATGTTGCGCCAAGTTCCTCCTGCGATGTGCTTTGATGCGGCAATTGAGGATGGAGCGAACACCCTCTTCATGACAGACCGGGACAATGTGGTTATCGATGAAGAGGCAATGAATTCGATCACACGAGCGCTGGAAGGCGAGAATGATGGTGATATGGCAATTGAACGGCAGCAGTGCTTCAATGCAGCAACCGAGCCATCTACGAACACTATCTATAGGGAAAATATGGAGACAAATAAAAATTCAATGAATCCGGTCACGCTATCGCTCGAAGACGAGAGTGATGATCGGGCAACTGATGATCGGCCAGCTAAGCGGAACCAGAGGAATTGACAGAAAATGGCGATGAGGCCCGGCGCTCGAAAAACACCATCCGGGGAAACGGCTCCGGCTAGGGTTTGAGTCAGAAAGCCCTGCGACGGAGTTCTATGAGATGCTTCCAAGCCTATGCAGACATCATTTAGTAGATTTATCACCATTCTGGTCTCCAAGCTTTTGTGGACACCAGTTGGTGGATTGGCAGCCTAGGCAGACGTAAAGCCGTAGACTTACGTCCACTGTGGACCTACGTCTACAGCTAGACGTATTTTGCCCCACGTTACCTGCTGTAGGTCTTTTTGCCTAAAGCTGCAGCCATTCTCTGGCAGCCATTCGTCAAAAGACAAACTACACTTGATTTCTGGCTTACATGGATGTCGATCACTAGACCACAGTCACTACTAGCTTTATAACGGGCAATACAGGTCTCATATGACCACTTGGCCACCCCGGTCAGGGGTCGATGTCTTTCCATCCACATAGGCCACCCATCCCTCGGGAAATTTCAGAACAGGCAATACAGGTCTTGTATGACCACTTGGCCACCCCGGTCAGGGGTCGGTGACTTTCCATCCATATAAGCCACTGATCTCTCTAGGTATAAAGGGACTATCTGAAGAAATTTTATGCAAACACTGTAGTTTCTTTATAGCAGTAACTAATCAGCTTTTGTTCTTCGGTTTGTGCTCCCCCAGAGCTCGAAGTCGCACGTATTCTTAGGCTTCGTGGTCCCGGAAAAGCTCCATGATGTTTTCATATAGCCAAACTGGGAGTTACAGTAGAGGGGAAATTTACAATTAGTAGTAGAAGTTTCCAATTCATAAAATCCTATGCTTGACGTACATGAGCCACTTTCCAAATTTTGCTTTTGTTTTGTGGGCGATCATTGTGTGTCCGATTTGGTTACACTGTGAACAAAGTTTCAACTTTCTAAATGCTGCTGCTTGTTAGCCCAACCTTTTCGTACCATAATTGCTTCGTCAATACGGTGTCGCCAACAATTTTGGTCTGTTGGTGTCTTTACAAAGAAAAATCCCCAAATGAGTGGCGTTTTAGCCATATTGAACGAAATTCATCTTCATGATGATCTGTTGTAAAACATACGACGTGCGTTTCCAATACTGGTGACTCTTATTTCATTCACTATAGTCAATCCCAATACGTATGTGGGAAGGCTGAAAATCTTACTAGCATTTATGCTTTTTTGCTATAACAGAAGCCTTTGCACAAGTAGAATTTTGTAATCGACTAACTCGACAGCAGAAAAGAATCATTTATATACAAAAAAAAGTTTAGAAATTTAAAGCACAGGTGCAAGTGGCTTCAACTGGCCAGCAGTTGGTTTTATCTGAAAGCACAACATGGGACTCAAATAAACTCTTCCTCGAACCCTTTCATTTCCATTTCCCTCTTGTAGACTGCGTATGCCACCAGCGCCGCTCTATTATATTCTATCCTGCGTTCGAGACTCGATTTATCATCTTCATTCATCATTGCAGTCATGTCAGCCATGAAAGTTTTTTGACTAAACTTTTGACGTTGAGATGTGGCGGAACCATGGTCATCATCCGAGGCGGGCTTATTGTTGGGTGCTTGAATGTTAAGTGAGGACCCTGAGGCCTGCTGAGTTGATTTTTTTGGTGGATAGTTTTCTTGTTGATTATTGCGGGTTGGAGATATGGAGGATCCTTGCCTCAAATGCGCGTTGTTTGGAACAGCACGGCCCGTTACCTCTTCTGCCTCTGGTGTGTCCGCTAATGGAGTAAGGCTTGCCGAGACTCTTCCCACTCTCATATCTCCTCTCCACTCTGGATCTAGGCTCTTACCTGCCCAGTTCCTAAATGCCTTCACTTGACGAAGTGCCATTTCGTAGAATCTTCTATCGGTTCGCTCCATTGAATCTTTCCCACCGGGAGAAAGCCTCTTGTACGTCGATCGATCAATCCAAACTCTCAAATTATTTTCTCCTTCAAGCTGTACAAGTACAGTAGTGAAGGGGAAAATGTACTTCCCAGACTGCTTGTTTGCAGGATTCAAATCTTCCACCGACTTACATATGTCGAGCATGGTAGATTGTCTGTTTTTGGGTATCCAAGCAATACCCCTTATGGGGCCAATTTTGCCCTTGTATATGAGCACATCGTTTTTCATCTTCTGAGCTTCGATGTGAGGTTGTTCACTCAGAAACTTGAGATCGTTCACCCTACCAGAGGGCACGAAACTGCTCCAAGTATACATAGGGCTATTTCTGGACCCATATGAATTGAGTAACAATTTCCCTTGTCGCGTTTGCACTATTGTGGTGCCGCTTTCGAGTGGAAAGCTATCGGATGTAACATATGCACTAGTTTCAGTTTCATCGGACAATGAGCCATAATCGTCATATGTTTGAGGTCGATACTGTGGTTCGTTTACATAGTGATGATCATGGTTGACAAATAGCTCGTTATCGGATTCCCTGGTTGGATCGTTTAATTCTTCTGGCCTCTCTACAGATTTCGAAACAAGGGGGAGTCGGGGATTCGAAGCGTTGCGGATATCATTAAGCTCATCATCTCTCGCGTTTTCGGGATTCTGTTCAACTGCTCTTTCCAAATTGGTATGGACGCTGGAAGGTCCTGCACTCTCACCCGACGATTCGGTGGCTGACGATTGGTTGTTATTGAAGTTTTGACCTTCGTCGACATCATCATGCTTTGCACTTTCGCTGTCCTGCTCGGTGTCAATCTCGGTTTCGGGTTCTGGTTCTGGTTCTTTTTCTGGTTCTTGTTCCTCTTCATCTATGTCCATGGGGTCTCCTTCGTCAAGCTTGGAGATTTCTGCATCGATGCTTGTGATTTTCGAGTCGAATAGTTCTATCTTATGGTCCATTTCATCCTTCAACTGAAAATTCTTTCTCAATTCTTCTTTCAGCTGGCTGAGTTTTTCTTCATCATCCGTCTCTTCAATGTCAGTCTCGATCTTTTTTATGGTCTTGTTCACGCCCTTGAGGTCCTGGATCGTGTTTCTTCGGGATATAGTTTCTGCTTCTATCCTATCCTTCAGTTTCTTTCTTTTTTCCAAAGACCGTGTTCTGCCACCTCTCCGGCCAGCAACCCCGGCATTCCGATTAGCAGACATATTTCCAATGCAGCTACTCGCAGTTGGATATAATTAGAAAGACAATACTGGTACGTTTATGTGGTTTCGGTTGGACCTTTATAGTTTATAATTGAAAGGAACTTTAAGTTTTCATAAAGAAGTAATTTGGGTAAACAAAGCAAAGTCGTCAATGATTTGAACATAGACCTCAGCTAAACTAATGAAGAATGATGATGGTGAAGCTCAAAATAATAGTAGAATGATGGAACGGCACCCTGGTTGTTCAAACAGCCCACTATGTAAGACCAATTCTGGCAACTCTTTGCAATTTCACTGCCAAAACGTTCGAAAAACCGATCATGGTGTGGATCGCTTGACGAGGGCCGCATTAACATGCCTATTTGTTTCCAGTATAGAGCACAATGAAACACCTTAACTGAAAAGTTTCGTATTTCACATCTATTTGACTTTTCCCATCAAAAGTATACATAGTTGAACATTTGCAATTGCATAAATCAACTCCCTGGAGCATGAAAGTGTCCCATAATCAGCATTTTCGGCGTACCGCAGGTTAGTGCTGGTTGTTCAACAACTAATCGGTTCTAAGGTCTTCTAAGTAGGTGCCGCAAAGAGACCCTAAATTTTGTGACTTTTATTGGGTTGGCCGATTTCGAGAAGCGCTGTAATGTGTTCAAATTACAATGGAGACGCACTACAGGATGCCGCAGAAAGTTTGACCTAGGTCCGCTTCCTTTACATAGATCATGCTTTGACTGGGGATTTCTCGCGGTGCACAGCAATCTACTCAGCCAAATTTGGGAGCTGAGGTAGCACGCATTTACTGGTACATCAGTTCAATCAATACTACAACGTCCACTTCTTACCTTCATTGCTGCAAGCAATTTAAGCATGTGAAATTAGATACGCCAATGCAGGGATGGGATTTTGCACCCAAATTCTCCAGGCAGAAAGTTTTTCAAGAAACCTCGTGGTAGGTTTGAATATCAACTGGAGCTACGATGAATCAATCATTAAAATGAAACAAACAGATAAATCATACTTGGTCAGAAAGACAATTCATTTGTTGATGCTGTCGATGCCTCAGTAAGTACACTTATCACAGAAAAGAAACCATGTTGTCTTACCGCTTGCCTGCTTCTCCTTTTCCTCTTTTCCTCTTTTCCTCTTTTCCTCTTTTCCTCTTTTCCTCTTTTCCTCTTTTCCTCTTTTCCTCCTAGGTGCGACATGACAGCCTCCTTGAACTTTTCAAATGTATTAGACCTATCGCGAAGCCTGCAGCAGGCATTGGGGGATTGCTCAAGTGTTTTTTCAGGCCAAAAGGGGCATCTCACGCTTCAAAAATCTCTCCTGCCATCCCCTATGCTTGATGAGACTGTCGAAGAGAAAGAGCGCAGAAGGCGATCCCAAGCCCCCTCTCCGGAGATTTTTGAATCCGCAATTCCAAAAGATACCCACTTGGCCACTGATCTGGTTTGTCCTGTAATGATATTCCGAGGAATGGTCTTCATTTGACTGACGATGCACCAGGGGCCAGTCAGGAATGCAGACGGAAACGAGGAACTAGTTATTAGAGCCGAGAAAATATGTCGTCCGGAAACACCACGACGCTAATTGTATCGAAATATAAAATCGATGATACAGACCCGCTCGAAATCAGTTTTATCTCTTAACTCACCTCCACTCTTTCTTGAACTGTATTTCGCATGACACCATGCCTCTTATATTTAGTCTACTCTTGACACAAACTCTTGGCAGTACCTCAGTATGGTGATTGAACTTGGTTGTAGTATTGCGATTAGAAAAACTCACCTGCAAACATAATTTTTAAATCCATCATGAAGATACAGTAGATTTCGAAATTAGCTAGACCTCTCCACTCTTGCGACTTGGTTCCTGGAAGATAAATCCGAAATACGCTTAACAACTTTGGTCCACCGCTCTATAAATTCGGCAGAACTGTAATCGAATTGTATATTGTAACAAATTATTGGTCTAAATCAAAAAAAATTAGTCATCGTAATAATACCGTAATATTCATAGGAATCACGAGCAACATTTGAAGGGTTGTGAACCTCATTGCTTCTGATAGTTGCCTTTTTCGGCCTAGCCTCCAGACATTTATGAATTGTGTTTATATGTGTACGAATCGACATGTCAATCTACTTGCTGTTGGTGATATTTTTATCATGCCTCTGGTAAGAATCAACTATAACTTCCGTCTTTAGTTGATCAGTGTTTTCAATTTCATTTCTGAAAATAGTTGAATAGCTCGCTAAGTTATTCCAGCGTTTCTGACTAACTTCCCTATATTCATTTCACCTCGTCAAATCTCGGCGTTCATGTCATTTACAACGGAGATCACCCATTCGAAATTACCAGCAGCTTTATCGAGAAGCTTAGGGCGAGTCTCTTCGACGAATGCAGATATATCGGCATAAAGTGTGCGTTCAATGTAGGTTTCAAGATCTTTGACATGACCGGGTTGATCTTCCAGTGTAATTTGGCCTCTATCTCGATGAGAGATAGAGGGGATATCTCCACCAGAGAGGCAAACCCGGAAGATGCCCCCCGTGGCAGTAGAAATTCTGCTAAGATCGTCAAAGCATTGCATTATGTGCACAGCTTCTTGTTCATCACACTCATCGAGAGCATCGATGAAGCAGGTCAATGAGCGCTGGCCGAGGGCAAATACTGCTTGGCAAAAGAGGTCCTTCAAAGCACTCAAGGAAGGGCAAACACCGCGACTCAGTGACGTGATAGCGAAATCATCCAAAATTATCTGGATGTCAGGGCACTCTGCAAGAAGCTGGAGTAGCAACGACCGATACATCCCCATTGTTGACCTTTCCAAGTATCCACCTTCTTTGTTGGAAAAAAGGAAGCTATGACTGCATGTTGAGTCTTGATTGTGCGCTTCATATTCTGGTATGCAAACTTTATGATCGTCGACTTGCCCGCACCTGGCTTACCGCTGATCCACAAAACGCGAGAATTTTGCATTGATGGCGTGGAGTGAAGCCATGCTTGATAGTCGGGGTGGCTAAGAAGCCACTCGCACGTCCCCCAAAGCGGTTCTTCGATGGTGAATTTACGGGCGTCGATGTTCTCGAAAAAGAAGGAACCAAGTAACAGTCGCCGATATCCAAGAGATAAAAATCGATCTAGTCGGTAAGTGTGAGCAGCGGCGAGGGATTTTTCTTTTTTTTTTTACACGTTCGATTCGATGGAAACCTTTCGTGCCAATTCAGACGGACTTTCTAAAGAGGCAAATGCCTTATTGGAGCAAATTTGCATCAATAGGACTCAAGAGGTGCGTGGATTCGAATGGAAGGGAGGAGTTTCCGAGCTGATTTGTGCAGGCTGCCAACAACTCAATAATATTTCTAGGCCAGGGCTTAGGAGGACTGTTGGTCAAACAGGTAGGTCGTCTGAGGGAAAGGATAGTGTCTCAGTTCCACAACTAACCTTGGTCCAGGCTTTGATGAACGCTTCTTCGAATTCTGACTTTTACCAAGTAAAGCAATCCACGTAGGTCTTGGAATTCAAAAGATTCCATCACACGCTGACCATACTAGGAGAGGACTAGCTTTTTTTGGAACACCTCACTCACAGAAAGCGGACTTAGGAGATGCTTCGCGCGCTGGGTTCCTTGAAAGGCTATTTGGCAGCAATGAAGGATCAAAACCCGCTCCTCAGATGCAAATCTGTCCAAGTCTTGCTAGTCTTTTCAGCACCCAGCTCGAAGATTTCCTCTACGTTTCTTTCTACGGTGAAAATGACAATGTAAGATATCATTTTACAAGGCCACCGGAGTGTCTTAAAAACTTTATATTCTATATGAACCTGAGTGATTGACTGCTTGATTCTTAGATCGTGCCTTTGAGATCTGCGCTACTCAATCTTCCAGGCGCCCGGGAGACTCAAGTTCGACTGATGGGGGGCCATGAGGACCTATGCCACTTTTCCGTCAACTCAGACAATTACACGAAAGTCATGCGGAGCTTCTGGCGATTTTGTGACCGAATCACAGGGAGGGGATACAACGAGTAGTATTATTTCAGACAGTAGGGAGGTAACGTTTACAATTGCACTCCTGGGAAGCATTTGCGAGGCGAGGAGTTATTTCCCTCACTCCCGTGTTCGGGTGATGGTCTGAGGGCTTGTTTAGTACCAGACATTACAAATACCTTGCCAACCTTCCGACTACTCATGAACTTGTTTATAAGAACAATCAGCCTATCACCTACACCCGTTTCCGGTTCAATCGGTAGATGTAAAATAAAACCAAAGGGTCCGTCAATATATCCCTACAGGCTTCTGATGTCCTCGGCTAGACTTGACCAGGGACAGAATGCCTCCTTAAAGGGTAGCTTCGGCTGCCAGTTTGAGTAAACGTGTATTTACGGAGACACGCACTTTGTTTCCAAGCGCTCCATTTTAGAAGCACTAAACTATATAGGCTAGGGGCAATCCCACCACCGTATCTCTAGTATAGCTTACCAAGCTTACGATATTTAAGGTTCGGGCTTGAATGAGATCACATGTACACCTAGATGGTGCCGATGGTCATTTCTCTATAGTCGGTGCAAAATTCGCCTCGTGACCAATATTCTTCAACAGGCCAACCAGGATTATAGCAGAGCGATGCGCCATACTAAACTTTGATTGTGTCCGAGTCTTCAGGGTCGAGACTTGCCTTGAGGTGAGATCATGAGTTCCTCTCTTCCCATCAGCAAATCAGTCCATAAGTCAGCTCCCTTTAATAGCACGCAGTGGCCCCATAATATTGTCGAAAATTGTTATGGTACTTGAGTAACCATAAAAAGATGTGCTCATCGTCCTCTGTCGAAGAATTTCGCAAATTCCTTTCTGTCAAAGAAGCCGAGCAGATCTGCCACCAGTTTCACATTGATCAGTGGCAACCAGGGTGCCAGGTTATGTGGAGTGGATTATGCCGTCAAGTTGTACAGAGTTGGGCCGATAGGAAGAGAATGCAAACATTGACTACAGCAATGGGACCTTTGATGGATCATGGGCAGCCGCAATGCCTATGGTCCCAGAAGTCAAACAAGCAATGGAGCAGGTATATGAAAGGCGCATCCGCTATGTTTGCTTATCACATTGCCCAAGATGGAGACGTTGTTACTGTCCTGTCACCGCCACCCCCGAACAGATACAACCCATACGGGGGATCGAACTACCAGACCCTTGAAGAGCCAATCCTGAAGGGAATATTGGGTCCTAGAGTTGCGAGGATTGAAGTTGTGCATCCGACTATACTTGATGCTGAAGACTTTCGCTATCAGCTCTGGCCGCACGATCAGAGAATCATCTGGCAGGATAGGTTTGGCCACCCTACCAATCATATACACTGGCGCCATATAGCACCACGCCCATCCCTTGCTTTGATCAGACTTACTTGACTGTGAGGGCCTTACACAGTTAAGCTTGCCACCTCGCGGCAACGACAAAATGGCAATATCACCGAATGGGTGTAACAAGAGCAGGTTTCAAAAATGATCCATTTGCTGTCTACTATGGTACTCAACAACATCGCAGATATCAAAAGTACTTGAATTCCTCCGTTTCAGTTTTCTTTCAATGAACGGCTTGTCGTGTATGTGCTCCGGTCGGGGTTGAGATCGGTATCGTTCCTGTTTAACGTTCAGTATTTAGTTTAAGAATGTAAGAAATTCAGTGTAAGAAATGGATTACCCCTTCAACTACCCGGTAAGCTAGCTACTGCGGCAATAGATAGCAGATGGATCATTTTGGAAACCTGGTGCAAAAAGAGTCTAGTCTGGAAAGACATGTAAAAGACCCATCGCTAGATAATAAAACTCCATGACGTCAATATGACGCTTGAACGAAGTCATTGCATCAGCTGTTGTCGTCATCTATTATCTTACACTAAGTCTTCAAAAACAGACGCGCAGTTGAACCCTGGAACACCCGAGACAATACAACGCCGTCTTACGTATACACAGGCAGCATCTGATATTCCGACACTTGGACCGCCACCTTGAAGTCTGACAAAAATGATGGTATTCGTCCTAAATATCAAACTTGCGTTCTCGGGCCTTGACCCGAGCAGTCTTTTTGGACCAGCCTTTGGATTCAAGGCGCGACTGATGCTAGATTTCATTGCTTGAGGAGCGAAATCAACCCATATAAAATCAGCATCCCGTCCAGATATGAGGTAACTAGGCTTCTCAACCAGATAGTCGCACAAAGCCTCGAGCATGACCGGGCTGATACTACGAGGTCGTCCGCCTCTAATTGGAGGTGCTTTGACGCTGCGAAACGTTCTTATATTGGAAGAGATTCTCGAAATGGTGCTCTTATTGCAACCAGCGGCCAGTGCCATCTCATTTATAGATAGTTCGCCATATAGATCATGTCGTAAATAAGCTCGTGATTGGAAGAAGCTAGGTTTGGAGCGACCACTCGTGGTTGATTGTCAGGCACGCCTCCCGAGGAGAGCTGTTTGGGAGGTGGAGCGTAAAGATGTCAGATGAATTAAATTTACAAGCGAAGACACGTCGAAAATTACTATGTATTTTACGAACGAAACAATACACGCGCAGCTTGCAGGGGACCTCGGGAAAACTCCAAATATAGACTACTGCGTCTTGGCGCAAGAGGCAGAAAGTCAATTAAGGAGTGTAGGATGTTGCACCGATTTCGGGACGCACTGTACAAGAGGTTTACAGAACGAATCTCTGTGTGGAAGTGGTGAAACTGATTTCGATCCTCCCTATAATATACACGCCGAATTCACTCATCGTTGCCTCATTACGCGCTTTGATCTTCTAGTCCCACACTCTACTTCTTGTTGGTCTTCTCTTTCGCGCTTGCCTGGACAGTTTTGAGACAACAAATTTAGCGGATTGTCATTCAGAGGCGGGATGACATCGGTAGATAGTTCCAGACTACCATTACCACAAAGCCATAAGGCGTTCCGTTGCCCACAAGATGGCAGATTTTTTTCCGGCACTAAACTAGAGCAATTCTCCGTATTTTGTAGACCCGAGGCTAGTCCTATTAGCAACGAGATCCTTGTATGAATGATCTTTACTGCATCGAAGACACATACCTTTGTCGCCCTTGGAAGCCTTAGGAGGTTCGGATATTTCCTCCCTCAGATGGGTACAGGTGGCTACACTAGGCTCGACAGTACCAAAATCGGAGCTTTGACCATACGGCGTCCAAGAAGGAGATGATTCCGTGACCGCGGTATTATTCTGTGAAATGGAAGCTCCTCCATCACCCACGATTTCCCAAAATTCTGGCGTACTCAAGCGCACAGTATCTCCGTCAGAATCATCCTGTTCTGGTGTGTATTTCTTGCCAGAGTTGTCGTCGTCACCGACAGGCATAGGGTGGGAGGCTGAGCCTTGTATCTCGGACTGATCATTGGGAAGCTCGGGTTTGGCCATGGTATGAATATCTTATTTGACAAGAGGCACGGTTGTTTGGGGCAGGTAAGTCCAATCTGGCTGGTTAGCAACGAATCTTCTCTCACAGATGCTTTCCATACCTGATAATGTATGAGGAGTTTGTGGGAAATTTTTGAATTGGCGAAAGGATAGGTGACATTCATCAATCTACTTATATACGTGGGTCTAGAAAATGGATGATCCGAGATCTAGAGCCTTTTCGGGAGTGGTGAATTCAACGAAGGGGTCCGGCAGGATATAGTTAAAGCTCCCAGGAGATATGATCGGCACACCAATTTCACTGAAAGGAAGCCCGAATTCGATTCCGACTTTATGCGCGTATAGGCCTCTGAGAACAGTTGTCAAGGTAGTCTAACGAATGGCAGTCCCGCTATTCAAGTTTTTTAATTAATCTCACAGGGCCTTAAAGGGCCAGCGAGAATTTCTATAGCAGGGTAGCGAATCATAGATTGAGGCCGTGAGGGCGTGTATTCAAATGATTAGGTACTGTACACAATTGATCCATCCAAAAATCATCGACCGATATATCGAAATCGCGACAAATTAGCTTACGCCCATGTCGCCTCTTCCCAGTGAAACACGCGTACAGATGTCCTAAATTAGGAACTCTTGAAACCCAAACCACGACATAAAAACACGTCGTGTATTTTTCTAATTCTGTCAATTGATTGGCACTGCGAGAAACACAGTAAGCAAGATTCTTCTCAATGGGTGGGACAACTAACGCGGACGACATGATCTGCATCATCTTTTGTGAAACCAATCAACTCATTGACTAGCTCATGATCCCGTAGTAAATCGTCCACCCACCTGTCCACAGCATCTAAATACCAACAACCTTTAAAAATTCTCAAGTGTGGGTGCAGTTTGGCTATCGAGTAAATTTTCTGTTCGATGGCGCGATGCGATCGGTTGAACCCTCGACGAAAAAGCAAACATTGTATTGCTCGGGAGCAAATTTGTCGTGACGAAAAATAGAGCGCAATGATAACCTCCTCATTTGACCAAAGACACCCCTTTGCCATTTTGAAATGAGCAATCGTTCGCGGTCAAAAATTGTCTTGTACAGTATACTCTCCGCACGTCACTAGTCTTTCCAACCAATATGAATATCTCATTTTTCTTCACGGAAACGAACTTGTCTTAAGTTCCCATTCTTTGTCTTGCTATTTTTCATCTTGCGCAAAGTTCGCTGGGAGTTCAATTTAGTCTTGAAATGCTCCCAAGAACCACCAAGAACCACCAAACTGAGTGATAAATGTCATGCCGCTCAAGATTTCCTCGATACATTGACATCATTTATCCTGACCTTTCACATCGATTGAAGACACTCGACGCTAAGTACACTCAAAATTGAGAAAGCTGTAGCACCAATTTCATTGTGCTTTGTTCTCGGTAATCTTCTTCGATTTACTGCTCAAAATACTGCTCAAAATACTGCTCAAAATACTGCTCAAAATACTGCTCAAAATACTGCTCAAAATACTGCTCAAAATACTGCTCAAAATACTGCTCAAAATACTGCTCAAAATGACACTGCTCGAAATCACACTGCTCAAAATAACACTGCTCGAAATAACACTGCTCAAAATAACACTGCTCAAAATAACACTGCTCAAAATAACACTGCTCAAAATAACACTGCTCAAAATAACACTGCTCAAAATAACTGCCAAGGATAGTATTACTCAGTCTGGCAGAGCTATTCGGAAATTAATGAAATCGTCTCAAAGAGGGCTCTACCAGTTAACAGAATCCATCATCTGAGATTCTAGCGACCATCGTTGTTGTACATTGCACACACACACACACACACACAATTCATTACGCCCGGAGTTTTCAAACCTAGAGGGCACCTATACGCTATTTGATCTTTCCACTGCATACATTTTGTCATAGTCTCATTTTCGAGAGGAAAAACTGAACCAGCTGCCAAAAACCCCTCTAGCCCATACGGGTATGCCCTTAACGATTTCTTCTTGTTGTTGTTGTCATCATATCCTCTCCCCAAAAGCAATAACCCATCCATCTGTAACACCGGACCCCCCACATGTCCATTCTCGATGTAGTTTCGTGAACCTCTTCCCTGAGTAGCGATTTACCGAGAGTACTTCTCATATTAACGCCCGAAGTAGCTGACTGCCTCGCTGGCGGCAACACCAGATAGCAGACGAAGGGCTGACGAATCGACATGCGATCAAACCGGTAGGGCAGGTGAGTTATTGTGAATAAAGCCCAGTGAGTATAGGTTGAAATGGGTAGGCAGGTCGCTTGTTCGAAGGTTCCTCGACGTTGCGAAGTTGTCGACGTGTTCTTTTGAAAGCTTCCCACCGCGTCGTCACAACCAATAAAGAAGTTTCCGCCGGAGTTTCGACTTGGAAAGTGCTCAGCTTCGGTCAGACCTTGCAGTCTAACTTACTGACATCCCTCACCACGAGAAGGTGACTTTCCACGAAGGACTGTTGTACATTACAGTCGATAGTGAAATCTGCTTCCTCCATAGACAATGGATTTCTTCTCCCAGGCCCCACTGCCAAGGCGCTAGCGCTTAAATTTATTTGAGGGCATCAGTTGATCTTCCAACTCTGAAAGCATGATCCAGCGATGGTGATTTGAACGGGAACCGAGTTATCATAGAAGTTTGAGGGTGGGAACGGTGAGGACCTTCTCGCCCACCTCCTCAACTTAACGACCTCTTTCATTACATATCGCGTAATTCTGAACCATTACTTCTTTATCAAACATAGATTCATACATTTTCGATCATTGACGAGGCCTTGTAATACATACGGACTAGGGTACTGTATTTGTAATGGAATTTCGCAGATAATCGTAAGAGAAAACAATGACGTAGTTGAATTAGACCCACAATGCACAGTACGTTACGCTGCGTCTTTCAATGTTAATCTATAGATTGATTGGCGATGTTAATTGAGCGGACGGTAGAGACGTTGTAGAGACGTCGATCGGGCGTGAACTTGCAATGACTGTTCCACAGCTTTCTGTTCCAATGAGTATGTTATCGTCTTCCCCCCCCCCCCCCCCCGGCCCCCCTTAACTGATTTATTTCAAAAAGAATCCGAGAGGGATGATTTCCTGGGTGGGCTTGGCTACCCATATTAAGGAACTGGCAATATCGTATTGCAGAACCGGAATATTACCTAATACATTACGTTACTATAAGGAATTTAATATGTATGGTTTTTTATATCAGGTGTGGCGGTGCAGCTCATATGACTGTATTGTAAGTTAAATTACAATATGGTAAGACACTTGTGATAAATTTCAGTCAAAACAAAGGAGCTGTCGACACATCTTAGCTACCGTGCGTGCTACCATGCGTGCTACCGTCCGACTCCAAAGGTTAGTTCGAGTTATCATCGGCTCAAGAATGGAATGGCTAAGTTGTCCACAATCTCAAATGAAACCAAAGCAGCCTATACATAATTCTAAACCGTGTATAAGAGCTTGGTTAACGTATCCTCACCACAAGACAGCAGCTGCATTAAATTTAGCCTCTGGGCAATAATGGTCGACTTAAGAGGCCTTTGGAGATTCTGAGCTTATACGAAGGCAGAAACCTTTTCAGAGGATAGCCTCTACGGGAGAATGCTCAGGATAGAGGGTGTCATGGAAAAAAGATTCTATATGTACGAATTTAATCTACTTTGGTAGATAGTCCTTGACCAAATCTCAATTAATCAGCTATCTTTTTGATTAGCTCGTGACCTGGTGCATCGCTGAGGAAGCTTGATATCAACCCAAGCTTGCCGCAGAATAAGCGTATCTATATCCGCGAAATGAAGTCCAACTTGCCTCAGAGTCCAATTCTGACTCTTGAACTCACGCAGCTTTCGTCTTTCTGCTGCTTTGAGTTTCTTTCGTGGCTGACGATTTTTCGAATCATTCGGAAAAATCAGAGTCCGCTGTTGTCTTGTCTGGGCTCTAGTGAGTGGTCCGCCCAGACCAATGACCGGATTCGTGTCACAATACGTCATTTGATCGCGTAATTCCTGAGTCAGACGATTGATTTCGCGCTGATGCTTCGTGGTAGAGCACTGGCTAATGCTTAACGTGCTGGCGAGATTGTCTTCTCCCAAGACTCTTTCCCCCTCGATCCGTTTGCTTGCGGCAAAGCTTGGTGAGGGGCACTGTGACTCTTTCGTGTCACCAGGTGACATTGTTTTGGCCTCAACCTCACTCGGGCATAAATTGAGAGGATTCAGCTGGCTTGTAATGTTCTTACAAGGTAGAAGCGCATCCTCAAGGCAGTGACCAGGAGTGTGGATGGTTTGAGGATCATTGATCTCAAAGACAAGGGTGGGCTGAATGGTAAAGCCTTCAACAGGGAACGGTGAGCGTAGCATAGCACCTAATGATTGATTACCGATCTCCTTTCTGTCCTTCGATATCCTAGGTGGAGTTGCCTGCCCGAAAATCTGATCACGGGGCTGGCCTTCACGCTCTTCGTCAATCTCGGAAGGTTCGAGGATTCGAGGATCAATAACTTCCAATCCAGGAGTCGTTGGCCGCGAACTGGAAAGTGAAGTCGTTGCGGAAAAGCAAGACACAACTGAGCTACTTGTGCTGCTTTTTATTGACTGATCACTCGGATCCACACTGTAATCTCGGTCTGGATGTTCCTCGATGAACGACTGCAATATGGGTACTGACAAGAAAGTTTTGTCTAGCAATTGATCCTCATGTTCGTGGCGCGGGGGCGGATACCGATAAAAGCGGAATTTCTTGAAGCACCGCCCCTCCGGCTCTGGCTCTGTTGCAGGACTTTGTGCTTCCACCTTAAAAGCACGCTTCCTCTTTCTCGGTGTCTTCGGATTTAACCATATGGCTTTGTTTATCCCGTGGGCGTCGTGCAAATGGTGTCGAAGGCCGCGCTCATTGTCGAAATTTTGGCCACAACCGCATGTTGGCTTCGTCTTACGCAAATGGCTTTCAAGCATATGCTGCTCTTCAATGTGTCGTTTCAAATTCGTAGTTGTCAACCAATAATTCAATCGATCTTCTGCGGCGAGATCCATATTCCACAAGCAAAAGGGGCAGTAGCCGGGGCGAATGAGTGTGTGGCGGTATACGATGACTTCGCAGTGCTGACTCTTCCATGATCGAAGGTGAGAACTACAATGTTCCCGCCATTCAACTGATAGCAGCCATGTCATGCACTCGTAGCAAAATTTCAAATCTGATTCTGAGACTTGAAGATCCAACGCAATCTTGCGTCGAACACACTGGTGAATATGGGTACTTCTGTTGTTTTTTTTTAGACTAAAGTCGTTAGCATGTGTGTGTGTCATTACTACATTATAGGGTAACTCACCACTTCATCTCTTTGGTGCAATCTTCACCAGGGCAACGACCTTCGATGGGACTTTCGTGTGGAAGATATACCACGTCAAAATCACGTTCACAATGTGTTTTGAGATCTTCCACGAAAAGGAGCATTTCGTCGGCGGAAAGCTCCCTGTCAGAAGACATTAGTGGTGAAATTCGGGCAATTTCTGGCATAAGTAAGGATTGAGCTCGCATGCAAACGTCATTCTCAGTGAACGCCGGCTCTTCTTTGCCCCGGCTGAGAATTCTTTGGTCTCGTCTTTCTTGTATCCAGCGGCTCTGGTATTGCTTTAGCCCTGTCAGGCGGAGTCGAAGCAAGGCTTTTCTGTAGCTCAGCTTTTCAGCAGCTATGGACTCTCTGTCGCTGTTCGAGGATTCAAGTTGTTCGATTCGAAATTTTCTATCGACTAGTTCTGGCTCCTGCCGAATGCTCGCCTCAATTTCCGCTGTTAGTTCCCCTGGAAGTCCACGCTCATGAAATCTCTCAAACCCTTGGAAGTATTCGATGTGATCAGACTGTTCTTCCTCTCCCAAAACGGCTGAGACTGTATCGATCGAGGAACAGTGTAATAAATAGTCTTTGGGATATGTACCAGCATCTTTGTGTCCGTATATCTGAGATACAGGAGCAGAACCATATTTTCCTATACCAGCGATTAGCAAATCATCCACCGTTAATGAGCTGTGAAATATACATATCTAACCTTCAATAACACTTCCAAGATTCTTTCGTATCTTGTGTACCGTTATACTCTTGTTGTATCCAGCGGTCGTGACGATTCCACGTAATAACTCACAAAACCGTTCCTTCGTGAGTGGTACGTCTTGTGGACCATCAGCTGTGACATTTCTGAGAACAGGCTTTTTCAAATATTCATCCTTCCAGCGTAATTCAATAGGCTGTCCACTTGAAAGGTCAAATCTAGCCAAGTCCTCCACTGTTTCAATACCAAATAGAGCGCCGTGTTGGAGGGCAAGAGCCAAAAGAATATAACCAGACGCGAATTGTGGTCTTTTAGTGTCGCGGATACCGATCCCGAATCTTGATTTTCGGTCAGCGAGTAATTTCCCAATTCAGATTAGGGTGGCTTACACTGTGTACTCTGGATTCCGATTCCCTTTAAGCCAGACTTGGTTGACTTTCCACACTACTTTCCAGGGTGCCGTAGGGGATGGAAACAAAACCAGGGTGATGTGCTTGTTCAAGGATTAGTTATGCATAAACGCAGAATTAAAGGGCCCTCACCTCATATCGTAGGCCTCGTTCATATCTTTCTTCGTGGGGTGGTATAAAAGCTCCAATCCTTGCTCCAGTGAAGAGGTATAGCTGGAGAGCTAGCATGATGATGACCTTGAGCAATCCGGGCATAAACCGGCGATGATCCGCTTGCCACATAGAGCATATCATTCGAAGAAAATCCTTCTTGGTGAAGCTGTGGTCTGGATCCTCGACGTTCTCAACTATTCCTTCCGTTTCTGACAATGTTTTCCTTATCCACTGTTTTGCGGTTAGTTTGACTTGCAGTCCAGAGCAGAAAATTTGAAGACCACATGATGGCTTACATTGAAAATCTCACTCCGGTCTTCCATCACGATTTTGATCTGCAATTTTTCTTCAAACCCACCAAACAACCTTTCCGCACAATTGACTACCGATGTCATCACTGGCCGGCCATTTTTACTTTTTTTCCCTCGCGCAGAATGACTGTACCAGCGCAGAAATTCTTTGATGAGCGTGTGGTCTGGAGTTACACAGCCTGGCCCTATTTTGTAGCCCTCGATACCTTGTTCTTCAGCGAATCTAAAAAAAGTTAGCATCTGATTCGACAGGTATTCCGCATGTATGATTGCATGTAACTCACTCCATCCAACGATCCAAAGCGTGGCAGTACATCCTCTTGGTCTTGGCCAACCTTTTATCCTTCTCTCGAATGGAATCCTCCTCTGCATGAGCGCCAAATACATAGCCGCTCTCTGTCAGTTGTTTGCGGCGCTTCTCTTTGGCGATCTCATCTTTTTTGGCAAAGAAGAGTTTTTTAACCATAGCGAAATAACACCTCAACACAATGCTGGAAATTTTTGAAAGAGCTGAAAGATGAAGTAGTGCATAGGGAAAGCTGTATTAGAGACTTGAAGCAGGGAAGCAGGTTCAATTTATAATTCAGTGTTTTGGAAAAGATTTTTCTACTACGCCGCCCCATGATAGATGGGCTCCATACCGTCCATTTTTGCGTCATCGTGCTTTAGTACGTTACTTTTGAGGGGGAAATAGAATTAGAATATCGAGCACCTCAAGAAAAAGGAGCAGGGCGAGAGATGAGGGGCATCAAAAAGTAAGTCACGAAATAAACAATATTGTGGGGCGAAGTGCACTTTGGGTTTGGACTGAGCGTAGACTGAGTGCTCGATAGATGCCTCTGATCGATTTCTGAGTAATCAGTGATGGATCAGTGAGCAGCCAATCATGCCCACTGAGCGCTCACTGAGTGCTCACTGAGTGCTCATTGGACCTCACTGACTCATCACGTGACGGGACTGAGCAGCTCACTGAGCCTGAGTCCGGACTGAGATTTACTCACTGAGCCTGACTCTGAGCGCCCTCATAAAAGCGGCGGCAGCTAAGATAGGAAAGCCCCACTTGGGAGCGGAAATATGTTACGTAGAGTGACCTAAGTATTCTCCCCACAGTATAGTGGGAAATTCTTCGACCAGATTGTAAAGCGAACCATTCAACACATTGCTTGTAGGTTGGTTTAGGCTTGTGTGAAGACCTATAGATCCGTATAGCCCGTTTTTCAGAATCGGTCAAATGAGGTCTTTTGCACCCCTTTGTCCCAGGTGCAGGAAGTAAAGCTGCATCGTGTGATGATTCGGGGGTTGCTGGGCGTGAAGCTGTAGCTGTATCTGCTGATGTATTCGCGGATGATACAGAGCCTAGATCGTCATCAAGGATCCAAGTCGCCTCAGCTTGTAAGGGGGTGGAAGGAATCGGCGATCCGTCATGCGCAATGGAACCTGGCATTTTGATTGATCAAAGCGGAAACGACGATGCGATAAAAAAAGATCCTGAATTTGAAACAAGAACGAGAAGGCCAAAGGGGAGAGTAGAAAGTTAGCAAAAGTACACCGTAGAACTGGGAAAAGAGTGAAGGACGTAATGTAGTTGATTCTTCAAAGAGGGGATGGGATGGGGAAAGAAGAAGGGAAGGAGAGGGAAAAAGTGTTTGTTGACAGCGTTTTCATCTCTCACTTCCCCAGATTAGCTAGCTAATACTCCTATCTAGATTCTAACCTGATCTCATGACTAGCTCGCGCGTTGTACACAAGGCTGATAGCCCCAGGAGTAGGTCAGGACTAAGGTGACTTAGTATATAAGTATATTACATTCCTACATCTCCTGACAAAAAGCGTGTCATAAGGGAAAGCTCTGTCTTTGGCTGCGTTTGGCTGGTACTATAAGGGAGGGAGGGAGCTTGAATATATGAGGGAGCGGCGAGCCTTCAAATTTGAAAAACGTGAAGTCATTGGCCAACCCAAGACTAGACAGCATACAGTTCATACTACTAGTACCTACTACTTCAACATCCCCCGGTATTAGAACTACTCTTCACCAACTATCATCCCGACCCAGCTGTTCTTAAACACTAGAGACCCCCGTCTTTTGTGTTTGATTTGCTCTTTCTGTTGCTTACATTCACCCACAGACCATCCCAATTTTAAACGCTCATTCGCGTTTTCCAGTCTCTTCCCCAATGGCGATTATTGCTCAGTGTGATAAGCTTCCAGACGTTGAAGTCCTTCAGCGCTCTTCACGAATCGTGTCTGTTGTTGACAGGCAAGCTTTCATTTTTCGAGGAGAACTGCTGCCGTGTACCCTGCGATATTGATGTACACACCATATCTTTGACGAATGGTAAGTGAGAGTCTTTACGAGAAACCCCAATTTTAAGACAACAATGCTAAAAAGCAACACATTAGTAGCTGACGCATCGATAAAAACCTATCCTGCAACATCTGATTCTCCATCTGCATGTGTCGGCACAGCCCCCGCAACCCTCAACGGAAAGATATACCTTTTATCTGGCCGTGGAGGCACTGCGACGACTCCCATCGAAGAGAGCGGCACAACCTGGGAATATGATCGTTTCAAGACAAGCTGGTCTCTCACCCAGCCCTCAAAGAATAGTCCAGAGACGTTCCCCGCTGCTAGAAGCTACCACTGCATAATCAATGATGGCAAAGAGACGCTCTATCTTCACGCTGGTTGTCCCGAAAAGAGACGACATGGCGACTTATGGGCCTTTTGTATTTCGCGTAAAGAGTGGACAGAATTCGCGCCAGCGTTCGATCCTCCTCGCGGTGGTACATCGATAGCTTTTGTGGATGGCAAATTGTATCGGATGAACGGGTTTGATGGGAAGACCGAACATGGTGGGAACGTGGATATCTATACGATTGAGACTGCTTTTTGGGTCTGGCATGGGTACCCAACGGATGGAAAGGATGGCCCGACACCACGGAGTGTTAGTGCGTTGCTGCCGATCTCTGTCGGAGAACGGCCTTATCTTAATACTTTATTTGGGGAGCAGGATCTCAGTTCATTGGGACACTAGGGCGTGGGAAATATGATGAGTGATGTTTGGGCCTTTGACTTTGGGAACAAAAAGTGGGAGGCAGTGGGCTTGCAAGGAAGTAAGCTTCCAGTTGCACGAAGCTGGTTTGATGCCGATGTTGCGGCTTTGAACATTGAATGCAATTCTTGTTCACGGTGGATTGGGGGAGTCTAACGATCGCCTTGGAGATATTTGAAGACTTGAGTTTTCATGAATACATGTAGAGAGAAATGCTGGCAGAACTGTGCGATCGATATTATCTGAAAAAGAAAACATTTGAATGGGGCTGTAAACATCACAAAATTGAAAATGGAAAGTATCAATACCATGTATATCTCGGCACCGATAACTTTGAAGTATTCCAACCTCAAGTGCTTGGAATCTTCAAATGTTTGAAGATTCAAGAGGCATTGGAATTGAATGTTCAGGGGGAGCTCCGGACCTCCCGAGATCTGCCATGAATCTCCACTGGAGTATTCAAATTAAAGATCCACTGCGGCTGAAATACTCCAGGGTTCAGGCATGTGCAGTGTGATTTCCAGGTGCATATTCTTGCATCATTGGTGGGCCCTTTTGGTCAATAGTCCAATACAACATATATATACGGAGTAGATCTCAGACTAATCAAATATATCAAATCAATCCAAAGGTTCGAGTTAGATGCCACTGAGCACCCATTAGGTAACTATCTACTGCCACATGACTCTTGTGGTACCAGGATTCAGGGGTTTCCAAGCTTATTTCAATAGTGGATTGATCATCAAAGCTAACAATGTTCCACAACATTGAAAATGAGGGGCTGGAGATATGGATCATCACTTTGGATCGCCTGTAGCAGCTATACGAGCTTGGAATGGTATTGAAAAAAAAGAAAGTGTCAATCTGAGCGTCGCTATTCGATCATGGCCAGCCATACCAATATTTGTTCACCAGCATTTGCTTTTTTGTGTTACTTGAATTGGATAATTTGTCAAGGTTTGGCAGCAAATCCACGGAAAAATGATGTCAACAATGACCATGGCCTCTTCAACATCCCGCAAAACACTTGAACAGTGCCAATTGAGCATATAAATATGAGGCCAATTGCCAGTAGCAAATGTGTGTCTTTTCTTAACCTATACAGTCCCTACTCAATTACTTGTACAGTGCTGCACTACTGGCATCGGAAATCCCCCCACAATGAAGCTCGTCCAATCTATGGCCTTTTTGGTCTTGATGGGCCTTGCGTCAGCCTTTAGCGGTAGGCACAGAGCCCACGAGGATATGCTGCAGGTGCCCCCATCCTTTGCACGTGATGGTGTTTACATGTATCCTGCTCTACACCCTGAGCATGACCCCCAAGACCACAGACATTTGGTCCCGGAAGATTCCAAAGAATTGTATTACAGCCAAGAAGGCCACAGGCGTAAGTGTAAAACCCAAACTATACCTAGGAAGGTAGGTACATAGGCAGTGGCCGTTGTCTTCAGAGCACTGACCCCTTTGAACACTCATAGCTCCTCTCCATGGTGCAAAGCATGGTCGGTTGTATGCTACTTTTTCGCGACCTACGGTTGTGTTGGAGCATTCGAGCCACATCAAAGAAGTCAAATGTGGCAACCGATCCATTGATATCTGTTTCAGCAACTCCGAGGCAATGCATACCGTGGAGAATGCGTGGAAAAAATACAATGCCTCGTCGTTCAATCTCGTCACCTACCATCACGGATGTGGCCATCTCACAGGAGAATACCGTTCTTTCTTTGTTGCCTCCCGCCCTTCCTTCCATGGAAATTGTACGAGAGTAGCTACTACGCTCTCGGATGAACAGGAAATTCATGATGGAGACCTGAATTGGGGAACATATCGGAGTCCACATATCAACAAACGACAGCCAGTTAAAGGACATGTCAAAGCTTCCAAAGCGGACACAACAATGCGCCAGTATCGGAATATACCCCATAAGCTCAATGGTACGGGGGACGACCTCCAAGGCTTGAACGAAACCTTTCCTCGCGGAACTGTCGACCTTACCAAGAATGCCTCGGCAGTTTTGAATTTCTTCGGAACCAATGCAAGTTCTATTAACATTGATATCCCCGATGAGTACGAGATTGGTCTTGACTACCTATCCGATGAAGACTATAATGGTCTTGCTAAGCGAGGTTTATTTTCCTGGATTGTTGAAGGTATCAACTGGGTTATAAATGTGAGTTTGAATTGTTTGGATTATAGAGGGTTCGAATTGCGCTGATGAATCCCGACAGTCTGTATTCAACTCGCTTCAAAAATTAGCGGAGACAGTGAAAAAGGCTGTGGAAATTATCGTCAAGATTGCAGTCATCGCCGCAAAAATAGTTATGGTGGTATTTGGTGTTCCATTCGAAGAGGAATACCATGCAGATATTAAGTTTGATTATACAACTGGTGGTTCCAAGCTACCAGTTGACTTTGGTTCATTTGGCGGGAACTTTGCAGGAAGTGCCAACGATGCAAAGGCGCTTTTGCACAAAGTCGGATTGTCAGAAACCAATTTTGTTCTCTCCAAACCGGGCGCCGGAGCGATGGTTGTATGCAACAGCTGTGGAGCAAAGGGAAATCTGAGCTTTGAAGGAGCGTTGTCGTTCAGCATCACTAAAGGTGTTTACAGGGCACGAGTATCGTTGAACAACCACGACCCGTTCATATTCGATGCGATATTCAACATCACAACTGATGCCAAGGCGTTCAAAGATAAGGCAGGAAAAGGAGGGATCAATACAGTTCTGGAAAAAGAGCTGTATTCTGTGGCCTTGTCTCCTCTCACAATTCCCAAAGTTATCACCATTGGCCCTCAAGTCTCTGTGAATGCCGCCGCCAGTAACTATGTTGATTCACATGCGGAATTCATAGCCGGAGGAAGGTTCTCTATCGCGCCAGGAGAAATCGCTCTAGATATTCAAACTGAGAACAACAAGGCATCTGGGTTTAATCCATCTTTCCAGCCAATCTTTGAGTTTCAGAAAGGAAACGTCATTGCAACTGCGGACCTCGCTTTGCCAGTTGGAATTGAGCTTGCTATCGATGTTCTTACTGGTACTTGGAAGAAGGCGATTGGGGTTTACACAGCACCTTCTCTCTACCTGACTGCCGGATATTCATATGGTGAAAAACATGCCTGTGACAATGGGATAGAGCTCCGCGCTGGGGCAAAAAACCGTATCTACTCCTCGGCCCTCGGAATATGGGAATACGAGTTCAAGAACTTGGGTTTCACATTTTATGAGACGGGCTTCGGCTGCATTTCGTAAGTATTGTATGCAGGTCATGATATTGGACTAGACTAACCTTCCTCTAGTAAACAGGGGTGGAATTCTTCGCAGGTTGAAGACACCGACTTTTTGAAAAATACTGACCCAAATGCCTCGACAAATGCGACTGACGAGGTACTACAGAAGGTTTCAGAGTCCGTTGGAGGCGAACAGAATCTTGCTTCCAATAAGACACTTCAACTTACTCCACCCCAACCCGTCATCTACGAGGACGAGCACTTTTCTGCTGAGAACAAAGACAAGGACAAGAATAAGCTGCGGAAGCTTCCAAAGACAAATGGCTTCCGTCTGATCCAGGATGCTGGCCAAACGGCAACTCTCGTATCGGGCAAGGATGGACATATCTATCTCGCAAATAACTCAGCAGAGTACGATATTAGCGCACCTTGGGGTGGGCTGGAGGTCGACAAGAATATTTTTACTTACGATGTTTTTGGACGTCTCATTTGGATTGATGCGAGAGCCTATAATTTCCACATGATCGAGATGGGGGTATCTCGTGCTGAGAATATGCCCAAAGAAGCACTTGCTGCGTAAGCCTACTTTCTCTCCAAGAAGCATATTGATCATTGGCATGCTAACTAAAACAAAACAAAACAAAACAGATCGTTGGTGGTGATGAAAGACAGTGATGTCGAAACCTACGGTATATCTTTCAAGTCTCCATCCCCCCTTGCGGGCCCCGATTCGAAGAAATTTTGGTTTCCGACAGTGTGCAAGTTTCCGGAAGGGCTTCGGCTTTTTGCTACAAACTTCCTGGTAGATGTGGACGGAGTCGCACAATCGCGAGATCGAATTTACTCTCAAAAGTCAGAACAAGATTATTATAACCTGATGAGAAGAGTTTACAGAGTGGACGGAAAGGCCAACTCGGACCCGAAATCCTGTGTCACTGTGAGGTTGACGTCTGATCCAAAGAGCACTGTCAATGCGTCGTGAACATTCCAAATTTTGGCCCTATTCACCATTTGTGTTATCAATTTCCTGTTCATATCGCCTATTTTCAATGTTCAAATGTTAGCAATAATACATAATTTTCAGTCACCACTAGTATGCATGGCTATCTGTCAACTTCTCAAGGTCACACTTTGCTCTCCAGATGTCCGCTTTCATTCTATTGTGGTAGTGCCATGTCCGGATAAAAGGCAGGATACATTTATCGGTTTGGGAGGGGAGGGGCACAGTGAAACGACTTGTGACTTTATTTTTCATATTTGCTATATTATCCCTAAGTTTGATTTATGTCTTCAAGTTTCAATGGTGATTAGCAGCACCAAACGTCAAATTGCTCAAGTTACCATTGTTGACACCAAACTGGATTCCTGAATTAACATTGTTTTTTCCACCAAATGTCACGGTGATCGACTGTTCCTTCATCTTGGCTGCGATTTGCGAGATGACAGGCTCCTGGATCTTAGCCAACAATTCCTTCAGTAACTGTTGCGACAAATCCAGCGCTTTCTGTTCTTGTTTAAGTTGATAGTAAGCGTCTTGGATCTCGTCGTCATCCAAATCACAGCTTCTGAGCTCTTTCTTCCGCGCAGAGATGTCTGTACTTTGTAAATCCGCTTTTTGAACAGCCATTGTGACTTCTTGTTGTTTTTCAATTCGCGCGACTTCTGTGATATGAGAATGCTGCAATGAGCTAATGCTACAAGAACCATGGATTGTCAGCGTATGTTCATAGTATACAGACCACACAGCCTGACCCTAAGCTTTACATACAGTGTTGCTATACTGACAACTTCGGTGATAGTAACTTGACAGTTGTGGAGTTTCTTCTCCATAGACCGAATGGGTTGCTGTTTCCAAAACCCAATCTTCGATCGGTCCCGCAGAGACAGGGTATCGCCCTGCGAGTGTTTGGTCCAGCGTTGCAGGTCAAGTCTGAATTCGTCGCACGTTTCACCGCATATTCTAATCGTCGTCTTGGTGTTCTCAGCTATTCCGAGAGACTCCCATGCTTTGTCTCCGATCGTCTCGAGAGTAACGAGAGATCTTTCCACTGAGCCTATACTTTCCCTCAGCGCGGCGACATTTTCTGGAGCATCTCTTATCTGCTTCAACTCCTCTCCTAAGAGTCGGACACCTTGCAAAGCAGGTACCACAATGCCTACAATGCCCGCGGTAATGCTCAAAGGGTCTGCCATGGTAATTGAAAGAGCTTAGAGTAATAACAATGAGTAGCAAGTTCTATGCAAGGTGTGCGCCTCTAGAGCGGGTGTCAGCTTAGCGCGGGGCATCAGTCACCTGATGGCAAGGGCCAAGAGTTCTGATTATGTCGATTATGAATCGTGCATTAATCCATCTTACATACATGAACACATAGTTGGCATGACTTCTAAATTAAGCAGAGATATAGTAGGTGTGCCGTCTAAATCATCTTTACCCCGTACTGAACAATAGATTGCCCTGCATAAAATTTTTAGCAAGGGAATCGAAGGTCCAAAGTCGGATAGAGATCTATGTAGACTTGATGTCCGAATTAACTCCGTCAGTACGGTCACATACTCGGAGCATGAGAGCGTAAAATTCTCAGATGTAATGTACTTTGTAACATACATATTGAGAGAAAACACCGACTGCACATTGATGTTTTTAAATAGTCATGACGTGATGCAAGATATGCAAGAACTCCCTAATTGCGCCTTCACGATATTAACCGTTGCGTAAAATAATTAAAGCGAAGCTGACTGCAGAGTAATTCTGCACTTTATTGCTGCATTATGCAGACACCCAACTCCAACAACCAACTGGCTACTCGCCAGCGAAAAGCCGAGCCATTACCGAGTGATTTCCGAGCTTCGGCGACTTCGGCTCGGGACTTGGAGTGACAATGGCGTCGAATAGATTTGCTCATTGGTCACTCCAACAAGGTTCTCTCATGCGGAGAGATCGGTCGTCTCTCCTCATGAGGGGATACAGTAAGCAATGGCTGGTCTCACCTGCATTGACTTTTTCAAGTGCTTCTCCTCAACTGGGATCTCCTCGTATCTGTTACACGGAATGTAGCTCTGTGCATCGGACATCACTCGGCACCTCGTCCTGCCCAACGGAACCCCGGCAGTGAAACGCTTGTCTAGACCATCGCTGGCGGCAGCCCTGTAGGGCAGAAGAAGGTATAAAGTCGACATGCATTCTCGTCCAGAGGTCTGTTTCTGGCATTCAGACCAAAACAAAACAAAACAAAACAAAACAAGAGACTTCACAAGTCACATCTTCATACATCTACGACACCTTTCGGATTAATCCAGAATCAATTTCTCAAAATGGCAACTGTTTCCAACGGCTCCGAGTACGACTTCATCATCGTGGGCGGTGGTACAGCCGGTAACGCGGTTGCTGGTCGCCTCGCCGAAAACCCCAATGTCCGCGTTTTGGTCGTTGAAGCCGGCATTCCAAACCCAGATCAGATCGAAGAAATCACTACCCCATCCAAGGCCTTTGATCTTCGTGGAAGCAAGTATGATTGGTCTTATAAAACGACCATGGTCAAGCGCGACGACTATGAGCGAATTGAAAAGCCCAACACCCGTGGAAAGACCCTAGGTGGCAGTTCGTGTGCCAACTACTTCACCTGGATCCCCGGTTCCAAGCCGACATTCGATGAATGGGAGAATTTTGGTGGTCAAGACTGGAATTGGAATAGCTGCGTTGACTATCTGCGCAAATGTGCCACTTACCATGACGACGAGAAGCTGTATTCTGCTGAGCTGAGCAAGATCGGGACCGGTGGCCCGGTCAATATCTCCCATGCCGAATTGGTGCCGGAAATGAAGCCGTTCCGCGATGCTCTTACCAAGGCGTGGGTATCCAAGGGTGAGGTTTTGACCGAGGACATCTTCTCTGGTGAGATGCGGGGTCTCACCCACTGTGTAGACACCATCTACGGTGGCCAGCGCCAGGGCAGCTTCTTGTATCTCAAGAATAAGCCGAATGTGACAATTCTCTATGGGGTCCAGTCAAAGCACTTGATCATTGACCCGGTGACAAAGGTCTGCTCTGGTGTCGCTGTGATCAGCGCAGCCACGGGTACTGAGATCAGTGTCTACGCCAGCCGGGAAGTGATCCTATCGCAAGGTGTCTTCGAGACACCCAAGCTTCTCATGTTGAGTGGAGTCGGCCCGACAGGAGAACTCGCCAAACACGGTATCACCACCATCGTTGACTCTCCTCACGTTGGCCAGCATCTTTTGGATCACCCGATTGTGCCCTTCGTTCTCCAGATCAAAGATGGATTCGGTCTAGATGATCACATCCTCCGAACCGGCCCTCTCAATGACCAGGCAGTGAGCGCCTACAAGAAGGACAAGACAGGACCCATCAGCTCCGGACTCCTCGAGCTCGTGGGCTTCCCGCGTATCGACAAACGCTTGGAGAACTATGCCACCTATCGCGAGGCCAAGGCCGCCAATGGTGGACTGGATCCCTTCGGACCAGCAGGCCAGCCTCATTTCGAGCTTGATTTCGTCGGAATGTTCAGCACTGCGTTCCAGTGGCACTACCCGGTTCCCGAGAAGGGAAACTACATGACTGTCATTGTTGACCTGCTGCGACCCCTGTCCGAGGGCGAAGTCACCCTGCACAACGCCAACCCCCTTGTGCAGCCAAACATCAATCTGAACTTCTTTGGCAACGACTTGGATATCCTTGCTATGCGGGAGGGTGTTCGTTGGACATATGATGTCCTGACCAGCGGTGCTGGATTCAAGGATCTTGTCCTTGGCGAATACCCGTGGAAGATGCCTCTTCACTCTGACGAAGAGATGCACCGGGCTGTTCTAGACCGAAGCCAGACTGGATTCCGTGAGTACCCCAATACCTCTGACAACTACTTTAAGTGTATTTCCATGCTAATATTTTCAAGACCCTTGTGGTACAGCACGTCTCTCGAAGGGTATTTACCAGGGTGTGGTTGATTCGAAGCTTCGAGTGCATGGTGTGCACAACCTCAGAATTGCGGATGCTTCGGTCATACCTGTTATCCCTGACTGCCGTATCCAGAACTCGGTGTACATGATTGGAGAGAAGGTGAGAAACATACCTGAACACTGTTACTTACGCCATGACAAGGCTAACGAAACTCTAGGGCGCGGACATGATCAAACTTGCCCACAAGGATCTTTATGATACGAAGGATATTCCTCAATCTGTCTCAAGCAAATTGTAAATACGTGTATTTGTGATCTGAATTCCAATTTGACATTTGATTTTATTATGATTTACACATGCAGTTTTGTTGCTTCATTTGTTCAACCAAATTTGTATACGCGAATATAAAGAGCAACGAGATATCTTCTTTCTTACCTATCACCCTCAGCGCTCACTGTTAAACAGAAGTCTCGGAAGGACACCTGTGCGTGGACTTCAGGGCTAGTTTATTGCTGCGATTAAAACATTCAAGGTTATCTCTACTAGGATCAACTGATTCCATACTAGTATGTAGTCGATGGTGACATCTGGAAGGTAACAACAAGTATACCGTGCACATCTTGAGACCTAGATTGTTGCCACTAAATACACAAAACTTCCAAAAAGAGATATAGATATTCCAGATGTCCATAGATCCAAGCTTTCAAGTCACGCCAGACAAGCCATCAAAACGAAACAATAAAAACATTTGAGTGGAGCTTTTCGCTATATTGTTTTACATTTCATCCAACTCAGGAGCTCTTTCCGGCTCGGGCTGAGCCTTCTTCTGTTTCGAGGTACTGGGAGCTTTGCCACTCTTTGCATCATGGGGGTAGAGACTTTCGAAGATGTCCTGCTTATGCGCCTCGATAGTAGCCTGCAACAATCAGCTTCTTGATTCAATTCCATCCACCAAGAAAACTTGTAAGCCTTACTTTATCCCACGGCCCTTTTGAAGCCTTAGCCTCAGCCTCTTTCTGACGTAGCTCATCCCTCAACATTGTTGAATTCTCGAAATCATCGGGGAATGTAGTATTGACGAAGACTGGAGATAGAGGTAACATGTTAGTTCCTGATTGATTCGGAGTATAATTCGGGTATCTTAATGTACATTCTTCATCAGGTTTCATGTTTGAGTGGGCCTTGTTGTGGACCGAAGCCCGCGCTAGCTGGGTGACTTGGGCCGTGGAGGGCCTTAGGAGGTGGCGCTTTGCTAGAGCCGGGTACATTTTTGACTGAATTGTTGAGGTATTGGGGTTGATAATTCTTTGAGAGATCAGTGATGCGCAGGGCAGATTGAAAACACTTCCAAGAGAGGTTCATGGGTATTTATGACTGTTCTCTGCCTGGCACAAGGTCATGATGGTGATGATGATGATGTCCGTCATATGACTCCGTATGAGATGAACTAGATGAACCAATCATTGTTGTCGCTCCAGTTCTAGATTTTGGAAATTGGGTTTTGCAATAATGCTAGATTCCAGATGTCATTGGAGGGTTTTAGGAGCTTCGTGTGGAGGTGGCGACTGAAAATAAATCGCTCCATGGTACCCAACCAAGGCTTCCAAGGTTGATATTCAAATGGAGCTATGTTTCGACAAGGTATTCAGTATTTTAGTCGATATAGCAATAATGTTAAATCAACATTCGAAATTGAAGTTCACTATTGGACTAAACACAAGAGGTCGGGTGTGTAAGTCTTTATAGCGGATGTGCTTTAATAGTTTCTCGGAATCAGGAGAAACCAACCATTGAATGTTGAATGGACTAGTCTTCACTCTAAAAGATAGCCATACAGTTAGGCGGACTAGACACGCCTCTCGCACAATTCAACGGACTACTCGAAACAAAGAAACTCCACCTCCCAAGCCTCCGACAAGTCTCAGCAAGCCCATCCAAATCAAACATCTCCCCAATAGGAACACCCCATCCGGCCAAAAGATGATGATGCAAATCAAACTCCTCATTCACAGCCGGGAAGACCTCAAAACTAACCGCGTCCGACGCCACCGCCGCAAAATGATTATCCCACATAAACCTCAACACCCGCTCACTCTGCTCAATACCCGCATGCTGCGGCATAGACTGCTGACTATATTCCAGCCGCTGCTCAGCCGACATCCCAGCCCATGTATCCGGGAGACCGACGCGCAGGAAAAAGATATCGCCACGCTGGAAGGTGATGTTGCACTCGGCAGCGATCTCCTGCACCTCGTCCAGGGAGACTGTTTGGCGCGTGAGTGCGTTCAGCGGGATACCTCTTTTCTTTGCGTAGGAGACGTAGTCGATTAGAACGCCGCGGCCTGCGATGCCCTTTTTGGCCCAGAAGCCGATGCCGATGCGGGGGGAGTCGGTGTCCTTGATTTCGGTGGCTGTTGTGCCGCCGTAGAAGACGCGGCGGGAGGGGTCTTCGGGGGTTGGGGCTGGGGCGTTGTGGTGACGAAGTCCGTCCCATTGGGAGGATTGTTGGGGGTTGAAGTGGTATTCGTCGTCAAAGGCGACGCCCTCAGCTACCCATTTGATGCGGTGCTCGAATGGCTTGCGGCCGAACCCTGGGGCAACATTGTTAGTATGAGGTATTTGGGCTTTGCTTGGATCTTTTGTTTGGGAAGGTTGGGCAGGTACCTGGTGGAGTCAAGTTCTCGATATCCCAGTTCAGACATACTCGCTCGCCGGTCTGGATTTGCGTTCGCGCGGCATCTGCCACGACTTCTGGTGTCAGTAGGCGGAGCATGCCTAGGCCTTCTTCCTCAGACCCAGGCGCACCGGGCCAGTACCGGCGCTTGTCGGGTAAATCATCGAATTTCTCTGGTAGTGGTGCACCCATGTTGATTGTAGTACCGGCGATGTTGTAGATGCGGGGTGATAAGTTGTGCGAATGGCTTTCGGTCTATACTCAGGTAACTGCCGTAGCTTGATAGCTGTAGAAACTTGTGAGAAAACGAAATTGAGAATTTGAAAGACCAGGGTCAGCGGGTGGATTTTGGTAAATAGCTGTTAAATAGGAAAGCAATGGAACCCTGCGTCGGAGCAAGTCCGGGTTGACGTGGGGATGACCCCGCAACTCAGTCGGGGAATGAGGCGAGTGGACTCCAAGCCGCCCCTAGTGGTCCACCGTACTACGGGATGCATCTTTAATTTTATCATCTGTGCAAGCCTTTACCAAGCTTTATCTTGGGTGATTTAGCTCAATTGACCGATTTAAACCTCCATTAGACCGAAAATTTCAAATGCATGGTTCATTGTTTAGTACAAAATCGGTGGGTTGCTAAATCATCCAATGCCACCGTTATAAAAAAAAATCTACTATCTCCAAGGGGAAAGATACAAGGTGTATTCGACGCAAAGTAGCAAGTAGTAGACAAAGAATTTACAAGTCATCCAAGTCATCATTGTCCTTGGAGCTGGACTTTTTAATGTCGGACATCTCATACTCTTCCGTACGGCTCGAGGAGCCTGTCCGCTCAGCTGACATCGCCATAGCCTGTCGACCAGTATCGGAGGACTCGAGGAAATCGCGCAGGCGGCGCTTACCCTCCACGAGGGCCTGCTGCGAAGCTGCCTCTGTCATCTTCAAGATAGGTCCCCACAGGTTAAGCTGGTAGGTGATGTAAGCGCCCACGGCACACACAAACAGCAGGAAGAAGTAGGCCGGGTTGCGGAGAACTGAGGAAACACGATTGATGTTAGTAACTAATATATCCCATGGGACGAAAAGATGCATAAAACTTACCCGCAACGATCTCGTTCCATCCCAAGGCAATCAGCAGGCCATAGAAGTAGAGCGGTACTTGGGTAATTCCACCAATGGCACTCCGCTTAGCCTCGACGTATACGCCATCGGCTGTTTTCTTGAAGCGCACGGTGAGCTCCTGCCTTTTCGCATCACCAAGAATTGTCATCTCCTCTTCTAGGCTCTTGCCCTCATCTTCATCAACTCCGCCGATAGGAGGCAAGTCTTCTTCGTCAGCAGCTGTGGCCGAAGTGGGGGTATGCCCAATCCACCGGTCGAGTGGTGGCGGGGCCGATGTCTCGACAAGACGGAATCGAGAAAGCAGAGGAATCAACGTTAAGGTAGACTCGCGGGCACGAGTGTAGATGCCCTCAATGTCATCTGTCGGGCGCCAGATGCGCGGGACACCATCATCATCATATCGGAACTTGTCCTCAAAGTTCTCACGCAGCTTCAGGAGCAAGTTGCCTTCAGTCATTTCCTCGTCAATCTTAGCACGCAAAACGCCCCATGATTTACGACGCAGGCGCCAAAGTCCAACATCAACCTCCTCAAGGCTGGCATCAAAACTGCTAGCCCGGTTGGTGAATCTCCGTTCCGCGTCAAGAACAGTTTCGACGAAAACATTCCAGACCCGATCCCAAAATGCCTTCTCAGTGGGTTTTTCGCCATCCTCTGGGGCGCCACTGCCGGCACGACCGGAGCCAAGGTTGTTAAATTCAAGCCCGACAGATTCACCCAGACGAGACTGCACCCAACGCTCAACACGGCTTGCGAGGCGTCTCATCTCATCTCTTCGCAGGCGAGCACTAGCCTCAGACAGTTCCTTTTCGTACAGCTTCAACTCTTGTTTATAATTGCTCCAAGGTGTGCCTTCCACCACAGTGGACTTTGCTACCTCTTGGAACTTCTCCAACGAAATCTTGGTTTCCTTGTTCACAATCTCAGCAAAATCGTAGTTGCCACCCTTCTTCTGGCCAGACTTGACGGTCTCGGTTACTGTATCACTGAAATCGCGAATGCCGGATTTATGCGCTGCTGAGAGTTGGCCATGGAAAAGAGCTTTCAGCCGAGTATCAACCTTGCCCTCCAATTCAGCCTTCTTGCGCTGATAAACACCCTTGTGGTATCGACTGGCCTCAGTTTCGAAGCCCTTGATAGTCTTAGAGCGGGCGGCACGCATGGCTACACCCAGCCCCCCGAGCACCTCCGGGGCTCCCAAACGAACAGCTTCAGCTTGCTTTTCCTCGAAGGCGGTGATGGCCTCATCGAAACCAATCATCACTTCACGCAGAATTTCATCGCAGCGGAACTGAGCCAGTAGTTCTTGTTGTGTGGGAAGGTCCAAGTCTTTGTTGTTGACAATCTGGTCCCAGATGCCCTCGGCGTAGTGCGAAAATCCATCCGCCGGAATGCGCCGGTGATATTCTGGCAAGAAGACGCCTCCTTCCGAGAATTCGCCCTTGAGCGCATCTCTCTTGGGGTCACGGAAGCCCTCGCGGAACCGTAAGGCAAGCTTCTTGCCCTCCGCCACGAACTGATCGGGCTGGTAACCCTTATGCGGCAGTCCATAGAACTGGAAATCGAAATAATCATGAATCGTTGACTTTTCCAAGCCAGCTGGCTTGGAAATTGTGTCCCAAAGGCGGGATAGATCTTCCAATAATGTTTTTTGGAGGTTCTTTAGTGGGGTTGTGCCGATGAAGTCACGGATAACAAAGAAAAGGAGGGATCGGTGCGTAGTACTAAGAAAACCAATTAGCGCCCGAATCAAATATTAAAAAACGTGTCATGGCCATTGTGCATACTTCTTGTCCTTCAGGAATAGTTGCAGGTTGACCTCAAATACGGTCTTCAGGAGACCCATGTTGGCTCCCTGGTACAGACCCACCTGATGCTCCCAGATGTTGACAATAAGGACCTCACTTGTCGCAAGCGCAAAAAGAGCACTCTTGCGCTCAAAATCCTGGTCCTCTCCTCGTTCGCGACCATCGGTACCTTCAACATCCATCACCAGAATATTGTCTGCCATGCGCGATCCGTCGGCGGTGGCACTTTCCCCCTGCTTTTTATTCTTCGACAGCCAGATACCCTTGGTCGTCTGTCTGCGCTCCAGCTCTGACATTACGGAGAACTGGGTGCCGAAGAGGTGGTTCAGCAGGGTGGACTTGCCGGTGGACTGCGATCCAAACACGGAGATGAGGTGGTAATTGAAACCGGCCGGGGTGACATCTTCAAGGGATAGGTACTTGGCTAGGTTCGGACTATCGGAGCGCTGTCAGTACTAGTAGCTGGAAAAGGTGCAGTCGAAGCGCAAAATAGAGGGGTCAGTCGTACTTGAACTCCTTATCTCCATCGATGACCTGCACGCCATGCTCATAGGCGGCGGCAGCATCCGCATTGTTACCGATCGTGGCAAAATGGCCATTTGCCATGATAGGAGGTGCGGTTGGGGTCCTGCCCAGTCCCGATGGGCGTTCAGTCATCTTCACAGCTTTCCCTTGAGGTTGTGGTGTTGTGGGGACAGATCGCCGATGAGGAGTGGCGAGAACAAGGAGAGCGGGAACTAGGAGGTTTGGGGGAGGGAAGGTGGATCAAGTAAACACCTGGCGCCGATACTCCGTACTCCGTACAGCGGGTGGATCACAAGGCCAAGGCACGAGTACAATTCAAAAGGTCCGAGGTAGTCAAGATAATTGGACTTTATGTTGAGCTCGTGGTTTAAACTCGTGAACTACAGTTAAATTGTCCAGTTCTACTAGTTAGTAATTACTTCATTACATAACCATCTCTTTGTTCAAGCAATGTGAGTAAAAACCGACCATAAGCTAGCTAAACATGTTCTGAGCTTTTCTGCTAGTAAGAACTCGATGATACACATATATGATTGTTCACTAACCTCAGACTGCAAACACACTAGTATCTAATGAACCTCTTCCCCACCTACTGGTACAAGTGCAAGTATTCAGTGCCTACCAGTGTACGTACTAGAAAATATTTGAATAGATGTTAACATTGATTTTCTTCAAGGTCATCCAATCAATTATTTTCTGGGGAGTAATTGCGCAGTTATTTGTCGATCTCAGGCTTGGTACGTACTACTAAGTAGTATACCGTCCGGTGGGTGTCCGACAAGTCTGGCAGCTGAAGAAAACGGACGAATGATCCCCTTGGTTGTGATGTATGTTCTTCCCGAACTGAAGGACGATACACTTATATATTGATATGGACTGGGTCTGCTGGAAGCACAAGATCGGCAAATCAATTCCAATTGAGTTGACGAATAGATACCAAATATCTGGTCAGTATCTGATGATCACATGTACATAGTCTCTCTGGTAAAGAGCTTCAGCACTGGGATTTCTCCGTCATTGCTGAGCAGCACGAGACAAATGCAATACGGCCCAGTTTCAAGAACGCCTCAAGTCCGAGCAGGTGGATAGGTCACCCCGCCATGTAAATAGAGTAGGAAGATACCCATTGATGAACTCCACATGTGCATGAGCCTACATATTTTGTTACAGGACAAGGCGTCTAAGCATTATTCAAAGGGGAAATTCGACGTCAGTCAACCCTGCCCAAGAAAACGGAGTGCCGGACTGAACATTGAAGTGACTAATTGATTTCAAGTACTGCAAAATGGTTGGATTTTGCATACATAGCGTACGAAATTCCAACATTGAAGGTTTATGTATGTAGGGATAGAATAATACATGCCTCCTTTGAAGAATCAAAACTGATTCTTCAAATGTTTGATTCTTGATATTGATCAATTGATTGATATGTACAAAAAGCAACAGTCAGTTTCAAGGTTCTTTCCACCGATGCTGATCTGCCTCTAATATTACGGTGGTTGCATGTTACCATCAAACCAGTCTAGATTCCATCCTTGATCGAGTCCCAGATCCACACTGGGATTCGGAAACATGTACTGTCCAATGTCATCAAACAAGCCACTGAAAGGATTAACTTCCAAGCCTGCAAAAGAATTCGCTGTAATATCGCCATTCGTCGGAAGTGATTGACCAGAGTAGCTGTCTGTCGCTTCGGTGACCGGGGTATGACCGCTGCTGGTGTTGTTCGGGGCGTTTGACACACAATCTGGGTCCGAGAAAGGTGGAGTGAACAGCTGAGTAGGAGTTTTTTGGGCTATTGCGATGCAAAGACTTGGATCACCTTGACTAGACACACCGGGAGCCAGCTGCCCTTTCTTTCTGAAAGCCGCAAACTTAGCACCTGCGCCCACGGTAATTGTCCCAAAATAAGGAATGGTGATTTTGCAGCTAGCGGCTGGATCCCAATTCTCCTTGTCCTGTTGTAATCGACACCTGTACATCTCACTGAAGATATTGGCCGACTCGGCGGCAACGGACCCGCCACTCTGGGCAGCAGCTTGACGAAATATGGCGATAAGCTCCCTTACAAGCTCCCAGTCTCGTTCGTCGTCTACTTTGCTATAATCTGGTGACTCTTCAGAGTATCCATTGAGGTGAAGGATCAACAGCATACCCATGGTAAAAGCCATGAAATCGAAGATCTTGCATAAGTAGGACCGAGCCGTTGATCGAAGAATCTTGTAGTAGACCAACGCCTCTCGGGCAGATTGGATAGCCATTTTATGACAGTAGATGAGCCTCGAATCATGAGGGTACTTCAACATAAACGGTAGATGAAGAAGGGCCCTCATAACCTTGGGCATAAACTGCAGCGGTATTCGTTCCAAAAATTGCTCTGTCTTTTCGTTTGGGCCAGGTTCCGGGCCCAACTGACAGCTCGGAACTGCATTCCAAGCATCCATAAGCTCTTGATCGAGCTTCAAAGTATTCTCAAGACTCATCTCAGTGGGCTTTGAATTGCGATCGATCATATGGCCAGTGATGATACCGATCCGTAGCATGTACTGCTCTGCAGCAGATTCCGCTGACTTCAAACGTCGTTCGACTTGTGGTATGTAATATGCATCAGAAATAACATATGGAAGACCAAGTATCAGACTGATAGATCGATCTGACGTAGCCAGCGAACACCAAATTTTGAGCCGCCTCTCAAACAAAGTGTCCAACGGCTGCTGAGTCCTTGTCGACAAGTGCATGCCGGCTAAGTGAGCTAGTTCAATCGCTCTACGATTGATCAGCCATGCTTTCCGCAATCGGCCCTCGTTCATGTGAAATTTTGAAAGCAGCAGGTGGCATTCTATGCCGGGTAGGGTTGCTGAGAAGTCATCATCCCGGATGATCAGTCTGTCAACTGTTTCGCAGCACCGAGAGGCGAATTCTTGGGCATCTATCGGATTTTGCAGCGCGTTGAAGTCAAATTCACGGGGAGATTGAAGGGCGCTGATAGACAGGCACACAAGCGCTTTCGCTACATCCGCAGGTGCGACCAGTGTATCTGGAACGTGATTCTTTGCAGCAAAGACTTTGTGCAATGCCGAAACGTCCTCTTCCCACATGCACCACAAGTGAGAGCACTTGGCCAGAAGTTTTTGTATGTCTTGATCAGATGGGAATAATGATATGAGCTCAAGTCTGACAGCTTGAGCCTTGGGGGACGTATCATTCGCGCCCATAAACTGATCATTAATAGATGGGTCATCGCGGCGACTGACGAGATAATTATCAAACAACTGCAGCACAGGTGCATTTTCAATCTTTTCACTCGACGGACCAAGTCTATCAGGTTCTGTAGTGGAGACGGGCGTTAAGTTGCCCGATGTTGCTTGACCAGCTGCTGTAGGGCGTTAGCAACAAGTCAGGTATTCAGCAAAATGGCTTGTTCTAATCTCACTTTTTGAAATAGAAGCATTGGTTTGATCCAATCGTTTTGCTAAGTCTTTTACTACAGTCTCCAAATATGTGACTCGCTCCCGGAGGCTATAACGCTCTGCCGGGCCAGATCCAGACGGGACGCTAGAGTCCTCTGAGCCCTGTTCCTGCGTGAAACATTTCGAGCCCCTCAAGCGACACTCATTGCAAAGATTGCAGCTATCAGATTCATACGAACAGCGAATTTTGCGACGTCGACCTATTCATCAATTTAGCGCTTTTTTCACGGGGCGAAGACTCAGGTGGTCGCCCGCCGTTCACTTACATTCCACACAGCTTTTGGTGCCTTTGCGCATTCTCTTGCGTGGTGGACCCTGAGCGTCCACCGAGGAGTCCATGATTCCTTCAACGATGTGCAATACACCACAAAGAGGTTAATGCCGGCGAGAGTCAGCCGAAAAGGGGAACTTGTTCGACAGAGAGGCTCTAGCGCGATGTCACTTGGTCATAGAAGGAGATACCCCGTACCCCACAGTGGGGAATGCGTATGATCAATATGAGGCTCTGTGAGAGGGTAGATTTCAACGTTATTTCTGCGCAGTATTACACCAGGGAGAGAAGAGCAACTTGAAGAGTGAACTTCTTGGCCGGGCCATAACTATGCAAGCTTCGGGGGCGATATTGCGTGCACAGGTGGATATGAGTGCGTGGTCGTATTATCATCTAATCGACTATAGTAAGGTATGCCCTTTAATCTTCGGATACCCTGCGCAAAATCGCGTCAACATGATCCCCCCAGTGGTACTGGGCGCTGACATATCTCAAATACTGAGTATGTAAATGTAGGTACTCATCTCAAGCACCAAATTCTTACTCTTCTTCAATTATCAAGTTTATACTCTTCTCCAAGTACTGAGTAGTTACTCATCTCAAGGACTGAGTTTATATCCATCTGAAGCATTGACTACGTACTAGTAATGAATTTACACTTCAAGGTTGAATACCCCTAGACCTACTAGATACTAACGACCTAGAGACATGCCTTGAACTTGGACTGCGCGCCACTCTTTACTTGTAGTATCTACAGAGAAAGCTTCAGTAAAAGAAAGCTTGGAAGTTGACACCAATACCATGATCAAAGACTTTTGCGAAGGAGCATTATCTGGTGGCAATAGTTATTCAAAGTTATCATCCAGCAGCCGGCTTCAGCTCGTGGAAAGAATGCCGCACGATCCATACCCTTCTGAAGCTAGTAGGTCGATTCCTGGTGATATAGATGTTACATATGTAAGCTCTTAATTCCACGCACAACATAAACCAAATCCACGATCCGGACCAAATTGGTCCGAAATCCCAAAATTTCGTCCGTTACTTTCGGCCGAACTGTGGACCAATCAAACTATTTTCGAGCATCCAGAGATAAATGTCGAGTCTGGGAAGGCAGATTGAAACCAAGGATTTATTCTTACAAGATCAGATAGAAATGGAGTTATTAAAGAGATTTGATTTAAACTTAAAATTTTTAATACAATTTCCACAAGATGAGGGGAGAAGGTACAACAAGCTACATCTCCAAGACAGTAAAGGTACATGAATGAGATGTCAAGCGAAAACTCCGGCTTCCTTCCGGATCCCTCGTGCTGATCGATGATTCCCACGCTGTGAATATAAAGTGGCAGACAAACAGTAAAAGAAAAGGGGTTGTCATAATACAAAGACTGGACCACGAAAGCAGTTCAGTCATAGGCTCACATTGAAGGGAACCATTTATTTCTCCATAACACGGGTGATCAAACCAGTGGCAACGGTACGGCCACCCTCACGGATGTTGAAGCGCTGACCGGCCTCGGCGGCGACGGGACGGTGAGTGGAGAGAACCATCTCGACGTTGTCACCGGGCTGAACACGGCCAGACTGGTCCTCACCGGGGAAGGTAAGGTCACCGGGCTCATCAGCAGTGCGGAGGTAGACCTGGGGGCGGTAGTTGCTGCCGAATCCAGTGCGGCGACCACCCTCAGCCTCAGTCAGAACGTACATGGAGACCAGGAACTTCTGGGCAGCCTTGGTGGAGCCGGGAGCGGCAACGACCATACCACGGCGAATGTCCTCACGCTTGATACCACGGAGCAACAGACCGGAGTTGTCACCGGCACGGGACTCATCACAGGACTTCTTGAAGGTCTCAATGTCGGTAACCTTGGTCTTGATGGGAACTTCACTGCCACCAACAATCTCGATCTCGGTATCCTTCTTCAGGAGACCACGCTCGACACGGCCAGAAACGACAGTACCACGGCCGGGGATGGAGAACACCTCCTCAACGGACATGAGGAAAGGCTTGTCCATATCACGAGCGGGGGTGGGGATCCAAGTGTCGACAGCCTCCATGAGCTTCTCGATCTGCTCAGTTCCAATCTCGGGGCGGCGACCCTCAAGGGCACAAAGAGCGGAGCCGAAGATAATAGGGGTCTCCTCACCCTCGAATCCGTAGGTGGAGAGAAGCTCACGCATCTCAAGCTCGACAAGCTCAAGCATCTCGGGGTCCTCGACGGCATCGACCTTGTTCACGAAAACAACCATCTTCTGGACACCGACCTGACGGGCAAGCAGCAAGTGCTCACGGGTCTGGGGCCTGGTTGGGAAAACATTGTTAGCGCAACCCCTTAAACTCACGCGACACAAAAGAAAGGAGAATGAAAGAGGAGCAATTGCGATTCTTACATCTGTCCGTCAGAGGCAGCAACAACAACGATAGCACCGTCCATGTTGGCGGCACCAGTAATCATGTTCTTAATGTAATCGGCGTGACCGGGGCAGTCAACGTGGGCGTAATGGCGAGACTCGGTCTGGAACTCAATGTGGGCGGACGAGATGGTAATACCACGCTTGCGCTCTTCAGGGGCCTTGTCAATGGCATCGTAAGCCAGGAAGTCGGCGAGACCCTTGGAAGCCTGGTACTTGGTGATGGCAGCAGTCAGGGTGGTCTATTGGTATCAGGTTAGAAACGCGCGCGCGAACATCCGAAAGATCGAGCCAAGAGTCTCACCTTTCCGTGATCGACGTGACCAATGGTACCAATGTTCACATGGGGCTTGGTACGCTCGAAAGCAGTGGCCAGGCCACGAGCGGCCATCTTGTCGCTGGCAAAGACATGGTGGATGGGGTTGACGGCGCTGGGGCGGAGGAGGGATGCCCGGCTGGAGCGCGCCAGAATGTTGAAAGAACGAGAGAGACCCGACATCTTGCAATTGATAAAGCAAAAACGATAGAAAAAGGGTAGCTAGAAAAGCAGTCGATGGGAAGCAAGAGATGGGGGAGGAATCAACACCCAATTTTTCTGGGCCCAGGGAGTGGCTTAGTCATACATCCGCCAATCAGAAGCTGCGAATTGCGGAGGTTTACGGCTGTCATCAAATCTGTACGATAAGACAGATCGTCAATGCTTGAGTGATTGTCCTTAAGTTCATTCCTCAGTAGTCCAATACATCATGGTCTGCAGTGAAGACTAGCCGTTCTTGGGGTTTGCGGCAATTATCTGATCATGAACATTTGTAAGCAGTGGTGGTGTTACAAGGAGATTACTAGTAACTTGAATGTATTAAGCTCTCCAGGAGGTAGGCAGCACGAAGCGAAAATGACAAATTCAACGTTCTAACCAAATAATATAATTACTACTTGATAGAGCTACCAGCTCGTGAGATTATACAAATAACATACATATGATACAAATTCCACTTTGGTCCAGATCTGAAATCCTTGGTTTTAGCGACCAGTTCAGTTGTCGGCTTTTTTCACAGTGAGCATGACACGCTTGCCCGGCTCACCCTCCATCGCTTTGACCTGTGTGCCTCCGGCCTCTCGTGTAGTGTCCAGCACTGTCTGCATAACATGCTTGATCTCATCCACCGTAGGGGGCCGCTTGTGCTTCTTCCGAGTCAAGACGATCTCAACTTTCCGACCTTTCTCCAAAAAGGTAGCCAACTGCTTCAGGCGATGTTCAAGATCGTGAGCATCGATAGCCCAGTTTAATTCAATCTGCTTGAAAGTTTGTTTGGCCGCTTTAGCTGCCTTTTCCTTCGCTTTCTCGGCATTTCGATATTCCAACTTGTTCATAACTTTGCACACTGGTGGTTTTTTGAAGGCACCGGGAGACACTTGGATGAGGAAGTATTTGGTCCGGTCGAAGGTTGTGAGGACATCGGATAGAAATTCTGGTGGTTCAAGATCTCCCTCGGAATTGACGACCTGCACGGTTCGAGCGCGAATCTCTTCATCCTTGATTGGACCCTTCACAGGAGCTCGAGCTACTTTAAGGGCAAGAGAAGGAGAATTTTGGAAAAATCTGAGTTGTCGACCATTCTGAAGGGACGATTGTTGTAGAAGCCCGAATCTGGAGCTCTTGAGAGGTGTGAGGAAGGTTTGGCGCAAAGCTTGCGCGGTGGACATGAGACCGCGGGTATGATTCATGTTGAATTCGGCAAGCGCGGGAGGAAAAATGCGTATTCTTTATTCTTGGTGGAATTGACGGGTGGAGGAGAAAGTGTTGGCCAGATTTGAAGGTGGTAGTTGTTTGTAGAAGTTCCGGAAGCCAAGACAACGGCTCGCGTGTCGAATGAGGAGAAGGAGTATGGAGTTTGACCGGATCGAGTAATCACACGCCACACCACGCGCCACAACCCTGAAACCCTGGATCTCCTTTCCCTCTTGTTCTCCTGTTTTTCTTCCCCGACATTCACCACATCTATCTTTTCCCGTTTCCCGGATTGATTTGGTGTTTCTGGAGGTTCAATGGTTTCTTGTTTCTCGTTTGGCCTTTTTTAATCCCTGTCACTCTTTTTACCCCTCGGTGGCAATAACGCCTACCATTTTTGCTTATCGCCTCGATTGCTCGCATGTCGACTGGAGTTGACGATCAACCAACCCCTAATCAGCCTGTAGATCAGAGTACAGCCTTCCGTCAACGATCTATATCCCGGAGCAACGGCTCTCTTTTCGCGTCACCTGTCAATTCTAGTCGAGTATTCGACAAACAAACCGCCACCATGGCACAGACCCAAAGAACCCGATACCTGAAGACCGGCGCTATTATCGCATTTGTGTTTATGGTCGTTTTGTGGTTGTCCCCGTCTCGCTCCGCTGTTTCTAGCTACAGTCAAGGTAAATTTTGACCGGCGCAGCCTCAAGTCGACAAGAAAGCTGATCAATCGTTCTTTGCATAGAGCAAGCCCCTTCGACCTCCGGTTCATCCACCAAGTGCACCAAGCCTTTTGATTCTTCCAAGCCCTTGATTCAATATGCGCTCATGATCGATGCCGGAAGCACTGGGTCCCGCATTCACGTCTACCGATTCAACAACTGTGGTTCCACTCCGGAATTGGAGAACGAGGTCTTCGAGCAGACCGCGAAGAAGGAGGGTGGCGGCTCTGGTCTCAGCTCTTACAAGGAGGATGCCGAAGGTGCTGCTCTCAGTCTGGATCCTCTCATGGAGGTTGCTATGCAGAACGTCCCCGCGGAGTACCGGTCTTGCACCCCGGTTGCGGTCAAGGCTACCGCCGGTCTGCGTCTTTTGGGCCCCGAGTTGAGCACAAACATTTTGGACGCTGTGCGCCACCGTCTGGAAACCGCGTACCCCTTCCCCGTTGTCGCCAAGGAGAAGGGCGGCGTGGAGATCATGGACGGTAAAGATGAGGGTGTTTATGCTTGGATTACCACTAATTACCTCCTGGGCAAGATCGGTGGACCCGATCTGACCCCCACCGCTGCTGTCTTCGACTTGGGTGGTGGTTCCACTCAGATCGTTTTCCAGCCTACCTTTGAGCAGAGCAAGGCTGGTGGTATGCCCGAGCACATGGCTCCTGGTGACCACAAGTACGAGCTCAACTTCGGTGGCCGCGAGTTTGAACTTTACCAGCACTCCCACCTTGGCTACGGTCTGATGTCGGCTCGTGAAGCTGTCCACAAGGTTGTCCTTGAAGCTATGTTGGCCAACAACCCTAAGGATCTGTCCTGGTTGAAGCGTCCCATCTCTAACCCTTGTATTGGCCCCGACATGGAGCGTGAGGTCACCGTGAAGTTCGCGGAGCCTCACCCTCTTAGCCCCTCGGTAACTGTGAACATGGTGGGTCCCAAGGACTCCACTGCTGCTCCCCAGTGCCGTGCTCTTGCCGAGAAGACCTTGAAGAAGGACAACGACTGCAAATTGGCTCCTTGTTCGTTCAACGGTGTTCACCAGCCATCTCTGGAAAAGACCTTCTCTCGCGAGGATGTTTACGTTTTCTCCTACTTCTACGACCGCACTGCTCCTCTGGGCATGCCTTCCTCCTTCACTGTGGGTGAGCTTCGAGACCTCACCTCTACTGTCTGTGGTGGTGAAGACAGCTGGGGTGTATTTGAGAGTGTTGAGGGCGCCATGGTTGAGCTGCGTGATCGTCCGGAATGGTGCTTGGACCTGAACTTCATGCTCAGCCTCCTCCACACTGGTTACGATATGCCCCTATCTCGCGAGGTCAAGATTGCTAAGAAGATCAAGGACAACGAGCTGGGCTGGTGTCTTGGTGCTAGCTTGCCTCTTCTCAGCCAGGAATCTGGCTGGACATGCCGCATCAAGGAGGTCTCGTAAACCTCGATACGACGCCATGTTCAACTTTAATCAAATTTTAATCATATGGCTCAGCCATAGTGTGATGGGTTCATGCATATAAATAGACACTTGACACGCTTGTTTTTTGTTTTTGTTTTTGTTTTTGTTTCCTTCTTCCCTTCAATGGTGTCTTCATAGACTTTTGTGGTTGTTTAACAGGATATTTGGCGATGCGGTTGCATAAAATGTACGAAACTATATGCCTTTTGAATTTCCTGTTCCCTTCAATGTAGCTGAGGAGTAAAGCAGTTTCTCACAATTCCATGGATGGATGTATATTGCATCATGTGCACATCGTCCTACTACTGACCAAGCTCCTCAATTGAAGGCTTATCAGCATCTAGATCTTTCCCGCCCATCAATTTTTCCAAAATATCATCATTAAGACCGGCCTTGGCCTTCTTATCAGAGCCCATCCCACTCATATCCTCATCATCGGCCTCGTCGCCGCTAGAATCGCCTTCACGCTTTTCCTCCAAAACTCCCAACCCAAGATTCTAGTCAAGTCAGCCCGTCATCCAAATGAAAAAGACCGCAGATAGGCATAGCCACAAAGAAATGGAACCCAAACATACCATCTCAATATAATCCTTATTTTCATCTACCTCATCCATAACAACGTCTTTCCCGGCCGCAATCTCCTTCTCCAAATCCTCATTTGCACTCTTCATCTTCGGCAAAAACGCAGACAACCGCGCCAGCAGCTCCGAGTTCCCTTTCATCTTCTGTATTTGCGGCTTGGGGCGTCCCGAAATATTAGGTATTGTTGATGAGGCATTGGCAGAAGTATCTGTGGAGGCTTGTTGTTCGTGGTGAATGGACTCGTTCTCATCTTCCGAGTCTTCGCTGTCGCTTTCCGAAGATGAGGATCCGGAGGAAGAAGTTGGATCGGAGTCTTCTGGGTTGTCGTGGACGGGCGCTGAGGGCCGCATGGGGAGAGTTGTTTGACGAGTTGTTGATCCCATTTTGAGAGGAAGTTGTGGAGGGTTTTCTTCTTTTAAGCTGCTTTCGTTTCGAAGTGAAAGGATGATAGATTGCTGGGATGGAGAAGGTAAGATGGCGTGTTGGTCTGGCGTTCTTGCGCTGAGATGTACAGTAAATGTATATGGGAGACGCTGAAATGCGATGATTGTAGATATTGTAATGGAGTAAAAATGTTGTAGGCCCCAATGGATAGATGTGGTCGAAGAAAGTTTAGACGAAAGCCGATTTCAACTTTTTGGGCGGAGTGGAGCCTCCGATAAGGATAAGGAAAAAGGCTGAATCCACAGTGCTACTAGTATACTTCCCAGTGGTACTAAACACTTATAGTAGAGATGTATAGTATTAGCAGATTATAACAATGTCATGATTTTTGGCATTTTGCTAATAGTACATGATAACAAGGAGCTATACCATTGGAAGTCCTTTCAATAATATTATTACATTGCGAGTGGGCATTAGGATTTCTCAACCACTCCTCAAATCATCCGCTCTTCGCCTCCGGGAACGACTTCGGCGTCGGCTTGGACTCCTTCGTCGACTGCGACTTCGCCGGCTTCGACTCCGCCGACGAGTGGTTCGGTCATCAGGTTCCTTGGCAGTCTCGGTAGTGCTCTTAACCTCTTTGTCTTTTTCTTTGCCGGCTTCTCGTTCAGAGCCAGGGATATAGCGATCAATTTCGCCAAGTCGCGTTCTTTGATCACGTTCTGGGGAGCGGGCTCGGCGACGGGGGGACTTGCTCCGATTGCTAGTCGACGGCACATAACGGTCGATATCAAGGGATGGCGAGGCCCGCCTGTTGGGGGAAGCCCGTCGTGTACGTGAGCCACGGCGAGAACGTGACCGTCGTCGCGCAGCGGTAGAGCGAGACCGAGAACGCGGTTCTCTGGCACGGTGACGAGACCGAGACCGAGCACGAGAGCGCCGGCGCGAAGGAGATCTGCGACGAGGGCGGTCACGATCTCTGCTCCTGTCACGGCGGCGTTCGGGATCTCGATCTCGGGATTTCGAACGCGGTGCTGCCTTTTCTCGGTCCCGATCTCGGTCCCTGGCCAGCGATCGACTACGACTTCGACGACTTGGCCGATAGCTTCGGTCATCCCGTGAATCACGGAAATCACGGAAGCCTCGACGCTTATCCATATCACGATCACGAGATCTGACGGATGCATCTCTAGATCGATCTCGTCGACGATCAGGGCTATACCTAGACCCGCGTGGACGAGAGCGGCTTCGGCTCCGGTCTCGAGTATGATGTCGAGTTCGATCTCTTCGGTCTGATATGGAATCGCGGGCTCTAGAGTCTCGAGATGGGCTAGGCGCCCGAGTCGGTCCATTGACCAATTTTGAATCGCTGCCTTTAATCTCTGCTGGTTTCAATCCGTTCTCAAGGGCCTCGGCCTTCTCAAAATCGAAATCGGGCTTTTGACGCGCCTTGGCTGCGAGCTCTTCTCCCTCTCTCAGTAGCATCTGCAAAGCAGCCTCTTCAAGCGACTTCTCATCAACAGGAGGAGCCGGTGCAGGGGTCGCATCTTTTGATACAGCAGATTTCTCTCGTTTGGTCTCCCGGTTTCGTGGTGAAAGACCGCGATCAGAGCGGTAGGCCGGCGAGCGATCGTGGTAGCGGTCATAGTCACGGTAGCGGTCTCGATCCTCTCGTCGTCGTCGTTCGTATCTTTCCTCTCGTTCTCGGTCATCGAGAGCTCTTTGCTCTTCGCGCTCACGCTCGCGCTCAACTCGTCTTTTCTCCTCACTCTCTTTTCTTCTTGCTCTTTCTTCGTCTTCCTTCTTCTGTTCCAATTCACGTCTTTTGCGTTGCTCCTCCTCCTCAACGCGTTTCCGCTCGTCGTCGATCTCTTTTTGTTTGCGCATTTCTTCGAGCCAGACCTTTTCACGCTCCTCGCGCCTGGCTTGGACGTGCGCCTCGTACTCTGCATCTGTTTTGTTGCCCGCCTCTTCTTCTTTCCTAGCTGCATCCTCGCCAATTTCCAGCCGGCGAATTTCACGCACAGAATCAAGTATAGCCTGCAGATGGTTGGATGCTAGCATGTCGATGGATAGCTCGGCATTCTTATATACGTCACTTCGGTCAACGGCACCCTCGATTAATGTAGCAGCTTTTCCTCTTTCGCGGGAAAGGTGGGCAGGTTCACGTTCGATTTCCGACTCGGCCAACGCAATCAATTCTTCGGTGAACTTTACTCTAGACTCCTGTAGGGATACGTTAGAAACTAGGACTTGGGATAAAAAAGCGATCGTTGGAAGCGTAAATTCGCATTGTTTTAAGCACATACGCCATCATTGAAGTCGGCCCAAATCTTTTTGCGAATACTGTCGAATCCGCCCTTCTTTTTGAATGAATGTAGGAGTTTATCAATGCTCGCATGCTGCGCCGAAGACAAAGGGAGATCGTCGGCTTTGTACTTTTTGGACCTTAGGCTTTCAATATCCAGCGCTGGTCGTTTTGCGCTCGGTTGCACATCTTCCATGGCCTCGGAAGTGGCCATCGTTAGACAGGGCAATGAGCATGAGAAAGGAAGGTCAAAGGTTGGAACTTTGGAAGTCGCGCCTAAGCGATAAGCGATAACAGACGGGGGTACAAAACGCGGAGAAAAGGTTGTTCCGTGCTTGGGAACTGCGGGTGTCTGATTTGCTTCCAACCACACTCCTGCCGCCCCAGTACGACTCCAAGCCCCCCAATTCAACTCCGACCCCGGGCGACATTAAATTGCGAGCGCGCAGATCATACCACTTCTATACGTGTCGGAAACACTCGCCCTTCTTTTACATCCTCCTACCCGCCCCTAACCGGTCGCGATCATGGTCCACAAAGTTCTCTTCTGGAGCGGCTTCGGTATGTGACTTTGCCCTCTTTCAATTCATCTCTACATCTCGCAATTGATCCATATACCGTGTCACTGTGAAATATACGCCTTGGAATTGAACATAGGAGCTAACAATTGCTATCCAGGCATTGCCGTCCGCCTATGGCAACTCGGAATCGAAATGCGTCCTATCCTCGCCCGGGAATCCCTCTGGGTCTACCCTCTCTTCGCCGGTGTCGGTGGAAGCTTCGGCTACTGGCTCCAGGGTGTCGAGAACCGACAGCTCAAGATGCTTGCACAGCGCCGCGAGGCTATTTTGGAGAAGCGCAGACGACGGGACCAGCGTGAAGGCGTCAGCAAGGACGAGGGTGCCATTCTTGCTGCTGCCTCAACATAAAAGACTTGAATTGTGTGTGTGTGAGAGGTGGTAGAGATTCAGCATCGCGTTGTGTATTCCCTTTATTTTATCTTCTTTTGTTTCTTTTGTTGCATGTACCAAAATTCCACGGTTTGATATCGACATCCTATCTGGGAAGTCTTCGCGCGGGCAATATATCCGACAGCGATGTGTGTTACTGAATATGAAGAACGCTTTTCGTCAATTAGATCAATTGTCTCCATCATTTTACCCAGAGTTTCTACCTGGATATGTAAAATCAATCGATGGTCTATTCAAATGTTACTTCAAAGCTTTGATGGACCCAACTGGGCAATGACCCCACTTCAAGTCTATATTACAGACTGGAGCCCTCAAGTGCTTGCTGTTTCAAGTTTTCAAATTGCACTCAACTTGAGTCAACTGGTGCTTGCACATGTGTGGACAATCTTGGAATGGAATCATTGATACAAACATTGAATCAAATTTGATTTTAAAACATATATAATGTACAGGAAGAGTATATTCGAGTAGTACTACATCCACATATTTACTTCAACATGCACCGGTCAATGTTTGGTATGTACAATCAAGACTTCTCAATAGTGAACTGAAGGGATACCTCCCACTTCTGTCCTCCAGTACCATAACCCCCACCAAGTCGGTTTCGAATCAGGCTGGATATCTTCTCCCGAAGGCGAGAAGTATTGTCCTCCGTGCCTGAAACACGAAGTTTGACGTTGGCCATGCATAAGCCGTAATGGACCTGCCAGAAACGAGCATCGTCAATGCCAAATACCGAAGGCTCAGCTTCAATATCTTTGAGTACTTCGGATACACCTGGGCCCGAGTACGACATCAGAAGCATTGAACCCAACGTCTTCACCAATCGAACCCCGAGAAAGCACATTGAGAGAGCAATAGTGCCCGACAGGAGTTTATCAAGCCAGTTGTAAATCTGGATTGACACCAATGGCAGCACAAGTAGGAGGGTAGAGCACGAGAGTGTCAAAAAGTGAGTCGGGTTGCTCAAGACGGAAGGAAGAGAATCGATATACGCAAAACGCATGGCTTTTCCAATTCGTGCATGATTCTTCAGGCCGATGGCAGAGACAAGAGTTGAAGAGATAGCCAGAACGGCAGTCACATCAACAGTTCCCAGGGGCACACGTTCATGGGGGTGTGGGTGGTGAGGCTCGTGGCCCGATTTCTCCAAGAAATGCTGCAGATTGTGGGAAATCAAATCCAGGCCCATAAAAAGAAGTAACACGCACATGGCAAAGCCAGCGAGAACCTCCGCTCGCTCCAAACCAAAGGGATGGCGGATACTGGACCTCTTCCAGACTTCAAAATTGCTCAGAACATCAACGGCAACACACAGAAGAGCTCCCAGCGAGTCAAACAAAATCAAATGAGACAACGCAGTCATCGCCAGCGATCCATGCGCGGTCCACAATGTATATGCAGCCACAAACATGTGGCAGACACTCCACCAAAATCGCGTTTTCTGCTCCTTGGACATACTCGCACGGCATTCGCTGAGTGTTGGAATGGGGAGGGAATTCGGAAGAGCCAGGGGCGCGCGAGGGGGAGGTTCCAGGAAGATTTGGTGTGAAATACTACTGTGCTTGTACTTGTGACCACGACGTTGTCCGATATTCTAACAGAAGAACGTCGGTTAGCAAATATTCAGAAGCTCTTCACAATCAAGAACTCTTACAGATTTCACCACTGGACTCTTTGCCATCACTGTGGTATCGAAATTGAAGGGGCCCGCTGCGGTAGAGTTTGTCGAGCCATTCTGCCCAAATGTCGAGTCTGTAGGCCCGGGGCTTAAATTGAACGATGAACTTGTAGGACCAAGATGATCTCGACTTTCTGCCTCTAGCGAGAAGCTGTGGGGGAAAGTATCGCGCAGAGGTGACAAGGCGTCGCGATCAACAGTCACTCTTGGGTTTGTAGAAGCCTGGTAGGGTGTATCGTCCGCCGGCGGAGTAGGAGTACGTGGGGGAATAGGGAGAGGCATGTTGGACGCCATCATTATGGCCTTCCGTAAACGCGTTTCCACCGAGAAGTATGGTTGCGGGGGAGGTTCGTATCAGGAATAGGAGATCGATCTCCTATCATCCTTGGTTTAGGTTAAGGATCCACACCTGAAACCCAAGGTGTCGATGTTAGCGGAAGGGGCGGGGACCCGGGGACCTAGGCCGTGTCGTGTACATCATCCACTCTTCATACTCTCCAGATTACTACTTTCATCCTCGTCATTCATTATTCTGTCGACGCTGGAGGTTCGATTTTTCATGGTGTTACTTTAAGAAGCGCGTATCCCTGTGCTTACCCTCCCCGCTCTCCCCGCGATGCTTATCGTGCCGCTCTGAAGTGGAGAGAGACGTCCGAAACGGACACCCCGTGGCGTCAATGGATAACCGCGGCTCCTTTTTGTTTTTTCTGTTGGTGCTTTACCTCCTTCTTAACTCACAGTCGCGCCCGCCGATGCTCGATGAGAACCGCCGGCATCAGCGAGAGCTCGAGCGCGAGCAACATGCACTGAAGCTCTTGGAAGAATCCAAGTATGGGGACTTCGATCCCCTCGCAGATCGATGGCTTCCTTTTGCAGGAGTACAGAAGAATGATACTTATGCATGGGACTTGTTTCCCCATGTTCAGAGTAGGGCGAGAAATCAGCTCCAGTCCGTTCTTTTAAACGCCGGTCTCGAACCACCGAAAGGTTTAGATGACCCGGACGGCGCTTCCCCATTTAACCTGACCAACCTCTCTCTGCCTGTGTATCGCAATTCGACGGGGAAAATAAGAGGAGATTGGGTTCGCCGGACCGGAGACCCCGAGCGACAGATACCGCTCAATACAACGGCCATTGCCCTCGAGCACGAATACTTTACCCATGAGTTCAGCTCAAATATCACGGGTGCTGGAGGTACACTTTACTTTGATTTGGAGGAAGGGAGCGGAGAAGAGTTCCGACTTGGTGAGGGGCTTGTACGTGAAATTCGAGCGAGCTTAACTGTCGAAAGTGATGACTTCTGGGGCAGCACTTGGTACCTGTCATTATTCGGAATGCATTTCCCAGAAACCGGAGGGATATTATTAACTACATCAAGTGAGAAGTTTGGTGGCATCCTCTCCATGCCGCACTTTGCATTATCTCAAGATACCTATGAATTGTCCCATCAGCTTCTGCTGAAATCACTGAAAGATGCCATGTCTGAGAAGCAAACACGGCCTGCTTCGTTGTTTCCATGGTCTTCTTTAGCAGGGAACGAGCAAATGGAATTCCCGGCACCCAGGTGTGAACATGTGATCTTCTTACAGCAACATCCAGTCGTGATCAACGGCGTACTTGCCGACCGCTCGTCACTGGAGAGGATTGAACGGGAACTCAGGTACCCGATAGGCGCACCTATTCCAGATCCGCCTTTGATGACCATGTCTGCTGTTGTATTCTCCCCCGACTGTGGTTACGTGCTCGAAAGCAAGGGAACCCCAGAGTTCCCGCCCTCCGACCCGCTCTATCTCTCCGGGCCCAAGACTGAAGAGTACAGTAAATATGCAGCTCGTCTGATATTTGTGGTTTCTGCGGCATTTGTTGCACAGATCAGTCTACTTCTGCGCCAGATCAAAGAGGCTTCGACCCCTTCAACTAGAAGTCGGGTTAGCTTCTATACCATTGCATTGATGGCTCTCGGTGACGCCTTTGTTCTCACATTTATTGTCCTGGAACTTTACGAGGCTGTCTCCTTCCTAGTCTTGGCAACTGCCTCCTTTTTGGCATTCCTTTCTGTCAGTTACATTGGGATGAAATTTATGATGGAAATATGGGCCATACAAGAGCCAGAACGACGGGAAGAACAGCCCGCTAATCCGCCGGCCCCCACTACACGCCCAGGTACCCTACCTCTGCCCGCAACTGCAGTGCGGGACTCTGGTGCCACTCCCATCATCTTGACACCTGATCAAGACCCCCCGGAGAACGAGCCAGATATAGCTCCCACCAATCGTACAGTTGCACCAACATCCCAGCAAATGCGCAGTGATGTTGGTGCCATGTATGCACGCTTTTACCTCGCTCTTTTTGGAATGCTCATGCTGTCATTCTGGGCATTACTCTTACCTCGACGCCTAGGTTCAATCTATGCGCGCCTGTTATCTGGCGTTTATCTTTCTTTCTGGGTTCCACAGATCTACCGCAATGTCATGCGCAACTGTCGCAAGGCATTGAGGTGGGATTTTGTGATTGGTCAGAGCATTCTTCGATTGCTTCCCTTCTTTTACTTCCTTACAGCCAGAGGAAATGTACTATTCATTCGACCCGATTGGACAACCGCGTTTATCATGGCTGGTTGGATGTGGGTTCAGGCCTGGATTCTAGCCAGTCAAGATATACTGGGTCCTCGTTTCTTTGTACCACGTGGATGGGCGCCCCCAGCCTACGATTACCACCCAACATTAAGGGATAATGCTGGGCCTGATGATGATTTAGAAGCCGGTGGTGTGATATCTATTGCATCCCTCCGAGCCGACAAACAAGACTTGGTGAGCGACTCCAAGGATGATGATAAGCAGCGGTCAAAGGACCGCAAGAAAGTGGTATTCGACTGTGCGATTTGCATGCAAGATATCGAGGTCCCTGTTCTTCCTGCACCTACGTCTGCTGGCGGAAGTAGTGTCTCGGAGGGGGCTACAAATATCTTGAGTCGTCGTAATTACATGGTGACACCCTGCCGACATATCTTCCACACGGCCTGTTTGGAAAGTTGGATGAGACTTCGTCTCCAATGCCCAATTTGTCGTGATACTATTCCTCCTGTATAGATACCGGTTGGGTTTTATACATGTACTCCCAATCAATCTGCACATACATAATACTTTCAAAAATTGAATTAATATGAACTGCGGAGAATTCCGTTTACCCCTGGGCCGAAGTTTCTTTCCAATTATTGGACTACCTGGAAGCTCGTAATGCGCAAAACCCATTGATCAAGTCTTACATCAAGACACCACCAAATGTTATATTACCACCACTACTGACTGGTCAGAGTTAGTAGGTCGCTACGTCTTTGACTTCATGTGCCCAGATCCAGGGATAGGTAGGTGGTATTTTCAGTACACACTTTCATTCATTAAGTCAACGCCGTGGAGGGCCTGACTATTTCAAAACGCCATTGTTGAAAAAGGGAAATCTTGCCTCTATTGAGACATATACATAAAATATAAAAGCACAGAACAGCATCAAACCGGGATGGAATCTTCATGGCAATCCGCCCCGCACGTCTAGTTCCACCAAGGGTCTCTATGACCTCATAATCTAGTGTTCACCCTCAAGCGACTCAAGGTAAGCCTCTTCACTCAAGAGAGACTCAACCTCAGCGGCATCAGCAACCTCGATCTCGGCAATCCATCCATCCTGCTCGGGGCTAAGGTTGATGGTCTTGGCATTGTCTTCCAGGATGTCGTTACCGCGGATGACCTTGCCGGCAACGGGGGAGAGAACGTCGGAAGCCGACTTGACGGACTCAACGGCACCGACGGGCTCGCCAGCGGAGACCTCCAGGTCAGCCTCGGGGAGCTCAACGAAGACGACGTCACCGAGGGAGTGGGCGGCGTACTTGGTAACACCGATCTTGGCTGTAAATGAGCGGATTAGAAATCGTTCACCCTCCTCCGAAACAATGAAAACAATCAAAGGATGCCAGTGTAGTACTCACCAGTGTTGGTGCCTTCGGCAAGCTCAATCCATTCGTGCGACTCGGTGTACTTCTTCACCTGCGCTGTGGATACCAATTCATGGCTACGTCAGCGATATGTCCCAACGAACAGCTTGGTTTAGCTCCGGCAAGGTCTTGAAAAGACCAATTCTATTGCCAGAAGCTTTAGATGCCTCAATCGCCAGATTTGAAGAACAATTTCACTCACCAAGAGGGCTCTGGGAGAAGCTCCGGGTTCCCCGCGGGAAGCGGAAAGCAGGTGTAGCACGGCAGCTGGAGGCCAAAGGCTTCTGGGCAAGGGCCCGGGAGGTGATGGGACGGAAAGCGCGAGCGACGGAGGCCATTTTGGAAGTTTTAATGGGAGGATTGAAGGAGAAAGAAGAAGTGAAAAGGGAAGAGGGGAGAGTTTAAGAAGGAAAAGGAAGCGCGGTGCTTCCCCGGCGGAGATGGTGGTGCATTGATAAGGAATCCGCAATTACGCCAAGACCGCCCGATAAGGATTCTGACTTCGATAGGATTTTGCGCGCGATCAAAGGAGAAACCCTCGGATCCGCCGTCTCCCTACTTCAAATCTTTCGGGTTTTTGCACCACCATTCGATGCCATGTTGTACGAGCTAATTGCCATTGTAAGTTGTCGATGAAAGCTTGCGCATTGTTGGGATGGGAAAATTGGGTGCAATGGCTAATGCGTGTTCTTCCACAGGTCCGCCCGGGCAGCCTCAACGAGGTTCGGGAGTACGTGTCACGATGAATTTCCGGTGCCTCTACCTTTGGCCGGTCAGCTGACCCTATATACAGGATTGCCCGTAACGCCGGTGCCCAAGTTATCCGTTCTGGTGGTGTCGTTCGAGGATTCACCAACTGGGGCACTTTCCGCCTCCCCAAGGTCACCACCAAGCACCAGGCTCGATACAGCGAGGGTCACCACTTCATTATGCGTTTCGACTCCTCTGGTCCCGTCCAATCATCTATCCGTCGCACCCTCGGTCTTGATCCCCGTATGATCAACTTCTCGGTCGTTAAGCTGGGCGACAAGCTCATGGAGGTCAAGGATGTTCAAGGCCAGGCCGAATGGAACAACGTCCGCACTATCTCCGAGAGTATCAAATCGCCTCTGGACGGACAATCTCAATCGCCCCAATAAAACTTTGCAATACTGTTTCACTATCGCGATGACGTTTTGAGGGTTGGTGATTGGTCCTCGGCATCTTTTCTTATTTATCTTGTGTATCATTATGGCATGGGGATTTGACATTACTCAGCACTGTCAGCACAATTGGCGCATCTTGTACAAAATTACAATCTGATATCACCTTTGTTTCTTTATTATCATTTAAAAAGTCTCCATATCAATAAACCTGGCCACGTGATTCCGTGCCGAGCTAGTACTAGTAGGTACAAGGCAAGAGGTAGTATGTTTGCCGAGGTTCCCCAGTCTTGAAATGTCAACCCCGGAAACCCACTGAGTGCCTTCATTCCCCCCCCCCTTCAATCCGATTCATAACGACTCTCTGATAAATTGAGGCATTTCGCATTTGTCGCGCTCTTATCTGGTTGTAGAGATCCTACTACCCTATTCTCGATCTCGTTGCTCCAATTACGGCTTACATTTACCGCTGGGATTGAATCCAACGGGAGGTTACGATCCATATCAAATCTAGATCTCTCTGCTTCCCAGGGTGTAAATCCATTCATTTCTTGCTTGTCTGGCTACGTGAAACCAACCATGTCATCTCACGATGCGGCAGGCAATGATCCGAAAGATCTGCCTTCCCCGCTTTCATTCGTGGAGCTAATGGCGCTAGAGCGACTGGACGATATGGACTCATCTCACACTGACAAGACCGAGCCTGAGAAAATTGAGCGGTTTCGATCTTTGTCTGCCCCCTTTCCCCCCGGTGAAGGCGACCGAGCATTTGGGGGGCATGCATATGCCCAGTCCGCCTATGCGGCATCAAAAACAGTCGAAAAGGGATTCATGATTTATGTCAGTACTTTTCAGCTAAATGCTCTCGAGATGATATCACAACTAACATATCAAGTAGAATATGACTGGCTCATTCATTCTTGGTGGTCGGCTCGATGTTCCGTATACATATACGGTTCGACACGTTCGGGATGGATTCATGTATTGCACGCGCTCTGTTGATGCCCGGCAAGACGGTCGAATATGCTTCTCGTGCCTGTGCTCATTTAAACGCGACGAAGGAGAGCAAACTTTTGATCACCAACCGCTAGCCGCTCAAGAACGCTACAAAGATATACTTTCCGCCAAACGACCCGAAGACCAATCCATCAGTCCTAGCATTGATGCAGACTGGTGGATTGAGGCTCTTCAGCGAGGCGATATCACCGAGCGAGAGTTTCCTGGACTAGACGTGCGCAAGACCGACATGCAGGATTTCAACGAAAGGAAAGAAATCAAAGAAACTCCCGAGAATTACCGCCAGTTACAGCAGTATCGCCTCAAAGGATCACCGGATGCAGATCGCAACGCAACTCTTGCAGTTATCAAAGAGAGAGAACAAGCCGGAGAATATGATAATCTTTATATTTGTGCGCATATGTACTCGAGCGACAGAAACTCTCTTCTGCTGATCCCGCGCGCTCTGGGAATCAAGCGTTGGTCGGCCATGTCTAGTCTCACCCTGATGGTAGTTATTCATCGCCATGGTGAGTCATTGCGAATGATAGACTGGGATTCAGTCTCCAAGAATGGAGAATCGGACCTAAGCATGAAATGGTTTGTCCAGGAAGGATGGACACCCCAGTCGGCAGAGAACAGAGCTGTGCACGAGAGCAACCTATGGAGTCCGGATGGAACTTTAATTGGGACTTCGATCCAGGACAGCATGCTCCGATTGCAGAAGGCTCGGCGAAAGGATAAATTATGAGGTGAGCCTTGGAAAAGTCCACATTTTGGGGACTTAGATGTCGATCAATGTCCATATGTACTACATACTTACTACCTAACTACATTATACCACATACATGCATACTAGATTGATACATCAATACTAGATCCATGGATTTTCTGCCCACCTGAGGGCCTCTAGTGTACATATGTATGCAGCAATTGATTCATTCACATGCACATGCATGTGTGCATGCACAGGATGAACATTGAATAGGTATGTATGGACCTATAGACACATAGTACCTAGTAGGTATGTAGTATGTACTATACTGAAAGCTTCAAATGTTTATACTACGTACCAGTTGACAGAACATTGAACCAAAATCGAAACATTCAAGAAGGTTTGATTTACTACCCCAAAGTCACAACATTGAAAGCTGGACCTCGAGTCTCTCCGTCAGAGTTCAAAGACTTCAATCAACATTACCAACATTTGAACCATCCAAAATTGACTCTCTAGTACCTACTAGGCGACCAAGGAGACTCAATATAGTACCTCATAGATACGATTGCACGTGACAATCGACCTCGATTTTGGTGGGACGTAATCCAGTTTTAGATCCACCTTTCTACTCTCTCCATCGTCTAGCTTCATCTCACTGTGCCCAGCACGTTTCCTCTGGGCGGTTGTTTGCCAGCGACAAGCGCATGATGCCTTATGACCGCCAACATTCCTCACAAAATGCATAAAAGTCTTCTTCTCGTCTTTATTCATGGCTTCAAGGTAATAACTACCCCACTTTGTCCGCGGGTTGAGTTCCCCGCAAAAATGCGGCCTCCGCGGCAACAAACACCGACGTTTTCTTTATTTATTTATTTTTGTTTTGAGATGCGTGCTCACCCATGAGCTCCGTTAGGGCGATGATGATACCTTCGGCCATTTTCCAGAGCATCTTCGGGTCGTAGTCGGCAAGGCACTCCCTGCCGTTACGGTGACAACGGCTGTGTACCCCAAGTACGAGACAAAAGGCGATTTGAAAGAATGTGTGGGAAGGTTCCGAGAATGGTAAGAGATCCTGTAACAGGATATCTCCACTTAGGCTTTTTAAGTTCGAGTCTAACAGATTGCGCATGGCAGGCTGCAGAACACCGTGATTGATCTGGAGGTTGCAAACGAGACCGCGTCACCCACTGTTGATCCATCGGTCCACGTTTTCCTGGTCGGACATTCTATGGGTGGAATTGTTGCAGCAGAGACACTACTATTACTAGCAGCTGAGCAACCTATTCATCACAACTCCACATCGGATGCACAACCGGCGCCTGGGCCAGATGACCAACCCCCTGCCGTGGAACCTGGTACATTCATGTTCCCTCACATCCAAGGGGTCCTGGCCTTTGATACCCCATACCTAGGCATTGCTCCAGGTGTGGTGTCATACGGCGCAGAAGGGCACTATCGCAATGCTACCACGGCCTACAATACATTTTCGGAAGTTGCTGGGCTTTTCGGATACGGTGGAAAGAACGACGCATCCAAAGGGGCAGCCGCAGCTGAAGTCGCGAAAGAGCCGGCTAAAGCTCTGCCAGCCTCCACTGATGCTGCCGCAACTCCATCTTGGCAGCGATGGGGTCGATATGCCATGTTCGCAGGGGCCGCAGGGGCAGTTGCTGCCGGTGGCGCAGCTGCTTTGTACACCAACAGACAGAACCTGTCCGCCGGGTTCAACTGGGTATCGTCTCATCTCGAGTTCGTGGGATGTCTGACGAGAGGTTCCGAAATGCGTCAGCGTCTTGAAGGCTTGGCTCAAGTCCAGGATGAACGGGGCATACGGAGTGTCAACTTCTATACGTGTCTCGGTAAAGGCGCGTCTTCTCTTGTGCATACCTCAGGGGAAGGCAAGACATCTTTCAGCGAACATATTATTCGGTCGAATTTCCGAACTTTCTGCACCCTTCCACCTGAGGTTGAGAATGGCAAACAAAGCACTGCCCCGGGACTTCGATGGATCAAGGCCATCAATGACAAAGCTTCAGACGAGCCTCAGGCCCACATCAGCATGTTCTTATCGAAAAATAACCCGGCATTTTTTGAGCTACTTAGCGAGGCTGGTAAGACCTTGGTAGGCTCGATTGACGTGGGTTGGTATAACACATCTACCGCATCGGCCGAAAGGAACAGTCCCCCAACAGAACAAGCAAACCCCGAAGGTGATGATGACTTCATGGACGCTGATGACGTTGTCGTTGTGGATTGAAGCAGCGTCGATCACGGAAGCTTCAGGAGTCGGCGAATTTTTGCTGACCCACAAATGCATACTACAAACTTACATACATACACTGCCATCAAATCTGTGGAAACTTTTCCATGATGTGCTCCACACGGCCACTCCCTTGATCGACAACATCCACTTGAAAATTTGATCTTGGCATGCCGTATCAGAAACCCGACCTATAATATTCCGTCTATGCTGTAAGTCTCAAGCATACTCCGCAGGATAAAAGCTCTTCCACGTTATCACCTGCTAAATTTGACAGCTTAACCCGAAGCTTATCCAAAATAGGGGTATTTGATCGAGACTAGGCTCGGTTGAATGCACCACCATCACGGCGATCCCACCACTTGTTTCATGTTATCATTGATTGATTCTTTGGGACGAGATACATCTCGATCTGGAAACGCATCGATTGGTGATTATCATCGCAAGAGAACCCCGATAAAAAAACCTGTCTGGTAGTATGCCTTGTAAAGAAGGCAATGTCGGGCCCTGGTCGGAAGTTGTCCGCTTCAAGCATTCGGCTTGGCGTTCGGGATCACATGTTGGGATCTGGTATCCAAGATATTCAATGGGGATGATCTGATATTATTCATACCCTATGACAAAACGCCATTCGTGCATATTCATTAACTCCCTGTATCAGTTCCTCGTATTGAAAATAAAGGATTGATTAGTTGAAAACCGATATTCCGAGCATTGCGTTATCTGTTGAGGCCCTAGGGCGGCTTAGAACTAGCATTGTGGATATCAAAAAACCTCATGCTTTTTCATTGGATGCCTCACCTGGGCACCTCACCAAAAATATTGGAGAATATCGACTTGGCCAGGTGGAGAGACTTACAGTGAGGACACATGTGCATCCTTGGAAACATTGAAATACGCGTGGACATGCATGGATAGGTACTAGTACGGAGTAGGTTCCAATCCCGCGTTCAATCTACACATGTGCACATGTGCATGTTTAGTACTTGGAAAACGGAACGGTAAAGTTTTGACGTTCCTCCAAAAGGCAGCCAAGCTTTTATATTAGGCTTAGAACGAGTATTGAGTTTGGTAAACAAGTGATAGACAAGTGATATACCCGAAAAGAAGAGAGAAATGACTTTCAAATGTTCCAAGGTTGTTATTAGTAGTAGTGACAAATGAAATTTCCATGATTTATTCGAGCCTCGAAACTCGAAAATAGCCGCCCCATGCTTCCTACTCCATGCTAGTATAAACCGTGAAATGAATGCTTGTATGAGATGATTAAATACAAAGGTATGAACCTTTTATGAGAGAGATTGCACAAAGAAATGATAATTACCGTAAAAATACTTTATCCGTTAGACAGATCACGAAAGAAAAATTTAAAAAAAGACACGGCTAGGAGTTGCGAGGACCGTAATTCGAGGAGCGGTGAGGATGTCCACTTGCACGCATGCTGCCTCCGTATTCGGAATTGGTGTCTTGGTAAATGGTTTGGCGTCGGTCTTCTTCGGAGAGTAGATCCTTGACCTCCCAGGTATTGGCCTTGACGCCAACGGAAAACTCCAAATCTTCCGTAGTGATAGAATCCCAGAACTAGATACACAGTTAGTCTCATGATTCATGAAGGAAGCCGGTGTAACATGTCTCACCTTGTAGACCATCATCACCGCGAGCAAGTTGCAAAATGTTGCAAAGAACAGGCCATCCAGGTAATGCTGGACATTGTTGCAGATAAGATCACTGAAAGCGTATAGGAGCACCTGACCGATGATGAAGACCGCCACGCCGAAGCAGATATTTCCGAGGGGCCAGCGTTGATCGAGAGTGTTCACCACCAGTAGCAATTGCATGACAATATAGATGGCGATACATATGGCGTTTAGGAGGTATAACACCACGAACAGACCAACGGTATTCTCGGGTCCCAAAGCACCACCTGACCATGACTTGAAGGTCAGCAGGGAAATGACGAAGGTGATGGCAAACATGATGGCGGACGGAATGCGAATCAGCCACACGGATAATGCTGTGCCATCTTCGTATAGTTGAAACCCGACGAAGCCGTTGACCAGTAAGCAGGTGCATAGAGCAGATACTAATCCATTTTGAATTGACACGAAATAAGGGAATGGTCCGCTTCTTGGTGGAACGACGCCGGCATCAATGATGAGGGAGAAGATAGTAAGAGCCAGATAGAGGTAGAAGAATGTGAGGATCTCCTTGCGTCCTTTTCAAAGTGTTAGTACCAAAAAAAATAGCGTAAATCACCCCCTATTGGTCGGAAGATAAACACGAACCGACAGCGGTAAACTTAGATCGAATATGCAAAATCATGATCACTGTCATGGAGAGTGCAATAATATGCATGAATGAGGCAGCGCCTTCGAATATCATCGTATTGGCGACCTCGATATTCCGGGCATAACAATTTGATACTATGCCCCTCGATCCGGTCCCGGAGATTGTTGACACCGGACCTACGAGGAGACATAGTGGCATCGGCGTCTTCTCACATATCGAGTCGAAATGCCCGAATCCCATGATGCTTGATGGTTGACCCTGGTGGGACAGTAAACAGTGGGTTGCTTGTTAGGTGGTTGGTGGTCACCAGCGAGAACTGGTCTCCACAACGACGGAGAGAAGTGGGCACAGTGGAGAGAGGCAGAGGGAGAAAGTGTGACGACCGAAGACTTTCACACCACTCGACCAGCTTTCTCACTCCTTTTTTCACTTATTCTCTCCCCAGCAGCTTGAACTGTCCAACCTCAACGGTGATGGCAAACGAGCGGATACGTGTCGACAGATGTCAGGATTTTCCTCAGCCAAGAAGTTTGTCTTTCAATTGTTGCTAATTCAAGCGAGGGGGGGAGTCACGGGATCTTATTTTTGGTTCACCCAAAGCGGTTTAGCGTGAACTTCCCCAGTGACACAACTTTGGTTCATATCACGTGGCAATGGGATCGGACCCGAAATTGAGCCGATGGATTTTACCTTCGACACAAAGTACCTTTACTGACTTTAGTGACTCCACAAGAAGTATATCGATGCACTAAGGGCTCAGAGCCACTAACGGTTTTGGCAACCTCGGATTACCTGAGCCTCGGTGCCGGCAGGCATGCGCAACCCTCCTCTTCCGATAGCGACTTCCGGAGCTGTACCCGAGGCGAAGCCACGGCAAGCTACTGGAGACTATCTCTTTCTTATGGGCTCCACAACCCGATAAACTGGGGACCCAGAGCGGCGCCGCTCCGTGGTAAAGTACAGTTTCCGTATCGCCCCGGGTGCGCGCCATTGGAAGCTAGCAGCCCGCCACACCACGAGAAAATGGGCCCATGGCCCGTGGGTTCTGTTCTGGAAAAAAAAGAGAAAAAAAAAAAAGAAAAAAAACAAGAGACAGAATAAAATAACACAAAACCAAAAAAATAAAACACAATTCGGCATGTGGATGGAGAGCCACTCTTACTGACCACCTGCAGGATTGTCATTCCATTGTCGCACCATCTCGTGTCTCTTTCTCGCTTGCTCGAACTCTGCGGTCCCCATAGCAAGTCTCGTCTTGAACAACAAAGTCAATGGAGATCTTTTCTCTCCCCCCCCCCCCCATCCACCCCACCCCACACCCCTGTGCAATTCAAATTGAATCATTCCGTCATCTGCTAGGATACCCCTTGATTGATTGTGCCGCACAAACCGCAAGTAACGCAACGCAACCCTGCAGGTCATTTAGCTCCGGCCAATTACTGGGCATCGGAGCCTTTTTCAATGCCGATTGTGCAGGACTCCATCATAGTGGGCTAACAGCGATTCAAACGGCCGAGTGACCATTGTTCTCGAACGATTGGACAAAAAAAAGGAACCTAGGGAACCTCCGTGTGCTCCTAAACACTAGCGCTGCTAACACTAGCGTTCTTGTGGTGGGGAATATTTCTAACTGGGGCCCTTCCCATCTCTTTGATCTGGAGAATGCCGAGAAGAGCTCAAACCTTGTTCTTTGATTGGCGGGAGTTCTGAATGGAGTCGTCAACGCGGCACAAACAAGGCGCATGGCGCAAAAGATCGGAGACAAGTTCTCCGAGATTTTAGTCTGCTGCCATCGCCGCTACCACCCTGAACGACCCTGACTTGTTAATCTCTTACCCAGAATGGTTCCTTTAGATCCTGCACAAGATTTGAGTGTTTGTTTTATGATTTATGATTTTTTCTTTTTTTTCTTTTTTCAAAACAGAAAATAAAAACCTTCTCTCCGCGGCTCATGACCCGTTCGGGCTGACCACGTAAACTTATTTCTTTTCCAACTGTTTCGTCCCTGGAGGTTGCTCCTATGGCAAGGTGTTCCAATAATCTGGGCACCAATCAGTCAGGAGACAGGTACAATAGACCGGGGTTTAGGATAGACGTGGGACAGAGGCTGAGGTTGACCATTAATGGAATTTCTGAATGCAAAATGCAAAATCCTTTTCTGTTTTGATTCTGTTTATATTTTATTTTTTAATTGCTTTGCTCATCGGCTTAATGGATCCCTTTGCTTCGTCCCGAATGCCCAACGCGTCGTGTCCCCCAGTTTTGAATCAAAGGTTGCCCAACTTCCGGCAAAGATTGTTACCACTCTTGTCACCGGACGTTCCAGTAGGAAATATTTGTTCTTGCTCGCCTGACTACTATGTATGTATGTTTTTTTTTTTTGGTTTCAATTTTTTTATCTCTTTTTCTCTGGGGACAAACAAATGATACATGGCTACCAAGGTAGTCAAAGAAACCCCCACATTGGTTATAGTTGAACGTTCAAAATTTGGGCATGGCCACGTCTCACGACGTATCTATGCATGAAGATCCTGACTAGCGCCACGTGTGTACGGAAGAAGCATCAACGGCTGCGAGGAACCGCGTCGATCTCCCATTACCCGATACTATGCCGTGGTCTTCGTCATCGGAGGGGAGAAAAAAAAAAAAGGGACAGATGGGCAAATTTCCGACGGTCCTTCGGTCTTTTCTAAACGGTCATCTACAGAGATCAAAGCTAGTTTTATTTGATTTATTTTTCATGCAGGACCCGCTTCTTGACAAGGATTTTTATTTTTATTTCCATTTTCTTATTTTCTTATTTTTCTTATTTCTTTTTTTTTTTTTGGAGAATTTGGATTTACTGAATTAATGTCCCATTTGATATTTATTTTATTTCTTTGGTGGAGACCAGGGCTTTTTCAAACCTTGCAGAAATGCAGAAATTACTTACTGTATACTTGCTCCGTACCAACACCATCAGGTATCAAATTATGTGGAGAAGGAAAAAAAAATTTAAGTAGTTTGCAATTGACGTCTTTTTTTTTCTTTTTTTTTTCCTCTGGTTTTATATTTTTATTTCTGATTCCCACGTTTCTTCTAGGAGATCATGTCCAGATATTGTTTACCTTTCTCGTCCACACCTGATCCCGATCCCCACATCCATTCGTCGTCATAACCATCTGTGTCTCTTCCGTCCAGCAAAACCCTTGGATGGGAAAATGTGCAGCTATTTCAAAAACTACTACATCTATAGCTCCTGCTCTCAACCTCTCGTGCACTTTATCCGTACCGACATGGACGGTCAAAATGAGTATCATTGCTCAGACGGCCCACACGACCGATGGATCATAGTAGTAGGCAAATGTCTACTATGCAGCCGATAAGACCGAGCATTCAATGTTTCCAAATATTGGAATATTTGGATCTATACCGAAGATTCTTTCTTTCTTTCTTTCTTTCTTTCTTTCTTTCTATTCCGATATCACAATTCCTCCACGGATCCATATATCCACAATTGGAGAAACCCCCGAACCTTCTTCTCGCCCTATCTATCCGCCATATTCACCCGAAACGACTTCGCCGACCATTACCCTAAACCGCATGAATATTCTCCGATTCTTTTCTTTTTGTTCTTTTTCTCTTTCTCTATTTTTCTGAAATCACACACGTGCATTTCCACGGCTCCAACCGACCTCCAATCTTCTCTTTACCCAAAAGCCAAAAGCCCGCCGCTCTCCCGAACCAATTACTGCAGCTGGAAGGATGAAACGCAAAGCCAAACCGCAATTATTTACCGGCAATGGTCCTGATCGACATTCAAAATTCTTTCTTTCCTTCTACGGGCCCGAGAGCCACGATTTTAAAGTTTATGTTGTCAATACTCTGGATTGAGGATTATTATTTTCGTTTTCGTTCGAGCGTGTGCTATGAGCGATTGGGCCTTTTTTCGATTTCGATTTCCCGTCTCTGTATTTTTGATTGGTTTGCTTTTGGCCTTGTTTGACACACACCCCGCTATATGTATGCTATGTCGTCTTTTGTTTTTTTTTTATTGTTTTCTTTTTGTTTTTCTCTGCTCGGCGTCCACGTAGGCGTCAAGGCAGGGGGGGGGGGGGGGTATAAGTGCTTAGGTGTCTGGAAACAAGGCTCAAGTGGATGGACTGGGATCCATACCTGAATTTGGATTTGGATTTGATTTTGATTTTGGACTTGGCTTCTATATGGCTAGTTAGACTGCAGTGATTCCGACTTTTGTTCGACGCCCCAATTTGCCTTTTTCTGTCATAGTAGCCCTGCATCTGCATGTGTATGATTATCATGTTGTGTTTGCTGTGATTCCCAGCCCTATTTGTCTTCCAATAGGTATTCCAAATAGCCCGACATCTGGACCATCAACAAAAAAACGGTGCATGGTCAAAACGGAGATAAAAATAAATCTACGAGCAGAATCACATGTAGAATGCATGGTCATGGGCTATTAGAGCCGAGTCCAGAACATATGTTCAAGCCGGGCTCAGATTCAGAACGTGGATGTCTAGGGCTCTCACGGACTCCGAAATGCAGAATGCAGGATCTAGACGGTACATGCCCTAAAGAGAGGTTTGCCTATACATTTATATTTTAATATGTATTATCAGGAGAGTGTTTCCAAGGTCCACGGTAAAATTGGAGGTTACAAGCTTGGAAGGCTGCGCACGGGCAGACAACGTGGTTCTACTTGATTTTGTCTGGACATCAGGGGTGGCCCAGCACTTGAGTGCTCTCAAGTGCTGATGTCCCCATCGGCCGAGCCGGCAATTGAGTTTGTGAGCATAAAGATTGGAGATTTATAGATGAATGCCACAATGCCACAATGCCACAATTTCACATTCCGTATTCCATATCCTCTTTAATCTTATTAGCGACATTGCCAAGGCAAAATAAGGGGCTTGGAGTTTCTCCGATCGAGCCCGTGCTTTTTGCACTTTGGCCTTAGTCTGTTCCTTTTTTTGATTTTGGCTTTTTTAGGGTCCTTTTGTTTTTGTTTTTGTTTTTGTTTTTTTCTTATTTCTGATTTAGATTGTGATGAATAATGCAGGAATGTGAAAAGGGGGGGGGGGAAGCCAAGAGAGGAGGGCAGTGCTAGCTCAGCCAGGGTTATATTAGTGGTTATTGCTAGTAGTGTGTTAGCACGTTATGTCCCCATCTCCTTTAGGCTACCATCCAAGTCCCCCAAAATCTTCTATCATTAGACGGTAGCCAAATCAAATACAAAGGGAAAACTTTTCACCAAAAGTCGTTGGTACTAGACCGGAAACAGGCTCGCCAAGTCTTGCTTTTCCTTTGCATTTCTGCATTTCCCACGCAATCTCCAAGCCTTTCGGGGGAAGCGGGTTGAAGCGAAGCTTCAAATGTGGAAACGCCCCTCTCCTTCCTTCCCCTCTATACCTGCATCGTCTTATATGGTTGGTCAGTCTTCCCCCCCGGTTTCATCTTATGGAACTGCTGGGGTTGATTCATAGATGAAGGATAAATACTGGTTGGACTTGATCCGGACAATCTGGAAGAAGTAGAGTGATTGGATTTGCGGTAAAAAAAAAAATTCCGCCATTTGCATCCGGCAAAGGTAGAGTACGTCCGGTACTTGACTACGAGCCGGGCCGGGTTTTGAGGGGGACGGCAGATGCCCAATAAGGTAGTGTGGTGTGCAAGGATTAAAGTCATGATGCAATCATACTCCTACTAGGCTACAAGGGAGCAGGGCTCTCATGTACCTTGGAGAGAAAGAAGTAGGGCTCACCCGAGCGCTTGTCGGGGATTGCGGATCCCGGATAACAGATGAAGATACCGGTTTTAGGCTTGTACGGAGTATGGAAAGGGAAGTTGGGAACGGGCAAATTTCTAGATGCCTTTATACTAGTTTACTCGTATTCCGTAGGTGCTCGGGATCTACGCCGAAGGGGATTTAGATTACTGATCGCTACTACTTCGATGAGCACTTTTCCATTGTTTTCTTTTAATTTTTTACGCCCTTTTTCACCATTGTAGGAGTACGTTGATTTCAAATGGTCTTTGTCAATTGTATAGTAAATCCAAGTAAAATGCGCTCGGTCCACAAAACCTTTAACTTTCTCTTCTTCATTCCCCAAACGTTTTGGTTTCTGTTGGGGAAACGAAAGAGGGACATGTACATACTAGTAGTGATTGCGATTGCTACGGAGTAAAACTCCCGGTCTTATCCCGCTAGGACGCATATGCCACAGCCGTTGGCTCCAGCATACGAAAGTGCACTCGTCAACAAGGGTCATGGCGCGGGGCTATATGAAACGGAGAAATATGACGGAAATACCGAGAGTTATTTTCATCATTTTTTTATTTTATTTTCAATCCCCAAATATTCGGGGTTTTTAATTTGCAGACCCTTTGTGATTGACCGGTGAATATGAAATACCGAGCTATGCTCATTGGGTCTACTAAAGAGCAAACATTTTAACAGAGCCTTGAGGAATAAAGTACCAACAGTTCAGCCTATAAGGCACATGTATCGAAATAGAGTGATATAACGGTATTCTTCTCCGAGTGCATTGATTAAATCAATTTAAAATCCCCAGGGGTTTCCGGCTTTTGCCCTACGGCATTTTGGGGAGAGACCGGAGGATTGTTCTAGTCCGTGAAGATTATGTAAAATGCTGGCGGCCGTATCGGGTAATAACCATGCATCGTGATGATCTGTAACGGTCTAGGTCTAGAATGAACAATGCAAAAGAGAGAAAAAAAAGACACAAAATGCAAAAGATAAAAGATAGAGCAGGAACGAGAACTGTGATGACGAGGTAATGCAGATCAGGTTATCATCACGGTCAGTTTTAACCAAATTGGACAAATTGGCAATTGAAAGTAGTTCGGCGTCATGTCGTGCTTGTCTTTGGCACATGTCTACACCTTGGCCCACCTTGCAAGCCTTGTCTTGCTTTGCAACGCCGGTGTACTCGGTACTTGACGCCACACGGGCCTCTTGGATAAGAAATCATCTAACGGTCTTTCTTCAGAGCCTTGGTTTTTTTAATATCTTATTCAACTTTTTATTTCTATCACCGATCTAGACCATTCCAAGGTGCTATAAAGTGCTATAAGTGATTGCGTTGCATAGTGTGCTTCTCAAAAGCTCGATCTATTTCCGACCAATGGCAGGTCAGCCGGGTATATTACCCCTTGGCAATTAACCAGCCAGAAAGATGCCTGCTTACTCATTTCTTTAATTTAACCCAATTCCAAATCACTCACAATTAATCTATAAAATTACAAAAAGCCATTTCGGCTTCCAAAAGGTCCAAAGTTCTACCTAGGCATCACAAATTACTTATCAATCATGCCAATGCTCAACCAGTACTTTGATTTATTCCGTATATGTTTGTTTCGACCCGCTTTCATATGCAAAATAGCGCCAAATTGGCAAAATCCCCCTTAAAATTGGAACGTACTTTCTAAAATCTCCCCATCCGAAGAATGCCTAGGTAATTGCATTCTTCCATCCGTACTCGTAATTCCTATTCCGAACATCCTCGGCAATGTGCCCAAAAGAGCCTGGTCTTAAAGTCCAGCTTTTAGCCCTGAAATTATCCCTGACTAGCTTGGATTATTTTCTCGCCACGCACCCAATCAGAAAATCCATCTGTCCTACCAGGGATCGACATGATCCAAACCAAGCAACGAACCCACCGACTCGGCTCCACTCCCAGTTTCATGATCCAAATCCTCAGCTATCTGATGCTCCAGCCTCCTGGTCTGTGCAGACGAGCTTTCTCGGATCAAGTCCCGAAAGCCACTGCCGTTATCCACCTTCCATAAATGATAAGGGGAACATCTTTCAATCTATGCTAATGCCTCTAGGTGCATATACCCGGATACGCGTATGTAACTTGTCGGAAGGCGACTCAGGGGTGGAATTTGCCATGGCTATTGAAATGAGATAGGGTCATGCAACTTTTCCCGAGGCCGAATGAAACAGCCAGTTACTTCGGATGATGAGGTTTCTGTGATGCAATGCATTCCCACCATCTCGGGACTAACCGAGCGGGGGATTTCGATGGTTAATTAAACAAGTCGTCATTGCTGGACTTTTCAAATCTAATTGGATTTGTATGTCATCCATGCTCTCCACACTCTCCACACTGTCCACACTGTTCTCTCGGTCCATTTCAGCCTGTATCGTCATTACTAATTATCGATTGTCTATGTAGTATTGACCACATAATCTTGGAAACTACTAGTAGTATCCTGCAAATTCTGACTTCCCGAACCCGAAACTCTCTCCACAATTATAACTGGGGCCGGTATATCCTAACTACGCGATGATCGACATTTTGAAGGGAACCCGCGGAAAACCACAAAAACCCGACGTCTGTCGGCCGACTAGGACGGGAACGGAGTACTACATACCAACATACTGAGTCCTCGAACTCAGGTCCACAGAAAAATATGGAATATTGTCGACCAGTTCCAGAGCCCACCAAGCAAGTACTGTACAATGCTTAGAGCATTCACCAACAAGAACATTTGAACCCTATGTCACGATCAACGTCATCTACTACACAAAGACTCAGTCTGAAACGCAACGCGCCGATCTCCCCCCCCCCCACCGGGGCGAACTTAAGATTAGATTCTTGTTGGTTGCCGTCCCCAGGTTCATGCAGGGAAAATTATTCGTGCCGCCCTCACCAGATACACTAACAACCTGCATTGATCCATGAATGTCTGCCGGACGCGTACTAGTACTAGCGAGGCTAGGCTACTTCAAATGTTGATAGGCCTAAGCCCTGCAGGTCAAACCGGGGTATGAAATAAGAGAGTCTCTGATTCGCTCGACTTTGATCTGATGTAGTATCGCTTCCCTGCGCTCGCACCGTGTTGACATAATCTTCCCTTCCAAGGCTGTGGATACCAATATCCTAATCGAGCCACGGAGCACTCCCCACGCTCAACCATAGGCCTCTGGAACAAACATACATACTGCCTAAATGCATCGATGCCGGGAGTATGTAGAATGCCGGATCGACATGGGGTCGCGATGTAAGTTTGATTTGATCAGTAATACAGTACTGTACGCTGTAGATCATACCCGTGCCCGTGCCCGTCCCCATCTCCATCCCGTTTCAAGCCATACCCTTCTTGCCCCGTATTTCCTTTTCCGGCCGGGTTGCGCGATGTGGCTGAGGACGATCGGGATCAACATCAGCATCATCAGCATCAGCATCAGCATCATCATTTTGTAGATCTGCGACGGACTAGAAGCGGACCTCCGGGCGAATGGAGATTGGCTTTGCGGTGTAGGCGGGTGGGAGGATAGTGTAGCGCGGCGAGGCCTTTGGTTTGCGGACGGCCTTCGGGGGAAAGGAGAGAGATGGAATGGGGACGTCGAGTCGGAGACTGAGGCGTGAGGAGGCTCGCTTGCGACGGAGGGGTGGTGAGACGGGGAGGGATTGGTTTGGGGTTGTGGTTGTGGTTTCGGGTGGGTTTGGTGCAAGGTATGAGACTGTGATGAGGCTGCGGAGATAGTCGAAGGATTCGCCTTCTTGGTCTTTTTCGGTCCAGCCGTTTGAGTCGATGGAGGTGTTGGCGTCGTTTGTTGATACGCGGCTGACTGTTGCTGCTAGAGCGGCTAGTTGTTGGACGATGAAGTCCGTGTCGTTGGTTTCTGGGTGGGCGTTTTTGGTGGGATGGGTGGGTGGCTTGGTGCTTTGGGCTGGTGTTTCTTTGTATTCACATTCTTGTTGGTGTTTGCGGAAATGAGACTTTCGAAGATAGGATCGGAGGAGAGACAGTATGCCGCAGCCGCGGTGTTTGTGGGGGACGAGGACGAACATGGTTGGCGGATGGATTGAGGAAGGGTTGGAGATGGATGGATTCCCTGGAAAAGACTGGTTGGCTGGTTGGCTGGTTGGCTGATTCTTTGGATTTTACTGTAAGGACAGGAAGTGAATGGCCTAGGTGCTTGGTAGGGAGTTACAATCAGTGCAAACCGTAGTAGTAGTGATTGAGGTCTATATAACATCCGACTCTGAGTATCATTCCATGTCTGTATACAAGACAGTAGCATCCACATACACCCCTTTGTCACAACATAAGGTTAAAGCTGCAGCCTCATTGCAAACAAGAAACAGCACAGGAAAACCGCCGAGAACAGCTTGCCGTCGACATTAAAATCCAACTGTGTCTGAAACACCGCGGAGAATGAAAGAGATAATCGAAACAAAACAAAACAAAACCAACAACGGGATCAGATAGAGGCCTGTTAGCCAACACCAGCGCAACAACAAAACCGTTAGACTCCAACAACCCGAAAAAAAGCGTTTATGCAGGCTCCCCGGACCCTAGATGCCAAGAACTTACACTTTGCGATACATCATACCCGTTATCTTAGCAAACACCCAGCACCATAGCCCCGGGTCTGTTCTGCGTCTCGATAAAATAGAGTCCAGATCGCGGCAGATTCGGTCTGTTTGTGGGTCTATCGTAGTAAGTAGTAGTCCCGGGGATCGTGCAGGCACTATGGGCCTGAGCGTTAGGATAGATTGATAATCGGGCCGACACTGAGATTGGGATGTGCTTGTATCCGATAGATCAGAAAGTATGAAATTGGATTGTACTTAGTATGTATCTACCGTTGCGGGCCGACAGAGAGCCTGGAGTGCCTATATAGGATTTAATTGATACTGGTAGGATTCGAGTATGCCTAGACATACTAGTAATGTTCTGAACTGACGTGGACATTCTGAATATCCGAACTGCATGTCATCGGACTTGAGTGTTACTCGGTTTTCGGGTTCCGCATCATGCAGTACAACTAAAACATATTAGCAGCTGGAGCCCAGAGAACGGAAAGAAAGAATAACAACAAGCAGAAAGAAAGAAAAAATGCAAGAAAAAACATACCATGCAAACATCCTCCCCATCCCTACACTCCATCGTCCTCCTCATCTCGAATCCCATCCTCTCATAAATCTGCACATTAGGCACATTCTTCGAGCTCTCCAAATAACACTTCACCCCCTCTTCATCCGCCCTCTTCGTAACAGCCTCAAACAAAAGCCTCCCCACGCCCCGTCCCTGCGCCTCCGGCCCCACAGCAACCATATTACAAAAATAGTACCCGCGCGGATCATCCCATATCTCCGCCTGCGCTTTCTGCTGCTGCTCCTTCCAGATCCAGTACCTGTTCACCCGCAACCCACCCCGGCCAAAGTAGCGTATGTTCGTGAGCAGCTGGCCAGCCGATAGGACCCAGCCCTGGTACCAGGAGTACCAGCTCTCTGGTTTGGCAGGTGGGTGTGGTGGTAGCCAGCAGGAGACGCCGAGAACGGGGGACGGCTGATCTGAGGAGCTCTGTTGCTTTTGTTCTTTCGCGACTTGGAAGATGGCGTTGTTAATGCCCCAGCGACAGCGTGCTTCGAGGGAATGGTAGTTTCGGTCATTGTTGAACTGGTGTGTGTTTCTCCCGTTTGGGGACGCGGGCTGTCTGGTAGACGGGCCGCGTTACGGGAGAAGATATGTTAGCGGGTGGATATATGTATGCGTATATATGTTATGTGCATACACGGTATGTGCTTGGGATCCACTAGACTGGAGCTTCGTGTGTGTTGGTATCTAAAAATACACTGTACATACCGTGGAATCATCAAAAACCCACTTGAAATAAGGATCATCCGCGAAAGCGTGCTGAATGACACGGATCGCGCCAGGGATATCAGCTTCCGTCAAAGGCGAGATCTCAACGACCATGATACGCGAATCTGAGGTAGTAGGTAATCTGGCAGGGAGAAAGGAAAAAGCGGAAATATCTCGACGTGTAAACAGAGTTATGCACCCTGGATGAGTGGAGCCGATCTCGACGCAGATATGCTCCGTATAGCGTTGCTGATCCCGCGGCTATTAGACCCTTGTTAGCCTTGCCAGGTACATAAATGAGAGTATTATAGGCCCACTCTGTGGAGTGGAATTGTGTCATATGAAACAGAAGAAAAAAGAGTGTTTCGAAAGACTGATCTTACCCGTGACCTAATCGTGCTGATAACGGTTGGACGGAGTAGTGACAGGGGTTCAAGTTGGCGACAGGGATATTTGTTAATTAGATCTGAATGGGACTTTCAAATGATCAAGCAGCGAGGCTCTAAGAAAGAGGTTGTCTGTTGTGAGTTGTGTTCTAGAATTCATTCAATGCTAGCTTGGAAGAAAAAGGGAAACGACATCCTCAAGCCCTGGAGCCCCCGCTTAGATGTGGGGATCGTCTAAACCGGGGAAGGAATGTAGATGCGGGCTTATCTTATCGTCACACCAATTGACCCGTTTTGCAGTGGATACTAAGATAACTACGAGTAACTACTAGTACTAACTATTAGTACATGCTACGGAGAACGGGTTAGCAAGTTGGATTTGGAGATAAGAAAGTATTATTTTTAATTGATTTTTGGCTTTGATTCCGATCCAATGCACAGTAAGTTCCCAGTATAAACATTTTGCATGAAGAATTTGTAAAACCTCCAGTCCCAAGAAGAAACCCTTAATCACGCCTTGTGCCCCAAATGATATGAACAGGTCGCAGAAATATCCCGCAGATCCCAATTGCATAATGCATGTTGCATGTGTGCCATGATAAAAAATCCCCAAATGTAATCAACAGAAAAACAAGACTGTAGTATATGAACCCCTAACGGCTGGTAGTAAGAAACGAAATGAAGTGAAAAAAAATAAAAAATCCAAGAGACCAAAGTCTGCAACCCCAATACACCAGTTTCCAATGACGTCGTAATTTCATTTCATTGCTCGGATTATCGTGAGACGTTATGACGGCTATAAGGCACGACCTAAAGAAACTCATGAAGCGGTAAAGTCATCCAAGCGTACCCACTCACGGGGTACATCCATACTGCGATTGACGCGGCCTCCCGGGGTCAAGGGGACGTCCACGCGTCCGAGACCCCGATCATCGTCCCCATCCTCGTAGAAAGAGAGTCGAGAGAAGTAATCTTCTAGTACAGATTCCCGATCACCATTGCCCACAATGGTGGTGTACTGGGGGGTGGTGTGATAAGGGGAGGCGGTGGAGGAACATCTTCGAAGGCAGGAGGGGCAAAGGATGGGGTTCTAAGAAGATGCATCGGACGGGGGACATCCCGAGCGGGCGCATCGTGCGCCAGGTGGGCAGGGGCCGGACGGGCCAGACCACCAGACCCATTTGTGAAGCTTCGCGACACGGCACGGAGAGAATCCCGGCGGTTGAGGTTCGTTGTAGAATCCTCCCGGTCGGAGCTCGATTGTGCGAGGGAGTATTCCCTCGCAGCTAGGGGCGCACCAGGGCAGCCACACTCTTGCTCTTGTGCCGGCGGGTCTGGGTCGCTGGCCGGCGTGGAATATGCCGGAAGGTAGATGTTTGCTTGCGTCGCTTTGCAGGAGAGAATGTGGAACGGGGAATCGATGGAGATCTCAAAGTGCCGACGTTTTGTCGGGTCTCTCTCGTCGATCTTGGAGAGTCGGAGGACAATCTGTTGAAAGAATCGGTTAGTATTATGCCTTTATTTAGGTCGCCAAAAAGAAATTGACAGTGGGGTTGTCTATTTACCTTGATCCAGTGATTGATCTGGATATTCTCATAGGTAGTGTCAAAGTGCAACCGCTGGCCCTCGTCCCGACCCCTCATCTCATGACAACTTGGGAGTTGCACGCTGAACTCCATCTCCGTTGGACCGACTCCGGAATCATTAGCCAGGTTTCCAAGCAAATTCGTCCGGCCCCGTTCCACAATCTCCTCACCGCGCGCCGCTGCGGCACGATGGTCCCAATCGATACCACCGCCCGCCGTGATTCGCATTGAGCTGCCAGGATAAGTACTCGTGCTAGCCGACTCGGCTCGTTTCTCGAAAAGGAGCACTTTCTTGGCCGGTTGCAAACGATGTACACTCTTATCTGCCGTCCAATGTTGAATGTTTTCCGTCACGTAAACTTTGATACGGTGGCATTCGACCTTTGCAAGCGGGGTAAGTTTGAATGCAATTGGAATCTGGGATCCGAGGGGGAAAGATTTCCCTGAAATGACAATGTCGTAATGAAGCTGGTCCTCCCAATTCCTCGAGATCGCAATCGGTTCGACTTGCTCCAAGGAGCCCTCGGCCGGGGTGCGAATCACGGGAATTTCCATCGTGCCGAGCAGATTCGGCCGGAAGGCACCTGATCGTTCCACGATGGCTTCCAAGTCATATCTGACGGAGCCAAGATCGGTTTTGATTGTTTCGGGTAGTGAGCCATCGATTGGGAATTCGAAGCTGTAAAGGTAGTCGCCTACGGGGAACATGCGGTAATTCCGCTGCTGTTGGGTTTGAGAGCTGGTGGGCGGCTCCTGCCGGCTGAAACTTCGGGAGTGTCCACGGGCGGTGGGTATAGACAGACGCCTGGGGTCTCGGGAAGCGATACTAGTGCCGAGCGAGTTGGTGGAGCCACTTTTGGAGAAGAGTTCTCGACTTGTGGCTATCACTGCATCCTTGCCGGGTACAGGTGAAACGGGCTTAGCGTGCTGGTAATAGTGCGCACCATAGTCGTTTTGCATGAGCGCAGTATCTCCATGGTTGAAGTAGACGACACCATGAGTACAGAGATCTTTCTTATCGTGGAAATGAACTTTCTTTGGTGGGATACCTGAGAAAAGGAATTCAAATTAGACGGAATGCGGGGGAAAGGGGGGAGTGGGGACATGTTTTATGATTTATTGGGGGAGAGCATACCATCTGGCCAGTCCGTTTGCGCGTGACCTCTAAAACAGATTGAGATCTTCTTGATTTTGACACATTTGGTCACCTTGAGATGTATTTGACCTCGCAAGATAGCTGACTTCTTGGAACTTGGATCATGTTGATCGTAGCCCTGAAGATACAACACGGGCTCGGTGAGGGCGATACCCAATGTCAGACCACTTCCAGTCGCAATGATCTTCTCATTCCGCAAGGGAGGGAACGGAGTGGATAGCTCGGGGGCGGTGTTGGGCTGCTCGGCCACGGCTCGGGGTAAAACATCGGCCATGATATCGGGCAGTATTTCGTCGTCGGGGTGGATTGAGTCAATTCTTGGAGAAAGGATGATTTCCGATACAGGCCGAGCGGTGCGACGGCGTGGGGGTTTTGATTGCAATTGCGGGGGAGCGGGTGCCGAAACTCCGGATGACCGCAGGCGAAGGAATCGCTTCGCGTTTTCACGTGGGCCCGCCAGCTTTCTCAGGAAAGAGCCGCGACGGCTTTGTTTAGGGAATTGTTCCTCGACGGCGTTGAGACTGGAACGTCGTGCCGACCGAGTGCGTATAAGGTTGGCGATTGAACTTGATAAGGGAAGCGGGGAAACCTCGGTTTGTAAGGAAACCTGCGCGGGCATAATGTGAGCCATCATTGTGTTTTTTTCCACTGGCGCATCATAAAATAAAATGGGGATTGATTCTCTCTCTTTCTCCCTCTGTGGTGTTGATGATGCTTGTCTTTTGTTTCTTCCTTTCACTTTCCTTTTGCCTTTCTTCGTTTGCTCGAAACAATGGCGAAAAAGAGACAAAAGGCCGATCAGGAATGCCCTGGTAGACTTCCGACACCAAAGGGAGGTAAATTCCAGGAAATCCTCCCCCAAAAGAGAGAGAGAGCGGAATTATAATAAAAGAAGGGCAACACAAGAATTCACTTACCCAAAAAAAGCTTTAATCTCTGTGAGACCAATCTGTTATGCGTAAAAGAAAATCAAAAGTCCAAAAAAAATCCCTTGTACACCCCTTCAATGGGATCAACTTGAGAAAGAAATGCAAGGAGTACACCGATCTTTTTGCAGGAAGAAGGAATTCCTCGGGGTTGCTGACTTCATAACACGGATCCTCCACTCAAGTGATCATCGGCTTGCAGATCCTTAAAATGGAGGATGGGATTGGTCAGGGCAGGAAATAAATTGTGGTTCCCAAGGAACTTGCTTGGCCCTGTTTTACCAGGCTTTTGGTGGCTTTTCTTTGGTGGCGCTTTTTGGTTGGTCTCCTGTACAGAGAGGAATTACCTGTTCATGAACCAGTTTGCGTATGTTGGCTCAGAAATAGAACTATCAGGAACATGTAGAAAAATCTTATATATGTCTAAAAATTTCCATTTATATATCTACTAAGGCAAGACGGAAAAAAGGTCCAGATCCGAAGTCCGATCGATGATGACATGATATCGACGATTATCCGGCGATCCGGGACTTAGTCAGAAAGAGGAATTGAGACTCTTTGGCTTGAAATCTAGAATGGCCTCTTTTTTTTTCTTTCTTATGGTGGATGATATCTCCGTTCTATCAAGTTAACCTTACTCTATCAAAGCTTTACGGCTATTTGCCTTCCAGATGTCCAAAGTTCTATAGTTTATACGAATGTACCGCATGACCATATACCGAATCCAGTAGATACCATTTGAAGGCTTCTACGAAACCACAAATTTTCTAATTCCTCAACCATGGTCAACCCGGCTAACGCGGATTAGGAACATGCGCTCTGTAGTAAATACTCAACGGAAAAAAATAAAAAAGTACGCGGATATAGGAACATTGAATTCTTCGCAATCCAATATTGAAAGTGGAAACGGCTAAACCGGCATCATTTCCAGAATAGTCTCATGTCCTATCGGCAATCGGACATCTGGATGCGGGGATAACAACTTCAAGGTGTCGCAACTCGCATGTGAGGCTTGTCACACCGAGGACAAACTAAAATCAGACACCTGATCTAGAGGAAAATCTCTACCGATCAGGATATCATTCAATTGTTTTTTTTCCCTGCATTTCCCGCGTTGTACGCGTCAAGACGAAGTATAAACCCCCAGACCTCTCTCTCTCTCTTTCTCTCTGCCCAGGTGCTCTCTCCCGGATCTCTCGTCACTCGTGCCATCCTGCATATTCCTCCAAATCTAAAAAAGACCAAGCAGACCAAAGAGATCCAAATAGACCCAAAGATGACTCATTTGTCCCGCAATCTAGCCTTGCTTTTCTCAGATTTCAAGCCTGCAGCGGCCCAAGATGACTAGGCTAATGCAGTACATGGCAGGTCATGACTTGTCTATCTCCTCGGGGAGTTCTTGCAGTCTCAACATTTGAACTTTGTGAGGTCAAGGTAGATTAGAGAATTCTAAGGTTCATGCTAGGGGAGATCACTGCGTCCCCGTTTCCCCCCACTTGACGCACAAGAGCAATCCATTATGTGCCCACTAGATGGTACTTAACAAATCTCAATCCCAATCCAAATGCAAAATGCAGAAATGCAGATGCAAATGCACACGGGTCTTGCGACACTCACCTGGAGTACGGAGTTGACTTAGCGTCAAGGTCCGTGCCCGGTGAGTTCTGTTGAGTCCTGAGTCCTGACAGCGACTTCGGGATGACCTCATTGGGGGCCAAGACTCCAGAGCCTAACTTCCTTTCCCCGTTTCCCCGTTTCTCTCCACGGTATCCACGTTCATAAGGCCGATCTACGTGCTAAATGTTGACGTTGGGAGATTGGCATTTTAAAATTAAGGAATTTCTTGGTTTGGGGGGGGGGGTTTTTTTTGTGCCCCGGGAGAAAGCCCGTGCTCACTGCCCTGATTTCTCATCTTTCTCGGCGATAATGGATTATTTTTAGTATACTTATTAGCCCTGGAGATCTGCCGTCAGCGGTACCTCATACGTCACTGTGATGGAGGATGCTAGGAAACTGGATTTACTACTAATACTATATACGGAGTATGTATGTATGTAATAACCAGAAACCAATTTCTTTCAAATGTTGCTTTTTGCGCTGTTCCCCTTTGTCCTCTCTTCTCGCTACAGTCGGGTTTGTCACACAATCAGGTCTTGTACTACCGCCCCCTACTAGTATGTCCGAGGGGGGTACCTCCTCTAGACCTGCAAAGAGACGGGAGAGATCGGCGTGAGATTTTGATAAATTGCCCGATGTGTATACAGTGGCTAGAGCTGTGGAGAAGCATTCTGAACTAGACAGGTCTACTACCTTGGAACTATCTATCTCTACATGGTAGCTTTGGATCTAGATCCTACAAGGATTCTAGAGTGGAGAAGAGCCCTGGGGAGAAACATTTGGAACAGCTTCATGGTCGTGATCCCGAGTTTCCGGTCTATATGACAATTGTCGCATTAGAAATATTGAATATGCCTTTTCAATAATTCCTCTACAGCCCTCACGAGTCGATCTATCGTTTTACTCCGACCTCGAGAGTGATAGCTGCGATCCGCTAAAATCACTAGTGTAGCCGGAACTGCAGATGCATGTACTAGTAGATCAGTAGTATATGGAAGACAATTTCATTTTAGTCTGGGTATCTCTGCAACATTTGAATATTGGAGCACTTCTCCCCTCCAATAATGCCATCTAGCTAAACCAATTATCCTCCAGCTCATTGAGATTCATCAAACTATCCCCTTCTAGCTGATCGAGATCCCCAGTACCATCCTCGCCCATATTTTCAGTCTCCATGAATAGATCATCAAAGCTAGACTCTCCAGGTCCAATCAGATCATCCATTGAATTCCCTTGATCAGGGAACGCATGGGGCTCGCCTTCACTTTTCTGGAGCTCCATGTCAAATGCACCCCCACCAGCAGGGGCCATAGCCGTAGCATTCTCCGGCTGTGAAGTGCCGGGAGTTTCCCCGGGCGCACTAGTGCCGAATGCCGTCCCAGAGAGGAAAGCTTGGTTCCCCATATCATCGTCGCCAAAGTCCAGGCTAAGTTGAAAGGAACTAGGCCCGCCAGTTTCATTAAGGACCGAATCAAAATTGATCCCGTCGGTGCCAGCACCGAAGGCTTGGTCCGTGGGACCCTTGGTATTGGTCTGGCTTTCTTCTTTCACAATTGCATCCGGACTGGGTTCTGGCCCAGGGGCGGGTTCAGTGGGAGCGGGCGGCTCATTCTCAGCCTTGGCCTTGATCTCCGGCCCGGGCTCCGTGCCAAGCTCAATCTTCACGTTCACTGGTTGAGGTTGGGTGTCCTGCACCATCTTCTCATCTACATCTCTCATCGCCACATCTTCTGTAACTGGCACCGCCTCACGTGCTTTGATCGCCTCGTAGTCCTTTTCCAAGAACGCTTTGGCGATGAACTATGGGAATATCAGCGAAGATTCTCGAAAAGAACGGATAAAAGATTCAAATAAAAAAAAAGGAAGACAGTTGCAGTGCTGGGGTAACTCACAATCTGCTCAGACAGATTATCTAAAGCGTCCTGAAAACTCTCATAATATGATGGGATTGAACGCTGTAAATGTGTACTGGCAGGCATAGAGCCGGACTTTCGAAATAATCGACCAGTGTCAAGTAACTAGATACATGTCAGCGATCTGGATCTTTAATTTTCCTCTTTAGAAAGGGACGAGGGAAAAAGAGAATTGCGCGTACAGTCCGCTCCACCAAGGTGGAGAGCTCAGTCAAGGAGCTTGGGTTCTCCATAATGAGGAAAATATGACCAGATGTAGACGTAGAGAAAAAAAAGAAAAGAAAGGATATATCAATTAAGTGGCGAAGTTGAAGGGAAGGACAGAAGAAAGTGAAGTGGTACGGAGAAGAGTTGTACACACGAACTGGGCGCTAATCCCGTTGAGGTCAGGTGGGGGAGCCCCTAGCCGCTAAACCACCGCTAAACATCGCAGCGCCCTTTACACCTCTTTCTCTCCGTGCATCCTTTTTTTTCCCTTTTCGTGTTGTGCTTCCTCGTCCGCGATCTTGTCGGTATTGGTGTGTGTGTTTGTGTGTTTTATACCGGCTTTCCTTGATTCATCTTTGTTCGCCTTTCTCCTCCTTCTCGGATCTCACGCGAATCCCTCAAGCGCCTTTATCGCTACTTCCAGCTGTTGACGACCTTTGTCCAATCCTGAAAAAAAGCAGGAAAAAAAAACCTTCCTTTCGGTTTTTTTTCCTTCCTTGATTCATCGACTATATACATCCTTTCAACGGTGCTCTGCGTCAGGAAAAGAGTGTCTCTATCGACAAACTCCTTTTTTTGTGATTGTCTTGGCTCTTTGTTTGGATCGACTTAGCTTTCTCCGTCATTCGGACACTCATCCATCAGCATCTTCAACCTCCAAAACCAACGGACCTTTATAGTTATATTTATTGATCGTCTTCATTCCTGCTCCTGCCAGTGCTTTCTCAACAGCTCTGCATTGTCTTAACGCCAGACTCGTCGTTCTACCGATACCTCTGCGTTATTCCCAGCTTATTTGTGCTTCGTGATCTTGCAACACTCGCTCGTCCCACCATCCCATCCTTCAAAGCCGAATACACGATGGCTGAAAGCGTTGCGGCTTCAACTCCTTCCTCGCTGCCGTCGGCGCCCCAGCCTGCTGCTGGAGTTCAGAACCAGCAGTACGAGACCGCTCAGGGTAACGGTCAGGCCAACCCGTCCCACATGCCTCCGCCACCACGCCCCCCGGTGATCATCCCCCAGAATACCAACCCCATCCCCACGGCCATGACCTCGCCCATGTCGGGTGCCATGATGTCTCCTACAAGCGCTGGTGGCTATGTGCGTCGGGCGGCCCCCGAGCCCAACAAGCGCGCTCTCTACGTTGGCGGCCTGGACCCCCGTGTGACAGAAGACATTCTCAAGCAGATTTTTGAGACGACTGGCCACGTGGTTAGCGTCAAGATCATCCCCGACAAGAATGTGAGCGACTCCGATAACTCGCTCCCTCGCCAATTTCGGGATGCGACCCCAACTGTAGGGGAAACCTCTCAACTCCTTTCCTACACCTGACATTTTAAAATGATCATGGCTTCCTGCGCGGTCGAGAGCTGACCTTTACAGCAGTTTAACAACAAGGGCTACAACTACGGCTTCGTCGAATTCGATGACCCCGGTGCCGCTGAGAGAGCCATGCAAACTTTGAACGGACGTCGCATTCACCAGTCGGTATGTTTATTTACCCCGGATTGGCTTCGCTTAGTGATCAACTCTAATCGTATCCTAGGAAATCCGTGTCAACTGGGCCTATCAAGGCAACAACACCAACAAGGAGGATACCTCAAACCACTTCCACATCTTCGTCGGCGACCTGAGCAACGAAGTCAACGATGACGTCCTGTTGCAAGCCTTTTCCGCCTTCGGCACCATTTCCGAGGCTCGTGTTATGTGGGACATGAAGACTGGTCGCTCGCGTGGCTACGGATTCGTTGCCTTCCGCGACCGTGGAGAGGCTGACAAGGCGCTAAATGCGATGGATGGGGAGTGGCTGGGCTCTCGTGCCATTCGTTGCAACTGGGCCAACCAGAAGGGCCAACCGTCCATTTCTCAACAACAGGCCATGGCTGCTATGGGAATGACCCCCACCACTCCGTTCGGCCACCACCACTTCCCTACCCAGGGTATTCAGAGCTACGACATGGTTGCTACACAGACCCCACAGTGGCAGACTACCTGTTACGTGGGCAACCTGACCCCGTATACCACCCAAAACGACTTGATCCCGCTGTTCCAGAACTTTGGCTATGTCCTTGAGACTCGTCTTCAAGCCGACCGAGGATTCGCCTTTGTCAAGATGGACTCGCATGAGAACGCCGCCATGGCCATCTGCCAGCTCAATGGATACAACGTCAACGGCCGTCCTCTCAAGTGCAGCGTATGTTGGATTAACATCCCCCCCCCCCCCCCCCCCCCCCCCCTTCCCCATTTGTCATATGTCAACCACGTTTATTTTCTATTTTCTATATTTTGTTTTATTTTTGTTTTTACTAATGACCTTTACAGTGGGGCAAGGACCGACCTCCTACCGGTCAGTTTGATAACTTCACTGCGCCCCAGGCCAACCCCGGATTTAACAACAGCCCCGCTGGCTTCTTCCCCCAGTACGGTGGTCCCCAAAATCCCATGAATCAAGGTTAGTCGAATCTCAGTACACATCAAAACCATCTTTCTAGAAAATCCCCATCCAACCTTGCTGACAGACGAGTAGGTCCTGCCCCTGCTGGCCGAGGCTGGGATCAACAAGGCAATAACTTTGGCGGACCTGGTATGCCTGGACAGGGCTATCCTCAGGGCAATGCCGGAGGTTATGGGCGTGGCCAGCCCATGTCCCCGTCTGGTAACTGGGACCAGTCCAACAACAACTTCAATGGAGGCTACCAGGCGTAAGTTCCTTTAAGGTTGCTGCTGAGGCAAGGTTGCAATTGTACCGGTGCATGCATCCAACCATGTGCAGTTTCTTGATACCGGCTCTCACTGGCTGAAGCCATTCTTGCGATTTTTGGAATCGCTTTTTTACCTCTATAACCTCTCCTCTACTCCTATCAACCCTTCATCCTATTTATCTTGTTCTTTCCCCCTCTTCTCTCTTCTTTTCTTCTAGTTTTCTTCTGAAGTTACCCTTTGAAGTGGATTTTCAAGCGACTGAGCTGCCTTTTTCTTTCTTCCCATTTTGCAATGGAATTTGTGTGATGTGCACCGAATACCCCAAGTCCACTTTGTTGGTTTGATCTTTCTTTTCATCCCTTTTCGAGTGTGCAAGCACCTGTTCAAGGGTTTCTTGGACTCTCGATTCCTATGCAGTGCTCTAAATAAAAAGTGACTTCCCTACTCTGTCTCTACTGGTTTTGCTTGATATATTCTTGTCATTTGTCTTGCTAGCTTTTTATTGCATCGTTCTCAGTACATGTCCGGTGTGCTGTATCAAATTTGCTTCGTCGTCGTGGTCTTTTTATTTCTTTTTTCATATTTCCCTTTTTCTTTTCTTAGGCTCTTACTTTTTTGAATACTGTTCATGGTGTTCTTTCTTTTTCTCGTTCAAAATATGCTCGATCATGGGCTGCCATGGTTTCCTTCTCGGTTGACAGTTTGGTCTTACGGAAAGTTCTTCTTCCACCAAGTATTCGTATATGCCGCGATGAGTTTCCTTGAAGTGCTTGACATGATCGGTTTTTGATCTTTCTTTTTCACTTTACTCTATTCTCTGTTCGTTGGTCTCCTAGCCCATATACCAATTTGTTCGTTTCTTCCTTTTCTTTATTCTGCATCATGATATCCCTAAAGCGTCGCCCATGTATTTCTGTCTCACCTATGTTGCCCTTATGCATGGTGCTTAGACTCCGCGATCTAGTGTTACTACCTTGATCGGAGGTTGCCAGAATCCCTTCAGCTTGCTAAAATGGAATTTCCACAACTTGCTTCGAGCTGTCCGGACCTTATGATTTTTTTCCAAGATCTTCCATTTATGTTGTCTCCCAACATTTGAAGCTATCACCAGAAAGTTACAGTTCAAAATTTAGTTAGACAACTAGTACATTCTGGGCAACAACCCGCCTCCGTATACCATACGTGCTGCCTGAATCGGCAGGCATCAACCCCAGCTCCTGATTCCCCGGATCACACCATGTGAACTAGCCCAAGTTTGAACCATCAAGCGCTTTCCTGCGCCGAAATAACCTATGCTTGGAGACTGAAAGCTTCGAGCTGCGACCCAGCTCTCGGTTACCATTCGCATCAATGGACGATAGCGAGGGTCACGATACGGAATTCGCAGCGACCGACAGATTATCCAATCGAACGCGCTCCGCCAGCGGAAGCACCACCCACAAACGCAGCCTCTCAGGCTCTCTATTCTCAAAGCTCTCCTTTCTCCGAATAAGCCAAGCGACACAATCACAATCATCCACACGCAACATGGACCACGATGGCGACAACGAGGACCTGCCCTCCTACATGCCCCAGATAAACAGTGATGTGTCGGAACGTGGGAAAGCAATGGCAGCGGTTATCCAACAACAACGAAGGACGAGACGACGTCGAGGCTCATTAAGAAAAACTGCATTGCTGGGGACAAGGCTCGAGTCGCGCGATAAAAGGGCTTTCAGCAAGAGTGCCGATGCCATTCGTGCGGAGACCCCCCGTTTCCAGACTGGGGATGATGGCGATGATGATGCGCCGGGACTGCGCTCTCCCCGAAGAACAAGGCCCCCTCGCCGCCGCCGATGGAAAACAACAACTTCGCCTCCCCCAGGGGCGGCTTCGATAATGACGTTGAAAACCCCGCTCGACCAAGTTGGTTCCGTCCTAATCCTGCGCTGAAGAGTCCCCGCCCGACTGTCGCGCGAAGGCGCCAGGGTCTCGCGCAACATACCTCCAATACCACGAACGAGAACAACGATCTCCTAGGCGAAGAGACAGCCACCGACGATGAAGAACTTATTTCCTTCCCGCGGATCAACACGAATAACTCTTCAACTACGTCCAGTACCTCCAATCCCTCCGCTACAACTACATCCCTCCACATTCCCCGCCCCTCCTCCAGCTCGGACTCCTATTACCCTCTCCAACCAGACACGACGTACCGCCCCGTCCGGGCGAAGTCCTCTCCGCTAGCAACGCACCCTGTGGAGATGACCAGCAGCGCAGATATAACATGGGATTACTCCGAGACGGAATCGTGGGGCTGGATCATCCTCATGGTGACATGGCTAGTGTTCGTTGTGGGGATGGGCAGCTGCTTTGAGGTCTGGAGCTGGGCGTGGGATGTTGGAGAGACGCCCTATGCGCCTCCGGAGTTGGAGGATGATCCCACACTTCCCATCGTGGGGTATTATCCTGCTTTGATTATTCTTACGGCCGTCATGTCGTGGGTTTGGGTTGTTGTTGCTTGGGTTGGAATGAAGTATTTCAAGCATGCGAATATATCTGGAGATGATAGTTGATTCTGCATATGCGATACCCCTTTTTTGACTAGTAATACTATGTATAATATAATTGATATGACACTTTTCTCAACTTTGGCCTGGGGATACTATTATACATTTATAGATGACTACTACTTCCAACCTTGCACATGTGCAAGGCTGAAGATCTGGATGTGACTAGTAAATAGTGCATCCATCAATATGTCAAACTCAGGTGTCCCTTTTTTTTCAAAAAAAAACTCAAGTTGGTATTTAAAAGCAGTATGACTCCATCGAAATATCACAAATTTGTCCCAAATTTCCTTAAACCCGAAAATATCACCATCCACACTTGCACGCACATAAAAGCATCTAAAACCAAGCCCCAATGACGCCAACTTGCCGCTAGATTGGTATCTCCTCACTTTTACCGCTCTGAAAAATCGCTTCTATCATGACAAAAGACAGTGTTCGTTCTCCTATACAGCGCACTCGGCAGCATGAGGCGCCTTGGAGGCCCAGTTTTCTTTGTCGCTTGGCGGTGGAACTGTATTGCCAGGCGCGGTGCTGACAAGGCCCTTGGAAGAAGCATAGCAAGACGACCGGTCGTGGTTCAGATCATCACTGTAGAATTCATCCAAGATTGGGTGAAGGAGTACTGTTTGTTTGTGGATGGTGACTACCGAGTTGGTAGGGACCGAGACCCAATTGTCTATCAAAAATTATTAGCTCATGAACGACCAATCTCCTTACTTGAATGGCAATTCCAGAAGGGAAAATTTGGGGAAACGACTCACGTCTCTCGAAGGTGATCGGCTCACTGGCCACCAACACAATATCAGCACCCTTATCATGGCGCTCCATTTTAAAATGACCCTTTGACTCCCCCTCCTTCCACTTCGTCCCCGACGAGAAATACAAGCTAGCCGGCTCATCTGTCTTGCTGCTGATATACCGCGTGCAGACAACAGTATGGCCATCCGTCACGGCAAAATTGAGCAATGACCGTGTCTCCAAAGCCGAAACGCCGTACTTTTCCGGGATTGTGCTCGTGAACTCATTAATCCGTGCAATAGTCTTCATCATGACTTTGCGCAGTAAAGCCTGTCCGAAGCCCTCGGGGCCAGGATCCGAACTGGGGTCCACACCCTCTTGCTCTAGGAGATGAAGGAAAAGCGCAAACGACCATTCGCTATCTGTGCTTCCCTTCACACCGAGGAACCACTTGTCTCCGAGCGAAGATGCCATCGCACGCTTGATGTAGTTCCACCCGCCGATGCCGCCGTTGTGCATCCACATTAACGTCTGGTGCTGGAACGGGTGGCAGTTGTTATCAGCCAGAGCTCCCTCGGTAGTGGCGCGGACGTGCGCAAAAACTAGGTTGGAGCATGTCTTTGAGGCGAGACGTTCTAGGTTCTCGCAGTTCCAGGCTGGGATTGTTGATGTGAAGATGCAGGGCTCTGGGCCGAGCGCGGGGTCGGTGTAGAAGCCTACCCCAAAGCCGTCGCCGTTCACAGGGCGGCGGTTATCCTGGTTGACGGTTAGTTTTGGACTTGGGATGTAAGGGAATGAATGAATTTTGGATTGGATTATTGCTTCGTGTACAAAACATACCAATCTTAGCCGCGAATCGTAGGACTGAGTCAGAATTGAATGACTGGGCTCTGTTACTAACTTGCTGAGACGAATCTCGTTGCGCCCTTTATAGATCTGCATTCAACATTAGCTTTTGTTTGAGGATTTAAGCTTGGAAATGGGTAGAGAAAGTGCTTTCCACTTCACCGATATAGCGGTCAACTCACAAGAAAGCGGCACATTTTGGGTATTATGTAGTGCTTTTCAACAGCTTGGATAAGTGCCAGAAATGATTTTGAAAAGTTTGGAAGTTTTCAAAGCTTTATATGAGATAACGAGCGCGATATCAGAGGTTTCCGAAGCCAAGACACTTGACTTGATACAATCTGATGGACAGTGGTTGGGCGTTGACAGATGAAGAGTCACCGATAATCGGTGCCGAAATAGGACACTTCGTGAACCACCACGCCGTAACAAGCAAAGTAGTAGACGAGAGTTTCGCTTTAAAAAATGAGCCTCAATTAGGGACCAGGATGCAATGTAAATAAAGAAAACAATAAATTCCCAACAGACAACTAACTCACTTCCCTTGCACAGCACGTCATCGACCCACGTGACCTTTAACTACGGTCGGCGAGGCGGCCACTAGCGCAGGTCACGTTGATGTCAGTGATCGACTACGGGAAGCGTCATGATATTTACCTTCCTCTCCCATCTGGCTTTTGAATGCGACATCATCACAGCCATGAGTGGGAGGATACTCTCTCATCGACTTACTCCGCTGGTGCGGAATGGCCTAGTTCGCCATATCCACAATGCAGGCTCCAGGACCGGAGGTCTTCTGCGCGCTGATGGTAGTGCTACTTTGAGGAGACGCGCCTGGCCAATAGGTGCTAATGGAATCCACAACAACGTGCCTGCTATCCGAGCCTTTTCTTTTACGAGAATGCTGCCGAAACTAGCTCTCAAGCTTATTCGGCTCCCGGCTATGTTTGGAGGAGCGACTATTGCCGGCCTGGCTTATTTCCAATACCAAGCTACTCGTATGTACCATTACAAAATGACGATGTGGTGAACTGGCCATTAACAATCTACTTTAGAGGCTGGAAATTATGCGATGGATATTTTGAGAACCGCTAGCGAGACGGCAGGAAATACGGCCTCGAGCTTATTCCAGGGTATACAGGATGCTGCGGAACAGACTCAACGTGGATGGGAGAAGACTACGGGAGACCTAGAGATGCCCGAATGGTTACAAAAGATTCTTCGAGCAGACGAGGAATCTCAATCTAAAAACGGAGGGGACAAGGAACCCAACGAAGGCCGCGGAGTGACTGCGGGAGTTGCGGCTGGATCGACTGCAGCATTTGGTTACGATCAATCCGATGAAAACGACTCTCGACAAGAAAAGGAGGTTGCCGAGGATGACCAGATGATGCTTCTTACCCGTAAGATGATTGAAATCCGGAACATCCTCCAGACAGTCGGTCAGTCTGGCTCCTTGACTCTGCCATCGATTGTTGTGATTGGATCTCAGTCTTCCGGTAAAAGTTCGGTTTTGGAGGCTATTGTTGGACATGAGTTCTTGCCAAAGGGCTCAAATATGGTTACTCGGCGACCAATCGAACTCACCCTCATCAATACCCCGAATGCTCAATCGGAATTTGGTGAATTCCCAGCCTTGGGTCTCGGCAAAATCACCGACTTCTCCCAGATCCAGCGCACCTTGACCGATCTAAATCTTGCGGTGCCGGATACAGACTGTGTCTCGGATGACCCGATTCAGTTGTCAATTTATTCGCCTAATGTCCCAGATCTTTCCATGATCGACCTTCCTGGCTACATTCAGGTTGCTGGCCACGATCAGCCCCCGGAGCTGAAACAGAAAATTAACGATCTTTGCGATAAATACATTCAGTCTCCCAACGTTATCCTGGCCATCTCAGCTGCTGATGTCGATTTGGCAAACTCTACAGCTTTGAGGGCTAGTCGTCGTGTGGATCCCCGCGGTGAGCGTACAATCGGTGTCATCACCAAGATGGATCTCGTGGACCCTGCGCGCGGCTACGACGTTCTCACCGACAAGAAGTACCCTCTTCGCTTGGGATATGTGGGTGTTGTCAGCCGAATTCCTCAGACAAATGCCCTCTTCTCCCGGGGCTCTGGAAACATTACCAGCGCTATCCTGAAGAACGAGAAAGCTTACTTCTCGGCACATCCTTCCGAGTTTGGAGCAGAATCTGAGGTTGCCGTGGGAGTTTCCACTCTTCGCAAGAAGCTGATGCAGGTTCTTGAGCAGACCATGGCAGCTAGTCTATCAGGTACTCGGGATAGCATCAGCCAAGAACTGGAAGAGGCTACTTATGAGTTCAAGGTTCAATATAACGATCGGCCTTTGAGCGCAGAATCCTACCTGGCTGAAAGCCTGGACAGCTTCAAGCACGCCTTCAAGGAATTTGCCGAGGCATTTGGCCGGCCCCAGGTTCGGGAAATGCTGAAACATGAACTGGATCAGCGTGTTATGGATATTTTGGCGCAGCGTTACTGGAACAAGCCTGTCGAGGACTTGAGCCCGCCGTTGCTAGAGCTCGATCCGCTCAAGGATCTACCCAAGGCTGATGCCGAGTCTCTATATTGGCACCGAAAGCTCGATGCGTCTACCTCTTCTCTGACCAAATTGGGTATTGGTCGACTTGCTACAACAGTTGTTGCCAATTCTCTTCAAAACCACGTTGAATCGCTCCTGGCATCTTCCACGTTCGCCACTCATCCGGGTGCCCACAAACAGATCACAGATGCCTGCACAAGCATCCTGAATGACCGGTTCTTCAGTACAAGTGATCAAGTCGAAAACTGCATTAAACCTTATAAGTATGAGATTGAGGTCGAGGACCCAGAGTGGTCAAAGGGCCGTGAAAATGTTAGTAAAACTTTGAAGGAAGAGCTCAAGGCATGTGAAGCAGCCACCAAAAACGTTGAGGACAGTGTTGGAAAAAGGAAGCTCAAGGATGTCATGTCTTTTATCGACAAAGTCCGTAAGGGTGATGTCGTGCTCGAGGGTAATGGCTCAGGCGGTGCTGGCGGGTTCAGTGCTGCTCTTTTGGAGAGAGGTATGTCACATCGACTCGGAATTCTCTCTTTTGAACTCTTGACTAACACATCGATATCCAGGCCGGGATGGTGTCTTCCTCCGTGACCGAGCTGATCTCATCAAGCTGAGACTCATGGCTGTCCGTTCCAAGCAGTGCGCCTCGCAAAAGAACAAGTACAACTGCCCCGAGGTCTTCCTCGACGTAGTAGCAGACAAACTCACATCCACTGCCGTTCTTTTCCTAAACGTCGAGCTCCTCTCCGAATTCTACTACAACTTTCCCCGTGAACTCGACATGCGACTCGGTCGACACCTATCCGACGCCGAGATCGAGCGCTTCGCTCGTGAAGACCCCCGGGTCCGCCGCCACCTCGATATCATCCGCAAGAAGGAACTTCTCGAGCTGGCCCTGCAGAAGATTGAGGGCATCAGACAATTGGATGGCCGTAAAGCGAGCCGGGGTTCCGATCGTGCACAGGCTTCGAAAGATACTCGTAGCCGCTGGGGTATCTTCTAAGAAAACCCCATCATTCCTTGTTGATTTTGTTCGATGTGCGATTTTCGAACTCTCTTCCTGCTTGATACCTTTTGTTTTCATCTGTCTTTTTTTGTTCTACCTGGTTGCAGTTTTAATACCTTGCCACCTCATATTCCCCTCTTGTCCCTAGATTGACTTGCCTCTTTCTCCGCTCCGGCTGGGATTTCCCTTCCTGTCATTAGATGGTTTGGTTATTGTACATATTTGTTCCAATTTATTCTACTCGTGGATCAGGAATTCATCCTAACTGAACAACATTGAAAGTCAACGTTCCGCCACATGTTAATTGTAAGGTTAAATTGCACTTTCCTGCGTACAGAAGGCGAATTGCTCCTAAAGGTGAAGTTAGTAGTCCAGAGGGAAGCCTGGAACCAACAAGAGGATCTGCGGGCCGCCCCGCGCCCCGTTTTCAATGCTTCCCCCAACTCGTCCCTCGCAATTCTTCTGCCTTTCTACTGACTGATCTTAGGCGATCATGAAAAAAAAAAAAAAAAAAATTGAACTTCCGTTTTACGCAGCTGATTTGCCCTGTCCTCAGCCGACTAATTCCGAAATCGAAAATGCTCCAGACATATTCTTGAAATATGGCGCGCGAAGAGTTATCGGGGTAGGCCAGGATTTTGTTACGAATATGGGCACGGAGTCGACCTGATCAAAAGAGAGAACATGTTATTTATCCGGGAAAATACTAAAATCTGTGCCCTACGAGTCTTCGCTTTTCAAATACTCGGACACCAAGACTGGCAAAGAGTATATGTATCGTTATGGAACATTGAATGTATTATCGGCGAAACACTTCTCAAGCACTCAAGTGCTTGAGGCCTGCATATCCACAACTTATATAAACCGAGATATAAAATATACTTTGAACATTTGAAGCGACCTGCAGATCCGAATTGACGAAATGCGTCAGTTTCCATCTCCAAACTACGTTGTAAGTTTCGGTAAAAGAAACCTTCTGGATGGAATATTTTGGACAAAAGAGCCAGGCACATTTTCATTCAATGTTGGTGAATGGACCATTCGATTCAAAGTTCCAAAGAAAACGTCAACAAAGGCATTGTACGGAAGTACTCCTTTAATTTCCTATTTCGGTACCTATGCAGCTGGGTCATATGTCCGGGCATAGACATAGTAGTACTACCCATCCCAAGTGTCGAGTATGTACCCGTCTCACGTATATACTGAGTAGGTGTTCATCTTAAGTAATAATTTTCTACTCTAGTGCTGCTTGTGCAAGTACTACATGTCAGAGGTTTCTTAACCCAAATTTCAACAAAAAAGAGGATTTAGCATATATGAGATTGAGTAAAGGCTACTAGTCAACAGTATCACAGAGAGGTCTATGCTTGTCATGTCACTATTATAGAATCCTTAATAAGGGGTTCTTTTTTGCTATTTCAATAAGATGACCATGTATCAGCTCAGTAAGTGAGAGACTCGCTTTTCTTTCAAGGGAGAAGTGGATCATCTTCGAGATTTTGGATGGAAGTAGTTCGGAGAACCTCTTCCAAATTCCGAAAGAAGTGTTCTCCAAAGGACGCTGCTGCTTTTGCTTTTGCTGTTGGGTTTGATGGTGGTCCCTAAGCATAGGGGGCGAACCATCCATCGGCGGGTGCGATTTTCCAGACAGTATGTCATAAAAGGAATCCACTTTGGCTGTGCTTCTCTCGGTTCGATTTCCAATCCGACCGAAGCACAGTGGCTCTTTTGGATAACGTTGGGTCAGTGATGACATTCATTTCTTGACGATGTCAGGCCTGAGGCATTGCTGCCCAGCCGCCTAATTGGCCCGATTCGAGTAGGCTATCAGCATTGATCATGCACTTTGCTCCTAGATAAAGAGCCCAATACCGCTCTTTTTTGCTTAGGCGGTATGTTGTAAAAGGAATATGTCGCACAAGCAAGGGCAGATGCCAAAGAAGAGAGGATAAGAAAGGGAAATCGAAAAATCGGTGAGTCCCAGAGAAACAAGTAAAGCGAGGTCCAGCCTTGATTACGGGCGAAAAAAGAAGCGTAGTTAACTCAAGTTCATATTTTCAAAGTGGAGCCGCAAGTCCAGGGACCAGCATGATTTCACTTGGTACATAAGATTGCCGCTTGATCCGCCAGGGGTTCCAACTGTCGAGGACGCTTATCATTGTAGATCAAATAGCTGCCATGGAAGCTAAAGGCTTATCTTCAGTATATGGCCGTAGCCATGACTGCAGATCTTTGCATTTCCCGATTTGGGGGCGTAGCTGAGCTTGACTGCAGGTGTGCACGGACTGGTTTTCGGTGGATATGACTTCCCTATATATGCACCGATGACTGCATTTTCGATGTGGGGCCTTAGCTGCAGGTGAACTTGACGTGTCCACGAACTACATTATTTATTCCAAGGTTGGTGAATAATGCTTGTCTCCACTCCACACGGCGCAATTCATCTTACTCCTTACATTCCGTGATTCCCGCCTCTGCCCAGAGAGTAATGCGCTAGCTGAAATTGTTTCGCACCTCAAGTTGAACATTTGAATATTGTTCAGCTTCGCCATTCCATCTTTTTCTTTCAAAACGACAAAACTCAAACTGGACATTTAGCCTCCCCTCAATCATTTGCTATGGCTACCCCATCGGATATTATAATCAGTGGTAGTTCTTTCGCGGGAAAATGGGTGATTGTACGTCCCCTATGGCCTTAACATTACGAAATATATTATGGCTAACACCATCAGGATAAACGACTTTCGGCCCCCCCGGATCCAGTATGGAAAGCTGTAAGTGGAAGACTTTGGAGTTGAAAACGCGGTGGAGCATTCAACATTGAATTGATGTTTACTAACATTTGAACTGCTGCCATTCAGCAAGGAATCAAATGGGTTCTACGCAAAGCAGTTGCTCTTGCAGAAGTCACCATGCATATCTCTGTCTCCTCATCCCCAGACAGCCTCTCTTCCAATGTTGCTGCTGCTGCTGAGTCACAGCTTATCCCACACGAGAAACTGCATCTTTCGATCCTGCAGATCCCCACTGGCGGTCTGGCACAGATACCTGAGCAGAGGGCTCTAGATTGGAATGAGCAGGTCCACTTGAAGGACTTTTTGTTTGGAGCACGGCAATGTCGGAGTCGTTTGGTGGCGGGGACTGTGGGACCTGCAGGCCGGATTGTGCCTGATTTCGATCCCGGTACAGCTATTGATAAGGAGATAATTGGTCAGCTGCTGAGAGGGGAAGTCTTACCCGGTGGGGCTGATGGTAGTGGATTCCTTGTGGAGGGAGATGGTGAAGGAGGTGAGAATGCAGGGCTGTGGATCCATACTTTTGATTCCCGGGAGGATGGGGCGTGGACTATGGAGCAGGTAAGATGCTTTCTTTATCTTAATGTGACAGGCTGAGCGGAGAGCACGATGAGTTGGTAACTAACTTTCGTCTTTTGCTTATCATCAAGATCTGGGGCTTCGAGATGATCGACGGGGAAAGACGCCATACGAGAAGATTTGTGGTTGCGAACAAGGAAGGTGCAGTTGAGATGGGCCGTATTGTTTTCACCTACTTAGGCTCTCTCGAGTGAGAGCTACACTAGATCGAGACAACCGAGAATTTATTTCGTATATGCAATGCAGAATCAGGAAACCGAGAGTAGAACGCATCTGAGCCGTCAAATGCAGGAGCCACGCACTGCGGGTGCGACATGACCCACATATCTGGTAACATTGAAAACTTCATACTAGTATGCAGGTTTGCCTGGTGCGCCGAAGTTTAAGCCACCTGCTTCTGCACACGCATCCCTAGGGCATAGTACGCTATCTTTAAGGCCTAACAATGCAGCTCGGCTGCAAACCGATGCAATAATTCCATTATCTTGTACCCCGATCGATCAGCTCTCAGCTGCGGACTTCTTCAAAATCCACGGTATACGTATTGACATCATAAAACAGAATCTGTAGTAGTAAACGCATATTTTGTGCTGTTTTTTACGTCTCCCTTGCGTTAACCTTGGAAGTGGATACTTGAACGCAGGCTGTAGATGGATACCCCACGAGCTGGTGTGAGATAGTGCCAGTGCTTAGTATGTATTGACGCATTGGTCTATTGGTTTATTAGCCTAGGTCGTGTTCCGAGTCTTTACTTTTGATTTAATCATCCACCAAGCACCACCTTCACTTAGCTCATTTATTTCCAACAAACAGATAACCACCAACCCTGCAATCCAAATGGAAAAGGAACGTCCCTTCAAAGTTCTCATAGTCGGCGGCTCAATCACGGGTCTGACGCTCGCCGCTGCCCTTGCCCGCGCAGATATCGATTTTCTCGTACTCGAAGGCTATGGCAAGATCGATCCGACAATCGGCGCTGCGTTGACAGTTCCCACCAATGCACTGCGAATTTACGATCAAATGGGCATATACGATGATATCAAAGCACACATTAAGCCGTGCACAGATGTCTACACATACCAGGAAAATGGTGAATTGTTGAGTTCAATGGATACACCAAGCGTTATCTTGGAGCGGTATGCATCTTCAATTTTACTCCGTTCGGTATCAGACACAAAAGAGGCTGATGGCAGATTAGGCATTCTTACCCGATGGCTTGGTTGACAAGGCAGCAATTGTTGAGAATTTTGTATGACAATATTCCAGACAAGAGCAAGGTGCTGTTGAACAAGAGAATCATAAGGGTTGATCATTCCGATACTGGTGTGGTTGCACACTGTGAGGATGGGACTGAGTACACCGGTAGTATGATTGCTGGTGCGGATGGAGTTCATAGTACCATTCGGGGTGAGATGTGGAAGTTTATGGAGCAGAGCCGGAAAGGGAAGAAGAAGGCTGAGAAAGATAGGAAAGGTATGTTTTTCTTCATTATATGAGACTTATATAGGCCTAACATGATTGGTAGCTATGACGGCTGAGTTTGCGTGCATCTTTGGAATATCCAGTCCAGTAGAGGGCCTCAAGCCGGGGATTATCTATCGGACCTGGGGTAAAAACTTCACCAACTTTGCAAACGTTGGGGAAGACAACCAGGTCTTTTGGGTCCTCTTCACCAAGATGGACCAAAAGTTTCAATATCCCAATGTACCGAAGTTCACGAGAGTGGAACAAGACGCGCTGGTTAAGAAATATGCGGATTCTCATGTTGCAGAAGGTATCAAGCTTGGGACGATTTATGAGAACATGACAAGTTCCTCATTTATTGCTCTGGAAGAAGGAGTATGCAAGTTGTGGACGTGGGGTAGATTCGCATGCTTGGGTGACTCGGTTCACAAGGTCTGTCCATATCTTTTGTGTCCTACAATACCGATCTTTGCTGAACATTTTACGTGATAGACAACGCCCAACATCGGTCAAGGTGCTGGTATGGCTATTGCCGACGCCGCATCCCTTGCGAACCATATTGTGTCGATTGCGAAGAGCTCAGATGGCATGCCGTCATCGGATGATATTACCGCGGGCCTCAAAAAATGGGCAGGAAGTCTACGGCCAAGAGCGCAGTCAATCTGCGATGCAGGAGCTCTCTATATGAGGTTAGAGGCACTAGCTAACTGGCCGCTCAAGTTAGCTGGGCTTTACATTGCGCCCCACATCCCGACAGTTTTTGCGGATCTTCTCAGTGTTCTTGATATTGGGGGACCAACATTGAATTTTCTAGCATTGCCGGAGACGAAGAATGATTCCGTGTCGACTGAGAAAGAAGCAAACAAACGGAAGTGGAAGGTGAGCTGGTATATTCGAGCATTCTGGGCTGCGAATTTGAAGTTGAAATGAGACTTTGCTTAAGTAATAGATTTTCGGCACAGGCGTTTTTTAAATTGCACCTCAATATCAGATCAATTGATGACAATAAACAAAATATTCTAAATTATTACATGTAGTTAAAATTTGAACGTAATTCAGCCTTCCAATATTCCGAGGAAACATTTCCGGCCGTTGCCCGAGGTCGTACAACCAAGTCGTCAACTGGTACACCCTAAAATATTACTAAATGTGATATTGTATTTAAAAATATCTCAACCTGTGAGAATTGATTAGTTCAAGCCTATAAGATATTCAAGTATCAAATATGTTACATATATTGATTAAGCATGTTTGTTTCCCTTGAGATCAATCGTACTACCAAGTCATTTTTAACCACTTTAAATATTGAATGTTGGAGCACTTCAGTGATTTTAAGGAAAGAATTACACTTGAATATAGATATATTGGATAACATGCATCACCTCCGGATCTTGTTACCATTGATTTATCTTTTGTTAACATATGTAAAAAGCTATTCCAAGTTTTTGGCTCTGGTGCTAGAAATCATTGATAAATCTACATGTATACTAGTCTGGTGTATAGTATGTTATCAAGAACTATCTTGCTGAGAACTCAGTAATGTCAATAATTTTCTCGTAGTTGATTTATGGTGATCTGAAATATTGCATATACTACATTGATGTTTGGTAGGATTTGACTGGGTGTAAAGCTTCCACATGCAAGGTTCAAAGTTTACAACCAAAGCAAAAAAGAACATACTTACTAATCTTGGTCGAAATATACCTGGGCAGATACCAACCTCGCGAGAAGCTACTTCAAATATGCTAGACCTGCATTAGATCCTGTTTTTGGTTGTTTTTATTGCACCATACGAATGCTTGGGCCCCTTTACATACTGTAAATGCACCAGCCGATCCCACTGCGCTCTTCGCATGTGCAAAGTGCCTGCAGTTTCCTTATCACCAAGGTGATGGAAAGACATGTTCAAATAACGCCATTCCGGAGGTCCGTATTCATTCCAACCTTGGAAGTCTAGATACGGGTCGGGCGGCTCGGGCGTCGAATGGAGTTTCAACATATGATATATTTTTCTGTTTTTTGGAAAATTGTTGCCGTCCATGCACGTGTGGATGATTCAATGCACGTGTGTAGATCGATGTCGGATAACACGAACTATGTAGACAGGCTCCTTGCCTTTCAGCTTCACGTTCTTCAATGTTGTTTGTGTCCGGGTTTCACCGGGGTGGGGCCTCTGGACCCTGCACAGGTGCCGATAACAATACCTATGTGCGAAATACTCGGATGGCATTACTCTGCATAGGCGCCTGAGAATGGAAATCCGTTGACCGACCTTTGAGCCTTCGTATGTACATTAGAATTATGGGTCCTGCATCCTGCACGTGTGTATACATGAATGTCGTGTAAGACCGTGCCTTGGAAGATAGTGGCTGACCTGAGATATAGGTGGAACCACTGCAAAGGGAATGTGATCGGTCATACATCTAGAGCTCAGAACTGAGATAATGCATTGCATCGATACGGCACCGGGGTATGCCCACCTTCTGCAATTGCTTAGCTGGGCCGCTAATGGAATTTAGCGTCTTTTTTTAAGCTGCAAATTCCGTGCATACACATCTGACCTCAATATGAACGAAACTTTGTGCGTATTTTGGAATCATTTCACCAACAAACAGCCAATTCAGCGTCTTGAATACCTCGGCAACATGAACTTGTGCCGTATTTACATGCACAAAACATGATTTTCCTTCTTGGGGCTGGAGGAATCACCACGATTGGCAATTTACTTGGAAGATTAGAAACATTTATCGCAAAACTCTCGAGGTCGGGATCTGCACTCAGAAATTTATATAAGGTGTTGACGAAGTGCACTCAATTGTTTCTAATCATCATCTTCTAATCATCATCTTCCAACGGTAACAGTTCCGTTTTTATTCAAATCGAAGATTTCTCACTTTCTCTACAATGGCGTTGTCTAGCCTCTTCTACTCATGGAGGTCTTACTTGAACCGTTACTTGCTCGGCAGCAAGGAACCGGTTCATCATTTGATCAGAGATGATGCGAAGACTGCTGAAGTTCCTGAAGGAACTCCCATTGTTTCTGTTGTTGGGACAGGATCGGAATATCCTACCACCAGGATGGGGCCAGAGATCCTAGAGGTCGTAGCCCTCAGGCACTACCCCGATAATCCTGCGTAAGTCTAACCTACTTGTTCTCACCTGAATCATTACCTAGGCATCTGTACTGACTTCACATATCTGGCCCTCCAGTTTCCAAAAGACGTTGGAGATCAACGCGAGGTCCAGAATTGAAGAGCGTTTCAGCGCTGTACCGCCCGAGAACCCACTATGGCACCAATCGACTGTACCGACTATCCAAGAGTGCGACGAACTTTTTAAAGAGTTCGGTGTTCCCCTCGCAGAAAAGGCCGCTAGGAAAGCCATTGCAGAATGGGGCTGCTCCCCGAATGAGATCACCCATATCGTTGCCGTCACTTGCACAAACACATCCAACCCAGGCTTTGAATACTTCCTGTCCCGAAGACTGGGTCTTGGCAAGAATGTTCAGCGCACTCTCCTCCATGGTGTTGGCTGTGCCGGTGGTGTTGCAGCTCTTCGAACGGCAAATGACCTCCTTCTCGGCGCTGCGGCACAGGGCAAGCCAGCTAGATGTCTTGTGGTTGCGTGCGAAACTCCATCTGTTTTTATCCGAAGAGAGTTAGATGACCTCGTCAAAGAGCAAAGGCCTAACGTTGGACTGACACTTTTCGGGGACTGTGCCAGTGCATTGGTGCTTAGCAATGGTCTTGGCGTCATTGGATCTGAAAGAGCGCCCCTATGGAAAATTCTCAACTGTCTGACTACTCAAATCCCAGGCTCAGCTGGCTGTCTCGAGTACAACATTGGCCCATCAGGTGAGTGGCAGTGAGAAATATCTTGCTACAGCGGCAGAGTTAGCTAACAAGTAAACAGGCTACCTTGCTGTCATCTCGAAGGATGTTCCTAAGCACATCCAATCAAGTTTGGCATCAGGCTTCAAGGAACTCATTTCGTCTACCCCATCCCTCCGCGACAGCAAATCAAACTTTGACCCCACTGTCTATGACTGGGCTCTTCACCCTGGTGGCTATGGCATCATCCTTCTCGCCCAGCAGGTTCTGGGATTGACAATGCACCATTTGCGGAAGAGCTACGAGGTCTATACCAAGAGAGGCAATAGCAGTTCCGCCACCGTGCTTAGCATTATGCATAAGCTGGCGAATGAGCGAGGGACTAGTGAGCCCGCAAGAGACAAAATGATCGCTGCGGCCTTTGGACCTGGTATTACTATGGAGTTGGTGGTGATGGCCAAAGCCTAAACAGTGGATATGAGCATGCCAATGTTCAGCAGGACTTGTCTTGGAGACTTTGTACGAAGATGTCGCCCGAGTTTGCGGACCAGGGATTGCCTCGTTTTCTGTTTTTTCTTTATATGTTAGAGTCATACCAAATGTTTGCCGACAAGTGTTGAGTTTATTGTGAGGTGCCTTCTTGTGGGGTGTCTTCTGCACAGGCTTACCTCTTGGTATCACATGTCGATCATGTCAGTCATGTCAGTTATGTCAATCATGTATTTCGTTGCGCGTCTCGTTTCTTGTTCTCTCTTTGTACCTTGAATTTTTGTTGCGTTCTCAAATAAAGACAGCATTTCGTTTAGTCTCTCTCTCCCTTTCTTGTATCGAACGTAGTATATCTCTTTCTCCTCCGAACAACAAGCTCATCGACAGAGAAATTTTATCATTGTGTAGGAGACACTAGAGAAGTTAGTCAACATTGAATTGAGACACATAAAGAAGTACCATATGCTATAGATATCGAGGTCTATGCAATCTATCATACAGAATACTTATTTTGCTTGGGCAATTATAAAGGCGGGCTTTGGTGTGTGCATTTTGAAGACCTAGGAGTTCTTTGAAAACTCGGAATAGATTATAATGGTGTCTTGGAGCCCTTCAATGTTTGACATGTATAGCTCAGCTCAGTGCTGTCTACTGTCTACTATTACACCACCACGACGATGGCAGACGTGTATAAGGAGATTGAGAAATGCATTAACAAGACCTAGACATCCATACAAAGTCTTAGCACGGAAAATCCCTTGCAGCTTAATGGGCGGGATATTTCGAAGTGATAATGACTTATCTACATATCCATGGATCCGGATTCAGGTCGCGAATCTTGTTCGTCTACACCAACGATAGCATCTGCGCAGGTGAGGCAAGGCAGCACCTGAGCAAAATGTCTTTCAGACCTCAGACCTAACATTTCTTGAAGATCACCCTATTTTCGCTAGATACTACTGAATACATAAGATAGGTTCGATGCTTATCTCACCGACTATGGGCATTATTACAGCACTGAGTGCACAAATCGAATAATTACATCGAAATGCGACCTACACCAAAGATTCTTGCGTTAAAAAAACAGCATCTGAGTTTTACAGCTTTTCCTTGCTTGCTACCGCCCGGTGAGAAAAACTGCACATTAACTCAACATCAGTCTTCAAATTAGCCAATTAAAGTCGCAAAACGTTATCACAATCAGGAATATAGTATATACGCTCTTGCCGCATAGCGATAGAAATGAAAGTTGGGCACTTTTACAGAGTGTATGTACGCCTCTGTATGCAGAAAAGCAATAGACTTAACTAGTGCGAAATCCCAAATGCAGTTTTATCCCCCTACATAGCCTTTGTTTGAGTGGATATTCGTATCAATAGGCATGCACATGCGGCCCGCTGATCATTCCAGATAATATGATATATCGTGATTGCTTATTTTCACCTGCATCTCTGCAAGATGCGCAATGGCTGGCCTATCCCAAGGGTCCGTGCTCTTCGAAAATCACATATGCATACCGCACGAAAAAAAAATCAATAATCCCTGTACCTACTTGGAGATAGAAATCTTGACAATGGATCATGAATATGCTAAGAATTCAATATTTTGATCCTGTCGTGTTTCTCCAACGTGAAAGGGCCCATAAATAAACCATAGATACCTGAGCCTTAGGAACATTTTCGTTGTCCATTTCCTTTTCTTCACTCCCTTCAATTGTACGATAACAACATGAGTTCAATCTTCGAGACCGTTTCGCCCCGAACACTCGGTTTTCTGCTCCATCTGCTGATCGAGACACCTGCAACAATCGGCTTCATCTTCTTTCCATCTGCCACTCTTCCAGAGCCTCAGCCAACAGTACATGCCCTCATTCGTCAATACGGATTGCTACTCGGCTGTACTAACGTGATCATTGTTGGTATGCTGAGCTCGAGATCATCAATCCCAAGTGACGTATATATCTCGCTTGAGCATCTTATCGGAAGAGCTATGGCGTTATACCATATCGGACCGATTTGCAGAGCAGCCTCCCGTATTCGCAATGAGAATCCGCAGGGCTTCCTCGTCAGCCCATGGTTACATCTCATCACACATGCTCTTGCTCTTGGAGCCATGGTTTCACTATAGCCGATACCAAGACGATACGATCAACTTTCGGCTTTGTCACACACACACACATATTGGCACGTTTTCGGTTTCGGCACGTTATCTGGTTGGATGTCGGGAGTCATGGACAGCGAGGGTGTTACAAATGTGCCTTGCTGCGAGGCGCTCGTCGACAGCGTCGATGTCCTGCACAACGGAATGATTCTGCGGATCCCAGTCGGCCTCGGAGGTTAACTTCATGTAGTCGAAAAGTGCAAGGTTAAGCTAGTCAACCTTATGTGATTGGGGGACGGGGGTGATCGGAGCCATCTTTCTTGTGTCGGGAGCTCTTATTGGCGAAGGACGAGGTCAAAACGCGGGTTAGAATGGGGAAGCATGTCAGGCGTTGAGTGGAAGAAAAAGTGTCAAAAACAAGGGTAAACACGAGGGTAAACACGAGGGTAAACGCGAGAAAAGGGAAGGTAGTGTTGCTGGTTAGGGTTGAGCACCCGGTTCCGGGCTCTCATATCGTCTTCATTATAGATCTTGTTCCTGCTCAGCCTTGCTGGGCCTAATGTCCAGTCTCCATTACAAATGCAACCACATATCGGAAAACGTTGATGTCGAGCTTCCATGCTTTTCCATTCGCCGCATCCATATTCAGCACAGTCTCAGCCTCTCAGGCTTACCTCTAATTGAAAGTAAACAAACCCTGGGACAAGAGAAGAGTATATCCAGTGCGGGTAGATAAGAGAGCTTAAGCTTCACGAGCACCGTACCTGCCTAGGTGCCCAGGTGAGAGATGGAAGTAGTATGTAATGTAAATCGAATGTAAGTAGATGAGATGGGACCTATCACTCACTATTGAAAAGCTATGGAATGCTCCACTTATAGAAGTCAACTGGTATACTTTTTATTTTATTTTAGTTAGTCGTCAGCTTTGAGAAACTACTAGTAATAGGTGCACCTGGCACTGATACAAGATCACCATGATCTTCTGATCAATTGTAAAGAGCCAACTCTCATCAGGTGAACTTTCAAATGTTACGAAAACCAACACAGAGCAGCTGTCACATGTCAATTTTCACCTAAGCGCGCCGACTCTCGGGAAATTGAGGGGCAGCAGGAACAATTCGGACCGCCGTCAGTTATGTGGATTTCTATCCCCAGATTTAGTCCACTAGTGCATATCAAAGCGAGATTTTAGGCCACAGAAAATTTGATGCTTGGCCCCTCCGCACGCGGGTCATATCGGAGAAATTGGGGCAATCTCTTAGGGCAAGAAAAAAAAAAACAAAGTCTGGACTTACTGAAGTAAATATACATGTAAAGAATGTTATGGAATACATAGGTGAATGGGGAGACAAGAAACATTTGAATCAAGCTACTAGTATGTAGAGTGAATCAATCGGTGTTTGGAGACGGTTTGTTTCTCCTCACCGGGCAAATTTAGGCAAGTTTCCCCTCATCTTCTTTTTCTCCAATTTTTTTCTGCTTTGTCAACTTCCCCCCCCCCCTTTGCCCTAGTTAGTTAACTATTGCTGTGAGAGCTCTACTCCGAAAGTCCTCCGTAAAGAGAGAGAAAAAAAATAAAAATGGGTCTTCGGCTTTCGAAGCTCCATTATGGATGATCGACATTGGATACACAAAGATTGTATAGAACGCAATTGATCAATTGATTCAATGTGAGATTTTGGAATTAGGAATTGATTGTAGATTTCAGATTTAGAATCAGAATTACAATATAAAAACCCGAGTTCATAGAGGAAAAAAAATGATACCGCGATTGAGTCATTGTGTAAGAACAAGTACCGAGTACCTAGTGGGGCCATACAAAGCCAAGCATAAGTGCAAGTACCTGAGACTTGGGGCAAAAAAAAATACCAAAAAATACCAAAAAAAAAAACCCGAAGTGGTCGACCCTCCCGGTCACACCGATTACACCGATTCGCCTAAAACAGCAACGGACCTTGGACTCCCTTATCAAAATTTTGATTTCAAAATTTGGACTTGACTTCTCCCTTTTCACACCCTTCCAGCTTTCCCCAGAGCTCCCCCGCTGGTGTGCTCTCCACTCACAATGGCTGGCACCACGCTAGCAATGCGTTCGATGGCCTCGTCCATGATGCAGCTGTCCTCGGTGTCGCGCCGGAACATCTCGACTTCGCAGCTCTTGCGCGCAAAGCCCCTTCGCTCCGGAGTTCCCTCCGTTTCGCGCGTCGCTTGTCGCGGTTACGCCGATGCCGCTCCCACTCCCTCCCCTACCCCCAAGCCTAAGAAGCGATTCCGTGCTCTCCGCTGGGCCTGGCGATTGACTTGGCTCGGCGGTCTCGGTCTGACCGGTGCTTTGGCTTACAGCATCTATGAGCTGCGCCACCCCGTCGAGCAGAGCGACCCTGACCCAGAGAAGAAGACTCTTGTTATCCTTGGTAAGCTAAAGCTCGCGACAGATGCGGAGATTTGTTCTTATTTTCTTCTCAATCCTTGCTAATTACCCTTCCGCTTGATAGGTACCGGTTGGGGTGCCGTCTCCCTGCTGAAGAAACTTGATACTGAGAACTACAATGTGGTTGTTGTTTCTCCCCGTAATTACTTCCTGTTCACTCCCCTGCTGCCCTCATGTACTACCGGTTTGATCGAGCACCGCTCGATCATGGAACCCATTCGCAACGTCCTCCGCCAGAAGAAAGCCGCCGTCAAATTCTACGAAGCCGAAGCCACCAAGATCGACTACGAGAAGCGTGTTGTTTACATTAGCGATGACTCTGAGATCAAGGGTGATATCTCCCAAACGGAGGTTCCTTTCGACATGCTTGTGATCGGTGTTGGTGCCGAGAACGCCACCTTCGGTAGGTTTTCCGGTGCTCACTTTTTTTTGGAGCTGAACTGAAGCA